GTTTACTTTTGAAAACTCTGAGATTCGAACCCATGACCCCCAGTTTCTCTAACACTCTGTATTTTAAAAATGTTAAAAATATTTTTACGTTGTTACTTGGGTATGAATTAGTGGGGAAAAGTTTTGTAACATCTCTGTATGTCAAGCCATTTGTCTGTAATCTGTTTAGGACAGCTTAGAAGACTCACCCTATGAATATTTTTTTACTGAATGTAATACAGTAGTGCATACACATTGCGTACAATAATTTGTCACATTAACTTTGAACAAAGAAATGGTATGAAACTGCCATTTTGAAAACTTAGTTTTCACCAATTTTTTTTGGGTTGCATTAAAAACATCACCCTGTATATAACTTATGGTTTGATTAGGGGTTTCCTCACAAAATATTGTTCTCAAGAAACTGGGGAAAAACTGCAGAAATAGCACCCAGAAAATGCCCTACTTAGTCTATTGTCCAGTGAAAAACTCTTCCGCAGAGCTGAGATTTTTAGCTCCGAAAAGAATAAAACATGTGACCATGTACCTCTACACTACCATGTATCTCTACCATGTAGTACTACACTAGAACTACAATATGAACTAAACCAATAAATTGACTTTTTTTTTCACTGAACATGGTAATATAAAACTTACCACAAATTTTGCAAGGGGTTGAGTTTGCTATAAAAAAGTTTAGAAAAAAACTATTATTTTAGGTACAATCACTTTTGTGTGGTTAAACACATCATTTTGAGTTTTCTTTAGATTTCCAGATAACATTGACATAATATTCAACAGTCAACGTTCAAATTAACTGACAACATGGTAGAATTCCTAGTCAATAGGTTAACAGTTTCAAAATGTGCAACCGTTTCCCCAAATTCAATTGATTTAAAAATTCACAATTCTACATTGGATTTTTTTTTAAGAGACAATAATTATTATATTTAGAAAAAAAAAATACAAAAACAATTCATAATGAATCAGTTGCTCACTGAGTTTTTAACATCCCAAAAAGGATATGGTATTGGTATTTCAAAATCTGTTGACACAAGTAAATGACAACACAAGACCCTCATAGATTTCAAATCACTTAAAAGGTCAGTGCCAACCTGCAAGCAAAACCAACAGAAAATAAGTCAAAAACCAAAACCAGTCCGGACTGAGGGAAACAGATGGCCGAGCCTCTGGTTGCAACCTTTGTCTTTTTCTTTGGCAGAGGACCGAGACCGGTCTATGCGACCAGACCATCCTTAGAGAGTTCACTGTCAAGGACATACAACCACATAGCCACGTTCCCAGGGTTTAGATAATTTGCTAATGGTTCAGCTGATACTTTGTTAGGATAGCACCAGGGTTTAGATAATTTGCTAATAGTTCAGCTGATACTTTGTTAGGACAGCACCAGGGTTTAGATAATTTGCTAATGGTTCAGCTGATACTTTGTTAGGACAGTCCCAGGGTTTAGATAATTTGCTAATGGATCAGCTGATACTTTGTTAGGACAGCACCAGGGTTTAGATAATTTGCTAATGGTTCAGCTGATACTTTGTTAGGACAGTCCCAGGGTTTAGATAATTTGCTAATGGATCAGCTGATACTTTGTTAGAACAGCACCAGGGTTTAGATAATTTGCTAATGGTTCAGCTGATACTTTGTTAGGACAGCACCAGGGTTTAGATAATTTGCTAATGGTTCAGCTGATACTTTGTTAGGACAGCACCAGAGTTTAGCTAATTTGCTAATGAAATGGTTCAGCTGATACTTTGTTAGGACAGTCACAGGGTTTAGATAATTTGCTAATTGTTCAGCTAATACTTTGTTAGGATAGTCCCATGGATAAATTTATAATAGATCAGCTGGTATTTTTTTTACACAGTCCTAGGGTTTAGATAATTTTCTAATGGTTCAAGATTCAAGATTCAAGATTCAAATAGTCTTTATTCAATATATAACATATTTGAAACATACATGTATCTGAATAGAGTCAAAATCTATATACAAATCATACACATTAAAACATAGATCTACGCAAATGTCCATTATGAAAAATAAATGGAAATTCAAATGAAATATTTTGTTTTATCTACAAATTCTTGTAATGAATAAAAAGGATTTTTTACGAAGAAATCTTTTAAAAGTTTTTTGAATTTTTTGAAATTTGTCTCCTGCCGGATGTTTATTGGTAAATATTGTAAAAATTTCAATCCTGCATAGGTGATTTTCTTTGTATAATATTCTAATTTATGCTGAGGCAATCTAATTTTTAACCTAGTATTATAGTTATGCCCGGGATTGGAGGGTGTTGTTAGTTCCTTTTGTTTCAAAAAGATTATGGTTTCAAGAATATATAAATTATACACAGTTAAAATGTCCAATTTACGAAAAAGATTCTTCACTGAGATGTTTTTCCGTAATTTCATAATAGTGCGAATTGCTCTTTTTTGCTGTTTAAGTACTTTATCAAGATTTGATTTTGTTGTTCCACCATAGACTGTGATTCCGTATGAAATGTGGGATTGAACTAATGAATAATAAATAATTTTTAAAGTTTCCAAATCACAGACTCTGGACATCTGTCTCAGAGCATAGATACCAGAAGATAATTTGTTTACTAGGTGATTGATGTGATCATCCATGAGAGATTTTCATCAATGATTAAACCAAGAAATTTAGTTAGGCCCACTTGATCTATTCTATCTGATTTTAAGAAAATATTTGGCTCGAATTTGACTTTTGATTGTTTGGTTGAAAATGATATTAGGTTTGTTTTCTTTTTATTTACTAATAGATTTTTTTGATCAAGGAACTCATGGATAAACTGAACTGTTTTATTCAAAGATTTTTCCACATAATCATGCGACTTTCCTGAAAACAGAATATTACAGTCATCAGCATACAGACACATTGATGCATCGGGCCCAGGGATCATCTCCGGCATGCCTCTTATGTAGCAAAGAAAGAGCAGAGGGCCTAAGATTGACCCCTGGGGAACCCCGTAACGCAGTGTCTGACACTGAGACCTGGATTTTTCAAGGTATCGAGCCCTATCACTCTCGACAATATAATCAACTTCAACAAACTGTTCTCTGTTGTCTAAATATGAAGAACCCTACTTTTGTGGTTCAGTTGATACTTTGTTAGAACAGTCCCAGGGTTTAGATAATTTGCTAATGGTTCAGCTGATACTTTGTTAAGACAGCACCAGGGTTTAGATAATTTGCTAATGGTTCAGCTGATACTTTGTTAGAACAGTCACAGGGTTAAAATTAATAAATAAAAATAAACATTTTACTATACAAATTTTATTTACACACAAGTTGGTAACAAAGTATAAGGCACCTGAGTTCAAAGGTTACTAATAGACAAACCTCAAAGAAAGTAGGTTATACATAATATTATAAATACAAATTATAAATTCTAAGTACAGTACAGTAATATAAAGAAGTACAGTTAAAAGGTCAATTTTCATAAAAATGTCTACAAGCCTTGTATGATCTAACTCAACCAAATACTTCAAAAAGGTTTTAAGTTGAAAGTAAACACAAATGTTGGTACAGTATTTTGTTCTAAACTCTTTTTTACATTTTGAGAATTGTTATTGTATGTGCGTGCAAAATATAATTAACAAAACAGTCATGTAGCTAGGTGAACACTAGTGAATTAAACATTTTATATTACTTTTTTCTTCAAAATACATTCTCAACACCAATTCATCCTAACTACGTCAACTATATATTTAAAAATCTCAGACACAATCCATAGAGATCTTCCACAATGAACAGTATAGTGGACGACACACATAATAAAAGTTGGATGTAAAATACACAGACGTGTCACTCTGAATAGTTATTTGTGCAACTAGTGAGAAAAGTGAGCAATTGACTCACTCGAGAGAAATCCTTACTCACGAGCCGTAGGCGAGTGAGGAATGGTTTCTCGAGTGAGGCAATTGTACTTTGAACTCGAGTTGATCATTATACTTTTCCTACAGTTACCATAAAACAAATAAATTTGTGAAGAAACATAAGCTATTTTTACACAAAATTGAACTTTTAATATAACATTTAATGTGAAGTGACAAATACAACAGTACAACAGCTGATTTACAGCCAGTGCTGCCAACGTATTTCGCGCGCATACGACGTTGCCTGCAGGTTACGCGCTCACTATTTCGTGCCTATATTGTGGAATCAGTTATAGAAATTATTAATAATTCCTATGGATAAATTATAGCAGGAAGGAACAGGTGTTGCATTTATTTCCAGATTAGTAAGGCCGGCCACACACAGAACCAGGCAAGGCGGGGCGCGACAGGGCATTTTGCCCCGGGGCGTCTTGTGCGACGGGAATTGCCTGGGCGCTTATGGAGCTCCACACACACAGGACCAGGCGAGGCAGGGCACGTCGAAAAGACGCCCCCGGGCGCCCTCAGGGCAAAATGCGAAGGTCTCCAAAATTATGCCCCGAGGCAAGTCGCTGCCGGGCAAAACTTTCTGCGCATGCACGGTCATCTGATTTATTCCCTTACGGGCTAATTTTGATAAGGATTATTTTACAACTGATACAATTTATATACAAGACTGTAACAATTTATACGACCAAAGATTACACCCTTTGATAAGACTAAGCAGTGATGATATGACTACAGTGGTTGAATAACTAATAATTTATCTTGGTATTGATAACTGAGGAAAGAGAGGGCCAACGTTCATATCTTAAGGGTTTCAAAAACCACTCCTCTGGAGGTATGACTTTGAATTTTGTTTTCTATTCTGCTCCCAAGTATAAAGTCAAATTTAAAAGTTGGCTAAATCGGCTCAAGGCTCAGAAATAAAAAATCCTATATTAATTTTCAGGTTTATGGGGGTTAAACTTTTTACTTAACGTGCCCTGCCTCATTCTGTGTGTGACAGCAACAAGACAGAGCGTCTCGTCGTGCCCTGTCGCGCCCCGACCCGCCTGGTTCTGTGTGTGGCCGGCCTAAGAGTAAGTATAGTATAATATTTTTTGGACTGATAAGAACAGGTGTGTTTAGTTTTTTCATTGTGTTTTTGTATATTGTTTTTTAGATTATGTAATACTGTATATCAAATTTAATAAATGTGGAGAAAAAAACTATAGTTAGTAGGTAGGTTAGGATGGATTTAGGTAAATGTAGGGTAATCGGAGTCACTTAAAAACTAGAGGAGTTTTCTAACCTCACAAAACATAGTGTAGTCAAACCTCTTAGTATAGGAAAAGTCCATAAACTAAAACTAAAAAAAACAGAAAAGAATTTAAAAAACCCATTGAACTAGAGAAACTCTACCACCCAAAATTAACGAGGATCAATATAAGAGTGCATTTGAAACAAAACGCCTGGATAAATACAAGTGTACATACTCAAGATTATCAATTAGCAAATGTTAAAGTCACAGCTTTCGCTTATTATCACAGATGAATCCAAAACCGTATCCGACCATAATCCAATCATTATCTGTTCTTGGCCATACCGAGCTTAACTAATCTAAGTCATAGTCTAAATAATCACACTCACATTCACAAATCTCATTCACACAATCAAATGGATAATGCAACCGCTAAAATATATAAATAGTATAACATACACATATTGTTAAAGTTGGTTTTACAATACAACTTCCGTCTTGTTTAAAGGCTAAAGCATGAGTAATGGGGAATATTTTGAAGACAAATAATAACAGTTTTAGCATGGACCTCAACTAATAATGAAGAAGCAACAATTTAATGCAATGCCAATTAAAAGTATTACGATTAATTATTTTCATCAACATTACTTCAACAAGGCAAGAATAAATTTATTGCTAAAAAAATACAATGGTTTCATAATAAAGATTACCTTAACTTCAAATCCTGAAATCTTTTGCTTCTAGTGGATGTGGATCTTACTATTGCCAAACACTTGGATAATTGATTAAGCTAAAATACAATAAACTAGAAGTATAATAAATACATGCTCTTGATTGTGCCTCCTTAGAATGATTTTAGTTTGCCAACAATCCAACTAATGAAACATATTTTATACCGGAAACATTGTAGTTTAAAATGCAGCTACAGTAGAATATTACAAAATACAATATACTATCACTAATTTTATAAAGCCTGTTTGACGTCTTAGAGGTTAATGTCAAATGTTTAAAAATAGTCCAATACGTAAGAGAAAACATTCTTGACGATATACCCTTAAACAATTAAAAATATGTTTTGAATAGTTTAAAACTAGGTTTAGTCAGTAGCTAGGTAGTCAATCACCCACGAAACCGCTGTAGTGGGCTCCGGTGTTAAAATTTTCTTGTAATCTTCTCTCTATAAAATAAACACATTACCCGGGTAGGAAATGAGAAAAGTTTACAAGCATAAACTTATCAGGATTATCTATCTAAACTTTTCTATTCTAATATAAATTATGATTAAAGTATCCTATTTGATTCATGAAAAATTAGGAGACAAAGGACTGGATAAGCAGGCTTACCATAAAAATTGTAGGCATCCCACTTTACAAAAGCAACACAAAGGAAAAACTAAATAGGCATATTTCGAGACCAATGGCCCATTTTTCATTATTGAGAGTCACCAGATTCAGGGCCGGTTCTAGGAATTTTTCAGAGTTAAGCGAACACCCGAATCAGCGCCACTTAGAATCCCCCTTACCACCCCACCCACCCCACCCACTCACCCCTCAACCCATGAACATTACTTAGGTGGCGAGGACTATAACTCCATTTTTTGTGAATTTTTTCCCAAAGATTTTGGGAAGAAAGTTCAGGTTAGAAGAATACTTGCAATAAAAGACTGTTTATTATTCCCAAAAATTTAACATTTTTACGCTTTTACTCATCATATAAACTTTAGCAAAAACCAAGGCCACACTAAAAAAACAGTCCGAAATGCTCATCAAGCATAACGTCACGATAGAAGACGGCAATGACGTAATGTTTGCCGTCTGTGTTCAGCTGCTTGATTTAATCTTTCCTTGGAAAATAAATAAATAAATACCTACGTCATTGCCGTCTTCTATCGTGACGTCATGCTTGACGAGCATCACGGCCTAAGTTAACAATTTATTTCTAAATGTGAAAACAATTTTTACAGGATAACTTGGATACGATATAAGTTTTTATAAAGCCTATTACAATGAAAAACAGCTGTAGGTAGATGACAAGAGAGGAATTTTTAATTAAACACATTAAACATGTAGAAAACATGAAAAACCAAATTTGTTACCTTGACAAAAAGAATACAACATTTTCAATTTGAACAGTTCAAAAGCTCTTAGTCTTAGCAGTTAAAAATTAACTCTCCTAGCTTTGATCGTGGCAAATTCTTTAATTGCTGAGTTGGTATCAATCTGGTTCAGAACAGGTGTACGTATACAACTAAAAGAGTGCAATACAATACAACGTAATGCTCTGCTCTAGGAGGGGAGAGTTATCATAAGTAGAAGGGAGGGAAGGGAGGGGGAAGTTTCTTGTTGTGACAAGTGGCGCTGCGCGCTTGCTTATCTTGAGCATGAGACATGAAATGAAACCCAAAGGCGCTGTACGCTGCCGAGCGTCAGCTCACTACAAATCGAAACTGCAAATGGCACTAAGTCCTTGAGTTGTAGTGCTGTAGAAATATACACATTTTTCAAGTGCTGTTGGTACAAACAGAATAAATGCCTTTATTGTGGTGCTTTGAATACTTAAACTCTGAGCAAAAATAAACAAAATTACGTTGTTAAATAAAAAAATAAAAAAAAATTTTTCCGTCTATGCAGCCACGTAGTTCGCGTATGGGTTAAACCGGCCCTGACCAGATTCTCATGTAAATAAATAACTTCTTGATCAGCATTGTACGTGTTATTAAATCTACGGAAAGTAAATAAAAGCAACGTCTATAACACTTAAAACATTACGCTTATACTGTTACTCACAAGACGGTAAATATACATAAAAGATAGTAAGTGGTGATAGATTTCAATTGGCACTCCAATCGTCATCAGACCCAATAGGCGAATGACGGAATATTGTAATCAATTACTAATTACATAGGAACCAAAAGACCCTTATTTGTAAATTTTCATAAGAAAATTCATACTGTGTTGGCAACAATAATTCCTTTACCAATGAAGGACAGAATCTAGTGACTCTCAATGTTGAAAAAGGGGGCCAGTGGCATGAAATATTCAGTTTTTATTTTGTGTTGCTTTTGTGAACTGGGATGCCAAAATTTTTCAAGGTTGGCCTCCTCATCTTGTCTTTGTCTCTTTATTTCTCAGGCAATAAGCCCTTTCCAATCAAACCTACATATAATTCATAAGTATTTAAGGTTAGCCATAGAAAAAGAGAGGGCATAGGCCCTAGTTGAAAAAAATTGTTATCTGATTTTGATTGCTAAATTTGTAAGTGTTTAGTTAATGTAAAATCAAATATAAGTCAAATATATTAGTGGCCCAGTAACCCACCTTATACCTTCTTATCCTATGGAATATCCCTTTTAATGAGAACTTGATTTATTTGTATGCAGTTTAAATTGTCTTTTATAGTGTCAGTAGCTCACAAAAATTGTCAACCAAAACAGAATAACGGGTGCGTTCACAAAGAAAGCTGGTTACAAGCGCTTGTTGGCAAGCGCTTGCAAGCTCGAATCGGCGTGAGAAAAGTCAACATAGTATCAAGCGTGTGCGTTCACAGACAAAGCTTGTGCCGGCTAGCAAGCGCTTGTTACAAGCTCTGACAAGCACGCAAGAACGTTTCGTACTTGTTTTCCGGCGCTTGTTGACCGAACCAGTCAGTTACAAACTACTCACAGTGCAGTAGGATGTCGATTAGTTGATACTTCAAGTGTTTAGAGCTTCCAATTTCCAAAAAATATATTACCCGTATTGTGGTTTTTCTCTAGAATGTTCAATAACGTAACCAATAGGACAAATATAAAATACATGTATTAAGATGACATACACATTTAATTCCATATTAATTAAGTGTTGGATTTTTAATGGATAAAACTTGTATACTTTTACTTTATTTACCTTGAAAATTAAAACATTTGAATATGTCATAGTATTATTTGCATCATAACTAATCAGCTACATAGGGCGTTTAAAACTCCCTTCGAGTATTTTTAGGTTTTATTATTGGTACAAAATTCGTTCTGGTGCACGGATATGTTGCTTATGCCAATTCCCCCAAAACTTTACTAAAACACTTTCAATTTTCTTGAGGATGTAATTAAACGTCGTCAACTCCATTCTCATATAAGAACCATTCTCATATAAGAAAAAAAACTCACTTTGACCAATTTCAATTGACGAAATAGATGGTGGTGGTATTCCCCGAACCTACCTCTTTCGCGGTTAATTGCATGAACACCTACTTTACTTTTACGAATTTTTAATTCTGCATTTTCAATAAAAAACAACTCTTCATCACTTGAGGAAGATATTGTCTCAACCAGAGCTGCAGCTGAGACTACACTGAGCTTGAAATGCAAGCGTTTGTTGTGAACACACAACAGCATTCTCAAGCGCTTGGAACAAGCGCTGAAAGTAAGTTACTTGTAACCAGCTTTCTTTGTGAACTCACCCTAACCCAGATTCTTCTTTGAACAGATATTTTATACTCCTATTTACCCAAGAATGGTTCCTAAACTTCAAGAAAGGAGATTGGGTTTCTCTACAAGTTCTATCTTGTTTAAAGGTCAAAGCATGAGTAATGGGGATATTTTGTAGACAAATAATAAAAGTTATAGGAGTTTTCTTTTAGTCATGGACCTAAACTAAAAATAAAGAAGCAACAATTGAATGCTAAGCCAATTAAAATAACAACCAAACAAAAACTAACATATTTTTTGTATAAAGATTAATTACTTTTGTAAACATTACATAATAAGGCAAGTATCATTAATTCATAATTTTGTATTCTACTATTTTTTGTATTTTATAAGCGTAAATATAATTTGTCAATTTGTTATTAGTGTAAACTGTATTTCTTGAACAAATAAAGATATTTTGAAATTTAAATTTAATTGAATAGCAGTTTTTAAATACTACACCTTTTTTATTCAGATATTTAATCTAGGCCTACAGTAGTTCTTCTGCACTCATAGAGCTAATACTCCTTACATTAGACACATGATCATTTTGTTGTTAGTAATACTCTACTCATCATTGTAGCTTCAGCAAAATGGTATTTATTATGACGCAATACTCACGTTTCAGCAGCGTTTGCTCTTTGCTGGTGACGAACATGAACGCGGCTAAGTAGAAGACAAACGGCAAACACGTGAACACGCAGGACGATACCAGAAACAACCACTCAGGCTGTTTGCGTTCCAGACAGCACTTAAGTTCCGAACTCCACATCGCTCTGGTAAGATTCATCATGTCCACTATATCCATGCAGAAGCCTTCGTTCTTTAGCGAATCGTAGTGAGAATTCAGGTCCTGATAGAATTGCTGGAAGGGCGAAAATATATAAAAAAAACAGGCAACTTTGAGGTAGGAGTGGATTTAACATGATTTACAGGTCAAATTTGCAGTTTAATTGGTTATGGATAATTATTTACTTGATGTGTTAGGACCATATTGATATATCAGCGCTAAGTTTAGTGACACGGTGTATTCAATGACTTGATGGTGTTGGTTCATTAGGGCAATGGTACATCCATAGTCCAGGTTACACAATAAAGGCGCGTTTACACGTAGCTAGTTTACTAGCAGCTAATATTCGCTATTAGCACTAGCTGGGCACACTAACGCAATAATGCCCATCTACACGTGGCTAGTTATTAGCGCTAGTCATGTAGAAGTGAAGTGTTTATTCGTTAATTTGCACAAAATGTCTTCGGTTCTTTAAATTAAAATATTTTGAGACAAATTTTAGGAATTGGCTAGAATTGTGTGAACATGAACTTAATAAAGAAACAAACTTTGTGGGTTCGATATTTGTAAAAACTGCAAGACCCGGTCAGCGTTCCACTTCAGTTCACTCATTTTAACAACCACTTTTAACTTGACAGACAAACAACAACCGTACTGGCACTGGCGTGTGGCGAATGGCAATTAGCACTAGCAGAGGTGCAAACACCCCGCTAGTCGCGTGCTAATTTGCTAGCGCTAGTGGTCACGTGATTACCCCCTCTACTTATTAGCGCATGAATTATTATCAAACAGGTTCAAAGCGACTAGCAGCGAGTAAAATGCTAGCGCGCTAGTAATTATTTTCGCTAATGGAGCATTTACACAGGGCTAATTTATTAGCGGCTAATATTAGCCTCGTGTACACGGGCCTTAAAGACCACTTGATAAGGATGGGCAATATGCTTGGGTTCTGATGGTTTAGTAAAGAAAAAACACATTTGATTAAACACTTGTAAGTATGTTTTTGGAATGAGAATACCAGTATGTTATTTGCTATTATAGATTTCATAACTGTGTTTTCAAAATGTGTAAAAATACACCCATGCCATATAACTGGATTGTGACCAGTGTGGAAATAAGTGAATAACGCAACAACATTGGTATTAACATGCACTTCAGCCATGCGTGGCTCATGCTGCGTTTGTAGTGGTTTGTATAACCTGGAAATTTAGCGCCCTGTTTCCTGTGAGGGACAAATGCGCCGCAATAATGTCGCATGTGATGCTGTGCTGTCAGATGCTGTGGTTGAGCCTGGTTGACACCCAGCGATCCAACAATTGATTCGTTAGGGCATTTGACTCCTGGTTGGTGATTGGCTGGATTAGAACCAAAGTCACCAGGCCAGCAGAGTTGTGTTCTAGCCAATGAACAAGCCACACCCAATAATGACATTAACTCATATGAACTAATGCTTCAAATGTTGGTTGCTTCCAAGGTGTCATCTAATTTGTAAGAATGTAATAAATTTGGGAACGTAGATATACGTCAGACGATACAATGTGGCTCTCCCAAAACATAACGAGGTATAAGTTACAGTAGCTTATTTTTTGGGGGGGAGGGGGCGGAGGTTAAGGGTATTCCTCTACCCCTAGCTACTTTGGCCTGTTGAACTATTGTAGCACCACTCAACTCAGTCTGAAAATCCTAGGCTTTTGGCATAGCCTAGGAGCTGTGAGACTCCCAATTTCTTCATCTCTATAGGTTCCATTGCGGCCTTCCCAGATATTTCAAACTTTTTTGGACCAACACTGGACAGTCCAGCCATAAGTGTTCAGAGGTTTCAACCTTGTTTTTGCAGAACCTGCATTGGTCTGTCTTTCATTGAGGGGTCTATAAGTGTTTTTGAAGAGTCATTCCATGTCAAATCACCCGGGTCATGAAACCCACCATCTCAGAATTTGATGAAACTTTGTGAAAATGTTCATTCCTATGCCCTAAGTAAAAATACAAAAAATTTCGAAGCTACTGCTGATACTTTTTTTTATATTAATTTTTTTGCGATACGCCGTTTTTACCATTTCAGGCCTCGGAATCGACAACCAAATGTAGCCTGGGTGACCAAAAAATTTAATTATTCACAAACCATTTAAGATAACACTTTCAAATTTTTAAGGCATGTTTCCTATGTCTTGAACATAAATAAAACGATATATAGGTCACTCTAGAGTATAATAAAAAAATTATAAAATTATTATATATTTTAATTTAATTTTTTCAAATTTGACCGTCATGGATTGTGAAAAACGGCTATAACTTTTTTCTCCAACCAGCTAGAACAATTATTTTTTTTGCAGAATTTTCCTTAAGCTATTACCTGTTTGAAAATATAAAGATATTAGTGGTTTTCTATGTACAGATATTGGAAAAAAATAGTTTTATTAAAATATTAATTGACGCTAAAAATTTAGTAACATATATTTTGTATCTTATAAAAAAAATAATTACAAGAATTTGTAGTTATGAAAGCATAATTCACATAAGTCCTGTAGTTCTATGACAATAATAAATTAAATTTTTGAAGATTACTTGATATTTTCTTAAACAAATTTAAAGCTAAAAGCTTTTGAGCGGTATACCTTGAAATGGTTGTAACAAAATAGTTTAGTGTTTTTTTTTATTATTGGCTAATTTACAGCTTGAGTAAATTTTATGGCATGAGAGATTAGTCACATGACATAGTTATTTTGATTTGAAGTCCTTCCTGACTAGTAGCCATTTGTTCAGGTTTGATTCAGCCAGCTTTAAGTCCTTGGTTGTAAAGCTCGTTGAAGGCTTACTTTTCTATGTGTGCTTTTTATGGTACCTCCAAGACCATCTCAGGTTGACTTACCACAGCTTGTGGCATAAAAGGAGTGCTTAGCATTAATCCATGCTCATATATATTTTTTAAGTTTTTCCTGTTTTTATATTGCCCGTCACATCCATCTGTAAAATAGTGCACCTTTGTGACGGATGGAAAACTGTCTTTCAGCCATTTCATTAGTTTTATTTGGATGACATTAACAAAAGAGACATCACGATCCAAGTAATCACTAATAAAACAGTGGTTTGAAACCTTTAGTTCCCCCTCACTCCCGAAATAAACACATACGGGACGAAGTGAACAACCGCCTCTTGACCAGTGATAGCTCTGAATCTTAATTTTATTTTGAATCACAAAACAATAGTTCTCACTAAAGTCCAACAGTATTACTGCATCATTAGGAGAAAGGTTTTCTTTAAGATGTTTTAAAGATTTAGCTTGGGATTTTGCCATTAGTACTTTGCTCTTGTGAGGAATACGTCAGATGAATATGAAGACGCTGAACTAGTGTTCATGCATCCATATGGTGCTAATAAATCATTTTACTGGCCACAAAGAGAAAGATTCCTTTTTCATCCCTTTTAGTAACATTGTATGTTCAGTTGGTGCTCCACAAGCAAGTTCTACAGGTAGAACTTATTACTTTACAACCAAGGATTTAGAGCTGGCTGAATCAAGCCTGAACAAATGGCATGCTAGTCAGGAAGGACTACAATTTGAGTAAATTTTATAGCATGAGAGATTACACACATACATAGTTATTTTGATTAGGCAGAATTTTGAAGTTATAACCAAATTTTAAAGTTCGAAGTTTGTAACTAAAGGTTTAAAATCACTGTGTAAAATCAAGGTAGTGATGACTTGGATCGTGATGTCTCTTTTGTTAGTGCCATCCAAATAAAACTAATGAAATGGCTGAAAGACAGTTTTCCATCAGTCAAAAAGGTGCACTATTCTACGGATGGATGTGACGGGCAATATAAAAACAGGAAAAACTTAAAAAATATATATGAGCATGAAAACGATTTTGGGATTAATGCTAAGCACTCCTTTTATGCCACAAGCTGTGGTAAGTCAACCTGAGATGGTCTTGGAGGTACCATAAAAAGCACACACAGAAAAGTAAGCCTTCAGCGAGCTTTACAACCAAGGACTTAGAGCTGGCTGAATCAAACCTGAAAAAATGGCTACTAGTCAGGAAGGACTTCAAATCAAAATAACTATGTCATGTGACTAATCTCTCATGCCATAAAATTTACTCAAGCTGTAAATTAGCCAATAATAAAAAAAACATTAAACTATTTTGTTACAACCATTTCAAGGTATACCGCTCAAAAGCTTTTAGCTTTAAATTTGTTTAAGAAAATATCAAGTAATCTTCAAAAATTTAATTTATTATTGTCATAGAACTACAGGACTTATGTGAATTATGCTTTCATAACTGCAAATTCTTGTAATTATTTTTTTTATAAGATACAAAATATATGTTACTAAATTTTTAGCGTTAATTAATATTTTAATAAAACTATTTTTTTCCAATATCTGTATATAAAAAACCACTAATATCTTTATATTTTCAAACAGGTAATAGCTTAAGGAAAATTCTGCAAAAAAAATAATTGTTCTAGCTGGTTGGAGAAAAAAGTTATAGCCGTTTTTCATAATCCATGACGGTCAAATTTGAAAAAATTAAATTAAAATTTATAATAATTTTATAATTTTTTTATTATACTCTAGAGTGACCTATATATTGTTTTATTTATGTTAGAGATGTGCGAGCACAGGTTTTTCAGGTCGAGTCGAGTTCGAGTCGAGTAATTGGCAAAAGATTCGAGTCTCGAGTTCGAGTCGAGTTTAAACCCAAAAGATCGAAGAATGTGTAAGTTTAAGTAACTCCTTAGGCCTAGAGCATGTAACTTTTAAAACAACCTTGTTACAAGCTGAAATATGATTATAAATAAATTAATTATTAATATTTGTGCAGTAACATATCAATATAATGCATAGAAAATAATTTTAAAACAACAACAATAGAGCTCATAAATGAACTTCTACTTCTGTGAAAAATAGGTAAGTGAGCATATATTTATTTATCCACAAATTAAATACAATAATCCCTATTGATAAGTAATATTGCATAATACTTGGCTAAAATTACTTAATACTTGCATCTATTAGTTATTAAGGTTGCAATTACAATAATAAGTTTAATAAAGAGATTTATTCTAAAACTTGAAATTTTATTTCCTACCTTTTCACCTTTAGTTTTGTAAGTTTATTACCATTATTCTTTTAGTTGGTGTGGTTTTTGTAACAGTAGGCCTACAAAATTTCCAATGGTTTGACAGTGGGTAAAGTAAAAATAAATTTTGAAATAAAGAAAAATAAATTTTTTAATCTTGTATGTTAATTGTAAACAAACATTCTGTCAAAATACTCAAAATATATGTTAAAAATAAAGTACAAATAGGCCTACAAGTAGTCTACCTTACTGATAAACAAAACAATTGTAGATTGAAAACTGTACTGAATAATGTAATAGGCTCATACAATAGTAGTTATAGAAATCAAATGAAACCTAGACTTAGGCCTAACTCACTATAATCAATTGTATTCCATGCACATTAACCACATTAATGCAAGTTGTCATGAAGGAAAACAAACTATGTACCTAATCTAGAAGGCCAAGTGCTAGCACTTAATTATTTTGAGATATTTGTAAGCTTTTTTTAGGAGTGCTACTATTGTCTTTATGAATGAATTCATACTTATTTATGAGTTATCTAATGTTTTACAAGTTTACAGAATAATTATTTTCAACCACGGTAGCATCAATTTATAATTATCAACTTATAACAGATGCGTTAAGAAGGTCAATGACCCAAAACATCATGATTGTGCAATGTTGTATTTTGACATAAAAATGTAAATCATGGTATTAACTCTAATTTGAATATTTCTCCTGGTCCCTTGCAGATTGTATTTTCAATGCTAAATAATTAATTGTGGTCAATTCAAGTCAAACCAGGCAAGGAAAAAACCTGCTATTGTAATCCCTCTGCCCCTACCCAGCCATTTCGGAAGTGGTGAAAGTCTAGTCTGGTCTAAATATAGCTCCAAGGTCTTACCCTCCCCTTCCCCCCAACCCCCTACACCACTCGCCGGCTCAGTTGCAGTTCGAGGTCATTGCACAACCCCTCCCTCCCTTCTATTGTTTTGCCTTTTGTAGTGTTTCTATTCTTTTTAAAACTTAACTGACTTTTTTAAACATAGATTTATTGGTTGTAACAGTTCAGTAGTGGAATTTTCTATTGTGAAACAGTACTTTAAAACAAAATCACTACCGATCATGTCATTCAGTGTCAAGTCCAGCCAGATTATGCCATTGCCATTGCCAGTCAGTCGCCGGCGACTGCTTTGAGTTGACCTATTCTGTTGTGACAGCTATAAAAATAGGTTAGGACAACTACCTCTTGCTTATTTCTACACTGTAGAAATATTTGTATTACTGTAGAATCTATAGTAATACAAATTATAAAGCATTTTATGTAAACACAAGTTACATTTTAACAAATATTGATTTTTTACAATTTTAAACCAAACTCGACTCGAAACTGCCGAGTTCAAAGATAAGCTCGAGTTTCAAGGCCGTACTCGACTCGAACTCGTAATCTCGAGTACTCGCACATCTCTAATTTATGTTCAAGACATAGGAAACATGCCTTAAAAATTTGAAAGTGTTATCTTAAATGGTTTGTGAATAATTAAATTTTTTGGTCGCCCAGGCTACATTTGGTTGTCGATTCCGAGGCCTGAAATGGTCAAAACGGTGTATCGGAAAAAAATTAATATAAAAAAAGTATCAGCAGTATCTTCAAAATTTTTTGTATTTTTACTTAGGGTATAGGAATGAACATTTTCACAAAGTTTCATCAAATTCTGAGATGGTGGGTTTCATAACCTAAATTTTTTGGGTGATTTGACGTGGAATGACTCTGAAGTCCTTAGAAGCTTATCAGACAATGTTAAAATTAGCATGTACCAACTATGCACTGGTTGACCAAATTAGGTCTTAATCTTAATGGAAATATTGATTAAAACTCATGGACTTAGCTTGTTGTTATGATAACAAATAAAGTGCAAGGTAAGAATAATAGATAACAGGGAAGACTTTTGTACTTTACCAGAGATAAGTTACACAACTAAAAGTCTCAATGTGATAAATAGGGTTACATACCTTATAATGCGACAAACAGTTTTATGACACAGTTGTTTACATATTTCGGCTTGTATCCGCCATTGTCAAAACGTAGCAGTTGGATGAAGAAATACTTGTCATTGTTAACGGGACGAATACATTTACGAAACAAATAAAAACTAAGAATGGAATAAGAATAAATGCATGGGCAGGACGCGCACCGCCGTGAAAGTCAGGATGTAATTTTCTGTAATGGCGGATGCAAGCGGAAACATATAAACACCTGTGTCATAAATTGAGCTGTTTGTCGGATTATAAGGTATGTAAACCTATTTATCTCATTGAATATAACAGCTAGAATGGAAATGAATTATAACTAAGTCTTTACCTCAGAACCAATTTAACAGTCATACGACAAGTTTGTTTATGGTTTTTTAGTACAGTTCTTTCTTTAAATGTTGACCATATTTAAAAAAAAAGTATCAGTTAACATATAAAGTTATTTTACAACACCTAAAGTTAGCTGTAATACTAACCTTGCACTCTGCGCAGACAGGAGGGTCTCCGCCTCGGGTGGAAGTATCGTTTCTATGCTTATCAATGCAAGAGTATGTTTTATTGCTCAACTCCAAGATCTCCAATGTTTTGTAATTTAATGATTTAGTTGGGTATCCTTGATCGTCCATCTCAAAACAATCTGGAAATTTAGGTAAAATACTTTGACTTTAGAATGTGTAATGTTTTATCAAATTAATTAGTTCATTCAATTCAGATGGAAAAGTAACATTTGTAAAAGTATAACAACTGAACTCCAATAACAACAGAAATAAAACTTCAAGTTTCAAAAAAAAAAAAAAAAAAATAGTAAAACTGTAGTAGTATGTGCTTACCAAAACCAGTCTAATCTTTAAAGAATAGGCAAAGAGAACAAATCTTATCACAGATTGAACATGACAATTCTAACTCCATTTTGGTCAATGCAAATCAGCAAAGCTTATGGTTATTTAAGACTAAATGATGAGTTGGTTTTAGAGAACAAAATGTATAGGATCCAAGAAAGAACTTACTACTACACTTAGCTCGCTTCCAAAGTCCATCTACATAGTCAAATCCAGATTGCACTACTTGTAGTCTATCCAAGTTCATCAGTTTGTCTTTACAAGTGAAGTTATCTGGATCGTAGAGCTGAAAAATTCAAACCTTATCTTACTAAATATTAAAAAATGTGAAAGTTATTCATATTGAGATTCAAACGTGAAATTACTGGGATCAATTGACCTGAATTTTGCAAGATTAGATCCAATACACCACAGATGGACTATAGATAGAATTTGGCAAATTTGTTTATTTCATAGTAAGCTATTGCCATTTTAACAAAAAACACACAATATTACCTTCCTTGTCGCAGCTAATCTAAGTACTTATTGACAACATCATACTCTTATCACCTACGTTTGTTTTACCTATATAGAAAGGTTATGAATTGAAGTTTCTTTTAACTTTTTATTTGCCTGTCCATAAGGACACCTGGCTTGTATGTGGAAGGTAGCATGCAAAGTTAGGGTTGATCTGATAGTAGGCCTAATGGAATGATATCTCACTCTGGCATGGTTTGCAGTTTGTTGAGCTATCAACCAAATAAAGTTGTATAACTAGTACTTATTTACTTACGTTTAAAATATCATTGTGGATTGCTATAACATTTTGGTAATTCCCAACACAAAATTCACATAGCCTGATGGGGCGTGCAAATCGAATAGCACAAAATGTGTAGTTGGCTGAAGCCAAGGCAAAGCTTTCCAGAACTTCTTCACAGGCATCGCCGAACGAGCTGAACCCCCTAAATATGAAAACTAGATCAATGCACAGTAAAGTTTTTCACTTAGGCTAACTAAAATATGAGATGACATGATACCGTACTAACTTGTTCACTGAGGAGTTCACATTGAGAATAAAAATGTAACTTGGGGTAGCATCTAAAAGTATGCAAGTATAAGGAGTTGATGAACTGAGTGACATGCAGCATTTGTTATTAAGCAGAATAAGAACGCAAGGTTAGTGTAGAATCGTGTGAGATGATCTGCTAGCCTTGTTACTAACCAAGATCAGCTGTTTCTTTAGACAAGATCATTCATCAGGGACAGCTTAATTGGTTCAGTGTTTAGAACCATTGAAAATCTATTGACTTTTCTCAGAGCTTAACTTATTTCATTGTGTTTCACCCACTATTTAATTGTGCAAAAAATCTGGAAGTTGCATAAATTAATGAGTCGGTTCATTATAACCTAACCTTTACCTTCCTAATCTAACCTCACTTCAAAGGACTTAATATAGTCACGAATCCGCACAAAGTCCGACCTATCTTCCTCACATGCCTTTTCTGACATAAATTGCGATTTAAACATTAATAGCCGATTAAGGTTGGGTTGGGTTAGGTTAGATTAGATTATGTAACACCATTTATTAGTTGCTGATACATTAAATTATGCACTGTGGCACGTTTTCACTTTTAGACACAATGGGATTATGTACTACTTATGGGATTATGCACTATGGCACGTTCATTAAGACGTTGAGGCATTAGCCAATCCAATGGTTGAGGATTGGAATGAGGACGATGATCATGTCGGCAGTGGCCTAGCTTCTATTACTGATATTTTACGTGAATAAATTCTATTTTGTTTTATATTTTATGTTCATGTGATTAATATTTTATGTATCGTAGTTGATTTATTGTATTTTCTAAACAGCACCAAAGTCCATTTTCTTTGAAAAATCTAGTTATTGCATATTGTAACTCTGATTTTGCTCTCATGGCGTCGTGTGTGGTTTTGTCTGTTTAGTATTGAATGTAAACAACTGACAGCTGTTTCCACTCCACAAACCTTCCACCCCTTTTAGTGTTAATCGCCACTAGAACTTGGACTCGTCCATACCACAAATATGTTCATTTTATGTTGTTTGTTGTTGTTCCGGATCGGTATGACATTCAATTGACAAATATGTTAATAAATCTACAAAACTGAAGCTTAATATTAATTATTTCACTGTACGGCCAGTTAGGAATCTCTCCGACCAAAACTGATTGCATTTTTGGATTCAGCGTTAAAAATACTTTAAGAAGACATATCATATCCCAGTGTAAATACGGTCAATAATTACCAAATAGTAACTTAGGGTACAGTTTCTTAACTGGGCTATGTTAATATCGATTGAAACTATCGATTCGATTAGTAAACCTTCATGCGATTTTTTCACCATCAGCAAGTTTGGTTGGTTAGGTTAGGTTATGATAGTTTAATTTTATAATAGATATATTTAAAAATATCGATTATTAATCACTATTTTCAATTCGATAGTTTCAATCGATATTAGCATAGCCCAGTTAAGAAACTGTAGCCTACCCGTAACTTATAGCTGTGAGGGCCAGTAGAGCAGGCAGGTTACAGGGCAGGTTGCTTGCCTCTAATGTAAGTTATTTCACGCCTTGATTTCAAGTTACCTGAGGCAAGTAAACTACCCGCCAACTGGCCTTGTGTTAACGCGGCTCAAGTTAACTAAAAAAATAGGCCTAGCTTTTAAATGTTGAAGGTTAGGTCTAGGCTACTTACTTTAAGTGGAATTTAGTGCTATTTGAGGTAGCAGATGTGTAGGATACATGGGCAAGAAATAGCACCAATAAAAACCAAGGTTCGGACATACTTAATAATAAGGCCTAGTGCTAAAAAGGCCTTGTTATGATAACCTCACAACACAACAGCAAAGACCTTTTTTAAAATACTTAGACTCCAGCTAAGAAAACTTATCACTACATGTCACGATTATGGTTAGTTATCTAGCTTGAGTCATTATCACATCAAATGAATCATTCATGTATCATAATTTTTCTAGCCTCCAGTTGTGTACAAAAACAAAAACGTCAAAAACGAACATGAACAAGAACAAGAACAACAACAACAACAACTTCAACTGAACTAACACAACCTTGGAGTGGAGAAGAAGAAGCTCAAACTACGAAACGAATTAGTTCGATTCGATTAAACTCGGTTGTTTACTAAACCGTGTCTTTCCGATAAAAATCAAGAATTCTGGCCTACTAAAAAAAATGTTTGAGGAAAAATTAATGCATATGGCAACCACGAATGAGCGATATTTTGATAATCTTAACCCTAGCAGTGGCCAACCGTCGCCTGGTGACGGTATGACGTTGATGCTTAGAATGGCCAATGTCGTCTGGTGACGGTATGGGCCGAAATTTTTTTTAACGGTAAAAAAACACTTACAATCAACTCAGATGAGAATAATATATATACCATTCGAAAGATCACATTCTGAACTTTCATTTGATTAGGCCTACATAAACAAACCCTGTAGCAGGTATATAACAATGTCACGACGATTAGAAATCAAATGAAATTTTGGCGCGGTACGACTTTTGCAGCCGACACTTGGGAACTGGCAAAACACGTCTTGTTTGGCATTACCCTGCTCGGGTAATTTTCGTCTTGGGATTTTGCGGGTGGTACCACTGGATAGCCATTGATTTTATCTTCATTGTGGTAGTGATATTTATAACTAAATATTGATTGCACAATCGGTACGATTTTATGAAAACAGCTGTTTTCGAAATTTCTAACAAATGGCCAACAGTCGTCTGGTGACAGTATGGAAAATACGAATTATATACAGTGAAAGTTATTATTACTAGTCATATAGTATATCATTTTGAAGAGGAAGAAATTTAGATTCAGAGAGTGGCAGCCCTGCACTCAGGGTTATTTCTGTATGCTCGCATGTAGACGACAAGTGAGTCATTAGTGACTGCTTGCTACAGTCTGTCAGCTGTCTTGTATTGCCATTGTTTGTTTGTGTTGTTGCCGGTAATAGTTTTATCCGCGATTTATTACTAAATATGTTATTAGTTCGTAGTGTTAGTGTTAGTGAAGTGTTGTGTGTGTGTATAACAGTAATCTTCATGCATAAATATTACTGAATTGTGTGAAATAGTGTTCATAAAAGGTTGTATTTTGTTAGCATCATGTCCTAAAATGACGATTCTGACATTCAGAGATTGTTGTACCTATATAATGATATACCCAAGGTGTTATACATTTTTATAAAGGTAAATGAATACACTACAACATGTTTATAATGGTTTGGGGGTAAACAATTTTGTAAAAAAGTTATAGCCTATACTAAATAGGCCTACTACTGTATTTTGTTAGCATCATGTTCAAAAATGACGATTCTGACATTCAGAGGTGCTATATATGCTATATAATGATTTACCCAAGGTGTTATACATTTTTATAAAGGTAAATGAATACACTACAACATGTTTATATTGGTTTGGGTGTAAAAAATTTGGTAAAAAAATTATATAGGCTACTAAATACTGTACACTCCATTTTCTCGAAATGCGCAAAAAATTCAAAACGTTTTCAAATTGATACATAATCATAGGTGAAAATAACTTTTTACCATCATACTTATGACTTTTTTGGATTCCTTACTTCATTAGCTTTACAAATATGTAGGCTACATATCATCAGCCTACATAATGTTTCACAACACAAGCAAACACTGTAGGCTATAGTTTACACTTATTTGCGGTTTTGCGGTTATTGTATTATTATGTCCCTATTACGTACCTACAAAAAAAATATTTCTAACATGATATACATTTTTATGTAGGTAATTGAATACACTACAAGATTATTATGTTGGTTTGAAGTAAACAAATTTGGTACAAAAGTTGTATACTAAGTACTGTGAATTTTTTTCTCGAGAAATCGCTAAAATATAAAAACATTATTTTATATACGTATGTTTATAGGTAACAAATTATTTTTACCATAAACTTTATGACTTTTTTTGATTCCTTACTTCATTAGCTTTACAAACATGTATATATCATTATTAGTATACACATATATTATAGAACTTTTTACAACATAAACTAACACTGCACGGCTTTCAATTTTTTCGATTCTCCGTTTGTCATTATATTTCGCCCCAAAAACTTATAAAAAAAAATATTTTCCTAACATGTTATATATTTCTATGTAGGGAATTAGATTGTCTACAAAATGTATATAATGAATTTCCCATAAAAAAATCCGTAGAAAAAAAATGCAGAGGCCGCTTTTGAAATTTCAAAAAAAAATTCAATTTTTTTTTATTTTTTTCACTTTACCGATAAAATACACTGTCTAAATCATTATGATATTACTATTTCTAGATTCTCCTGTTCTCTCCGAACAAAATGAATATGAGGTTGGCTAGGTTTACTTGTACGGTTGAATTTTTACGAATTTTCAAAAAATGGTCTGCAAAATCGCCAAAATGGGTTGGCCATTCCCCACTTCTAACATTGGCCACTGCTAGGGTTAATCTTATTTGCTTGGCTTGGACCAATGATGCTGAAGATTGAAGAACAAGAAGACTAGAGTAGAGTTTTATCCACGGCGACAACACCTGTCACAACGCTGTTACAACACCACTTGCGACGTTGCCAGTTCGAAGGCCGCGGCCTGGAGTTAAAGGCGGCCGTGCCTGTAGTTAAAGGCGGCCGCGGTTTTATCAGACCACTCGAGTGCTCGAATCGTTTTTCGTCCTTTGCAGCCTCGATTCGATAACGATAACACTAAACTAAAGAAAGACTCAAGGTCAAGGACTCAGCTGATGTGTTGTATTGTGTTGTGTGAGTGAGTTACACTTCAGTGTAAACATAACCTCAAATTATATCATCAATATTGTTATTTAGTTTGATTTTAATAGTAGGCCTAGTTTCTACTGTTTCTAGTTTCATTCAGTACTCAAAATTTGTTATAGGCTAGGTTAAATGAAATGTTCGAATTCAAACAACATTTTTATTTTTAGTTTTTGAAAATTGGTTTAACTTAGGCCTATCTATAGGCTAATTATGAAAGGGATGTTTTTTATGAATTCTCTTCTATGGTGATGGTCTAATTAAGTTATGAATTAAAAAAAAACGTTCGTTTCTAGATAATAACATGAAATTAAATATAGGCTACAATTCAGTTTCCTGATGAAGTTTTATTAGGTAGGTATAAATGACCAATTAGTAGCCTATATATTTTTTTGCCAAAACAGTGTAGCCTAGCATAGTCTACAGCAGCAGGATGAAAGTTCTAGAACTCTTCAGTGGCATTGGTGGCATTCACTATGCATTAGAAGGTATGTGAAGTGCAATAAGTAACTTTAACATCTAGGCCCTACTCATTTAATTTGAATTCGTAAACTGATCAACTGATCTTGAGGCTCGATTACACAGGGCAAGTTTACAAGCTAACTTGGTTAGTACGACATAAACTTACCACTCCTAATACTTATTCCTCCAAAATCATCTGGACTAATCCTACTTGTTACTTGTGCACAAGTTGCAGTTAGGCCCACACTTGGGGTAGTTTTACAATCTAAGTTACCTATAAGTTAGGCCCTAGTTTATTTTGCCAAAAATCCGGTGAGTGGCTTGAAGCATTTTTGAAATTGTTTTGTTGTTAAATGCACTACTCCAAATGTGAAAAACCATACGGTAAGGCCTTTTCACACCGGCGTACTGGACGTACTGTACATTTTGTACGTTTTTTTTCAACAAATCGCTGCCCATGTTATCATATGAGCTCGTTCACACCGCGCGTACAGAACGTACTGTACGTACAGTACGTACGCGATGGTTTTGTGTGAATCGCTCGGAGAGCGATTTTTCTAAAACGTACGTGGCGTACATGGGCTCGCGCATGCGCAGTGAACACTTCAAAACCACGTGCTCAGCCAGTGTTACTTGTCTGACTACAAACGAACAAGTGTACGTTTTGGAAGTTTCTGTGCGGTGTGAAAGGATCGCGTACTGGACGTACTGGCCGTACCAAACGTACAGTACGTCCGGTACGCCGGTGTGAAAAGGCCTGTAGCTTATGGGGTAATTATATCGACCTCTGGACCTCACGCGAAATTAAATTTTTTTTTTTCCAAAATGTTCGAAATTTCACGCTGATTTCAAAAATGATTGTCGTTTTTTTCGGAAACGCCCCGTTTTCCCAAAAAATGGGAAAAAACGGGAAAAATATTTTTTTGCTCAAAACCCATGTTGTGGGTACTCAAATTGTGCGGAATTTCATCCTGAACAAGAATATGTAGTTTTTATTACTATCGCTTTTAAGTAAAACATCACCGGACAGGTTACCTAACCTAACATAACCTAACTTAGGTTTAGATTAGGTTAGGTTAGGTTAGTTTAGGTCAGGTTAGGTTGGTTTAGGTTAGGTTGAGTTTCGTTAGGTTAGGTTAAGTTTGGTTAGGTTAGTTTAGGTTAGATTAGGTTAGGTTAGGTTAGGTTAGGTTGAGTTGAGTTTTGTTAACCTTCGAATCTAATCCTGTTTAGATTAGGTTAGGATAGGTTGGTTTAGGTTAGGTTAGGTTAGGTTAGGTTGGTATTTACTCAGGGGAGGTATAGAAGAGGCTACGATGACAGCTGTGGGCTTCTTATTAGCTGAGGGAACGCCATTACCGTAACAAAGCTGTTGATGGCCATCGGCCTCGGTGGTCTAATGGATAGCGTGCCGGGCTGATATGCGGTAGGTCCCGGTTTCGAATCCCGCTAGTAATGTTAACTTTTTGTCCAAGATTTTTTTATTATCAGCAAGTTTGGTTGGTTTTGTTCGGTTATTACGTTTAATTTTATTATTAAGTAATTATAAAATTTTAATTGAGCAATTTCTAGTTTTATTTAATAAACAGAATTATTTTTCCGATTACTAAACTTTTGTTATATTATTTCTTTATCAGCAAGTTTGGTTAGTTCGGTTAGGTTATGATGGTTTAATTTTATAATAAAAAATATTAAAATTGAATTTGAGGCATTTATAATTTTATTTCATGAACAGAACTATTTTTGCGATTAGTAAACCTTCATTGCAAAATGGGCTCTCTACTACAGCGCTGTTCACGGAGGAATTTTGAACTAAATGCCTCATTCGTACCTCCCCTAAGTCAGACCCGGTTAGGTTGGTTTAGGTTAGGTTGAGTTTCGTTAAGTACTGCATGTTACCATGAAAGGTTAAGTTTGGTTAGGTTAGGTTAAGTTAGGTTAGGTTAGGTTAGGTTAGGTTGAGTTTTGTTAGGTTAGGTTAGGTTAAGTTTGGTTAGATTAGGTTAGTGTTACCTAACTTAACCTAACCTAACTTAGGAACTTAGGTTAAGTTAGGTAAATTTATTAATAACATGAGTATTGTAAGTAAACTAACCTAAACTAACCTAATCTAACCAAACTTAACCTAAGCTAACCTAACCTAAACTAACCTATCCTAACCTAACCTAAGTTTCTAAGTTAGGTTAGGTTGGGTTAGTTTATCAATAACATGAGTATTGTAAGTAAACTAACCTAACTTAACCAAACTAACCTAACGAAACTTAACCTTACCTAACCTAACGAAACTCAACCTAACCTAAACCAATCTAACCTAACTTAACTTAACCTGACCTAACCTAAACTAACCTAACCTAACCTAACTTAACCTAACCTAAGCAAACTTAACCTAACCTAACCTAACGAAACTCAACCTAACCTAAACCAACCTAACCTAACTTAACCTAACCTAACCTAAACTAAACTATCCTAACCTAACCTAATCTAAACCTAAATTAGGTTATGTTATGAAATGAAATGAAATGAAATGAAATGATTTATTGTCGTTAAAACTATGTACAAAGTTCATGACAATCGTCAAAATAAAAACAAAACAATCAAAAACAATCAAGATGGCTCTGGCAACTAAAATATCTAAAACTCTAAACCAAAGTACTCTTCATGTTTATACAGGCAAGCCTGGGTTAGAGTAGTTTTTATAGCATGTTTGAATTTTAAAACACACAGGTTTTTGATGGATGCAGGCAAGAAATTGTACATTTTAACACCTTGGTACTCAAAACTATTTTGAGTGGCTGTATACTTATGCCTTAGTGTAGACAGATTATCTTTTGATCTAGTACAGTAGTTGTGCACATCAGATATCTTTTCAAAGTGAGAAATGTTTTCTTTTACATATAACAAACTTGCCAAAACATACAAAGATGGAAATGTGAGAATGTTAAGACCCACAAAAAGGGGCTTACAATGTGTTCTTCTATTCACACTACAAATTAACCTCACCGCCTTCTTTTGTAAAGTAAAGAGCAACCTGTTAGCATAAAAACTGTTGGCCCACAGTGAGGTACCATAGGACAAATAGCTATGAATGTGGCCATAATATATACAAATAAGGACATCAACTGAAACAGTGGATCTAAGTGCTCTTATCATAAATATGCCTTTTACAATCTTAGAAGCTACAAAATCTACATGTGAAAACCACTTCAAGTTTGACTGCAAGTGAAAACCCAAAAACTTCAGAGTGTTTACATCATTACCATTACTGCTAAGACTAATAGTTAGGTCTTGAGTCTTATCAGCATTAAGACATAACTTGTTTGCATTACACCAGTCATTAATAACAGCAGATTTTGTATCCAATGTATCTGTAACGTCATTCAAAGAGTTACCCCGTACACACAAGGCCAAGTCATCAGCAAAAAGAAAGCTTTTTACAGATAAGTCATTAATATTACAAGGTAAGTCATTTATATACAGTATAAACAGGGTAGGGCCCAATATAGAGCCTTGGGGCACTCCGTGGGGCACTCGAACAGGGCTAGAATAAGTGCCGTTTAGATAGACTTTTTGCCATCTGTCACTTAGATAAGATTGAAAGAACATAACCAAAACTGCATCAAGGTTATAGCAAGAAAGCTTATCCACAAGGAGATCATGAGCCACTGTGTCAAAGGCCTTAGACATGTCGTACGATCTAAACACTATGCCACTTTTGGCCTCTAAACTTTGAAAGCAATTTGATATCAGTGCCTGGGTTGCTTGGACAGTGCTGTGTTTGGGCCTAAAGCCAAACTGACTACTTGCTAAAAGGTTACTATCCTCAAGATACTGAGAAAATCTACGATGTACGAGATGTTCCAAGACCTTCGACACTGCAGGGATAATAGATATAGGCCTATAGTTAGCAATAACATTTTTAGGCCCCTTTTTATGGACTGGTATAACCTTAGAAATCTTGAACTTGTTTGGGTAGCAACCTTGTGTTATACAGAGATTAAATAGGTATTTGTTAGGTTGGGTAACCTGTCCGGTGATGTTTTACTTAAAAGCGATCGTAATAAAAACTACATATTCTTGTTCAGGATGAAATTCCGCACAATTTGAGTACCCACAACATGGGTCTTGAGCAAAAAAATATTTTTCCCGTTTTTCCCATTTTTCGGGAAAACGGGGCGTTTCCGAAAAAAACGACAATCATTTTTGAAATCAGCGTGAAATTTCGAACATTTTGGAAAAAAAAATTTTTAATTTCGCGTGAGGTCCGGAGGTCGATATAATTACCGCTTATGGATGTAACATAAACACTAAACAGCCCAGTTCACTACAACCATTGACTTTACATCCAACCTACCTAAGTTATCTAAGGCTACCTAAGTTAATCTAACCTACCTTCTAAGGACTAGTGGAGTAACAAATCAGCATAAAGCCTGGTCTGCCTTCTCCAAATGCCCAAATAAAATCACTCTTGAATTTGTGTTTTTAGATGCATTTTATATTTCGTAATATTGGCACCTTTAAAACTTAATATTTGCCTTTGCATTTGTCTATTGATTGTGTCTCCTCGTTTCTTCACCTCGTCAGTAGGATGACATCACCACAGATCAACAGCAGTGCTCCAATAGGAAGTCATGCGAGAATTTATGGTTTATAAGTCAATGTTTAGGTTGATATTTACTGAATTTCCCTGTTTTGGGAAATATTCCATTCTTCCTAGCTTATTACCCATAAATTACCCTTTTGCCCATGTTATTACCCATTTCTCCCAATGATTAACCACGTTGGAGGTCTACCCCTCCCAAAACCTCGGATTTCCACTGGGTCCCATACTGAGTTCGGGGTATTGCTCATATTTATTTCATCATTAAGTAGGCCTAGTAATAAAAAGAGGTATCGGCACCAAAAAATTTAGATAAGAAAGTTGTAAGTTCATGGCATAGAATTGAATTGATGACATAGAATAGTTTAAAAGTGAATGTAGAACGTTTTAGGTGGGTTCAGGGTCCTAAATAAATAAGTAAAAGAGTGAATTACTTATTTTCAGTGTCAACTTTTTCCAAAGATTTTCTAACTATATAACAAATATGAAGCAAGGTTTTTTATGATTATACTTAATAAACAATAGGCCTACACAAATCTTTATTTCCAGCCAATGGAATCGCCGTTGAAGTTCTTGCTGTTGAAATCAACCCCAATGCCAGTAATGTGTATTTACACAACTTTTCAAACTCTCGTTTACTGCAAAAAAATATCTTATCTTTGGGTGCCATAGAGTTGAATAAGTTCTCCCCCGAAGCTCTACTTATGAGCCCTCCATGTCAGCCTTTCACCAGGTAAGTCTACTTGGTTTTATTAATTTTACAAAATTCAGCTTCTTTTAAGAACTTTTTATTGCAAATAGGTACTATTCTCATCAATCATTGGGGTTTTCATCGCTGCCGTAGTTTGAAACTCCTAACAGTTATTTATTTATTTATTCATATGGTAAACACCATTTTTACAATCAATAATACATGAGTTACAAGATAAATATTTATAAATATATCACCAAAATTTAGTTCAACACCATCACCAATATGTACTGATTTTATGTGGGAATTTGAAAAAAAATATCCTAAATTTGATTGATGAAATTCAACACAAAATTACAACAAATGCCTGTCTAGACAAGTAAGTTGTATGTATGTTTTCTTTAGTTTTTTAATAAGCTTATTATATGTACCGTAGCTTGATTTGTTTGCAATGGTCAAAACCGCTATGTTAGCCAAATTCGTCATTGTTGTTACAAAAAGCATGTTGCTTGTATGGCTCATTTTCACTCTTGTATATGCTTGTTTAAGTTTTTGTTTGTAATTAATTATTACCGGTACTTTATCAATTTAATCAGATTATTATCTGTTTTGTTTATCAATGTTACTGATTATTTAATATAACGACTGTAACAAAGGGGTTTTCAAATGCATTCTAAGCCGAAAAACTTGGTCTGACTCTGACATGATGGAGACTGATCATGTCGACAAAAGTGTTTGAAGTGTTCTATGATCAGTTTAAGTATTTATTTGACATAGCTTTTCCCAGAAAAATCATCCGTGCAAAGCAAAGAAACGTTTTTAAATTCCATGCAAGTAAAGATCTACCTACTTGTAATGAATGACGAGCTGCTATTCTGGTACAAAGAAACAAAGGACCTTGATTCTTCTCATATTTTGAGACGCCATTCTCTCCGTATTAAAAAAAAATATCGCACAATGATAAAAAGCGCCAAAACCAACATTATATCTAAAAGAATTGACAGTGCAGATAACAGATCGAAGGCGATTTGGAGTTTGATTAACCATAATAAGGCCCCAAAGAATAGAAAGGTGGATAAAGTTTGTCTTGAAGTTGAGGGAGGAAAAACTATTCACGACCCTTCCTTATTATCCTAAGTATTTATAATGTTCTTTTCAGATGTAACAAAACATTCCAATTACACAGAGCGACAAGCAACACCACTTCCAGACGAAACATTTAACATAACTTATTTTTTCTATTCCCAACAATAGAATCAGAAATAAAACAAATAATTAATCAGCTAAAGAATAAGATAAGCGCTCAGGAGCTGATGAAATACCTCCAACGATACTAAAAGAATTTTCAGACTTCATTGTGAGTCCACTAACAAATCTTATAAATCACTCATTTCTTCATGGACGATTCCCCAACACGTTAAAACTTGCTGTTATAAGGCCAATCCACAAAGAGAGAGAGCACACGAAATGTGACAATTATAGACTCATTTCTATGCTCCCAAGTTTTTCTAAGATATATGAAAAGGCTGTTTTGGAGAGGCTTTGGGCATTTGTGGAAAAAAACACTACCTCTTAATAGCCAAATTGAACGATATGGGATTCCGAGGAGTTGCTTCTGAGTGGTTTTCGTCATTCTTAAAAGGCAGGACCCAGCTAATTAACTTTCAAGTCTCAAACAGGTCAAACAAAGATCCGAATCTGTCTCTTCTTCTCGACCAAACCATTATACATCATGTACAGTCTGTTCAATTCTTAAGCCCCGTGTACACGAGGCTAGTACTAGCAGCTAGTTGATTAGCGCTAGTAAATTTGCTTCGTGTAAACGGTCTACTAGCGTAAAAATTTACTAGCGCGCTAGCATTTTACTCGCTGCTAGTCGTTTTGAACATGTTTGATATTACTAGCGCTAATAAGTGGTGGGGGTGGTCACGTGACCACTAGCGCTAGCGAACTAGCGCGGTACTAGCGGAGCATTTGCACTTCTGCTAGTGCTAATTGCCACTCGCCATACGCCAGTGATCACAGTATCATTTTTCTTAATCAGTAGAGTGATTAGTTCCAACAGTTCTTCAAACTTTAAAGCATTCATTCTCAAAAACTTTAAGTACTCTGGTCTCCCAACGCCAGTTCTCTTAAAAGAGTATTGGACGCACCAAGAAATTCTCGCCTCATAATCCACTTTCGAACCCACACAGATTAAGTTCATGTTAACACAACTCTTGTACACCAATTCTTAAAATTTAAAGGGAACAGAAGACATTTTGTGCTAAACTGAAATGACTATTGCGACCAATGAACACTTCACTTCTACATGACTAGCGCTAATAATAAGCGCTAATAACTAGCCACGTGTAGATGGGAATTTTCGCGCTAGTGTGCCCAGCTAGTGCTAGCTGCGAATACTAGCTGCTAGTAAACTAGCTACGTGTACACGGGGCTTTAGACATTCATTTAGATGAATGTTTAAATTTCAAAGCTCATGTTGAATATGTAATAAAACGTGTAAGCAGAAGCACACGCAACTTTGAACATTGGCCACAACAGTCTTGTCGGAAATTCTTCTTTCTGTGTACTATGGCTTAATATTCCCTTATCTAGTTTATGCTCTAGCTGTTTGGGAATCTAAAAACAAACAAACCTCCTTCCTTTTTAAAATGTAAAAAAAGCCATTCATGTTATATTTTCACTTTTCAAAAGACAATCTTGTAAGGAATCATTCAGGTCAGCGGCTATTTTGACTCTTCCCTCACTATACATCCTTGAAACCCTTTCCTTTGTAAAAAAACATCAGTCAATATTCAATACCAGCACTAACTGCAGTACCGGTACATACTCCTTACGTGCTCTCACAACCTGGAAATCCCTGTCCATTCAATCTCATTTTTCCAAAAACATCTTTTGTATAATGGCTTAAAACTGTTTAACCAACTTCCCCAACAGCTAAAGCTAGAGACTTATTAACTTAGGTTTAGAAATAAACAAATAATCATATTAGTAGAAAAGGCTTGCTACAGCGTTTGCGATTTCTCAGCTGACATGTAGTCAGTCATTCCTGTTAGATTAAAGATTTAACGAAAACTCAAATTGTTTAGTTGTAGTCTTTGTTCATATTATTTACATTGATCAAGAAATGTTCAGATTTCACTATTGTTTATTGTAATGACTTTTCCAATACAATGTATTATTTGTTATTTTGAAATAAAGAACTTATGACTTTTGACTCATGATTTTTGTTACAGAGTTGGACTGAGAAAAGATCTTGATGATGCTCGTTCAGATCCTTTGAAACATATTTTATCATTCCTTCCTGAAATTACGTCTTTGAAATATATCTTTGTTGAGAATGTTAAGGGATTTGAGAGCTCTGAAGCCAGAAATAAGTTGGTAACTTGCTTGAAAAATTTGCAGTTTGAAATTCAAGAGTTTATTATCACGCCAACTCAAATAGGGTTTCCCAACATGAGAAACAGATACTACTTACTGGGAAAGAAAAAGCCGCTTCAATTTGGCTTCAAGACATCAGAAATTGTAAGTTTGACTAAGTTAGCAAGACTTTTCTTCATAAATAGGCCTAAATAATTTTGTTTCAGGGAGAACACTATACATTTGGTACAAAGCCCAAAAAAAAAAAAAAAAAAAAAACTTTCAAATTATCTACGGTAGTTGTTTTACATAATGAAGGCTTCTTGTGTGGCTGTAGGCGATAAATCTTTCAATAATAATCGAATTTGGATGAAATTTAACCAAAATATAATCAACATTTTTAAGAATTATATTATAAACCATCCCCAACAATAGGAGTGTAGTTTTTTTATGATTTTGAGGCCATCTAGTTATTAATTTTCAGGATTTTTACTAAAACCTTTTAAAACTGTTATTATATTTGTTTCAAATGCAAATTCAGTATATTACTATTCCTCAATTATTTACTCAAAATACTATAAGCCTACATGATGACACAATTACAATGATTTTATTCGGCCGATCAACACACACAGGCTATGTCGAGCAGTGTACAAGCACACCGTAGTGTAAACACATAATTTGTAGTCTCCCATGTTGATAATGGAAAATAAACTATCAAATGCATCTTTAAATTTATTAGATGTATTTTCAATTATTTAACATTTGAATTGTTTATTCCACACCGAACAAACCCCCTGGTAGCCCCCCTCCCCTCAACAAGGTACTAGAACCGCCACTGCCGTTAAGCAGTAAATAAGTTTACTAATTTATGACTTCTACTTCTACTTTGTCCACATCCAAGCAGAGGTGATGATTGCCATGACATTTTTTACCGAATGGTTTGGACCTTACAAGAATTGGAAAATGTTGACGACATTTTTTTAATGAATCGAGATCCAATAACTTTGTAACAGACGAACTTTGGTTACCGGTACTTAAACTTAAGTGCACAGACTATTAAAATTATATTAGAACATAGGATTTTACTAACGACTCTGTATTTTCCTAGATGACGGAACTCCCTGAAGAATTAGAAGAAATTGTAAAGTCGTTAAACCAGAAGTTCCCCGACGTAAAAGTGGTCGCTGATGTGCTCGAGATGGACGATGTAACAAGCCGAGTTTATCAAGACCATTTACTGACAGAAGATTTAGTGAAGAAAAGACTCCGGGTGATGGATGTTGTTTGTAAAGACGCTGACAAGACTTGTTGTTTCACAAAAGCGTACGGACGTTATGTAGAAGGGACCGGATCAGTGTTCTGCCCACTTGCCCGGGAGGTGTTGCAGAAATTGGTGACCGTCAAGTCACAAGACGTTGATGATGCTACAATAAGGTGAGTAAAAAAATATTTTTTTGTCATACTGCAGCAAAAACCATTTTTAATACGTTGCAAGTCTAAAGTACTTTTTACCCCCTAGGGAGTGAAAAGCTTTTTTAGTCTAGGGATCAAAAGTCAGATGTTAACTCAGTTGTACACTTTGATTGTAAGCACTATTGTAAGTATGTATCAATTGTTTTAATCAGTTGTTGAACTCTTGTACAACACAATCTTATTGACAAAATTATTGATTCATTTATAAACTAGCTGCTCGTTTGCTTTAGCAAAATTAAACAAGTTGGAAGTTGTTTTGAGAGGTTATCAAGAGTATTTTTTTTTTGTTTTCTAACTTAGTTTTCTTAAACCATGGTGCAATTTGACAAAGAATGTAACCATGTTTCCTCACACAGAAAGATAAGAGTCACTCTACGCCTTAGTAATTGAATATACTTGAAATGTATTTGTTTATTTGGCTACTTGATAGATAAAATAAACATTCCATTTGAAAAACTTAGGTAAAACCCCTTATTAAAAAGAAAACGCTTATCATCTGCATTTTTTAGAAAATTGTCGTCTTTTCCTTCCATTCTGTCAATTGAGCTGTAGGTTTCTGTACTATTAACTGTAAAAAAACCTGTTGAAATAAATTTCAAACTCTTTAATTCATTGTGGCTAACTATCGGACAATGTTTGTGTCACATAACTTCTTGCACACTCCGTCATTTATTATTTATTTTTAACTTGGAAAACTCCTTTCTGGAATTGCACCATAGAGGAGTAAGGTATAGAGGAAACATGGTTATTGGAAGACCGTGCGCTTTCAGCTCTGGTTGGTATGTTGTGCTGGAAATATTCCCGTGCCGAGCAAGGAAAGGCCGAACGGCGAGCATGGAAAATCACTGGCCAAAACTCTGTCTTTGATGAACATAACTTTGGAGTTTCATAGTTAGCTTAGAAGAGTTTGTACACTAAGCTTAATGTTTCAAAATAAAATGAATGAGAAACTCCAGAAGTTAAAGTTAGACACACCTTGAAATACCTATGAAGAAACCAAAACAATAGTTACCATTTTTGTTGATTTATAGTATTATATGTCACTTTTCCTGTATTACCATAATGTTTGGTTTGGTTTTCAGATCCCTGAACTTGAGGTATTTTACCCCAAGAGAAGTCGCTCGACTGATGAGTTTTCCCGATGAGAGATTCACATTCCCTCCCAACATTACAAGACAACAACGGTACAAACTGTTAGGTAACAGTGTTAACGTTAAAGTTGTTGCATTGTTGTTGAACATTTTATTCCATCAGCCTGTTCTTTGATTAAAGTATACTTTAATACAATTTTATTTTGTAAATGCCCTACTGCCTCAATTGTATCTACGTTCACTGGCAGAGTAGCTGAGTGAATATAGTTCTTGGTTTCTAAGGGTAACTGGTGCAATCATACATTAAAATGGTTGGTTTGGGCTCAATATTTAACTCATGATAGGTCGTAATTGTCAAAAATGTGTTTTCGCTGCCCAGCAATTTCAGAAATCACCGTTTCTCACACGCGTCTTTCATGAAACCAACCTGACCTCATTCAAGTCCTCGCTCACTAGCCTTTACAATAAATCGGGGGGTTAAGAGTGGCATAACACAAACATCATCAGCGTGATTCACCCCTTGAGCCAGTTCCTGCCAAGTTTCTTGGAGTTTAGTTTTAGACGCCATCTCTTACGCTCTGTAGATCAGGCCCATAATTATAATATCCCTCTCTATAACGTGCAAGAAGCATTTCATGTAACAATTGGGGAAACAACGTTTTTAGGGTATTTCGAGCCTGCGGAGTACGAATCTGCCTGTTGCCAACGCGAAATTTGAACCGGAAGTGCGGTATCCAAGATGGCGGCCAAAACTCTTTTTGCCCCATATCTCCCTTGTTAGTTGGCCTAAAATAATGGTTTAAACGTGTATATAGGGGGTTTTCAGATGCCAAACACATTACAACACTCAAAATTGACATAAATTAAGTTTTGTGGGCATATCTTCCAAAATGGCGCCCAAGATGGCCACCAAAAACTCTAATTTCCGCATATCTCCCTTGTTTTTGGCTGAAAATAATTATTTAGACGTCTGCATAGGGGTTTTCTCGGATGCCAAACACATTGCAACATCCAAAATTTACTTACATTAAGTTTTAGGGGCATATATTCCAAGATGGCACCCAAAATGGCCGCCAAAAACTCTTATTTCCGTATATATATATATCCCTTGTTTGTTTGTTTAAATTAATTATTTAAACGTCTAAAAAGGTATTTTCTCGGATGTTAATCCCATTGCAACACTCATTATTTACTTCCTTTGAGTTTAGATGACATATATTTCTAAGATGGCAATAAAAACTTTATTGTGCTTACGTGAGCTCCGTGCGTATTATTGTATTTAGTGTTTAAAACCAGTCAGATATCTATTAGTGGATGAATATGTGCTACTATTTTTGAAATACCAATTGAAATTTAGCAATTTTAAAGTAGAAGGCAAATTGTTTAATGTAGGCTACTCTGGTGGCACCGTAGATAACGCTAGTACAACAGAACCTGTAATTAAGGATTTTTTAGAATTAAGTGTGTATGATGTTGACGAATTTATCACTTATTTAAGGTGTCCAGTTATGTAAATAGATATTTATTGTAAAATATGACGATACCATACGTATTTTTTTATGTTTTACAGCAATAATTAATTTGATTTGATCTGAACGTGTAGTCCAACAGAACCTGTAAAAATTATTTTTTAGACCATCCCTAAAATCCGCAAGAGGTGGTGCATGTAAATTAAATTAAACAAAGGTACTTTATAACACATTAATAAATAATAATAAACAATTTGGTTATAATATTAACAATGATACTGTACTGTTATATTGCATTGATCTTGTGGTACCACCCATCAATGGAGGTTTGTTTACCATGGGTCTCAATGGATAAAATATATTTTTAAAGGGTTTTTTATGGCAGCATGTTGGCCAAGCGTATATAAAAGTTAGTTTATGAAGAGTAAGTAAACAATTGTATACATGTGTACAAAATAATTGTTAATAAGGTAAAATCTTTTGTTTTCCAACCGTCTATAAAAGTTTGTTTGTGAAGAGAAAGTAAAAATGTATATGCATTTCTACGAAATAATTATTTAAGGTAAGTACAAATTGTATGTAATCCTTAATTTATTTAAACTTAGCAATAGAGAGTTTTTGAACAAATCGTAAAATAATCACGGTAAACGCTATTTGTTATGTTTTCTCGTTTGTTAAATGTGAAAATAACGTATTGCGTCCCTATTGCTAAGTTTGAATAAACTAAGGATTTAATACAAATTGTACTTACCTTAAATAATTATTTCGTAGAAATGCATATAAATGTTTACTTTCTCTTCACAAACAAACTTTTATAGACGGTTGGAAAACAAAAGATTTTACTTTATTGAAAACTAGCAGAGTACCCGTCCTTCGTACGGGGTTGGCATATAAGTATCAAATGCTTATAGCAGTTATGAGTGAGGACATGGTTTAAGAAATTTCGGTTCTTTTTGAAGTTCGTTCGCTACGCTCACTCACCTTTAGGTTGGAGTTCGTTCGCTGCGCTCACTTTCCTTCAGATTAGCTCGTTCGCTACGCTCACTTGCCTTCAGGTTAGCTCGTTCGCTACGCTCACTCGCCTCCAGGTTGAAGTTCGTTCGCTACGCTCACTCACCTTTTGCTGTTGTCATAAATGTAAAAGAAATAATAGTGCTAGTGCTGCACCCTGTTGGTAATCCTTGTAACTTTAATGCTATTGAACATCACAGAACAGAACCAACTTGTTTAATTGAAACAGCTGTTAAGATTCAATAATTTCATTTCTCATAAGGTTAACATGGGAAACTCCAGAGCCACTGGGGCGGAGCCCGAAAGGATTTTTGGGATAAAAATATGCCTATATGTTAATCGGGAATGTGAGCTATCATCATGCCAAATTTCAGCCCGATCCGACCAGTAGTTTTCGCGTTTACTTTTCCCATACACACACACAGACACCACCTCTTTTTTATAATAGTAGTGAGCGCAGCGAACGAGCTCCAACCTAAAGGTGAGTGAGCGTAGCGAACGAACTTCAAAAAGAACCGAAATTTCTTAAACCATGTCCTCACTCATTATCTGCTATAAGCATTTGATACTTATATGCCAACCCCGTACGAAGGACATAACTATAAAACTATAAAAAAAAAACCTTTTAAAAATCTATTTTATCCATTGAGACCCATGGTAAACAAACCTCCATTGATGGGTGGTACCACAAGATCAATGCAATATAACAGTACAGTATCATTGATAATATTATAACCAAATTGTTTATTATCTATATAATTAATACGCTACATAAAACTTTGTCGGTTGAACTCCTCCGCCATTTCTTAACCGATTTTATCCATTGACGTCTCACTGGAAAGAGCGTGTCGCGTAGATTTGCAAACTGGCCTTACATTTTTGAAAAAGTCCTTTGGGCTCTGCCCCAGTGGCTTTGAAAGTTCCCATGTTATCCTTATGAGGAACATAATTGTTTACATTTTGATCAGCTGTATAATTTAATTGCTGTTATTTATTTTTCAATTCAATGAAACGCATTGAGTACATTTGTTTACTATTTGAGTTTGTGTAAACATAACCCCCAAGACGGATCGTGTTAGTATGGTTTTATCTTAAATTTGTGTATTTATGGTTGTTTTGTGTCGCTATGACGGATCGGGTTAGCATGATTCAAACTTAAATTTGTGCATTTATAGTGTTTTTGTGTACCTATAATTTGTTTATTTGTTGTTGTTTTTTTCTTTTAAATGCCTCCGACGCGACGACAACGAAACATAGACATGAGGCGTAATCGTGATAACGACCGCAGCTACAGATCAGTGGCGCGTATTAGGCTTAACTCATCACAGTCGGCACCTGACCCTGGACACACTCAACTATTAGGTTACAAATGCGCCCTAACACTACCCCAAAACGACTTTTTGTTCTCAATTGGCCCTCTATCAATGACCTGTGTTGCCTGTACAGCGAGGCATTTAGAGAAGGAGAAAACCGGCCGGAATGCTTTAGGTTTATCAATAACGAAGATAAACATGGTCTGAGTTACACACCGGTAATCTTTGAGTTGACTCTTTTAAACTCATTGTAAATATGACTGTTATTCGTTTTGAAATAACTCCTGTAATACATTGCAATTGCTCGAATTCGAGCAACATGTACGCTAGTTATTTATTAATGTGTTATAAAGTACCTTTGTTTAATTTAATTTACATGCACCACCTCTTGCGGATTTTAGGGATGGTCTAAAAAATAATTTTTACAGGTTCTGTTGGACTACACGAAAAATACGTATGGTATCGTCATATTTTACAATAAATATCTATTTACATAACTGGACACCTTTAATAAGTGATAAATTCGTCAACATCATACACACTTAATTCTAAAAATTCCTTAATTACAGGTTCTGTTGTACTACGCGTTATCTACGGTGCCACCAGAGTAGCCTACATTAAACAATTTGCCTTCTACTTTAACATTGCTAAATTTCAATTGGTATTTCAAAAATAGTAGCACATATTCAGCCACTAATAGATATCTGACTGGTTTTAAACACTAAATACAATAATACGCACGGAGCTCACGTAAGCACAATAAAGTTTTTATTGCCATCTTAGAAACATATGTCATCGAAACTCAAAGGAAGTAAATAATGAGTGTTGCAATGTGATTAACATCCGAGAAAATACCTTTTTAGACGTTTAAATAATTAATTTAAACAAACAAACAAGGGATATATATATACGGAAATAAGAGTTTTTGGCGGCCATTTTGGGTGCCATCTTGGAATATATGCCCCTAAAACTTAATGTAAGTAAATTTTGGGTGTTGCAATGTGTTTGGCATCCGAGAAAACCCCTATGCAGACGTCTAAATAATTATTTTCAGCCAAAAAACAAGGGAGATATGAGGAAATTAGAGTTTTTGGTGGCCATCTTGGGCGCCATTTTGGAAGATATGCCCTCAAAACTTAATTTAAGTCAATTTTGAGTGTTGTAATGTGTTTGGCATCTGAAAAACCCCTATATACACGTTTAAACCATTATTTTAGGCCAACTAACAAGGGAGATATGGGGCAAAAAGAGTTTTGGCCGCCATCTTGGATACCACACTTCCGGTTCAAATTTCGCGTTGGCAACAGTCAGATTCGTACTCAGCAGGGTCGAAATACCCTAAAAACGTTGTTTCCCCAATTGTTACATGAAATGCTTCTTGCATTGCCTTTTTTTGAAAACGGGCCTAGTCTATAAATCTAACAAACGACTTATACTTCCTGATTAGATATGGTTTTATACACACTTGTAACTTGTAACTGTACATGTATTGCCGCATGTTGAGTTGTCTTTCTTATTGACAACATTGTTTGTCTATGATTTCATTACCTGTAAAAAACTCTGTCATCTCTTGTGCTTTAAAATCAAGTTGCCCATGGAAGATTAATTAGTAGTTAGAACAAATTTGAAAGTAACCCCCTATAATGGCTGTAGATAGCATTAAACTTTGTATTTATTTTGAACTGACCTGATGATTAAAGGCATTTAAATTACCATACTTTAAAAGATTTTCCGCTAATATTTACATATACGATTTCACACAATATTAGATTTCATTCGATTAGCAGTGTCATAATCATTTATTTTGGAACCGTTAACTTCTTATAATCCAGTTTTAGTTAATACATAAACGTTAATATGTTCTAACCGACAAATGTATATCCCCTCTCTAAATATTGAAATGTAGGCTAATGAGAAATCCGTAATTTATTTCCAACAGATTTTAATATGAAAACAGTACAAAACATACATTTTGAAATCATAAGGTTAGGTAATACAAGATTTTCAGTTTGTAATAACTATTATTTAGGTTCGAGTTTTCTCTCCAAAATAGCTCAAAGCGGAGCCCCGAGTGGGTTTACTGTTCTGAGAGCCTCTTCTTTGTAAGGGATGATTTCAAAACAAGGGCTGATCATCTGATGCATTAGAGCTTGTCTTAGTAAGTCAAGACCTGCTTTTAGCATTTCTACTGAAGGAGGGAAAGCTGCAAAATGTAAAATATTGTTATTTTAGAAATATTGCATACAATTTCCAGCACGATTAGAGGAAAAACAAACTGTTAAGTTTTCAGGATCTTGAATCTGATCCAATGTGATAAAGTACCTTTTATAAGATTAGTACACAAAAATGCCCAAAGCTAGAAATTCTCAAGAGAAAAACCTCACGGAGATCTGTATAGTAGTAAAAAAAGAAACAAAAACATCTTTTTAAATTTTTTTCATACATTATCTTAGAGTAGTTTTCATGGAGGATGATCTGTAACGATGTACAGGGTTGAATAAATCCTGTTGATAAAATAAAACTTTATATTTTCTATGCCTTAGCTTGGTTTATGATGATATGAATGGTTTAAATTCACCTCTGTAGGTAAAATAGCTTTGACATTAACATGGGAGTTTCTTAACCCTTTGAGCCCCAAAGGCAAATGTATAGTTTCCAAGTCTTAGGATTATCTTTGTGAACAAAAGTCAACAAAAAACAGCTGAATTATGTCCCTAAAATGTGTAATCAAGGAGTGAAAATTTGGAACTACAATTCCAATATTTGGGTTTGTTTATCATTGTGTTAGTTGAGTTTGCGTGTTGGTTTTGTTATTGTGTGAGACAGTTATGTCTAATTAATAAATAGCAGAGTAGTTTAAGGTGTTTTCCCCAATGTGACATCATTGATTGAGGGTTTGGTCAGATCCAGTGTACATGTTAGGAGTTCACCTATCATTATCATTTGAAATGCGGATGCCCAAATCTTGGTAGTCAAGATCCACCTAGAATAAACGGGGGACAGCTAGAGTGGAAGTTAACAGGGACAGCTAGAGTGAAAGTTAACAAGGGACAGCTAGAGTTGAAGTAAACAGAGGACAGCTAGAGTGAAAGTTAACAAGGGACAGCTAGAGTTGAAGTAAACAGAGGACAGCTAGAGTGAAAGTTAACAAGGGACAGCTAGAGTTGAAGTAAACAGAGGACAGCTAGAGTGAAAGTTAACGGGGGACAGCTAGAGTTGAAGTAAACGGGGGACAGCTTGAGTTGAAGTTAATGGGGGACAGTTAGAGTGAAAGTTAACGGGGACAGCTAGAGTTGAAGTTAACGGGGGACAGCTAGAGTGAAAGTTAATGGAGGAAAGCTAGAGTTGAAGTAAACGGGAGACCGCTAGAGTGAAAGTTAACGGGGGACAGATAGAGTCGAATTTAACAGGAGACAGCTAGAGTGAAAGTTAATAGGAGATAGCTATAGTTGAATTCAATGAGGGACAGCTAGAGTCAAAGTTAACGGGAGACAGCTAGAGTCGAAGTTAACGGAGGAACGCTAGAGTTGAAGTAAATGGGGGACAGCTAAAGTTGAAGTTAATGGGAGATAGCTATAGTTGAAGTAAACGGGGGACAGCTGGAGTTGAAGTTAATGGGGTCAGGGACAGCTAATGAAGTTAACGGGATGTATAATTTCCTTGACTTGAAATCTGACATTCTGTTCTTACTCTTACTGTATTCACCAAAAATGTGTTTGACCAGAATTTGTACTTCATTATTCAATGGGTGTACTGATTGTTCAATTCAATGACCAAAGAAAGATGAGAAAAAAATTAAAAAAATACTAAATCAATTAATAGATTTCAAATTACCTTGGGGCTCAAAGGATTAAAGAAAAAGTTTAAATATTTTAGAAAATTTTATTAAGTTGTAAGAAATTCTAACATGAAAAACAATATTAAGCACAACTGAATCCTCCTATAAAACACCACCATGGCTAATGTTTGGTTATTTTTTCCCCTCTCTAAAAGGTATAATGTCTAAACTAGGACTGAGTAGCTGAAGTTTAATTCCTTGCTTTACCATTTCAAGGGCAACCTTCACCATTTCAAATGTGGGGTGTTGATCTGAAACATCCCAGAGGAAATAAAACAAAATATTCCCAAATTTCACAATCAGAATTTATTATTCTTGTGATAGTTGATTTATTAATGAGATGTGTTAAGTACGGTAATCCAAAATATAAAAATATTTAGATATTGTTTCTGACCATCTGTAAATCTGTTTGTTCTAGGTGAACGTAAAATACTACTAAACTAATAGAGTTAAAATTTTACACAAAGGTAGATTGTAAATCAGGTAAGTAACACTTAGGGTCTATTTATGCCCTCGCTAATAATCCTCCATGCCTATGCCCTGTAGGGTAAATACAATTTTTTAGAACTCTTCCCTGGATAGTTAAATAATTTATTTAGATACAAATACCAGAAGTAGCATTTTTAGACATGTAAAGATTCTGAACACCAATTTTGAGTGTGCGAATGGTAGTTTTTAGTTTTAGTACTATACGTTATGACAATTCAACCTGTTACCTCAGCTTTGCTGAATTTTATAATGTAACATTATGTGAAAATGAAGGATTGACCATTGATTATTGTTTTAAGTACAAGGTGAAATTAATTCAAGGAAGTGCCCAAAATTAACGTTTAGTGTTTCAGTATATGTAATGTACTAACTAATCTACTAATACTAACTAATCACAATGCTAACTGGGTTGTGCCTACTTATTTTTACTTTTATTTTGCTGGCTTTGCAAAAAACATCGAAAAGAAAAATCAGTGCTCATGGTAAAATGGAAAACTCATTGATAGCAAGGGAAAGTAAATTAAGAGTATGAAAAAAGTGAGCTGATTGTTTTTACATTGCTCAAGTTTAGAGCTCCGTGATTGATAGTTATCCGATATCAACATTGTTTTTACCTCCAAATGGGATATTTTGTTAAACTTCAAAATTTTTTTTTATGTAAACCAACATCAGTGTTACCTTGCTAGGTCTTTAAATTAGTGGCGGTAGCAGAGGAGGGGAGGGAGGGTATTGGGGAGATGGATCACCCTGAAATATCAGTGTAATACAATTAGGGTAAGTAATAATTTTATACTTTGTTTGGTTTTTACAAAGTTAAAAAAATTTTGCAACTCAATAGAGTATTTTTAAGTTGAAATATGTGTACTGTATAAATCACTTTGACTTTACCAGGTAGGAGGCGGGATGCCCCACCATGTATAAAATCCTAAGTCCTCCTCTGGTCTTTATAGAAGAACAGTGAACATTATAGGTCCCCCACATAGTGTCCTTACACATAGTGGTGGCTGTTTTAAATGAGAATAAAATCATGCGCATTTGTAAAGGCATCTAGTTATTTGCTTGAAAGGATGTATCGATCCCCAATCTGTTATCCCACTCGTGTTCATTCAAATAATCTTTATCTTTGAATTCTTACATTAAAAACTAAATAATACACAAATTACTCAAGCCTTTTCATGTTTATTGTTGCCGTCAACAACACCTACATTTGTTGACACCGGCAACTAGCATTCATGATGAAGTTTTTATTGCTCATACTCTGAAAGTTCTTATCTAGAAGTTCATATAACTTGTCTATTAAAGTTAAGGTATTAAAACTAATTTATTGAGTTTTATTTATATTTAAAATTTATTCGGGTTTTTGTTCTGTGCTGTCTGGTAAACTTTGATTTTCTAATTGGTCGGATTGCTCCTCCGCCTGACCAGTAAAATTATAAGGAACAACTTCAAAGCAAGGGCTGATATGCTGATATTTCAGTCCTTGGGTTAGGCAGTTCAAACCTGCTTTCAGCATTTTCATGGGAGGGTTTTCGTCTGAAACAAAGTGATTTAATGTAAAAAAATGTTTGAATATTTCTTGTTGTACGTTTTTTTTTTAAGATAAAGTAGTACAAGGAATTGATCAGACTAGAAAGGTGAAACTGTTTTTGATAATAAGACTTAGAAGAGATTTTATAACAGTGAGGTGAATTTTAAATACAAATAAAACTCAATAAATATATCAGAAACCGTTGCAAAAGCCCTTATATCTAAAAAAACTTGTCCATAGTTAATTAGTTGTTAACAGATGTAACTGATACAGACGGTCCTGCTGATAAACAGGATAATATACCTACATAATAAGCTGGTAATAAATAAACAAATAAAAATAAACTATCAATCTGAAAACATACTTAATTATATAGTCATTAGATGGCAACTATTTAATCACACAATCATTGAGGATGATGTATGAATATAAAAACATATACAAATAGCATCAAAATTTATCTAACAATAAAAATGTAGTTAAATTCAAATTCAAAGCAAACTTGGAATTTTGATTGAAATTTAATGTACTGTTCAATTTGTTATAATTAATATTAATTGCCAAAGTTGATTATATTCAGGCAAAACTATGAATGTACTGATGGAAAATGGAGCACCATTTTGTTGTGTAATTCCTTTCCAGATCCATAACAAAATATTTGAAATTAGAGCAATCAGGACTAAGAACTTGTAGGGAAGCATTTTAAGAAAAAAAATTCAAACCATCATTAATTTCCTCTTACCCTTATAGTTTCCACAGTAAGCTATGTCAATACATTTGCCCTTCAAGTGGTCAAATTCCGGAGGTCTTTGAGCGTCTTTCTCCCACCCTCTACCCTCGTAGACCTTTCCATCTCCTCCGACCACAAAACTGAAACCAAACAAGCCAGCCAGATTAATAACTTTGCACCACGCAAAACAAAGTCAGAATGCAGAAAACAGTTTTTTTGTTGGTTCTCAAAAAGCCTAGAGCACTGTTCTTTAGATTGTGTTATATAATGTTTGTGAAGACGTGGCAATAGGCAGTATCCCTCCAGTAAAAATATTCTGATAAAAACTAGTGATGTTATGATCAATGAATATAACCTTCCTTCATCAACTTTAATGAGTTCACCATAGTGAAAATGGTGTTTTATTTCAAAACAAGATTATTAATTAATTACAAAATAATACAGTACCTAAGCAAAGAACACCCATAAGGATAACAATTGCAATTACTTTTTGAAGGCTTATTCAAGTCATAATCAAGTGTTTCTTATTCATTTAAAATTTGGTAGAAACTTCATTCCGTACTAAGAACTGAAAAAATACTTAAAAGTAGATAAAAGTTGAATGATGTTAAAAACATGACATTGGATGCAGGCAATATTGGAAAATCTAGCAGTGATACATATTGTATTCAGTGGCGGATTTAGGGGGGGGGGGGGCACAGGGGGCACGTGCCCCCCCCAAGAGCTGCGTATAAAAAAATAATATATTAAACTAGTTGAAAACCAAACAAAATAATGCAGTTGTTTTGCTATCTATTTTATTTGCCTATTTAATACTAAACTTAACTTCGAATAAATGTACATGAAATGCTTGGTAGCTTAATCAAAATAAAGTATAAACTATAATCAATAGTAATTGTGAAAATTATGTTAGTTTTCGCCGGCCGTCGCTCCTAAAGCTATAGTGATATGCTAGAAGTGTCTTTTCTCTTAAGTCAGTCAGTATGAGTGGCGTGGCCTTTGTGTTTGGCTGAGGTCAGAGAGCACAGAATAGAAATTCTAGAATTTTATTTCTAGAATTTCTATTCTGTGCTCTCTGTCTGAGGTGGTAGTGCTAGTATGTATTGTACTTTTGAAGTTATTTATATGTTTGTGTAAGAATGAAGCAGCAAATTGCAATAGATTTATATTAAAAATATGGCAGAAAATTTGGATTTGCGGTTTATTTCTAACTAACTTCTTGATTAACATTTTAGGTAATAGTGCTATCTTAGGAATATGGTAAAATAAAATAAACTTATTAGTTTTGTAGTATAAATTGATTGAATGGGGTTAGAAGCAGTGCCTGGACCACAGCAAATTGTTATTTTATTAAATTATTAATTAATTTACTTGATTGCGGGTGATGATAACGGTGTCTCCCTCCGTTTTCAAAGATATTCACGATTCCGCTAAGTTTGCGGGTGACAATGATGATGTCCATGTAACCGCATGAGATGTTCATGATTTCTCCATAATAACAGGAGATGTTTGCAATTTCAAGAAGTTTCACCTATAGAGCGGGGTACGCTCAGATTAATTTGGGTTAGAGCCGCAGTTACTCTAGATCCGGAACTGATTTGAAGATGTATTTTGCTATATTCCTATTAACTCCAATAATCCCAGTGCCTTTCAAGGATGCAACTTTTAGTTTTGATTCCAATCTTTGTGGCAATTACATTAGTCCCTTTTGAGACGGATAGAGTTCAACTAGCTTCATTTAGAAAATTTGACTCGACACAAAAAAGGTGACACAAAATGGTTTGCATCTATAAGCCCATGGACTCCAAGTATCTGAGGTTTAAAGCCTGTCAATTTAAGTGGCAGGAGAGATACATGAGCACGTGAACTCTTCCTCTACCTCCGTCGCTTTTGTTTTTTTGGGAGCCTTCCGTCATCCCTCCCTACACACCATCCTATCCACAAGATATATAAGCTGGCTGAAATCCCTCTCTAAAATAAAACATTCCTTTGAATATGCTTACTGAATATAACCTACGTATCCTTAAAGTATACTGACTTGTATCTAATGTCTGGCAGTCCCTTTTCCTCTGTGTCGTACTTCTGCAAGTCCTGCATAATTCGACTGCAGTGCTCCAGGGTTTTGCAGGTTTCCGTAGATGTGTATGTGTATCGGACGAAAGGCACGGGGGGTTCTACGGGGGGCAAGTCCCCTAGGGCTGGCTTCCCCTCCCACTCTGCCTTAGTGACCAGCGAGATGTACATTGCCGGATCATCGTGGAGAATCGGCATCTTGTCTCAGCTGAGGGTTCAGACGGTTTAAAAATGTTATTTAGTGTTTTTTAATTCTTTGATTTATACTTTTACCCCTATACATTATAGGTTACAATGGAGAAAGTAATGTTATTGTATTTTTTTTAAATTTTAGGTGTCCCTGAACCCAAAGAAGTGGTTTTTGAAGTGATGTCTGTGTTTCTGCGTGTACAAAGCTACAGACTAATTAATCCTGTGGTCTGAGTTTGATGAAATTCGCTCTTTGGATACTAATCCACAGTTTAGGTAATTTTTTTTGAAATTTTGATATTTATGGTGATTTTGCCATAAAACTCATACTACAATTGGGAAATGTGATTTTCACAAAAATAGCTCTAATTATTTTGGTTGAAATATAATAAATTACAGTCCTTTTAACCTTGAACTAAATGACACAACCCCCATCACTGTAATTTTTTTCATTTCAATGGTAATTGCAATTTTTGTAACCTCCCCCATAAAAACATAGTTACTTCCATAGTTTCAGATAACTTTCAACAATAAATATTTTGTTTCAATGTAAATTTTGCATTTAATAATAAGGTTGCATATTGTTTAAATGTCATAAATCAATATACAGTAAAAAAAAACGAATACACCATAATATACAATAATACATTTTTTTCGGCAATTTTCCCTTTAATCAATTCTTTCTAAGGGTTTTAACATGATTCCTAAAACGTAGACTTGTGCAATGAAGTATGACAAACACACACATAATTTAACTCAATTAATTAAAAATGTTGAGTCATTTATATCTTTTTAATTTGAATACAATTTTATAAGTCTAAATATGATATCCCCTAGTAAGCTTTCAAAAAATGTATTTCTCCTTGGATTAAAAATAGCTATCCAATTCATAACATCAAAATTACATAGAAAAAATATTTAATGTTTTTTTCAATCAAAGCTCCTTTTAAAGTCTCACAGTTAATAGTTTACAAAAATAAATATATGTACAATTTTGTGTTTATTTATATTTATTATACTTACTAAGAAAATAGCTCCACTAAGTTGAGAACAGAACACAAGCTTACAAATCTTATATCACATTTTTGCCATCTATTCCAAATATTTTAAAGATAACATGGCTGAAAAACTCGTTTTATATTCAATATTGAATAACACATTTTGACATAGATTATTTCTATGATATCACTTTTTACATCTTCTCTTCATTACAGCTAATTTTACTAGATAAAGCACTGATTTATTTAACAGTTATAGCTTTGAATATTGATACAACCAGACATTCCATCCATATTTAAAATTTGTCGCCAGTTTTAAAATCAAATCGTAGGTGATGTGAGCCATTGACAGATTCCGCTTATCTAAATTACTGATTTTTGTCCTATGACGTACACACTAACTTTTTACTTAGCCAAACTATTAAAATAACTTATTGTGAGCTAGAGCAACTCTCATAACTCATTAACTTGGTCAGAAACTATTATTAAAGTTTAAAATATAATTTTATACACTAGTGCATTCATTGACTGGCCTTCAGAACTATGTTCTATATTAAAAAAAACATTTGTATCAGCTGGTCCATATGGATGGGATGTCTACTTCAGTACATAGCGTAGACTAACCAACACAAGAGACTTCTCATGACATTAAACATTTTGAAGCTCGTTTTTCGTGTCTAGTTCATGTACTGGTTCAGTGACACTGGGTGCTAGTGGTGACGAAATTTTGATTCTCTTTAGGGTTAATTTCTTGATTTGTGCTCTACTGTTTGATTATATAACTAGGAGACGAGTTATTGTTTATGATTAGATCGTATTATTTGGTTAAACAAGGTTTTAAATTACAAAAAAAAAAAAAACACAAAAAAAACTAGATACAAATTGTAAACTAAAACGCGATAGTTATTAGGTTAAATAAAAATAGTTATTTATTGGACAGGTATATTTAACAATGGAACATCCCTGTAAGGTATAATCTTGTAAGTTGAATATATATACTTCTTTTTTAATCCGTATCTTAGTAACTCAAATGCGGATCTGGTCTGTTCCCATGGGGGATGTCTTACTGAAACAAACATTTATTTTTACTAAAAGAACTCAACAATTTTTGATTTGGTAATTACGTGTACAGGATCAAGTGCTGTCTGCAAATTAAGGCCTCCATCAACAGGGCATTTTTTATAAATGGACCCGGTGAGCCTAGGCTCAGGGGCGCTAGGAGGAGAAAAATTCCCCCACAATGTATAGGTGGAGAGGGGCGCAATAATCTCTCGGGCCCATACCAAATCACATGCAAACCACGGATCTGTTCATCAAGAAGCTACTTGAAATCTGAGATAGCCAAATTTTTTACTTCATCCGCTACTATTTTAGCCGATTCTAATTATGTTACAATTAGTGTGGTGATTCTGAAAACAATCTGAGAAGAAATTGGCTCTCCCGCCAACTATGAAATGGAAACCCTTCGGAGACCTCAATTAATGGACTACCCTCGCATGAAATATCGGAGAGGGGATGAAATGAAACGTTTCTATAAAATTATATTTTATTGTCATCTTTATCTTGTGTAAAAGGTATAGGCATGTAAGTTCGATAAATGAGCTTTTTCTCAACTCCCAGAGCTACTAAGTTAAGGGCGGAGACTATCAAATCCACCGGAGGCATTCTTACTGTAACATAAAGTTAAGTAAAATTTAAAGATATGCATCTCATTCTTATTTAGAGGAATTTTGGATTTTATTCCCTGCCATGCTTTTCAAAAGGGAGCTTGTCATTACAAGACAAATAAAAACAAATTAACACTTGCATAACGATCTTTTTATTTTTGTCCTTCTCCCGCAATCACATAATCATCATTACCTGTAAGCGTGGCAAAATATTAAAAAAAATAAAATTTCAGTTTTTGTTTTTAAAATGTTTTTTACACAACGCTGTGGCACTCTTTCCTTGCGCCTCCAAGCTATGGTCTAGTTGTCTTGGTGGTAAATCTTGCACCGAACTGACCCAGCTCTCTTTGATTTCCGAGCTTTTAATAAATGGTCCTGGGTATTGAACTGGCTGATCTTAGTCATTAGCAAAGCTATCATATCAATCATTCACCACTAATCATTCACTCATCCCTTGATCTATCACCGTCTAAGAAATCCAACCAAATCCCAACAACCTCTGCTTAGCGATTAGCACCGGTACAATCACTTAACCAACCATTAGCTCGTGACATCTAAGCTGGCACTTGGCCTATCGCTACTAGAACCTATTTCAAAAACATTATGTCCCGTCATGCGGGTTGCATCAACTGTCCTCGCGACCCATATGAAGGCACTCAAGTACAATGCAAGGGGAGTCAACCCCGTGAGGCAATGGAAATGTTTGCAGTCCGGTCTTTTCCCTACCTCCACCCTCCTCCCGTCTACACTGCCCGCGCTAGGCCAAGTGCCAGCTTAGGTGTCACGAGCTGTACCTCTGTTTCTACTACATAAGTATTACTGTTCTACAATTTTAGTACTCACCCGAGTAATCGCCAATATAAGCTATATCAAGACATTTTCCCTTGAGAGCATCGTATTTGGCTGGTCTGTGGGCATCAAGCTTCCACCCTCGTCCCTCGTATACAGTGCCAGTTGCTCCTATCAGAAAGCTGGATTGGCAACACGATAATCAATACTTTTAAACATAAAAACTTGTAGAATTGTAAAAACTAAAACCTAAATAATTTAATAAAGTGTGTACTCACTAAGAGAGATCTACAACTGCCCGCTGCCGCACCCTGTCATATCGCATTATTTTGTGTCTAAATGTTCCGTGTCCCGTGTTATGTACTTTATGTTTAAATTATTTTGATATTTTTGACGTGAAGCTCCGACGATGTTGTAGTGCAATGAAACATGTCAGCTTTGAAGAACATTATTTGAAGTTAGACACAATTTTGGACTACTGACATTAGTAAAAGTCATAGTTATGTGTTTTCAATGTTTAACATAGGCCTACACATATCTGGTATCATAGTTTTGAGTTTTCAATGTGTAACCTACTTGTATCTGATATCATAGTTATATGTTTTCAACGTTTAACCTACTTGTATCTGATATCATAGTTATGTGTTTTCAATGTTTATCCTACTGGTATCTGATATCAGTTATGTGTTTTCAATGATTAACCTACTTGTACCGGTATTTGATATCATAGTTATGTGTTTTAAATGATTAACCTACTTGTATCTGATATCATAGTTATGTGTTTTCAACGTTTATCCTACTGGTATCTGATATCAGTTATGTGTTTTCAATGATTAACCTACTTGTACCGGTATTTGATATCATAGTTAGGCTATGTGTTTTAAATGATTAACCTACTTGTATCTGATATCATAGTTATGTGTTTTCATCGTTTATCCTACTGGTATCTGATATCGAGTTATGTGTTTTCAATGATTAACCTACTTGTACCGGTATTCGATATCATAGTTACGTTTTTTAAATGATTAACCTACTTGTATCTGATATCATAGTTATGTGTTTTCAATGATTAACCTACATGTATCTGATATCATAGTTATGTGTTTTCAATGATTTACCTACTGGTATCTGATATCATAGTTATGTGTTTTCAATGATTAACCTACATGTATCTGATATCATAGTTATGTGTTTTCAATGATTAACCTACTGGACTCTGATATCAGTTATGTGTTTTCAATGATTAACCAACTTGTACCGGTATTTGATATCATAGTTACGTTTTATGAATGATTAACCTACTTGTATCTGATATCATAGTTATGTGTTTTCAATGATTAACCTACAGGTATCTGATATCATAGTTATGTGTTTTCAATGATTTACCTACTTGTATCTGATATCATAGTTATATGTTTTTAAATGATTAACCTACTTGTATCTGATATCATAGTTATATGTTTTCAACGTTTAACCTACTGGTATCTGATATCATAGTTATATGTTTTCAACGTTTATCCTACTGGTATCTGATATCAGTTATGTGTTTTCAATGATTAACCTACTTGTACCGGTATTTGATATCATAGTTACGTTTTATAAATGATTAACCTACTTGTATCTGATATCATAGTTATGGGTTTTCAATGATTAACCTACATGTATCTGATATCATAGTTATGTGTTTTCAATGATTTACCTACTTGTATCTGATATCATAGTTATGTGTTTTCAATGATTAACCTACTTGTATCTGATATCATAGTTATATGTTTTCAACGTTTAACCTACTTGTATCTGATATCGGAGAGGCCTTGCTTCATATCTCGATGTTGTAGATCTTCCACAGCTTGCAGACATTGTTGGTCGCTGAGGCATTTGTCTGTTTCTGTACACAGATACCTGGAGGCAAAGTATTGAAATAAAGGTTAATTTCCATAGCCTACTAGAAAAGTAGCTTATATAATCATTTTAGCCTTTTAGGTAAGCTCTAGATCCACAGTTCTTTTAGCGAATTTCCCATTTAGGGAATAATTAACGAATTTCCCATATAGGGAATAAGCTATTACCGTAGGTCTCGTGTTAAGACCCGGGACCGATTTCTTTTTCATTTTAAGGTCCCCAGAGGCCAAAAACACCATCCGTACAAATTCATAATCTTCCCTGTAGCAGCAAACCTAAGTACTCACCAAACTTAATGTTGATTAAATAGGAAATAAATCTGACAATTTTTAGTGAATATTTTAGTAGAAATCCAGCCAGGTAAATGGAAATTCGCCTAGTCTGCAGGTTTGCTGCGTCGAGGGTATTTATGTTTATAGCCACCAGAAGCTTAAAACACTGTTTTAAATATATACGGTAGACCCTACCTGTTTCTTGAAGACACCATGAAAAAATAACTCTCTTAAAAATTCTAAGATGTTGATAAAATGTGGAGCAATTGTGTGTGAAGCAACGTCTAGTGTACCATAATTAGTATGCCAACAAACCAAACCAACAATATGGTTATTATACACAAAAATTGGTTTTTGGATTTTTGTACAAAAAACTAAAAAAATACAATTTTATCTTACTATGTTTTGTTTTGATTGGCTTAAGTAGATGATTAATTTAGTATACACTATTACTCTACTCCTATTTTATACTATTTGTTACAAATTTTTAATTGCAATGTGTTTGTTTGCTATTTCATATTTATAGATAGTAAACTAGGTAGATATATTTTTTTAAGGTAGACCTAGCCGGGAACTGTTTTACACATTACTTCAGGCTAGTCTCAGTGGGTTGCGGCATATAACATGGATAAAATACATTGGTGATTGGCAGGATTTGAACCCAAGACCTCGGGGACCGAAGCCCCGCCCTCTACCACTACACCAGCTCGCTCCTCCGTAGGAAATTAGGTAGGTATAATTAAGGAGGGTGGACTAATTATTAATATAGATTACTAAGCAATTTAGTGATGACATGACCATAAACATGTGATCACCAAATTTTAGCTAATTACTTGGATTTCTCCTGAATTTTTGCTAACACCTAATTATGAAATCACCTGATGTGTGTCAAAGGAAGTTTAAGCGGTCTAATCTTTTTCCGAGGCAATCTGGCATTCCACGAAAGTCTACTGTAGTAAGGAAGAATAAATTGGCAATCATCTGTTGATAAGTTTTCAGAAAGTGTAGTCATCAGCTGCTATGCTCTTCAGTTCTTGAATGGATTTTATGCTACATGGGCAAAACTTAATGATTAGGATGCATCTAGGTGTTAAAACTAATAACTCTACAAGCACAACTTTTTTAAAGTTATACTAAGGAATAGTAGGAAAATAACCCAAAAATAGGAACATAACCTAAAAATAAATAGAATTACTTGTTCTTACATCTTGATTTTCTGTCCATTTGATAGTACCTTTGTAATAGTACTTAATATTTCATAACAAGAATAGAAAGTGAGTCATTACATATTTGAGACCATGTTTGAAGTGCGAGATTTATCAACCACTAAATGGTCGAGAATATGTATAGACACACTTTCACCCGTGTTTTGAACGTTACTTTTTGCTACACTACAAAGACTAATTATTTTCTCAATTAAAACATTAGAAATTTCTTCATTTAGGAAAATGACAAAACTCATAGCATTTTTAGGATATGCCTTCAATTTAAGTTAATATTTAGTTGTACAGTTTTGGTTGTTGAAAATTGAAACAGTTGACAAAACAACAATAAATATTTGTTTATGTCTGCAAAATCCAAAAAGATAGTAAACATTACTTTTGCATAGTAAAAATGCTTTTGTTGTAGTAAACAATGTAATGATGAATTTTCACAGGTGATAAACATGTAAAGAAAACAGGCAATTTCACAGTAGTAGTAGTAGTGAAGCGAAAATATAATATACTTAAGTCATGATAAATATTACTGATTTGTCAATGTTGTCTGTAAAAGTTATACTTTAGAGTTATCTACTTACAAAATGCATATGTTTAGATGTCCTTTGTTATAATTAGCAACATAAGTAATTTTTTAAACCATCATAACTTTGACACTGTCTCACAATCATCTTTGTAATATGTTTATTCATCACAAAGACTTATCTTATATTTTTTCTAGTTTATCAGTGTTGTGGTTATCTTTATTTTACATTTAAACACCAGTTTCGTTGAAAAACAAATACAACATTTGAGCTCAAATTCTTCTATTGATGGGGATAAACCAACAATTTTTATTGTGATTGATATTGTCGATACACTTTTTTTGTTTTTATTTAGTGCTGTGTCTCATTTATGGTCTTTAAAATGATAACATTTATATTGAAACGTGGATTCCTACAATACTTGTTTTATTAAAATGATGTGATATTAATAATTTATCAATACAATGGTAAGTTGGTTATATTGCTGATTCCAGTCTCAGAATTAACAATTGTAAAATTTTGATAAAATTTGAAACTTATCACTCCAATAGAATTTCGTACTTGAGTAAACATTAATTGATTGTTACGGTAAAAAATACAAATAATATTTCTAAAGTATTGTGAAAAAGAGTTTAAGCCAGAGGTTTCCTTAAATTGTAGAAAGCACTTCCATATACTCAGGAAAAATGCATCTAAGCATTATAATCATACATTATTAACAAATGTTAACCAAATTGCATTAAATAAAAGAACACATTAAGAAAACTTGTCACCTATAGGCCTACACTTAATACATTCTACCTTTTTTATGCAAAGTATCCGTAAATTTCACATTCAATCCAATATGAGAATGAAATTATTGACAGGTTGGTTAGTTTTTGGGCAGTATAATGTATTAAATCTTTATAAACATTATTACATAAACTAAACACGTTACATGTAACATAACTTATTCTTCATTAATTTTGCCAAACCGTTAGCTTAGGTGGTTAATGCAGTAAGAATGACCATAAGAGGGTGGGGATTTAAATACCAGGGAAGAGTGAATAATAATTTTGTTCATTCAACAGTATAATAATTCCTTTGAAGTATCAAATACGACATCAAGAACAAACTTATATACTCACGCTCCTTTAATTTTTTCCTGTAGTATCTTTAAACCTTATTTATTGTTATAAATAGGACTACTAAACATCGTCTCTTAAATATTTTGAAAGGGGGTTAGAAACCTCCCCTCTAAGTTACACTATTATGGCTTGGATGAATAAAATTTTTGGCATTTAGCTAGCTTCTCTAATGCACACAGCTTGAAATTTTGTCTAACCCAATGTATATTCCAGGGGGCAGTAGAGAAGTTGGAGCTAGGGTTTGGTCAGTTTGTGTACCTAGTACCCAGGGACGGTTGGGGGGCTTTACCAGGGGACTTGACCCCCCTGAGGCCCCCCATCTCTCGGGTGCGCTTCACCTTCACTGGGTTGGCTGGGTGTAACAGTCCTGAGGAATGCCTGGTCAAGACAAAGGAGTTAGAGATGTTCTACAGGAACAAAGGACACCCTGACCTGCCTTACAAGTAAAGTTAATCTGTTATAGTTGCGTTAATTAAGAAACACTATAGGATTTGTTGTTGGATTGTTTTACTAGAGTATTTTTGTGTGCTGTTAGACAGGTCAGCTTGATTGCACTTAACATTTAAAACTCTTTTGTTTATGAGGGTTTTGGCTGCCGGGTTGTTATAAATATTCCTTTATCAACCATTGGACACAACGGTTGAAACTTGTTATTTTTAGAAGTTATCCTGCCTTCTTCTTCGTTCTACATTGTACCTCAGCAACAATATTTGGATCTTTTAATAATTCTTTCAGTTCCCAGCTATGCTTTAATCTCCATTGGTGTTGTAACTCTATACAACATAATAATAAAAGATAAATCAGATAAAAAGTGTATTATTTCATTTACAAAGAATAGAAACTACGGTACGGTAACATAAACAATAGCAAGCCAAAGAATAAAAATTATATGATCGGCTGGTAATTAAAATGCAGTCAATTAGAAATCTATAACAATTGTACATCCTCTAAAGTTGGCCCGTACACCTGACTGTCATTTTGAGGCAGCAAAAATTAAAAATTAATTTCCAATCAATATTACCATTTGAAAAACAATTCTTGACACACACCACCTATCTGATTTTAAACTAAGTATAAATGTAAGTTTGTCTGATCTATTCAGTTTTCTAGTGGGAGGTGATGGAAGAGTGTATGAAGGAGGCGGTTGGAACTACGACACGGAGAAAAAACCAAAACATATCTGGCTGAAGGGCAAAACAATAAGCATCGCCTACATGGGCAACTTCAGCAGAGGTATGGTGAACACTGAAAACTACATAGTATAAATTTATCTTTAAGTTTTTATGATCTACGGTAGATTCTTGTTTATTTGATGCTCGTTTTATCTGACTCTTCCTGTGGTCCCTGTGTACGATTTTTTTACATAAAATCACATGTTTTCTGTTCTGTGTAATCTGCTTTCGTTCAAGTTTTTACCACATTTCTAAGGAAAAAATTACTAACAATATGATAATAAATAGCCAATAACAAAGAATGAGCTCAGTAAACAGTTCAAATCTATGAACTAAGAAAATGTGACGGGGGAAAAATCTACATAGACTTAGATTTACAAGTTACAAGGGTAATAAACCTACGCCCTACCATTTTGAAGCCATTTGTTTACACTTGTACCAAATCATTTTGGCATTTCGTTAATCCAAAAATTTGTTTCAGCAGAAGACCCTCCATATTTGCAACTTCACGTTGCATTGGAATTTGTAAAATATGGATTAAAAATGAAATTTATTCATCCTCTATTTAGCCTTGAAGAGTTGGGAGCAGAATCTAGAGCTGGCACTTAAGATATAATGTTTTGTTAATAAAACAACTAAATGGAATTGTCTTATCATGAGACTTGTGCATAGCAAAAGTTTTATTTTAATGCTTTTAATTTATTTGTAGGTACAAATGTTAAGATAAAAACAAGAAAAATCCTCTTATTTTAGTCTATTTTAAACCTTTAAAAAATATACTTAGCAAATACTATTGTTTCTGTTTTGGTAGATTCACCTCCTTACGAACTGCTTTCCGTGGCAATGGACTTAATCAAATATGGGTTGAAAGTTAAAAAAATCAGGACTCTATGTAAACTTGTACCTTACTGGTCACCTATGATGAAACGAAAACCTGCCAAAACACATAAACAATAAATACCATTTCAATAATAAAAAAAATTATTAAATTATTATTAAATACAAACTTGGCAAAACGTATCGACAATAAACACAAACCTGGCAAAACAAATGGACAATTAACGCAAACCGGGCAAATACATGGACAATAAACACAAACCTGGCAAAACAGATGGACAATAAACTCAATCCTGGCAAATAAATGGACAATAAAACAAACTTGGCAAAACAGATGGACAATAAACGCAATCCCCGCAAAACAGATGGACAATAAACGCAAACCTGGCAAAACAGATGGACAATAAACACAATCCTGGCAAAACAGATAGACAATAAATGCAAACCCGGCAAAACAGATGGACAACAAACGCAATCCTGGCAAATACATGGGCAATAAACACAAACCTGGCAAAACAAATGGACAATTAAACAAACCGGGCAAATACATGGACAATAAACACAAACCTGGTAAAACGGAAGGACAATAAACACAATCCTGGCAGAACAGATGGACAATTAACGCAAATCTGGTAAAAAAACATGAACAATAAACGCAAACCTGGGTAAACAAGATTTTATTGATAATTAATTGTCTTTCATTGTAGAGAATTTGTGAGTTTATTATTGTACTAAAAATGTAAACAGACCATAATGAATTTATGCAAAATATACGTATACATTTGTGGTAGAAACGTGTTTCGTAACTTTTGACGTGTTGTAATTCTATGTACACAGCTTCATAACAATAAATATTATGATTTGTAATATCAATTGGAACTAATAAAGTTGGTTGATTTAGAAACAAAAAAATAATATAAAAGAAAATTGATGTATATTTATGTTACTTATGTAAGATAGCAGAGTGAAAATTTAAAAACGTACGTTTTCAGGAAAAGCACTTTGCAAATTTTTTTCCCCTTTTTCCAAAACTTTTATTATTTTTTTTATTTCATTAACATTTGAAGTTTCATAAAATGCCCATGGTAACGCAATATCTTTGGTAGTTTTTTTTTTAAAGAGCATCTTTATTGGAAAAACACAAAATCCTGTCACGACCATAACGGACCTTTAAATGAATATTAAAAATAGTTAATATTATTTTTATAACTATGTTTTGCTATAAACTAATTTACTTTTATGACCATTATACAATAAAAAGGTCACTGAGCTTTTGATATATTTGGTCTTTCTAGAAAAAAATAAAAAACTCAAAAAATTGAAAAAAGCCAATAAAATCTTTTTAAGTTTGTATAACTCTGAAAAAACTTACCTGAGACCCGAAAAATCGTTATGTTTGTATAGAAGTGTGCTTCTTTTGTGTATAAAACATTGAAATATCATGATATTTTAATTTTTGATATTTTTATGATAGAAATCATAAACGTGATGGTCAGGGACAAGCGGCACGGTCGTGAATTGTCTGGAATAATCTAAATCTTTTTAAACAATCCTTTTATAATACTGTTAGATATAATACAAATATGTGTTTAAATTGAACTAAACTGTTCGATTTACAATAATATTTAAGATATTTTCACGACCAAACACAGTATAATCCATAAGGCTGGATTGGTCGTGAAAAAACCTGCAATGGTCGTGAAACTTTGGTCGTGAAATTAGGTGTTATTTGGCTCTGTTCTGGCGGTAGCCCTGCACCTCATGTTCGAGGATACAAAGTGGACTTCTAGGTCAATCTAGCAATTGAAATATCTTGTAAACAAAAATTAACACCATGTCTACTTCATCGAATGACTACGTACGGTCATGGACACACCAAAATTTAAAAAAACACAATCTTTCCTTTATTAATCTTGTAGTTCCTCCTTTCAACTCGAAACGACCGGCACTACAATCCTGACGTACACCACGAACTAGTCTCTAAAACCAACTGACTCCATTGACGCCAGGCTTGCCACTGTCGTGCTCCAAAGTTAAAAATTTTTCCCAAATAGTCGTGACGCCAAATCGAGGGACAGACTTATTTTGTCATGGTAGTCAGTTTGCAATGACAATAAAATTATAATATGCTCCTTTTTTAAAAGTTTAATAACCATTGATGACATGAAAATATGGCTTTATATATTTCGGCATGAATAATTAGTCTAAAAACCGCGTGAAAGTTGGAAAATGTACCCTAGGGACACGTCATGGTCAAGAATTTCGAGACTTTAAAAATAAGAAAAAAATACCTAGAACCTATTTAAAACCAAATAAATGTGTGTAAAATGTTGCCCCCGCCCCAAAAAATATTAAAACACATAATAATAAACTACAAATCCAGTATCTACGAAGTAAAAGGCCAGGGACATGAAAACGTACGATTTAAATTTTCACTCAGCAACACCATTGACTACATTAATAGCAAAACTGTATTTTTAATTAATATCACAAAAAATCACATAAAACATTTTTATTGAGGAGTAAAGGTGTTTTAACTACAATGCAATGGTTACTTTTATTATTACAAACAAAGTCTATAACTTATTTAAATAAAATTACAATTAAATTATGCAGTTTATGTCGTACTCCCGGGCTGTGAAGTTTGCTTTTCTCTGTATGGAATGATTCTGAAGTTTGGTTTCAAGATACCTGTTAACACCCCATATTCTATCAGCTCCAATGCTAAATTCTGCATCAGCCAAGTTGGGTCGTCAACTAAAAAAACACAAAAAAACAAATAAAATAATGTATAAACAAAAACAAATATAATATTAGTAGTAGTTTTAAAGTTGCTTTGCAAGAGGTATGACAGCACAATAAACGTTTGTCTTTAGATTCTATGAAAATACAAGTCTAGTGTTACCACTGATGAACGTATTATTCATATAGTGTTCTAAATAGGGGTAAACATACATAGCTGTACTAATTATGGGACTTAATTGTTTTTAATCATCTTACTATATAAGTTTAAGTCTTGGCGTACGTATATATAAGCCGTGTTTTGATCATAATTTACAAAAAATGTAAAACATTACAATTTTTTTACAAATTATTTTCCAAAGAACGATTTGTAAGAAACATTTTGCAACAATGCAGATTGAATCATGAAGATAAATACAAAACTTACACTTGTAGTCTCCAATGAAGGCGATGTCGAGCATGTTTCCCTTTAGCCACTTGAGGTGTTCTGGAATGACAGGTTCTGTATACCAGCCTCTTCCTTGATAGACATAGCCCTCGCTGCTGATTGCAAAACTGGAACCACATTGTGAAAGTTTTTATAAATGTGATAAATCCTTAACCTGTTCTTTGCAAGGGCATGAGCATAAAATTATCACAAAGTACAGCTGGTATTGGGATAAATAGCAAAATTACAGTATGCTCAATAATTAATTGCATCATTATAGAATGAACTGACTGACTGAACTTGCCACACAGTTTTACTAAATATTCTATGCAATATTTGTCAACTACGTCTTGACAGTATCTGTTGTATAATTTTTATTCAAAAAGAAAATTGCTGAATGAGCCACTCAAAAAAAGTTTACTACAGAATAGAGCACTACGGCCGTTTCGGAGATAACTCCATCGTCGGGTGCGTAGTCATTATACACTAAACTGAACTTTTTACATTTTTAAATTTTTACGTGGTTTCTTCATTTTCATTTGCGTCAAAGTTTAATAAATAATACATGCAACACAAGACACGGACACGACAAAAAATGTAAATATATGATGACTACACACCTGACGATGGAGTTTTCTCCGAAATGGCTGAAGTGCTCAATTAACAGTATTGCGAAGACTGTAGATAGTTAGATACCTTTAGATACTTTAGAAGTTGGATATGACATAAAATATGCGATAGATCACAATATTTCATCCAAGTTTCATCTGGTTGAAAGTCGCTGATCCAATAGAAATCAGTATATTCATTTTGAATCCTTCCGGAATTGGTAATCAATTATAACACGTTACGTACCTTGACGTCCACAATTCCCAAGTCGAACTTCCGTTGACTAGTTTTGACTACTACGTAGTCATTTTCAAAATGGAACGTTAAAATATTTAATCCATTGAATTTCGTCAAATCTCCTTGACGTGTGCCGGCCGGCCAACTATGTTAAATGTCTACCATGTTCGTGTTGTGTTTGTGTTCAATGTATTTAAGAAGATTTGACGACATTCAATGAATGAAATATTTTAACGTTCCATTTTGAAAATCAAAACTAGTCAACGGAAGTTCGACTTAGGAATTGTGGACGTCAAGGTACGTAACCTTTTATAAGAAATCAGTAATTTATATAGGCAAGTTCTGGCAGTGTCTCAATTAAACTAGGTAGATTATTATACTAAAACTGGTGAGACTGTAACATGGGAACAGAATGTCTAGTTTTATCCTCAGAGGCTTTACTTACTTCCAAGGCAGGTCGCCCAGACCTTTGTCCTGGTAGCTTTTCTGCACATTCTGCATGATCTCAGCACAATCCAACAAACTGTGGCATTGTTTGCTGCCTGTATAGCTCAGCTTCACGTAAGGGATCGGCACCCAAAGGTCCCATTTCTTCTTTCCCCTTAGCGCCTTCCATTGAGCTCTCATCACCAACGGGATGTTCAACCCATATTTGCTTCCTATTTCCTTGGGCTGTATTATTTCTTCTTTGAGCATCCTGTTGCGGGATTAAGAGAATCATAATAATTAATGATTTATCAATTTCAGCGATGTACATTTGATGTGTCTTTTAAGCTGAGTATGAATACAGAATGGAGCAAGATAATATGTGTAGCTTTGTTAGAGACTAAGATTAGTTGTTGCATTACTGCCTGGGCCAAATATTTAAAACTTGATGATGAAAGACATTGGGGTCCTGTTTTAAGCTGGTAAGAAGCAGCTTTTTCAGGATCAAACCGGCAAAATCCTGATTAGGCTGTGAATTTGCTAGATGTAACAGATGCACTACGACTTGAAAGTGCTGCGTCCCAAGTTGATGGCAGAACGTAGCAGTATTTTCAATTGGTTTCCAAGACTGCACAAGATACGCTTAGTTTTGGTGGTGGTGTGCAGGTTGGAAATAAGAGATCATGTTAGCAGCTGCTTTATTGTTATGTGATTGTTTACATTATGGTATTGATATTTTGGTGAATCATAATAGTTTTGGTGAATCATAATCATTTTGCTGACTCATCATAATTTTGGTGAATCATAACCATTTTGGTGAACTCTGAAGAGTCTAAGCGATTATTCAAATTGTACAAAAGAAGTGAGGGCTTGTTCAAACTAATGATTAGATATTTAATCTCCTAGCTACCCACAAAATGTTGTATCCTGACACTTTATCAATAAGTCATCACCATCACCGTTAGGAAAGTTCACCTTAGTTATGGCTCGAAAAGGCAGGTCATGGTTAGCTCTCCATTTTGTCGAGCGTCTGTGTGGCAGCCAGCTCAAACTGACTACTCCGAGATCAGACATTCCAAGCCGCAGCAAAAAGTGTGAACGTATTAGTTACAGGGCCTTTTATTTGCAGTGTAGGAAACTGCATGGACGATTCTTTGTAAGAAAAATATCCTGCGACTTGGATACGCTTACATAGCGGATAGATTTGTTAGATTACGCATCTAATTAACCACAGCCTTACTAGGCAAGCACAAACAGCTTAGTAGAGGTGTTATTCATGCAGGGATACATTTTTGAACAACACTCTGGAACCTCTCCCATTGAAAAGAATATTTTTAAAGTTAAAAACTATTTTTATGTTATCGGAATGGAAAATGAGAAGGGATAGTATCAATAAAGCAGGACCTAACAGGGGAGTTATTTGAATGAAAAATTCTTCATCATGTTATCTTTATACTTCAAAATATATCAACATTATTGTTTATGATGACAAATAGGCTACTAAATTAACAAAATTAAATTAATTGATACAATAAAGACTGTTACCTTACAAAATATTGCAGTTACTACAGTTTTTTTAATAATTCCCATTCATGAAATTGATTTTGAGACAAATATAGAAGTTTTGTTTTGAACATAGCCCCTTGTACACACAAAGATATTGTGATACTCCTGTTTACATTTGAGAGTCAAAGTCACTAAATCGTTGTTCTTAGTAAAGAGTTATCTGAGTTTTAATTTGTTAAACAAACTATTACTGTTGATAAGATCAATTGCCTAAATTGTATTTTGGAAACGTGGGGTAAACACTTTGTGTTATTATGACCAGGCATTGAGAAGGCTGTGTATGCATGAGGATTAGAAATAGTTATATTTTCATAAATTTAGTAAAACAGTAGTTTTGGCAATATAGTAGTTACAAAACACGCACATTTATGATTCTTGTACATTCTTATATAAAAAAAAAACATTATTTGGCAATTATGCCCAACAGGTTGATATTTTGAGAGTATTTATTTTTGTCTTACTAACACATTGTTTAAAATAAAAAATTTAATCGGCCTTCTATGGAAATTATTGTAAGTGACTTGGTTTCCAATGTACTCTTAGAAAATTATAGAACCTTAAATTAACAGTACAACCATAATTACAAACCTTAATTACAATACTGGTACCTATGTAATTAAAACAAATATCACTACTTAATTCTAATTGATCCTGTTACACCGACTAATGCACCGATTGTAAAGTCTATAATAATCAGGAAGAGAGAGGTACTGTCAAAAATATCATGGTATTTCCTATAAATTAGGAACATTTTTAGATACTTTGGCCAATAAATCGTTTAAAAAAATTCAAGTTTTGGTCTGAAATACAATTTTTATAAGGTTAATGAAATAAAACCTTGGATCTCTAATTTCAGGCTTTGCTTGTATTTCAAAACCCCATTAAAAGACAAAAAATTTATTTTAACAAGCACAAAATGATGATGTAATTTTTTTACAATGATGCAATTATTTTCATGACTTCACCAGTAAACTGCCCAAGCAGATGTTACAAATGTAAATGATTATCATTGAAAGGGCTGTTGAAATCCTTTGAGCTATCTTAACATGTAAAATCAACGGATTGGAAATTAAAAATATATATAAATATACAACTAGTGAACCAGAGGAGTCTCCCCCAATTTTATTAGTGTATAATCGTGTTGTATCTTCCTTGATGCTACTCCAAAAGAGATGAGGTCAGCAGCCCGGCTTTCGGCTTCAGGGCTCGGTTTTTTATCTGCAAGAAAAGTTTATGCTTGATTTAGTATTTTAATAGTGTAAATCTATTCTATATATAATTCAGTTTTTTAAAAATCTTTGTACAACTAAATCTAGAGTTCTGCTGGACCGATTTTTTTAATTAATGGGGTCGTTGGAAAGCTTAATTCGTGTTGATTTGCAAATAATTATGAAAGTTTGTTTTTGTTATGATTTATGGTGAAAAATAAAAAAAAACATGTTTTCCATAAGAAATACATTGAAAACGGTGTTTTCACACATTTTATTTAAGTGAGACTTTTGGCTGCCTTTTCTGAGTGTTTCCAAGAAGTGTATGGTATCAATTTGTAGAAGATTTTATTCTCTTTCAGAATATCACCTTCCACTTTAGTCGATTTCGATGCATTTTGTGCATAACTCGAAATATATGTCAAAATGAATGCCGATGATTAATAGAAAATCTGTGGTGCGTCCATACCTTTAGTTTAAGGCCAAAATTATGAAAATCTGTCGGGTAGAAGACCTTTAACCCGACTCGGAAAAGAAAAACCAATACTGTAATTTTTATAGATGGCAATAATTGGTTTACCAGTATGCATAATCTAAACATACAAAACATGTGTTAATAATTTAACAGATTATTGTTATATTGTTATTTAATTGATTTTTCTTTGATTAAATGTTGTTAACAATTTGCATTTGTGTTTACTTTAAAGTAAACACAAGTACTTTATACTTATACTTAAACTAATCAAGTATACTTTATACTTGTGACGAGCATAGAAGAACCCGAACGGCGACACTGTGCGGAAATTCCTAGCTCCCTGGGCACAGGGTCTTCTTCCACCATGAGCGTTGTAGTACATGAGGGCGAGGGGAAAGGTGTTTGCCTTTGCAATGGACACCAGGACCAGTGCTAGACACCACTTAAGTGTGAAGGATTCCTCCGTACCTTACTTCTCTGTGCAATGAACAACAAATTCTTAAAAATAGTAATTTGAATTTGGTATCCCTGAGCAACCCGAATAAATTACTTTCAGTTGAATTTAATTTTAGATGAATCCCAAGATAAGTGTTACCTGTGAAGTTTCCGATGAAGGCTATGTCCAGACATTTCCAGGAAAGATACTTGAGGTTGGGAGGTCTGGCCGGTTCACTGAACCACCCTCTTCCCTTGTACACCAGACCGTCTTCCCCTATCATGAAACTAAACAAATAGTCTCGGTCAGTATCTTCAATAAAATCTTGAAACTTGCAAGAATGGATTTTTTGTATATTCCATTTGAATCGATGTAGTCCTCTAATTTTCAGCACGTGAACCTGAATTGTATTTCACTGTGAGAGGGGGGATGAAAGAGTTATCACAGAGCTATCACAGCTGCTTATTGACTATAATATTAATTGACAACAATTTTGGGTCATTATTCTTTGTCTTACTCCCTACTTAATTAACTTTTCTTCTTCACAACTCTTTACTTATTTACTTTCTCACTTCTTGATAATTCTAATCTATTCTGCATTTTCTGTCTTTCTTGATAGTACAACAACATTCTGGAGTTTCTGAACGTTCTGAACTTTTGATGTGCATGACACTACTTTTGCTGTATTCAAGGTACCTACACATTTATCTTTATGTTTGATAGTATGGTATTGAGTTCAAAATATACAATAGCAAAGGGCACAGTACGAGATAATAACACTTAAGGGGGACCAAAAACGTAGAATACCACCCACCTCAAACTCGAAAATGTTAACGAAAACAACCCTTTTCTATACTATGTCCATGGAGCAGGGCCACTTTCATAAATGGACAGAGGTTTTAGGTTTGTTGGGGGCACGAGGAAGTGAAAAATTCCCCCACAAGTACTACAGGTGAGAAGAGCGCAATTATCTCTTGAGCTCATAGTCATCACATGTAAACCTCAGGCCTTATAGGGGGAGAAACTAAAAATTGGTTACATCTGATCCGTATGGATAATATATTATAAAATCAGCTGTGAGCTGTGACAGATAGAATTTCTCAGCTGTGAAAATAAACAAAAGCTTATCTTACTTGTAAGGAATGTCTCCTAGATTAGCTTGGCTAATGTAGAACTTCTGCATTGTTTGCAGTATGAAACTGCATGATCTCTTGTCCCTGCAGGCTTGTGTTCCTGTGTGCGTGAAGCGTACGTGAGTCACCGGTATTCGAAGGGAGTGTTTCCACAATGGGGCACAGGCCCCCCACCCTATACGTTGAACCCCAGGAATCATGAAGTCCGGGAAGTTTTCCGCTATGTTGACTGTTGCCTGTGCAATAAAATATGACTCTTAATCAAATGCTGGTTCTCCCACAGTAATTGGTCAGTTTATACGTGAATTTGCAAGCAAAAACACATTTAATGCATTCAACCTAGGGTCAATCAAATCCTAAAACTTTACCAATCCATTAGTCAAGTCCATTAGTCATTCCATTAGTTTGACTAAGTAAAAATATAAAGTTCTTGTTTGCGTTAGAAACTAGTAATTTGGATCAGCACAATCTGTGAAAAAAAAACTGGTGACAACATTAACATAGTAACTGTTAGTTAGCAAATTTTATGGATCACCAATTTAGGTTAAGGAGAGAAGGTGTGAGTTTTTGGGCAGAAGTCTACAGTTGGCACTATAAACATTACTATTATACTTCTTTTCTCTCAATCCTTGAACCTCATTGGTCCTCTACTTTATCACACCCTAGTGCTGCAAACTAATTAAACAATGGATTAAAGGGAATCTTTTTTATTCTAAAAAATGAATTTAAAAAACTAATTTTAAAAACAGTCTTAAGTAAAATTTATTTTATCCACTTACCGGTTCTCTTTCCATTTTGCATGGGATGAACAATATTAATTGTTACCAAGAAAACAATTATACTTTTTTATGTTGCATAAATTCCCATTTCAATTATTAGTTTCTCCGTAGGGGTTGCTTAAACATTTTGAAAGTAATTTGAAACTCGTCAATTTAAAACATTAATTTTCTATACCGGTACCTAGTTTCATAAAAAGTTTCTAGGATAAAACATGTGTTTTATCCACCATTGTAATGTATCCAAGAAAACATACTATCCCCTCTTTATTTAGTATCTACTATCAGATGATCATCTGTGTAAAAGGGGGGATATCAGTAATGATTATGAAAGCTCATAAAGATTTTTCGATATACTAACCAAACAAAAGACAGAAAAGGTAAAAAGTGGATGTATTATGTATATTTTGTGTTTGACTTATAGGGTTTATCCTTGAACAAAAATAAGACATTAATAGTCTAAGGCTGTGTGGTATATGAATGCAATTTTGAGGCAAACCCTAACTGGAACATGTATGGTAATTCACTTTTTATTTTTTTAATTTACATACAAAGGCCTAATTTGGCTCTCAAAAAAGTGCTTGGATATAAGAACTACCACATTCTCCTCTATTGTATGGTACTAGGTACTTAACTTTTAAATATAATAAATGGTGAGCAAAGTGGCACTTTGATGCACACAAGAGCAATGTTTATGCACAAGCTGCAGGCGAGTGCGGAATGATCTCGAGTGCAGCAAAGGCCTTTTGCACTCGTGTTACACATTATATTTTTCCTACAGTCACTATAAAGCATATAAATAATTAGTCTTTCAAACACTATTCAACACGTTTTTAGGTTCAGCTGGCAACACAAATAGGTGCCCTAGAGAAAGTAGTCACCGGTCCGTATCACTCCGCTATTTTTCCTTGGCAAGCAATCTGCTCCACGACTTGAGAAAATAGTTCCGTGTGTTTTTGTAATTTGAAATGGTTTCCGCGCCAAAAAAAATGCTTTAAAGGTATTTTCTTGTTTATTAAGATCGTAGGAATGTTTTAAAAGCGTTTAAAAGAAAAGTCCAGAAAGTTCAGAAATACCGAAACTATAAACACGAAATGACAGGTTAGATCATAGTTGTAATAGTCAATCAGCTGCTCATAGTATTATTATCTTTAAGTGTTGCCAACCTATTTCCAAGCGTACACGGATTGACGGATTACGTGCTTAATAGAACCACGCTGTTTTGTGTTGTTTGTTGGAATCCTGATGTGCGCCAAAGTATAAACTGTACGACAAAGTATAAATATGCAGAAATTAGCAGCTTTCTGTACTATAAACAGTACAAGGAAGCCAACTTTGTCGGCTGACTGTAGAAAAATTATTTTTGTTATTATTATCTTCATAGAATAATACAAATAATTTATTGTTGTTAAACATCAAAGTGCAGTGGACATAGTACCGCACATTTTATCATTCATAAACATATTTTTGTCAATACATTGCAATGTATTAAACACTTGAAAAAGAAAGCGCTAAAAATTAAAACAAATACATTTCAAAGGTATACAGAACATACAAATAGTGTGGGAAAGCAGAAAATATCAAGAAAACCTATTTATAAATAAACTAGATAAACATACATGCAAAGTGCAATTAGCTTTATTATATCAAATTTTCAATTCTTGAGTTTTCTTGAAACGGAATAATTCTAAAACCAGGTTTAATGAAACCTTGCTTTATCCCGTATCTAATAAGCTCCAATGCAGTTGAAATCATGAGGTATGTGGGTTCGTCTCCTGCAAAGAAAAAGAAAAAATAAACTTTTAAAGATTAATTACTCATTAACATTTTACCCGACATTTAATTTTATAGAACAGAAAGTTTTATGATGTTTAAAAAGAAAGTTTTTTTTAAATTATCATGTTTGCAACGTATTATATACCCTTCAAAATCGTCTCCAGCCGATATGTAAGGATGACAAAGACATACAGGATGTAAGATTAATTTTGATAGAGTTTTAAGTTACTAAAACGGTTTGTCTTTTTGGAATAGCAATTTTACCAAGGATAATTCGTATGAGCAATTGTCTATAGCAAGGGAGTCATCATATAGTTGTCACTGAAGTTAATACTTATCGCATAGTTACGTTTGTAGTTACCAGAGAAGTCGCCTATGTATGCGATGTCCAGGCAAGTGAGAGATAGGGTTGAAAGGTCAGCTGGCAGATCACATTGATGATACCATCCCCTCCCTTGGTACACGAACCCATCGCCACCAATCAGGAAACTGAGAAAGTAATAGAGGATTTAGATATAATAGTGCGATGGTGGCTTTGCTCACCACTTCAATTAAAAATCTAATGTTTTGTTTGATAATAAAATTAAAATCATCATGACCATCATCAAAATGTATTTCATAATTAATCCATTCATATAAAATAACGAAAGCTATTTAAACACATGTGAATGCTGAAGTTAAACTAAGGGAAACTTCTTCATTTACAATTTTTACTGTCCTTCCACCAGGAGCTTCAGACTACTCACTCTGGAACAACCTACATATAATATGTTGACATCACATACCAACATAATTTTAAGTTTTAAACCAGAATACTATATAGCCTAAATCTTTGACTATTGATACAACTTTTGACTATCGACTTCAGTATCCAAAAGTAGTATCCAAGTTGTTTAGTAAAATATTTGATAGGGAACCTAAATGTCAGAGATAACTTTTGAGTATCTGCTATTTTTTTTAAACCACTGCAGTAAGAATTTGTCTTATTCTTGTCCACAAAAAAGTTTTGAGGATTTTGTTTCACGTATATAATGAGATATAAGTTTCTATTGTCATCTATAACCTGTAAACTAAGGGAAACTTCTTCATTTAAAATTTTTTCTGTCCTTCCACCAGAAGCTTCAGACTACTCACTCAGGAACAACCTACAGTTCATGTTGACATCATATACCAACATAATTGATGATACAGGTTTCTTTAGTCAGTGTCTAATGTAAGAGCAAACCAATACATAAATAATTGCTGTTATAGCAAGTTGTCCTACAGTTCCAAACTTGGTACCATAGTTTGTTTCTAAGTTCAAAAAGAATTTCTACAAATTTCTAGAATTGAAATTTCTAGAGTTCAAGGTACCAGTACTGACATCTACTGGGGACTAAGACAACTCATTTCCACCATCTAACATTATTCCAACTATATCTCCCACAGAGCAAATCTTGTGCAAGACAGAAAGCAGTCAAACACTATCCAGCATCAGAATTTGCTACGGAATATCTCTTTGAAAAGTTTCAAACGTTAAAATCCTCTTGGGAAAGAGGTCCCCAAATGTCTTCCCACTGTGATTCCCTCATAATGAACTCAGGTTACACTTATGAGATATGAGAAGACATTTTGAACATTGATAAAAATTCAAGGTAAAGGTGTCGTAAAATTATCAACGGATAAGCAGGAGCGATTTGATTTACATTTAGCGGTGACTACTTAACTACTGAATGTTTAGTAGGTATACCGGTATAGTCAATACTTTTACGCTTTGAAAAAAAAACAAACAAATTGGTCCTGGTTAGGTCTTTCCAGTGCCTCCAGTTATAGCTCCTTCCCTATGGGAGGGTTCTCTAAGACTTAAATTACATCTACAGTAGACTCCCTCTTATCCGGACTACTGGGGACCGAGGCCAGTCCGGATAACGGGTTTTCCAGTTAAACCGACGTCCCCAAAAACTCGTTAAAACGGACTTTTTACTGTGATATTCAACTTAAATTTATGAGAGCATTGTATTTAGACACGTGATCACTGGTCTCAAATCTTTCCCACAAGAACAGTCGCGTCAGTACTGCCCACTTCCTGCCGATCTAGTCCGGTTAAATCAATGTGCTGATAAAAATTGTCCGGTTAAAGAGATGTCATTTCCGCCGAGTGTAGTCCGGTTAAACCGATGTCCGGTTAAAAGGTGTCCGGATAAGAGGGAGTCTACTGTATTACCCTTACTTGTAAGTGATGTCTGCATGGCCACTCATCCTGTGAACTCTCTGGATGTCTTGTGTAGCCCTGACACATTGGGAAGAGAAGTGACACAGTGGACCTCCGGTGTAGCTGAACCGGATGTGGCTGATGGGATGTTCTAGTGCCGGACCCGGTTGGTGAACCAGCGGAAGTACCGACCACGACTGCTGGGTAACCACGTAAATGTTGACTCCATCCCTCAGTTCCAGCTTACGAAGCACCATGTCGTAAAAATTAGCTCGACAAGTCCTAAAAATTAGAAAAAATGATATTTTCTATTGGGTTTTTAGAGTGTTCTTGCCTAAACAAGGATTAGAGACAATATTGCATTAACTCAGTAATTTCACCCAGCTTTCGTGTCGGTTATAAAACAGAAATTTTTCAGTTTTGACTCTCATAATAAATCTTCAGTAAATTTTAGTGAAAAAAGAGTAACATAGATACTGTTCTTTGTGTCATATTATTTGTATTTGTGGTAAAACGTTTCAAAGCTACATTTTACATATCCCCTGATCAGTGCTAAAAGAACACAATTTCGTAGTTTTTTAATGTAATGCCCACAATCTTGCCATCCTCAAATGATAAGCTGCCATACGAAAACAGCACGTGCATTAAAGTAAGTCATTTAAATATTGTAGTCATAAGAATTACATGTACAAAATAAAACAAAAATAGGATTGAGTAAGGTTAAATTCTGATTAGGAATAGTAAAATAAATAAAAAAGGTCCAATCATTTACGGTAATTAAAACAAAAATTCAAACTTACTCGCAGGACCTTTGAATTACAGTAAATAAGGTGAAATCTGAATCACCTTTTCATAATAGTTTATTTCATAAGTAATATCATAGCATCTTCTGATAAAAACTGCGGCATAACTATAAATAAGTGGTCTGAATCTGTCCTCTTCATGGTTATAAATAAGGTATCAATAAAATTTGATTTGCATCATTACCTACCTAAACTTTTTACGAACCTAATTTGAAATCTCTTATATCCATCCACGAATATTAGATCAGAGATGGTATGAATCATAAGCCAATGACATCACTGGCCTGAATCCTAATTATTGAAACAGCTGGTTTGCACGATTTTTGACACATTCATTTGAATAATAATACAATGTTTACTTTCAGAGTGACATTTATGCCTATGATTCATACCGTACTGTACCGTTTCTGTTCTAATGTCCGAGGATGCATCTATTTTTGTATAGCATATTAATATTTTTTTTCTTGTTATCGTGAATTAATATTAATTTGGGTTAATAACAGCATATGACGCCAATAGCATAGTTTTCCCAGTATATGTAATAAATAAAAAAATGACAGTATTCATACTTTTTTGTAATTTAAAAGGTAAAGGAATATTTAATTTTATACAAATTGTTTTTGAATATAGAGAAACTTTACTAATAACACGTTTTTAGAAAAGTACTATATTTTTTACAGTAAAGTAAAATACATACCTCAAAAAGAATAAGCTAAGTATGCCTACTCCATGAACAATATATTAACATTTCAATAACATAAATTATGATACACTAACGGCAAACAACCTAATGAGACTTTCATTTTGATTGGAATGTGTGTTATTTCTACATTTTTGTAACATATGATCAAATAAATTATTTTTACAAAATAATGTTTCCAAGATGTTAACTTGCTAATAAGTTCACTTAATCTAAATATAAATGTAATCTGTGTTTGTGTATGATTAATTAGAGAAAAAAAGGTTTTACCTAAAAACGTTTCGTATGCTTGCTGAATATTATACGAAATACCAAAAACTAACATAATATTTGCAATAAAGTAATATTATAATTTCTTCCGGCACAACGCCCAAAACCTGGTACAATTTCAATTTAATAATTGGTGAAATTTTCTGGTAGTTTTTCCTTGGGTGGATTTTTAATGAGATTAAAGGTCTTCAGTTTTTTTTTTCAGAGCAACTTTAATCACTTGAATAGTAATATCCAAAACTAAATATTCACAATGATAATAAAAAAAAAAAATCTTTATTAACACTTTGTCACATAACACACTAACTTAAGCTTTAATATGTTGAGTTTTGTGATTGTTTCGAGGAATAGCTTTCCGATCTTGTCTTGGGTACATTTTCGAGTTGGATGAGTTTGAATGTAGCTCCTAAGACTTTTCTTTTCAACGCGACTTTGATTACTTGAATGGCAGTAAAAGTCATTATGAATGGTGGAGGTTTGTCTGTAAAATAAATACATAAATGTTGGCTTTTCATAGAAAACAGGCTGGTATAGCTTAAAAATATGTTTAATAAGATGGATAAATGTCATGAAACACTAATCTTTGCAGCCAGTAAATCCAAATAAAGCTATACTTAATTAATATGATGGCATTAGCTTCCCAAAACAATTTTCTGGGGCTTGATATTCAGTTTTTTTTTTATTTTAATACAGTACTAGGCTACAATATATAGTATATCCAGGGTGTTTTTTAATATTAATTTTTATTGGTGACTTATCTCATATGATAACGCAAATTAGGATTTTTACAAAAATGTATATTGTGGTAGTTTTAACTCTCAACAAAATTGTACAACTCCAATGCTGTAAAATAAGGTCCAAATGTTATTGCAATCATGGTGATTTTACGTATACAATGCCTTGGTTAATACACCACTTTTAAGGGTTGTTGGCAAGGAAATGGGAGAAAGTATGTGCCAGTTTGTGACACCGTTTTATTTTAACGTCGTTTCTGTAAAAGTATTTTGTTTGACTTAAAATCATAGTTTTTAAGGTTGGTAAAACAACAAGAAATAACAAATAACAATTAAAACTGACTTTACAGCACATTCTTTACGAATCTATAAGTATATTGATATTCTTGGAGCTTAGTACTCACATTTAAAATCGCCAATGAAGCCAATATACAAGGCTGGTCCATCAATTGTCGCTGCTAACTCCTCTGGCAATGCTGGTGTGTCGCACCATCCACGGCCTTCGTAGACCTTACCATCCCCACCTACAGCCACACTGGAAACAATACACTCTAATACACAGTGTGCAGTGGTGATTAAGGGGGCTACAGAGACTAAAGCCCTCTCCATTGGACCCTGGAAAAATAAAATTGTTACATATATTTTGTCATAAAAATGTAAAAATGTCATAAATGGAGGTTTTTGGAGTCTTAGACGTTAGAATAATAGCCTTAGAATGTTACCACGTGGGAAAATACTAATTTTCTGGGGGAGGACCCTAGGAATCCCCTCATTTTGTTACAACCCCCTCCTTGAACCGCCAAAGTGTGTGTTGCTGACTTAAGGAATTGGTAACAATGTACAGTATTCAATTAGAAAATGTCTTTGAAAAGTTGATCTGCAGTGCGAAGTCAAACAAAGATGAGAAGTATTGCTGTAAATATTTCCTCAATTTTAACTTCAAAATACTAATGCCGTTTTGAAATTTTTTAATTTTCCTTAAAAAATCAGGCTAATATTTTGAAATGGGTTTTGAATCATATTTTTGTTTTGCTGGCAATCCTGCAAAACCAAGGGACCAAATTAGGTTAGTCTGTGCAAAGAAAATATAAGGATTAATAGAGGCATACACTATTTTCACATATTAATTGTAACCTAAGGCTTCACTCAAGGTCTTTAAGATTTTAAACTAAGCTTTTGGAAGACAACCGATTGGTGCCAACAATGTGCAGAAAGATTGTTTACATTTTTAAATGATGTTAGCGTTACAAATGCCAATTAAATATTAAGAGAGTTCAAAGCGAAGTACACCTTTCTATCTTCTGGAGACCATTTGAGTGGAGGCAGCCTACTGTGATGCTATTTTTCAGTTGATTCCAAATAAGTTTTTCTACATTACAAACCCCGTTTGGATGACACAAAGTTTACTACAGTACACACAGTTTAAATGATGTTGCGAACGCATTTAAAATTAAATTACAGACAGTATTATCAACACCTACTTGTACCGAATGTCAGGCTGTCCCTTGCTCATATCTTCTTCTTGTACTAATCTCATGTGTTTTGAGCAGTCATATAGTGATGAACAGATGCTAGTGTCTGTTTGACCGTAGACAACGTACTTGAAGGGAAGTTTAGACATTCCTCTGTACAAACACTCATTGGCGCCCCACAGCTGTCTTTTGGCTATAGTCAAAGATTGGCCACCTTGTAGATCAACAACCTCTACACCTCGCTGCAAAATACATAATAACATTTTTTACACCCACTTTTACTTAGGACGCTAGTTCTAGCCCATTCCCAGAGGGTTGCGGCATTATAACATAGAAAATCTGTTGGTAATGTGCGGGATTTGAACCCAGGACCTAAGGTACCGAAGTCCCGCGCTCTACCACTAGACGAGCTCACTCTCCAAACGCATTGCAAGTTCGATATATAAACATGATTTTCCCAAACTAAACAACTCTTATTTCAAGTTTGTTTTTGGTGATGGTAGATTTGTGCTATTTGAGAGGACGAGTGGAGTAATTTTTAATAGGTTTTGAAACTATGTTTTTATCATGTTTTGGGAACTAGAATCTGATTCTGATCTTAGGTGAGATAGTATGGAAAGCATAACAACATAAGGGCACAAACCCAGCCAAAGGGAAGTCGCTAAAGAAAGATTCACAAATAACTACAGTATATGGAAGGGTAAACAAAAAAATCTTTAAAGAACGATACAGTTTTCTATGAGGTTCACTTGTTGTAATTTTGAAGATCTACCTGGGTTTGTAAAAAGATGCAATTTTAGATCCTGAAACGAGAAAACTATGTTTTTTTGCTAATGATACCAATAAAACCCTGTAATAATCTCTTAAAGTAACAGACAATAAGGTATTAAATTAAATCCTCCTTTGCTTTTTAAAAGGTCTTCAAAAGACATTGTTGTTTAATTTGTGCTCTAGGTACACTTTGATATGATTAAGTTTTTTTCAGTAATGCATTCAATTTGTTTGCATAAGCTACTTATTTTTTTACTCAGATCAGATAGCAATAACTTACTTTTTTAATTCTTTGAGGAGGAAGATCTTGTGTGCTAGAAACATCTTCTAACGCCTCATTTCTGTGGTAAGTATTATTCCAAACGGGCTCCACATCATTATTGCCCATATTGGCTGTATTGTTCGATGATGTATCAACCACTGAATGGAAATTTTATACAGTTTTGTCCTTCACTAGCGTAGAATGAGAAACCCATTGAAATAAACATGGCCACCTTAATAACACAACACTTTTCAGATAGAAATAAGCTACCCTAAGTTCTTGATTATACTGTATTTTTGTTATGTGGCCACAAGTATCAGTGAGGTTCATTTCAAGGCGTGGATACAATTTTACATAGACCAAAGCTCAACAAATGTACTATAAGGTATTATAAGGTAGTCGATTGGAATAACATTTTTTCAAACAACTAGAAACAATAATCCTAACAAAAACTCTGCAGCTAAGTTTAATGAATGATCCTTATAGAACAATGATGGCAAATCATTATATCCAAATTAAAAAAAAGGTTGATTTAGTAACCTCAAAAAATAAAGATTCAATATTGTGGCAACCAAAGACGACAAGATTTTAATGTCTGCATTTTTTATGTCTCTGCCTATCTGAATAACCCTTTTAGTAGAGATAATTTATGTCAACTTATCATATAAATTATCTACTACAGACAATACTATTGATTGATTGGGCTGTCAATGCATTAATAAATAGCCACTGGTTGGTTGTTACAATCAAAAAATTATTTTGGTTTTTCGTTTTAGTAAAGCAATTTTAATTCATGATTCAAAGTGTAAACCATTTAAACATTTGTTACAGGGTTACTTACATTATACAAGAATTTTCACTGGAACACATTACCTTTACATAACTAGAGGTTAGCTTATATAAAAAAAAAATAAATAAAACAATTCAATTAAAATTATTTATTTAATTTCACATATTTGATCAAAAATACAACGAACAATAGAATAGTAAAAGAAGAAAACTAGTTCTTGGTTGTGGTATCTGAATGGTGAGAAACACGATAAGAACACTTTATCCAATAAAGATTGCTTCATAGTTTATAAACCATATCAGGGCTTGACTTTGGTTGAAACTTTGCAATTCTTTAACTATCTTGACAATAGGTTTGTAACGTCTCAATGACTTAAATCTGAATTTCATTTAATTGTATTTATTTTATTTTGTATTTTTATCAAAGTTTCTCAGGGATGGGTTCTTTGCCACGTGACTGATTTTATCCTAACTGCAGAATGTGTGAAATGTGAGATGTAATGTTAAGTTATACAGAGCCACTATGTGTAAGTGTTATTTGGTCGCAGCACTCTTAAAATAAGGTGCCAGACAACTACCAAATATGCGTGCTTGTTTAGTGTTAAGCCGCAGCACCAGCGGTCAGCCGGGGCCTGACAAATGCTTTGTATGGAGTTAAATTGTTAGTGCCACTACTTGTAAGTGTTATTTCGGTCGCAGCACTCTTTAAAAAAGGTGCCAGACAACTACCGAATGTGCGTGAGTGTTGAGTGTTAAAGCCGCAGCACCAGCGGTCTGCCGGGGCCTGACAAATGCTTTGTGTGTAGGCCTATTCTAATTTCTATCCTACTTACTTGTCTAATTCAAATTACCTTATTAATATTTCAAATGAGTACACAATTGGGACTGACCTTATTCCTTGTTTTTATTTTCTTTTACAAATACAAATTTGATTACTATTGATTATTGTTTTATTTGCGCCTGGCAAATGGTTTAAACCCGCAGCGCTGACTGTCAACTCGTGAAGTGAAGACTGGCCCGTGGACTGCTGTATTTATACCCGATTTGGTTGCTATGGAGACCATGGAATGTTCTAGAACTTTAAACCCAGATGTTTCCACCAAAAGTTATCTTCCTTTTCCGGCAGCCTGACGTCATCGCTGCCCACTTGATCGTTCTTGATCCATCAGCTGCTGTCGGCTGGAGCTCGAGCTGTCAGAGAAGCTATTGTAAACTAGTAAACAAACATTGAAACAAATGTAATAAATAAATATGTTTTAATTATTTAGTTAGTTGTTAAATTTACATGTTTATCCCTTTGAATGTGAAATAAAATAGTAATGTACATTCATAACTGTTATTGTGTTGCTGAAATATTTACAATGGATAACCTAACCTAAATACGGTAAGTGGGTAAGCTAACCTAGGTACGGTAAGTGGGTAGAAATATTCTTTATTACCACTATTTACAAAATAAACTATTAGAAACATTATTTCATTAGTAATTTAAAGAACATTAAGAAATATTTAAACTATGAAAAATGTGAGATAGGCCTACTTTTATTACAATTGATCTAACAAAAACCTAACCTAGCCTAGGCATAACATAGCCTAAAACGGTTACTGGTAAGTTAAATTGAAACATTACATTGTCCCCTAATTTGAAAAATAAAAAAATATTTACATATATACAAAACATTAGACAATACATAATCCTTTTTTTTATTTTGAAAATTACTCCTCTATTTCCATATAATTTGGTCTTAAGTCCAAAATGTCTTCGTCGTCATCTTCATCTATTTTTATCAATTTATACTCATTGATTTGTGGCTCAAGCCAGTGCACTAGATTCACATTGAGAATCATCTCTTCAAATATTATTCTTAGTTCTTCATCATCTATCCTTTTTAAATTGTTCTTTCCTTCTTCTTCTCCTTTCTTCATTTCTGCCTTCTCTTGTTCTTCCTTCTTCTTTTCCACTGTGATTTTTCCTTGTAACCTTCTCTTCTGTTCTTCAACTTCCATTCTTTTCTTCTCTTCTTCCAATTTCTTCTCCTTTTCCCTTCTTTTCATCTCTTCCTCTTCCAATTTTCTCTTCTTGTCTTCTTTCATTTTTTTCTCTTCTCCTTTTTTTAGTTCTTCTTTCTTTTTTCTGAGTTCTTCTTCTAACATGTTCACTACTTTCTGGGCTGTCTTAATTTCTTCATTTTCCATGATTTCTGCAAATTGTTCAAATTCTACCTTCCACCCCAAATTTTCTTCTAATTGCTTCATCATATGTTGTCGTTGCAATCTTGCCTTTTCTCTTTCTTCAGTGTAAATCTTCGGGCCAACACATTTTACTATTGTTTCTTCTGACACCTTTGTAGCCTCATGCTTTTCTTCTAATTGCTTCATCACATTTTGTTGTTCTAATCTTGCCTTTTCTCTTTCTTCAGTGTAAATCTTCGGGTCAACACATTTAACTAGCCTATTCTTTCTTCTGATGCTTTTGTAGCCTCATGCACTAACATGGCAAAACTTCTGTCATTATGTTTCTCCCACATCTTTCTTCCTCTGTCTCGGTGCTTCCCAGCTCTTCTACTTCTTTTAATCTTGAACATCTAAAAATAAATGTAAAAAAAAAAAATTAGTTTGTATTAAAATTTAACAGGTAATTATTTTTCAATGTAAATGTGTGGGATAGATATATTTCTTTAATAAATTTATGTGATATGGTCCTTTAAAATGCCCTGTGTAGTCGCAGAACAGTCTGTAAGTATTTTCACCAATTTTTTGTACTACTTCATAAGGTCCTTCATAAATGTTAAATAGTTTAGCTGTTTCACCATAACCGGCATTTGATGTTAAATTATTTTTTAACAGAACTTTGTCTCCTTCGTTGAAACTATTATGTTTTATCTTTTTATTAAATTTGTTTGCTCTATTTGTTTGTTTCTTCAAAATCCTATCTCTTGCTATTTCACACTTTATTTCCCAAGGTACATCTTTGAGTTCAGGCATATTTAAAATATCTGACCAAAAACGTTTGTTTCGCTCATTCAGTTGTAATTCATTTGGTGTAAAACCCGTTGTTTCATGAGTTATTTCGTTCAAAAATTCATTAATAATAGGTATATGATTTGCCCAGTTGCTTTGATTAGAATGACAATATGTTCTCAAGCATCTATTCACTTCTTTATTTATTCTTTCAGCCAAATTACTCTGTGGTCTTCTGACTGCAGAAAAGATCGGTGTAATTCCATTATCCTGTAGAGTTTCAACCCATTTTTTACTATTAAACTGTGTCCCATTATCAGATTGTATCTTGTGAGGTGTCCCATATCTAGGGATGTAATCTCCAAATACTTTTTTTATTGCAATGTCGGTTGTTGCTCTTTTTACTGGATATAACTTCACAAACTTTGTGAAAATGTCAGTAATAACCAAAATATATTTTACTCCACCTATGCTTGTGGGGAAAGGACCAGAAAAGTCTATGGCTAATTGATCTCCTTTCTTGTTACATTTTATACCCTTTATAACACCTTGATTTGTATAATTTGATGTTTTGGCTTTTTGACAGGAATCGCATGAGGATAATAACTTCCTAATTTTTCTACCCATATTTTTAAATATGAAAGTTTCTTGAAGTATCAGTAAGCATTTCTTCGCTCCACAGTGCAAGTGGTATAAATGACATTCCCATATCAGTTTTTCTTCTAAGTGTTCAGGAACAATTATTTTCCATTCATCTTTATGTTTCTTAAACAACACTTCATTATATAATAAATATTTATCATATCCTTCACTGTTTGATATTTTTGAATCATATATTTCTTGTAGTTTCTGATCATGCCTTTGGTGTGTTTTTATATCTTTGAGCTCTTCAATCATCTCCATATTGACTTGTCTCTGGATTATTGTAATTGCTAACCCAGGATCTATTTTCATTTCATGCTCACTGCTTGTTTTCTGTCTACTCAAAGTATCTGCCACTATGTTTTCCTTTCCACTACAGTGTTCTATAGTGAAATCATACTCTTGTATTGCAAGTATCCACCTGGTTAAACGGGAATTTAAAAGTTTACATGTTTTTAGAAAAGTTAACGCCTGATGGTCGGTGATAATTTTAAGCTTTGCTCCTAAAACTAAATATCTTGCTTTCTCTAAACAAAATACTATTGCTAATAATTCCTTTTCACTTGTATAATAATTGAGTTCACTTCCTTTAAGAGTTCTGCTCATAAACATAATTGCTTTTTTCTCCCCAATGTCGTTATATTGGTAGATGTGGCCTCCAACAGCATAATCTGAACTGTCTGTTTGTAGGATGTATTCCTTGTTTGGATCTGGGTGTTTGAGTATACATGTATCCAGGAATAATCTTTTAGTATTTAGGAAAGCTTGTTCTTCTATATCGGTCCAAATAAACTTATTCTTTTTTGATGTAAGTTTTAATAGTGGCTGTATCGTCTTTGAATATTGGCCAACAAACTTGCTATAATAGTTTATCATTCCAAGGAATCCTTTTAATTGTTTTGGGTTACGAGGTCTTTGAAAGTTTTCTATAACTTCAAGCTTACTGGGATCGGCTTTAACTCCTTCAGTGGTAATAATAAATCCTAAAAATGGAACTTCTTCTCTGCAGAATAGTGATTTATTAAACTTAATGGTCATTCCAGCATTTCTAAACTTAGTAAATATAGTTCTTAAATGAATAAGGTGGTCTTGAAATGTTTCGGAGTGGCATAATATGTCATCAATGTAGACCATAGTGTAATCTTCAACTTCATCTCCGAGTACCAAACTTAGTGCTCGCACTAAAGCTGCTGAAGATGTAGCTAATCCAAATGGTGTAACTTTAAATTGGTAAACATTTCCTTGAAACATAAATGCTGTGTATTTTCTAGACTCTTTAGCCAGTGGTACCTGCCAAAAACTTGAAGTAAGATCAAGTGTAGTTAGCCAACTTGTGCTTCTTCCTTTTGCCATTATTTCATTTACTCCTCTATTACATTCATGGTCTGGAATAATCATACTGTTTATTTTTCTTGCATCTAAACATATTCTTATTTCATTATTCTTCTTTACAACTACTACAATTGGGTTTATAAATGGGCTATTACTCCTTTCAATAATGTCCTCTTCAATCATTTTATTTAACTCTCTTTTCACTGCATCTTGGTACTTAAATGGTACCGGATAATTCATTTGTTTAAAAGGTTGATTCTCTTTTATTTCAATTGAGTGTTCATAAAATATTTTTCAAAGTCTTCAATATCGTGTACTGAAGTCCTAACTAGATCCCACCATCGTGCTGCAGTTCCTTCCAAGCATATATCTAAGATTTCTTCTAAATTCAGTGATTGTTCATCCTGTGAAAGCCTTCGTTCATTTTCCCTGTTATAATAGTTTTTCAGCCTAGAAAGGAATTGATTTGGGTTTTTTGATTTTCCATTGAATTTTGGTAAGTCTTTAGCTATGGTGCTAGGACATGTGATATGTAGGCCTACTGGTTTCCCACTATTCCCAGCTTTTAACTTTGCCTCAAATTCCTTATTGATTCTTTCCTGATTCTCTTGAATCATTGCGATTCTTTCCTCAATATGGTTGTGTACTTCTTCCCTTAATTCTGTTATTTTTGTATCAAATTTGGATTCGATTTGTCTTATTTCGATGGTCAGATCCTTCCGAACTTTTTCTATTTCTTGTTTAGTTTGTTTAAATTGTGACAATACTTGTTCTTTAAACTCTTCAAGTGTCTGTAATATAGGCCTAATTATTGTTTGGTCCATGTTTGTGTGCTGTGTTCTACTGGGACTTGTTACGTTACTATGATTTAGATTGTCGCCAGACGCTAAATTTTGATTGTCGATACTGTATAAGTCATCTCCGGGATTGTCATTATTAGGGTTTAATAATTCTTCCATATTGATTTCGTCTAATTGCCGGCTCATATTTAAGTGTGCTTCTTGTGCTCTAAGTGTAGGTGTTATATATTTTCGTAAATTATATCTCTGCATTAAAATAATCTATAACCGTGATAAAATCAAGCCACCTAGTTGGGTGCCAATTTGTAACGTCTCAATGACTTAAATCTGAATTTCATTTAATTGTATTTATTTTATTTTGTATTTTTATCAAAGTTTCTCAGGGATGGGTTCTTTGCCACGTGACTGATTTTATCCTAACTGCAGAATGTGTGAAATGTGAGATGTAATGTTAAGTTATACAGAGCCACTATGTGTAAGTGTTATTTGGTCGCAGCACTCTTAAAATAAGGTGCCAGACAACTACCAAATATGCGTGCTTGTTTAGTGTTAAGCCGCAGCACCAGCGGTCAGCCGGGGCCTGACAAATGCTTTGTATGGAGTTAAATTGTTAGTGCCACTACTTGTAAGTGTTATTTCGGTCGCAGCACTCTTTAAAAAAGGTGCCAGACAACTACCGAATGTGCGTGAGTGTTGAGTGTTAAAGCCGCAGCACCAGCGGTCTGCCGGGGCCTGACAAATGCTTTGTGTGTAGGCCTATTCTAATTTCTATCCTACTTACTTGTCTAATTCAAATTACCTTATTAATATTTCAAATGAGTACACAATTGGGACTGACCTTATTCCTTGTTTTTATTTTCTTTTACAAATACAAATTTGATTACTATTGATTATTGTTTTATTTGCGCCTGGCAAATGGTTTAAACCCGCAGCGCTGACTGTCAACTCGTGAAGTGAAGACTGGCCCGTGGACTGCTGTATTTATACCCGATTTGGTTGCTATGGAGACCATGGAATGTTCTAGAACTTTAAACCCAGATGTTTCCACCAAAAGTTATCTTCCTTTTCCGGCAGCCTGACGTCATCGCTGCCCACTTGATCGTTCTTGATCCATCAGCTGCTGTCGGCTGGAGCTCGAGCTGTCAGAGAAGCTATTGTAAACTAGTAAACAAACATTGAAACAAATGTAATAAATAAATATGTTTTAATTATTTAGTTAGTTGTTAAATTTACATGTTTATCCCTTTGAATGTGAAATAAAATAGTAATGTACATTCATAACTGTTATTGTGTTGCTGAAATATTTACAATGGATAACCTAACCTAAATACGGTAAGTGGGTAAGCTAACCTAGGTACGGTAAGTGGGTAGAAATATTTTTTATTACCACTATTTACAAAATAAACTATTAGAAACATTATTTCATTAGTAATTTAAAGAACATTAAGAAATATTTAAACTATGAAAAATGTGAGATAGGCCTACTTTTATTACAATTGATCTAACAAAAACCTAACCTAGCCTAGGCATAACATAGCCTAAAACGGTTACTGGTAAGTTAAATTGAAACATTACAGGTTCTAACGTTTTAAGATCCTACATGTTATAACAACTTCATAGTTTTTTTTTTTTACTAATCCGTTTTGCTGCTTTCAAGCTTTGAAATTCATTGCCAAACTCAAAAATGACCCGAACGATTTTGGCACAACACCAAATTAGCTGTATGAATTACTGTTCAAAAGTTGTAACTTATGTTATTTTATTTTTATACTTATGTAATTGTATCACAACAAACACCTTTTTACTTGCCCTGTTGCAGCAAACCTAAGTACTCGTTAAACTAAATCTATTTAAATAGGGAATAAATGTGATATTTTTAAGGAGACATTTAGTGTAAATCCTTCAGGCAAATGGAAATTCGCTAAGTCTGCAGGTTTGCTGCGGCGGGGGTATTGTGTAATGTCTGGTTACTTTGGTGTTTGTGGATTGGTAATACACACTTTTTTATCTTGTTTTAAAATAAAACTTTAAACTTTGGTAAAAACATTAGAGGACAAACAATGCTTTATGAAGTCTTTTTAGCAAAAATTGATTTATTAAAAAAATAACTATTTTTTTAAATTTCACGTTATGTCCAGTGGCGTTTGTCTTGTTTCAGGGAAGGATATTAATTGGAATGTGGGAATTAAATCTTTCTTTTTCACAAAAGCATTTATCAAATCCAAAGCCAGTGTCATCATGTAGGGAGAGGGGCTAATTTCTGAAACAGACAAATAAAAATATTACAAAATGAATAGGATATGAACATGCTCAGCGATGAAAAATGTACCGTAGGCAATAATATTCTGAACAATACAGAGTTGCTTATGGACCCATGTCATAAATTGTCACTTACAAGAACGTAAAATTACAATTAATTGAGTTGGACCCACGAGCATTGGGACCAGTTGCGTTATTTGTCTATTTTCACTATCCATTCCGTGTCTGTTCTAATATTCGTGATTGGAAATTATCTAAACAAAAACACATAAAACAGAACTCGTCTTCATCAAAGTGTAATTTAAACACATAGTTTGTTTATATGTTAGGTGTTTGGTAATGCCTAAAATGTGTCGTCATTAATTGCATTACTGTTATCATTGACTTAAGTACAGTGTGTTTTTGAAAAAAAATAATAAAAATAAAACAATTAAACCCTCAGACAACACAATCCATCCCAAAACATATAGATAAACATATCGGGTAGCAAAACTTTGCTTAACCTTAGGTGAAAAGATTCCACCCTTTTCTCTAATTACCTTGAAATGTCCCAATCATTGCGATATCCAAAACCTTCCCGTCCAGTTCCCCATACTCTTCTTTGAGAAGTGGGTTCCAGAGAAAACCGCGCCCTTCATAAACTGTGTAGTCTCCACCTATGAGGAAACTAATGCAGAAGAAAAAAAATACCATTTAAATCAGTTAACTAAACCGTGTGTAATTCTATTGAGCCTTGTATATTGAAGTTACAAGAAAAACTGATCAGGCACGTTCAAATTAATAAGAGGGATTGAAGTGGAAATCTTCAATCCAGTAGTAGGTATAAATCGTGATATTTTTTCGTCATAATGCACAAAAATGGCTGTTTGAAATACATATGGTTTTGAATAAGTAGCTCTTTTTTCCCTAGGACAAAAAGTAATCGGTTTGAGTCAAGAACCTTAACAGTTTCATGCATTAACCATTCGTCCGCTGATTTTGCCAAATTTATTGTCCCATCAAAAATATAACTATATCGTTAATTTGTTTTTGCTTTTTATCTTGTCATTTATAGATTTCCATACAATTAAAGGGTGTTCAAAAAAGGTTGGGACATAGTTTACGTAGTGATTCCTTCACAAGTCACAGAATTTTCATATACAGTAGTTAAAGCGATTGTTATTTGGCGGGATTTGAACCCGATACCTCTGGACCGAAGTCCCACGTTCTGCTAACAGACCAGCTCGCCTCCATCGGTTTCATTAATACAACTATACTTAAACTTAACTGTGTTCTACTTCGTTTGGTCGACTTGTATGATGTCATAAATAGCCTATTTGGAGAAGAAAGCTAGCAATGTCAGTGACCCTTAGAGGTAATCAAAGACAATGCACTTACGATGGCGGTACAATTAGTATCAATACTTAAGCTACAAACTTCAAACAATTGCCTACTTCTTGTATGATTGGCTTGTATGGTATGTCTCAAAGCCCATTCGGCAAAGATAGCTACATGCCAAACCTGTAGAAATATTCAAAGACATTTTTTAAAATTACAATTAGTATCAATACTTGACCTACTAAAGTTTAAACTACTGTCTACTTCTAGTTTGTTTGGCTCACTTGTAAGGTATGTCACACAGCCCATTGTTCATATGGTAGGACTGCAACTTCTGCAGAGTTCCTGCACAGCCGACTCTATCAGCGCAGTAGTTACTGCGTGTTGTGGTCAACCTAACGTGGGAAGCGGGCTTGCACAGGTATCCTGAACTGTACACTTCAAATTAAGATTAACACAATATCAAACCTAATTAGGGAGTTATTTAATGCACAAACGCAGTTTTTGTCAGTATTATAAAATGTAAAATTAGTGAATGAAAATTGTTTAAAAAGGTGTAAAAATCTGCTTATGGTACCTACCTAGTCCAAAAATTGCACTAAGCTAGTTTTGGTACAAAATTGATGCTACTCTCAGACTGTGTTTGGATATAAGTTAACGTTGTAAATACTCTGTATGCTGAAGACCTTAATTTTTACACTGTTAATGTTCTGAGTAGGGTAAATCTAAGGTTTTTTAAATTACAAGGGTACTATTTCTCTAGCAATAAACTAATTTCTAGGTCTAATATCCTTCATCAAACTAGTGAATCATGTTTTTTTTATATTTCTTAAGATGCTATGGCCTTTATTATACCGAAGAAATTAGTTTATTGTTGGATAAATAATACCCATATACTTAAGAAGTGCATATGTACTCTGTATTCCACGATCACTGTGCAGTACGGAACACTCCCTGAGGCCATGTCTTTCAAAGGCGGTTTCATCATCGACACTAGCTGATCCAACAACGAAATGCTTCCTTACTTATCCTTGTTATTTTTTTACTACCATACAAATTTTAATTTTACAAAAGTAAAATTCAAAATCAGCAAGCCAAAATATCAATCTAAAAAGCATGAATTAAAATATATTTAAAATGTATTTGTGAGGACAGTTGATTCAACATATTTCCATTAATGTCAGCAGCACGACTATCTGTCATAAGACCTGTACTGCATGGTGAACGCGCAAAGGAGTATAGTTTGAAATTCTGACAAAATATTTTCATGTAGCCTTCTAACATCATCCCCAATCTTTAAATCTAATCTTTACATAATCTTTACTAATCTTTACATCCATCATAAGCTTTTCAACATATTTAAAGTCATTTGAAAATTCCACTTACCTTGGTCTTGGAGGCACGGCTCCCCATTCTTTTCTTGTACAATATTTCACTTCATAATTAAATCCAACATTTAAGTATCCCTTGACACTTCTAGCCACAGGTTCGCCTTGAGCATTGTACTTAATGTATTTATTACTGTATCTGCCTACATCTTCTATTTGCCCATACCTCGGTGTACGTACGTTTAGGTTAGACATCTGCAGTCCACGCTAAACCAGATCTTAGAAAATTAACCTTGTTAAGTTCCTAAAAAATATTTTAAAGATGATACCAGAAAAAAACACTTTGCTAAAAGTGTTTTGATGTAGCCTAACTAGTTATCATTAAGTTTTCAATAAAATTTTAACTAGGTTTTGGACTGGTAACCAGCTTCTAATGTTTAAAAAGATTATAAAGCATACACACAACCTATCACGAATATTAAACAAAACTTAATCTGCACTTACATTTTTAAATTTAATATATTTTTAAACTTATATTTTCAGGAGTGACAATGAGTTTCTTATGTTGGTACCATACAAAAAAACTTAATTTTTTAGATCTATTTTGATACAACAAATATTAGGACGAAAAATGGTTCATTTAAGATGAGCAAAAAGTGTCCAAAATGAAGAATTCATACTCGATTTAAATGAGTTTCAATATTCAAAGACTCCGTTTAAACTCAGCATAATATGTTTTTTACTATTTTTAACCGACTTCCCCACTACCAACAAAAGGAGGAGGTTTTCAATTTGTTTGTGGCGATGTTTTTTTTTTCTATGTATGTTCACCAATTTCTCTGTGATTCTTTGACCGATCAGTGTCGTTCCACCACCAAAATAACCAGGAGAGTTTCTATTTGGTACCTTATATATTATGTTTAAGTATAATATTTGTTTCGGTGAAAAATTCTGAAAACCTTAAATATTCAAAATTTATTTTGTTTACATTTGTGCAGAGAAGGCAATAAATAATGATAACATTCCTACAGCTGTTAGTTGAAACCATTTAAATGAAGCTAGAGACAATTCTTCATGAAACAGTTGCTTCATATTGATCAATAAACTATTTTTTTGCCATGCATTTTGTTTTGGTTACTATAAAAAATGTATTTTAACGTTTGATCTGATTTGTGTATACAGTAATTCTGTTTTTAGTATTGAATATTCTGACTTAAAAAAACATATATGTTTCAGTGAATAGCTGAATGATATTGACAAATAAAGGTGTATTGCGAAAACCAAAGTATTCGTAAAACAGGTCTAAATATAAATTAAATGCAATTATTTCTTACACGATCTAAGAAGTGTGACAGTGCATAATCGTCAATTGTCTTAAAAGTGTTAAATATTTTAATTACTAAACATGCATTTGCAGATGTGGAATGTTTATTGATATTCTCTACCCAGTTACTATATCATATCAATACTATTATGCCTGCTTCGGAAAGTCCTAGAGGAAGATGATTTGCAATTTCGACTAGGCTATATCTTGATCAAACAAAACCACCTACATGGCTTGCACCACTTTTAGCTGAACCAATCTTTCATATACATATTTCATTTTCAGATGTGGAATGTTTATTAATATTCTCTACCCAGTTACTATAACATATCAATACTATTATGCCTGCTTCGGAAAGTCCTAGAGGAAGATGATTTGCAATTTCGACTAGGCTATATCTTGAGCAAACAAAACCCCCTACATGACTTACACCACTTTTAGCTGAACCAATCTTTCATATTTTCCAAAGGTACTATAGGTACGTGTTATCGACCAATTTTCCACTTTTGAGAGATTTTTTAGTGCTGGTAGCTGAGGAATAACTTTCATATTGTTCCAAAAGGCTTGAGACGTTACTGTATTTCTTTTTATAATGTAGAAGTACACCGATTGCAGGAAACGATTATGTCTGACAATTCAATGTATCAAGAAAAGACAATTAGTTTTTCATTAGGCCTAATGTAATGGACAACTCTTTCTTTCTTAAGGAATATCTAAAAATGTTTATTTTCATACCCATTGATTATGTAACCTGAACAGGTGACTCAAGCAGTTTTAAAATAATGATTGTTCTGTGGAACTTTTGATTGTTTCAAACAGTTTTGCTTGTCACAAAACCTCAAGTAATTAATATATAAAAAATTATACAGTCACTAAAAATCATGAAATAATTTATTTTTGTAAAAAAATACAACCGACTTCAATCGCTCTAAAAAGAATGAAATAGGCCTAATTTCAATAAAGTAAACTTTTGTATTAGGCAAGCTCAGGTATTTCAAGTCGGCGCGGCTCAAACTGCAAATATGGTTGAAATTAAATATTGTGTGTGTATTTTGAAATAAATGCATTATGAAAATAACACACACAAATGTTCTATATGAATAGGAAAATAATTTAGTTTGATATTATGATAGGGAAAAGAAGCTAGTTTGGTATTAAAACATTACTTTTCTATGTTAGAAACATTCAAATGCGTTATAATCTTATTAAAGATGCTCGTTAACACCACTATAATGCCAATCTCTTATTACGGTAATAAAATTACACTTAACGCATAACTATGAAAAAGACATGCAGATTAACAACTTTAGTTATAGTCACCTGCAATATGGACACCCTCTTTCAATTTTGTATCAAAAATCATCATAGAGCCGCGCCGACTTAAAATACGTGAGCTTGCCTAATACAAAAGTTTACTTTATTGAAATTATTTCATTCTTTTTAGAGCGATTGAAGTCGGTTGTATTTTTTTACAAAAATAAATTATTATTTTTCATATATTTATTTGATCTGTTTCAACTATTTTTTGATAAATGGATCGTACGTTATCAAAGTAAAATTATTTCGGGTAGTTTCAAAATATTTAACTTTGTAATTTAGTACTTAACTATATTTCGGGGTAGAGGATTTGGAGGATGTTATTTTTTAACGCAAAACGTAGTAAATTGTTGTAGAAGTTTGGTTGTTTGTTTTACAAACATTTTCTTTGAATTATTGTTTGTGTAATTATTTTTTGTGTAGTAATTCGTGCTCAATCAAGTCAGGATTTTATTGAATGTATGATTATTACTCAGTTAATATCTGCAATATATTTTACATTAGTTTACGGCCAATAGAAATCCACACAATTTAAAATTATCAATAAGCCAATAGACATAGTTTAATAATTGACTATTTACAAAATCCAGACAGTCAGAAAACACCGTTACAGTAATCAAAAAGGATATCTCTTTTTAAAAATTAAAGCAAAATATCAAGCTGCATACACAAATGTCAAGCTCTCCTTAGTGTTAAGTTTTTAATTTGTCATAGAAAAAATACATATTGGTTAAGAGCAAATTCAGAGTAAATGATAATTTAACAATTTGTAACTCTGAGCCACACCAATAATTTGATTTTAAATATATTATACATCGTACGGTAACATGTATACTTTATAAATATACATTTTAAAATATCAGCTTTATAATCATACTTACATTACCTTATTTTCACTGATGCATAATGCAATTTTACTTAGCACAAACTTTCATACTTGATTTTAAGTCTCCTTTTTAATCCACAATTGTTTTGGATATACACTCTACAAATTTACATCTAAGTCTAAATATCCATACGAATTACCTAGAATACATCCAAGTTCAAGTAATCAAGAAATTAAAAGTTATCAAAGCATGTTCTATAATGTGCATGGTTGTAGTTGTTACACACGAAACTATACATGAGATCATGCTATATTACTGACCTAGGTTTTACATGGACTTATCTTAAATAGATAAAATACGTATGTGTGTGATAGTATTTGAACACAAAATATTAGATTGACAGTGTTGAACCAGTTTTGAAAGTTTTCCATGTGAATATATGTCATTGGTGTTTATGTATGTATGTTTTATGTTTAGTTATGAGCTTTATTGTAACATGTGCAATAAAGAATGAAACTGGTATTAATCTGAGTCAAATCTATGTCCATGTTAGTGTAACGAAAGGTCACACTCATCGAAGTATATAACACAATAACAAGTTGTGTTTTATACTTCGATGATCACACTACAATAATTATATTCCATACGATTTATATTTTACACATCTCGGTAAATATAATAATTTTATAATAATTATTTTTTACAGCTAAAATACTATATTATTTTTGGAAAAAATGAATCCTTATTACCTTAAACCGAATAAAAAACACGCTTAACACATTGTTTTAAAAGATTTAAAAAAGTTAATTATTTTCACCTACGACCATCTTTAAACTAGACTTTTTAATCCAGTTCTTAGAATTACAAAGATTCACTTTACAGTATTCTTTACTTGCTTTACAGTATTGTATTTTTACTTTACAGTACAAGTTTAGACCAATGAGGTTCAAGAATTGAGAGAAAAGAAGTAACATTGTAATACTTTCAACGTCACCTTATCAGCTGTTAAGACCAATTTAATTTATTAAACAATGAGACTCACAGGGTAGGACAAGTCGTTGAATAACGGTCAGTTGCAATAAAATGTTACAAAATAAAACATAACCACTCTCGAAATTTATGAGTAGTGATTTTTAGTAATTAAAAAACTGTCGTAGGTAAAGTAGGGTACGCAACTCACGTAAATGATCTTAAAGACACTCGTAGAAGTTTTTAAGGCTCTCACCAAGGATCGTGCCTTAAATTTCTACTCGTGTCTGTACACTATCTTTACGTGATCGTTTGATAAACTACTATAACCATATATGTTATAGTCTTAAATATCTTAAGTTGATTATAAAAATAACAAAACTTAATAAACCTAATTTTATTATAAACATAAGTTACATTAACGAGATCAGTCTTCTTAGCATACAACTTTCTCCCTGTAAGGAACAACTCGAAAAGTTGGTAGTATTTGTCTTGTCCGGATGACTCCGTATGCAACGAAGGTGAGGGCAGTTTCCATCATTTCCCATGGAGGGTCTTCAACTAAAAAACCATGATTGTGAAATTAAAAAACCAATTGCGAACCACAATATCATATTGTATGTAGGGTACATGCATATTGCTGATTTTAATAGCTTTAAGAACTTTTTTGACTAGACATTATCTGTGTGTGTGTGAATTAGTGTAACATTTCACTACAAACCTAGCTATTATTCAATTCATCTGGTTCTGTTTTACCAATTGTGCTAACCTAGACACCTACTGAGTTTAACAGCAACTATTTTAGCCTATCCTTAATTTATGGAAGTTTTAAGTTTGAAAACACATGGTTTGTCTATATATTATATGCAATGTCAACTACGTGTTTCTAAAAAAAATAATTTGTTAAAGGCATATCCTTTGAAAGGTTTAAGAGATAGAAAAATTCAGTGAATATAAATAGTTACACATTTTAAAACTGTACTTATATTTAGATAAACCTAATTTTGTAGGCCTAGTGCTGTGCCTTTTATAGAGAAGTTTATTCTCCAAGTCAGAAATAGCTCTCCCCATTTTATACAAATTTCCTTTAATTTTTTTCTAGATATAGAGACATTAACGTCTCCAAGACAAGATCGTGCACTTAAATCATTTGTCCAACCACGCCTCTTATTAAGTGATGACATTAATTGATTACATTCTGTTAAACACTCACCGCTAAAGTTGCCTATGTAAGCGATGTCGATACAGTCGTCCTCTAGATGCGCCAGATGCTTGGGAAGATCTGGTGTGAAATGAGTCGCTCTCCCTTCATAGACTACTTTGTCTCCTCCAATTAGGTAGCTGTGAAAGAGAAAGATTTAAATTTCTAGCAGTTCACAAAACAAAATAAACAACGTAAAATGTCACAATAAGCAACGTTATATAGCTGTAAATAAGCATTAAACACACTTTTTCATGTCGTGTTTAAAAGTTTTTGGGAATATTTTACTCGTTAGACTAATTTCTGCCATATTTGTGACCTATCAAGACTTGTCACATACGTAAAAAAACATGCTCCTCATTTGCTACAACTAGCGCGAGTTCTTTGAAAAGAAAATGGCAAAACTACTTAGACTAACTTGTAAGGTATATCCCAGAAGCCCTTGATTCCAAATACGTCGTACATTAAAATGAAATGATCTACAGGAATTCATTACTCAAACTCTTTAGTTTGTGTCTATAGTCAAAACGTTTCCTGAAGAAAATTCCCTTTCAAAAAAACAACTTTCAATGCATTAAGATTTGTTGTAACAATTAATTGTCCGAGTAACCAAGTCACCATCAAACCTGGTGGCTGATTCGATACAAAGCAAGATCGATTCCTGGATGCAGATGTCCATTGGTAGGGTTATCAATTAATGATGCCCTCCCCTAATAAGACTAGGGTTGAGACCATTTTGATCACCCGAAAACCCATTGGAACATGTCAAAGGAGTGAAGAATTTTTTTCCTAGGAGGCTAGGCACTAGCCTGTGATTGTTTTTGACATTACTTCAGGCTAGACCTAGGTGTTGCTGCATTATCACTTAGATCAAATCCATTGGTGAATTGGCGGGATTTGAACCCTGGACCTCAGGGACTGAAGTCCCGGTCTAACCACTAGACCAGCTCGCTCCCCTAGTGATGAAATACTACAGCTATTAGTTGTGTCACACCACAGAAGAGTAACAGAGGAAACCCGCTTGGGACGACCGTACGCTTTCAGGTCTGGTATGTTTTGCCGGAAATATACTTGTGACGAGCCAAAAGGAAAATACTATAACACAGGGCACATGGTCTTCCTCCACCTAAAACACGAGGGCGAGTAGGGGTTGGACTTTGCCCTGGACACCAGCAGTGCTAGACACCACTTGAGACTTCGGTGTACCATTGTATTTCCTCTGTACCTTACTAGGTAGCTACACTAACTTGTAAGGTATGTCCCAGAAGCCGTTGTCCAGAAAAGTTTCCTGGATGGTCCTGACCATCTTCCCGCAGGAGTAAGGGTCTTCACACCTGGGCGTCTCGGTGTGGCTAAACTTGACCCAGCCTACAGGAGGGCGCAGCCTGTTGGGTTTGATCCTGTACCTGTGTGCCAACCAGTCATCCCGTGTGGCGTAGTTCAAGTACTTGTTCGGCCAAACCTTTATCAGCATCGTGACCTAGCTGTAACCATAGTATCATCTGGAGAAAGGAAAGTGCTTTGGCTGTGGTTTTGAAATATTCTACTTTGGATGTAAAAATAAAAATACCCTTATAACAATGGTTGTATCAAATGTCGTGCTAAAGGAAAAAAGTATTCCCTTCTCAGTTATGCGAAAAACAAATAAATTGTGTTAACTGAAAAAATATGCCGCACATAATACTCTGTAAGAAAATTGTAAAAAATCCCCATACCTGTAAAATATTATTGAATATTCCTCAGATCAACTTAACTGATATAGACTGTTGAAATATTCTTGAAGAATGTAATTAATCAGTTCCATTTTACTAAACCAATTTCACCTCATGTAAAGGGTCTCAAACACCGCTCAAGCACTAACAACCAAGCAAAACATACAACACACTGAGAAACTGTGTTCCACTGAAAACACAAAATTATAACACTGACTCAATTGTTAATATCTTATATTATTTGATAAATTATTTGGTCTCATGTGTTAAAACTGTTGAATATTTTTTTATCTTTTATCTCATCATTACATCGTGTTATCAGTTTTATATACTAATTACCGTAACGTAGTTTGTAATTTCTGAATAATTATTAATGAAATTAGACATACAGGAAACTTTGTAAATTTGAATTAAATACACGAGACTAAAGTTTGAATTATATCCCCTAAAGTGTGAACAGTCAATGAAAAGGCCAATTCTAAAAATATACAGACACAAATGAACAAAAAGTAAAATACATTTGTAAGAACTTTTAAAGCTATCCAAGAATTTATATTAAATTGTAATCTTAATTTTCTAAACCAATCAATTAAACTGTATATTTAGGACCACGATAGATATAATTAAACTATTTTTATTATTAAACTTTGGGGTTTTATATAGCCTTAATTCAAATTGTTAATTAATATTTTTTCATACAACAATTTACAATTTACTACAAAGTTTTTGAAATGCTAACGTTGATTTTTTACTGAATGATGTTGAAGTCGTCAATTCGTCTACCACAGAGAATTAACATGTTTGGCCATCTTTCATTAAAATTTTAATAGAAAATAGTTTTTCTATGGGTCTATGTAGCACATTTGAGAGAACGTTAAAAAATGTACGAATGTTAATTTTTAATTTTTTGATAAAATATCACGAGATGATGATTCAATACTACAAGAACACGTCATAAAATGAGTACAAAATAAGACAAAATTAATATATTTCTTACATTAATAAAACAAATGTTTTCTACATTTTTTATTTATTTTAATAAACGTAGTGTTTATGGAAAATATATTTACTCTTGAAGTATCGATAATGATGTTTACAAAAATATTAGGAAAAATATACAGTATGTACTTTTTAATACTATACGTGACACAGTGGAACCTCGATAAGAAGACCCTTAATAAAGTGGCCCATGATAGCAAGTACCATTTAAAAACAACCTTGATTTTATTTTCCACTAATTGGATGTTATTCCAAACCTCTGTAAGGAGTCTACCTTGACAATAAGTCATAATTGATAAACCCCATGAGAGACTTGTTATTAAGGTTCTACTATATGTAATAACATATGCAGCACAATTTTTTTATTCAGTTTATACAACTATAAATAGTCAAGATCCCTTAATGTAACTGAAAATATAAATGACCAACACGCTTTAGATTTTAGGCCTAAATGAAAGTAAAACTATAGCATCAAATTAGCGAAACTTTTATATTAATTTCAGATGCAACGTAATATATTAATCAATTATCACTTTAAACATAGCTTTATAATCGTACTATAATTGTTAAAAAACATGGAAATAACAAGGCTTCGTTATTATTTTGATGTTTTATATCTTTTCAACTTCTTTTAAAGTCACTTAGATAAGTAAAAGATTGGAAGAAGGGCGTCAGTCGCGATACTTTGAGTCCGTACTTGAGAAAATCTGCAGCTGCCGACAGCATTTCATACGGGATCTTCTTATCTGGAAATTAGTATTTCGTAATATATAACAGTACACTTTTCAATGGATCAATAGTAAAATACTAAAATACCCACGCCACAGCTAACCTGCAGACTAAGCGAATTTCAATTTTTATTATCGATTTTAAGTAAAATATTTCTATACATAAGTTAAATTTATTACCCATTTAAACAATTTACTTTAAACGAATACTTAAGTTTCCTGCTACGGAAAAGGGAACATTGTTTTTGATAAAACATTAATGGTAGCTTATAGAATAACATAAATAAATGTACCTAATTTTATATTAATCTATCCAAAATAAGCAAACTACAACAGTTACCTTTTTTCTCTATAAGAATAACATAGACATTTTAAATGTACAGTTTTTTATTTTCTCCGTAACATTTAATTGTACAACAATGCTTCGCCGTAAGAAATCGTTTGTTTTAAGGCACAATGACACAAACTTACACGATGAAAAAACAATTGTAAATGCGTGAACAATAAAAAAAAACATAATTTTTGAGAAAAACTGTAAACCCCCCTGACACTTAGTTCCAATGACCCGATCTTGCTGGTTCGCGTAATAATTTAAGTTTATCCAGCTCTACACGTTCATGCCAAATTTCATCAAAAAATTGAAAAGTTAAACTTCGTAACTGCCTGCTTATCTATACCAAACTGTAATTTCCCCACTGTAATACAGTATTTGTCTCTTACCAACAAACTGGCCCATGTAAGCGACGTCCACACAGTTCTTCTTCAGCCTGTGAAAGGCTGGTGATCGGTCCGCTTGCTTCATCCATCCTCTGGCGTGGTAGACCACACCATCACCACCGATCAGGAAACTTTAACACATGATATTGTTAATACATTTTTACAGCGTTATAATCAAACAAATTAATAACTAATTAGGAAAACATAATTGGCCTTGGTTTATGTTGTAATTACTTTTCTGGCCTGTCGCTTGTTGGATATTATTTATGTAATCTATATCCGACTATCTATGTTAGTTTACCACTTGCATATTAAAGGGCCTTAGCTCATATTCTTGAGCGAATGTGTTGTCCCGGTTGTTCCCGTGATATTAAATGGAATACATATTTCTCGGGATGAACCCCTATGTGTATTTCGCAAATTGTGGCATAATCAGGGTAGAATGTACAACAGATTCCATGAATCCTGACAGCAATAAGGCAATAGATAGTTGTGTAAGAGCGCAAAGTACGACATTGCTTAAGAACTGTAGATGGATTGGATACATTACAAGAGTGGCAATGACTATCGAAATGGAATATTTTGCGTACTGTTTACAGGTGTGGCAATGTGACATTTTCCATGCAAATTATATAACCAATTGTTTTTCAAACTGAAATGATACATTACTTACTTGTAAGGTATGTCGGGAAAGCCCAGATCCATATAGTACTTCTGTAGGTTCCTACACTCCTGCATGCACTCCGCAGTGGTGGTGCAGTGAAGGGAGCCAGTCTGGGTAAACCGCACCTTGTTGCAAGGGGACCTCAGGGTCGCTCGTCCGTCCGGCTTGGCCGCACCCCAAGCCTCTCTCACCATCCTCTTCAGCGACTGTCCAAACCCGACGTTCGTCGACATTATCTCCCCTAAGTCTGGGAAGAGAGTTAAGTTAACTTTTGTTTCAAGTGTGGAACAAAAGTTAATTTAAAAAGAGTTAGAGTTATTTAAAAAAGTTTAAAAAATGAACCATGTCATAAATTAGGTCTTCGGGTGTTGACTGAGTTGAATGAGTAATAATATGCTTCGGATACGTTTCAGCTATCCATCTTCGTGGCAAACTACAGTACAATTAAACTCAGTTCTCATACTCAAACTACAATTAAACTAAACTGGTTCTCATACTCAAACTACAATTAAACTCAACTGGTTTTCAAGCTCAAACGATAATTTAATTTAACTCGTTTTAAAACTCAAACTGCAATTCAACTTGATGAATCGATCACCACCCAAAGACAAGGAGTTTACAATCTGTGGTGACTCTGAAAGCCCATCATCTAGATTATATTATTATTGTTAGGTATCTCAGGTATCTGAAATATAGGAGAAAGAGTAGATTTATTCATGGTAGATCCTCAGATCGAAATTTAAATGGTGTTTGCAACGTACGGAGAGAAAGATTTGACACTGATTTATTGTACCAACAGTTAGTTCAGCTTCCAGTAAGAAATTGTTATACGTTGATGCATGTAAGAGTATATGTCACAGTAAAGATTATTAGGGGGTTGGATTTTTGTAACAGACTGCCAATGTTCTAAGGACTATTACATGATTTATTGATTTATCATGGTTGAAAAGTGAATTTCAAGAAGTTTCATGGTATTTCAACAATAATCCTCTGACTTCAATAACCAGAAATGGAATTTGAGCAAAGGTGGTGATTTTTATGGCTGAAATTGATTACAAAGTTGGCAAGGACTTAAATATAGTAGGATATTAGAAGTCTACATTCGGTTGAACCACAACATTACGATAACTAAGGAAGCATCAAAATTGATTAACAGAGTTCGAGATTTAGTTTTGACACTTGGGAAGAGATAGAACCTGGTGTATACTGTATATCAATTTTCAATAATAGCCAAGCTGAATTTATGAAGGTTAAGACTGGAAAGGAAAAAAGAAAATATTGACCAATAGGTAAGAATGAAATAAAGGGGCAAAGTAATTGATGCGAAAGCACGGATAGGTCTCAAATAAGATTGTTGTAAAGTTCAGGAGGTGGACCCAAATTTTAGCACTACGCAAACGTGTTCCACAATGAGTGCAACGTTTTGATCATAAGAAATTTATGACACTTCTCTTTTACAATTGGCCATATAGTAGGCTATTCCTGTCAGACAAACCGAAGAAGGCACTTCACAGATCAGGTAAAATGCTCTATTATTCTCAAAGTAAATGTTAGATTGTCCATTGAGATGAGGGTAAGTCTCAGTTAGATGGAAATTCCTAATGTCAACGGTTGTAAATCGGTGTTATTTTTCATCATCTAACTTTTCTCAAGCACCATAGGGAACAAGTGCCTTTCTAGGTTGGTCTCACTTTTTACATTAAATTAATGGAAGTAAATTTTAAAGACCACGTTTACTCACTTGGTTTGCGCAATCCCATTTGGTAATCTTCTCGCTCGAACTTGCCCTGCACCGGTCTTCTAGAAACTCTTCCAGAATACTCCAGATCTTCTATGACGACCTTAGGAGGAGCCTCTACAGCTTCACCAGGAGCTTCACCAGTAACCGACCCAACAGGTGGTCGTTCCCATTCCTTCCTGTCCGGTTCCACACCAGTGTAAGTTCCACTGTACGTTGTGCCGACGCTTTCTTCTGCAAAGTCTTCCTTGTTCCAATGTGCATCTTCTATCTGTTCTTGTTTTACCTCGTCTTCCCACTCTTCACCTTCTCCTTCATTTTGATCCCATTCTTCCTCCATTTTTATCTTGGAAAAGTTAAAGAGCAAGTTACTAGTTGTAGTTCATGTTAATGAAGAGTAGTTGTGAATCAATGTCATAAATTAACTATAGCCGTTATCAGCTCGTGGTACTTATCAGTGACTGGATTATCAGTGGATATTTTAAGTTTGTAGCTCACAATGAAGACTCTTTGGTTATAAAACGATTTTTTTATGAACATTGATTTCTATCTTCAAGTAAAACTAGTATGGAAGGTTGCGGGATTATGTAAAATAGTATAAAAAGCTATCAAAGTGATAAATTTCTTAATCAATCCGTGTTTATTATTTTTATGTTTCGTATTTACCAACTTCCTCCGGATATCATAACAGAGATTTAAATTCTTGAATATTTATAATTTGTTTTCTATTTAACATATATATTTTAACAGATTTTAATACATCCATTTATTTGGATATTGAAGAAAATTTTAATTTTCAACTGAAAATGAGATTTTCCCTTTATTTTCTGTTTTCTAACATCCACCAGTAATTCGTTATAATATGGCATTGCATTATATAACGTATATAAACCCCTAGTTTTAAATTCTCATACAACCTGAGCATGTCAATAAAATTTATTCCATGAGATCAACAACCAAAACTAGCAAACATAAAATGCTTTTTTGACAAGAATAAGTTAGGCGACTTCAAATGCAGAACAAAACACAAGCCAAACACCGCCTCGCCAATTATCAAAGGCAAAGCGGTTACAGCACCTAAATTGCGTGTTCCTTTCTGCAGGCGTTTGTAAAATAATTCGCACACGTTTTTTTGTTTAGGCTGGGCTGTCTACGAATAGAGTGCACAAACTCTTGCCACGTAAATAACTTACAAGTTAAGTTAATCAATAAACTTCAAAAATATCAGAACCTGTAATAAATTATTCGTGATTGGGTCTAGCACGTTGAGATTTTTTTGCGAAAATTGACTTGGTTGATCTTAGAGTAGATTCAGTTCATATTATAAAACTAAATCTAAGTAGTTTTTGTTTAAGATTCGCATTCGTTTGTGTGGATTTTGTTTAATTTTTTAGTACATTTAAACAGGTACTGCTTGTTATAGTAAAATAGATGAAATATCTATTTATACAGAGAAGAAGTATTTGGACAGCGAGTGTCAACCAGGGTTTAATGAAATGTATTAGATAATTTACAAACGAGATTTAATTCTCAAGATAGAGCAATTGGCTTGTACTCGATAAACTTGAAAAATGGGTGTACATTGTAGTTCTTGACTCCATACTTGATGAGGTCCAATGCGGTGAAGAGCATATCAGTGGTTGGCCCGGTCGCTGAAAAATAATGTAAAATGAGCCTAAAAATCAACACTTCTCATTGCTTTGTAACAAATAAAACAAACATTTTGCATAATTTCTACTATGTATGATCTTTTAATAAAAATACTTAAATTTTAAACTGCGTCATAGTTTGACAACAATCTTTTAAATCCACAAAGGTACAATTAAAATCAAATCCAATATATAAAAAAATCTGAATCCACCACGAAACCTTGGATACCCTTAACCATAAGAAAATTGAACTATAAATCTTTATGTTCAAACTATTCATTTTATGACATAAAATACCCGTCAAATCTTTACATACCATCCCTGAAACAGTCCTTGAAATATTGAAATATTTTGAGTATGTAAACCTTTAGTACATTTTATTCCTGCATTTATATTAGTACAAATATCCTGAAAAACTTGTTAACCATTAATTTGATAAAGTCTATTATTTGTATGTGGCCTGTGTCTTGATACCAGTTATTTAAAACACCACGTACATTTGTTCCAATTATTAATTATCCATTTTATTGCATTTCATGAAGAAGGATTCTTTCTTTTTTAGGAAGAAATACATTACTTTTTATCTTTCATTTCCTTATATCCTTATCATATCCTTAATTTATTTTCTACTGTACCTTTCAAAAGACTTAAAGTTCTACTTTTATTAGTTTTTTTTTAATTAGCCATACTAATGACTTTTATTATTATTTCCTCGTACCTCGGTAGTCACCGATGTAGGCGATCTCCACACACTTCTCGTTGAATAATATATTCCCAGGAACAGTCATTGCTCTTCTGTACCATCCTCTACCCACGAACACAGTGCCTTCTCCTCCAATCAGGAAACTGTTCTTAACATAGAAAGTGTACTTCAATATGTGTGCCAGAAACTAGCTAATCATAAATTTTTACAAGTTGTAAAATATTCACAAAGATCCAAACTATGCACTGGCTGAACTGAAACTTCGTAATTGTTTCTTTAAGTATTTACAAAATCATTTTGAAAATGCGTAAATTAGTTTTTCACATGCGATTTTACCTTCTAAATAATAGTTAAAAATGATTTTTTTTCAACCACTGCAAGCTCTGATATGTTAAGAGCACAACAAGCACTTAATCATTGGAAACAAATTAGTTTTAGAATGTAGATGCATGTTCAGGAACATTAGCATGTTAAGCTACCAAATTGAATTATCTTGAAGAGTAAAATTCCTCAAGGATTTTGAAAGTTAGATTGCAGGAAATAATGTCAAATGAGGTACTTGAACGTCGTACAAACCGAAATTGATAGAAATTAAGATGAGAAGAATAGGGTGATGGATGAGATACAACATGAGGCAGAAGCCCTGTTATGAAATATTGGTAAAAGAGTTGAAAGGACCATTTGAATGAGGAAAATGGTGAAAGTAAAAAGTAGAAGAAAACAACTGAGAAGGTGTCAGGAGATATGCCCAATAGAATGAAGCTGAAAAATTTAGAGACTATGCTTCAGGAGAAGTTCTCAGCCTAAAAATATTTGTCCAAAGATCCTTATTTTATTCTTTCAACATACGTTCCGTGCTTTAGATAATTGAGTTACTTGTAAGGCTGGTCGGGGAAGCCCAAATTCATAAAGCCCCGCTGGAAGTCCTGAACTATCCTTGCACACTCGTGGGTCTGGTCACATCCTTCGGTCCCGGTGTCTGTCAGTCTAATGTGGGTCACTGGTTTGTGCATGATCCTGATAGCACCCGAGGGGGGCTGCAGCGCGCCCCAGCCAACGCGGTGCATTATGGGTATGGTCCAGCCGTGGCCAATACTGTACTTCCGTACAGTTAATGGAGCTGCAACGAGATTGGTTGATTAGTAAGTTGGTGTGTTAATGTGATGGTTTGATTACACAGGAAATGTTTACAACTAACCTGTTTTCGACCAAATATCCCAGTGTACTTGTAGTACTCGATAGCTTTAAGTTTACCCCTCTAGAAAAAGTCCCCACCTGATTTCAAGCCAACTAAAAAATTATTGAAGTGCACTTCGATCCACAAGTTGACAAGGCACAGGTAGAATTTTCTTTATTGGTTTCGTACGTACTCGAGGAAAAGTTTTTTTTTATTTTTAATAACTTGCTGTTGGACCTTGTAACCACCCCCCCCCCCCCCCGGTGCAATTGAGCTTTTAGTGTTAAAAAATGTTACAATGATTGGGGTGAGTTATAAAAATGATTAAGAAACCCCACCTTGGTCATTTTAGGAAAAAAGATGTGGAAGCAATTGTTTATTAACTATTGGGTATAGCAATATTTATTGTCTTACCTATTGTTTACATGGTTGTAAGACTTTTCTGCAGTATTTATAAACAACCAATAACTGTCTTAAAATCTTAAAATATTTTCTCCATATTACTATTTTCAGATTCTTTACCTATATTGTCAAGTGCAAATTATCTTTGAGGGAAATATTTGATCTCTTAATCAGAAGTTAGCTTAAACATAGTTGTACTAAATATATATTTTGTCTGTTGTTTATGTTGAAGAGATCTAATCCTTCTACTGTATAAGCACCTACCCAAAATTAATGTAAAAAACTTACAGGTGTCCTCGGCATAGTCGAAGTTATCTTCTGCATTTTCTTCTTTCTCCGAGTTTTCAAGTTCTTCTGCAAACTTCATCTTTATAATTATAGCGAAAACCAAAGAGCACTTTTGTAGCAGTTTAAATGTGTACATCCAGACATTTTTTTATAGTTTACAATAGTTCAACTAGTCAATTGATTGAAACTTTTAAACAAAACTATATCAGTGACAGAATATTTAGAGAAAATATAGCCCAGTGATAAAATTCACGTGTTGGATTAGGATTAGTGATAAGTACACAGGGTTGTTTTTCAATGCGGAACTAGCCCAATAAGGCTACTTGAGTTCATTCCGGTTCATTGTAATGAAGATTATAAAGATAATTTTTCAATTACTATCGAGTATAACCAAAACATATCCGTGCCACCTATCATACAATTAACTAAAACATGAGTGAGTAAATATCCACGAGTAGTTTTACGGAAATATAATTGTTTTATGGTTTTGAAATAAAAAAAATCCCAAATGTGGAAATCATTTGTACGAATACTATAGCAGTTTTGAATGCAAATATGAATCTAGTATCCCTCATTGATCGCATAAAAGTGAAGAGAATTATTTGGTTTTGAAGAAATGTTGAAGAAAGTAGTTAGTTTAGAAAGCCGAAGGCACTTTTCATCTTTATTCGGTCTAATACCTTTATAGGCGTGATTTTGTTAAAAACGTTTTCTTGTAACTTCATAACTAGTAAAAAAACCCTAATTAAATGACTGGAACGGTGGCATCGTCCTGTAATCCAGCTACTAGGAGGTCATGAATTGTTGGGTATTTATAGACATGCACTGTGAATGCGATACTCCCTGGTGTGGATTAACGTCCGCACTAGTGAGTACTACGACTATCTGCAGTACTATCCTGATAATTAGCAATTCGTTAAATACAAGGAAAAAATGTGGTTCGGCTTCCACTATTAACAGTAGGTCCCTTAGTTGCCATAAGCTGTGTGGGCTATTAATTAACATGTGTGTGTAAGGAACATGTCAGCCTTAGTCACTAACAAGACTACAAGATCGCGCTACTCATCCTACACTTATCCTTCACTCATATTTAGGTTAAATAAAATACGCACATTGTAGTGTCTCCTTCTTAAATAATTTATATAATTGAACTGATCGTCCACTGACTTATAAAAAAAATTAAAACACTAATCATTAAATTACCCATGAAACAGTAGAATAAAAATCTGTCTACACCAGCGCTCAGTGTCACCAACATTAACAATACATGAAAAAAGCTTATGATTTTACAATAGAATGAAAAGACTACTTAACTTATTCGTCCGTTTATAAGATACAGACAGACCACAGAGAGTTTTAGAGTTAAACAAACCAGTTTGTTAAAACTCGTTCGCAATTTGACTCATTTTCTGAGTCTAAATCCACAATTAGACATCTGATACGGGACCAGTTCACAAGGGTATCACTAAACCACTATTTAAATGTATCTTAAATACACTTAACCAAATTCAATCTTTGCCAAATTGCAAAGATCTGAAAAAAGACTTTTACCACCATAGGAAATAAATAAGATGACTTACTAGTATTTTGAAAACTAAACTTTATTTAGTTTTTAACAAACCGGTCGAAAGACGTGAATTGAGCTTGGAGATCTTCACGTAACTATTGAGTCTTCGTTGTACTGGATAGTTTGATACAAAGGATGGATTAATCTACCCTTGACTCCATACTTGATAAGGTCAACTCCTGCATTTACCATTAACCAGGGTATAGGTTGATCTGGAAAAAATATAAAAGTTTGAGTAATTATTGAAAAGTGATATCCTGGCTTGTTGAAAATTGTAAGAATATTTTGGTTTACCGTTAAAGATTATTTTTGTTTATTGATCATTCATATACTATTTAAGTTATGTTTGGAATACTGTAGCAAAAATAAACTACAACACAACAAACCTTCCATTCTCTAAAAAGGCTCGAGTGGTTTAGAATTTTCAAGCTATGCATCGTACAACAAATCATACAATAATACATTTATCATTTGAAAACAAGCAACAGTTTCGTTGTCAAACGCAAAAAATGTGTATATGGGCCAGCTGAACTTTTATACATAATTTAATGACCCCTATAAAATGTATGAGTCGTGTTTGTCACTGTGATAGTTGATGTTAAATAAAGTGTGCTTTGGCTTTCAAGATTTGTCCTCTAAATGTGAATTTAACCAAAAGTTTGATGGCCCATATAGGTTTTGATGTTAAGTTTAGTATCCAAAAGTCCACTTTTTTGCTAAATAGTTGGTACCTTTGAATTCTCCGATGTAGCCAATGTCCAGGCATTTCCCCTTCAGAGGCTCAAACCCCGGAGGTCGAGTAGGCTCCACGTTCCACCCCCTCCCCTCATACACTGTCCCGTCAGCGCCGATCATGAAACTGCAAACAGACTGGATGGGTGTGACAATGTGGCATAGAGATGTTGGATTTATGTTTAATAAGATGAAAGTTAAGTTATAAACCATTATTGCAACCATGTAAGTTTTAATCGAAAAAGATCATGTTTCTTTTGAAACAGCAGACCATGTCACTGTTGATCACTGAGCAGACCTATTGATCACTAGGTGAATGAAAGTGGAGAGTGCGACATTTTTTATTATAACTTGGTTGTAAGCTTTTATTCTCTAAAGTCTGTACCACATGTTTTGCCCAAATAATGTAAAGGACATTTTGTTAACTAACATATTCACAAACGGGTTTATTTAAACAATAATTCATATTGATCTGATGGTAACTAGTTTGCACTTCTTTATGCTCCCATTTATTCTAAGCTCCTCATGTCTTTTTTCACTTGATGAAATACTCTTATTACAGTTTGATCAAATGAAGGTGGTCAGAAAGGAGACATAACTGCAGCCAATGAATACAAACCTCATTAATTGGCTGGTAATTCCCACCCCAACCTCTTTCGTTTTTTGAACAAACTGTAGCGATCCGGCAATCAAACAGTAGCTTACTTATATGCTATATCCGGGTACCCCAGGTACTTCATTTGATCATGCTGCAGGATCCTTAGTTCGGCTATACAGTCTGGCCAGAGAGTCATCTCTGTCCCGGTGTAGGTGAACCGGACGTATATGAGGGGTCCAGGGGGCATGTTCTCCTGGTGACTAGGGTCCTTCGCCCTCCAGGAGTATCGGCTCACTAGGGGAATGTGGGGTCCCAGGGGGTCCTTGGAGATGTACCGCACCCATTCCTCTTTCTCTGGGTGCAAAATTTTGTTTCATCATTGCATTATGAATATTGCAAAAAAACTTACATTATCGAGTCTTAAGATAAATTATTCTATTGTTTTACAAATACTCCTGAACGGCTAAAGTGATCTGCACGAAATTTAGCACAGTCATAGCTATGGAAAGGGGTAAACCTGAAATTGTACAAATCGGACAACAGGGGATTTCCCTACCGGAATTTAAACTTTTATGAGTTTAAATATGGGCCAATTGGTCACCATATAAGTTTTGCAAGTTACCAAAAAAATCTTAAACAAAAGAGTCATAAGTGCAAGCACATTACAAAAATACAGAACAAAGGCAAAGCAATCGGATTAATACCGTTGAGCATAATATACTGCAAAACGAATAACCATGTAGAGCCCAAGCACCATTGACTTTGTACTGCAAATAGATATGCCATTTTGAACCAGATATACCATTGACTTTAGATACTGCCAATTACTGCAAGTAGACATCCTATTAATGTGAACCCGAGGCCATTGAGAACAATCGATCGTGGTTACATATCTCAGAAGTATTGGATTAATATGCTTACTCGGTTCAATATTGCAAGCAGATAACTGCATTGTAAACCTAATATTTAGGTGGAATTAAGGCAGCCATGGTCATAAAAACTATCTGCTAGGCCATCTGGACACAACCACATCTGAGAGCGAAGTTTATTACTGTGAAGTTTTGGCCTCGTTTTAATCATTGGAAATAGTGTCATGCACTACCTGCTGGCGTAGGCAATCCTATTCTATTGTGCAGTTCGAACCTTGTTTAGATTTAGCTTTCATGTTGTTAACCTTTTGGAGAGCTACTATCTGGTATCCACCAAAGAATTATCTCTTATTTTGGATCAAGTTTTCATCGAGCGCTTTTTAAAAACATGATTTAAGGTTTGTTGTCAGAAACAAAAATAGACTATAAATTGGTCAAATCAGTCATCTTCTTTGATGATGGGTGATTTTTAAATATACGTATAAAACATTTTTTGTCAGAGCTCTCTTTGCGAGTATATTATACTAAATAACTCTGGTTGGACAATCATAACGGATTATTTTAGAACTGTATAATTTAAACACAATAATATGTCATTAGAACGTACTTACCAAGCTTATCTTCGTCATCTCCAGTTGATCGTAGCACCGTATGATCAAATGAAAGAGACATTTTTTCTATTTATGTTACAAATTTCTCAATTTTCCTTATTCTTTCATCCTGTTTTGTAAAGGTGGCTAATTTCACACAAAAAACAGTTCCTATGAAACCAATAGGCTAGCCCAATGCTTGCCTCTTTGGAAACAAAACAAAGATAGGTAAATGATCTCATAAACATTTCTACAGACCTTTATCTCTGAAAACTATTCCATTAATAGTATAACAAATTATTATCCTAGCAAATGGAATTCATAACAAAATTTTGAAGTTTTAAAACTAAACTTTGATTATAATTGATAACATATCAACCAGTTAAAATATGTTGAATCCAAGTTAGTTGTTTTATCAATAAAAGACAGTGCATGTTGATACGAAATTTGCATTTTTTTAATTGTTAAAGAAAGAAAATTTTGAAAAGTTATTAAAAAAACTAAGATGAATTGACATTTCTCGATGTTGAGATTCCAAACTCATAATCGTGGTTTTACAAAGCTTTATTTATTTTATAAATAAGCATTATAAAATACATTTCATACAATATAAAAACACTTATAGCCCTACTGAATAGTAGAAAGGAAAAAAGGAAAGAAGAAATTGTATATCGCCATGTTTAATACTCTTTTTATTTTAGAAAAATATTGTGTTTATAAACTTTGTATACTGCTTGGAAAACAATAAACTTTGGTCTCTTCCAAAACACTAGAATGCGCGTTTTTCACAAATGTTACAGTGTCAAAACTGAATAGCTTAAAGGCAATTGAATGTTTTCCAAATAATTACAACATATAAGGCCCTTCAATGTTAAAACACTTACAATTAAAATAACAATAATAAACTCCCTATTTATACCATTGTGTACTTCAATTGCTTGATCAATAGTTACCGATGAGGTTTAAGAAAGTATGATGGCCTCCAACCGTCTAAGGGGAGCTGCAGATATGTCGGGGAAATGTAGTTTTTTTCTATACCGTACTTGATGACATCAATAGCTGCTTTGAACATTTCGCTTGATGGCATGAATCCGTCTGCAACAAAATTTTAGATTTACATACCACATACGCATGTTTCAAATAGCATTTTACAAGATGTTATAAAATTCGTGCAATTAGCTTTTTAAAAACAAAATATTCTGCAATACACCAACAGGGTCTGTATTGCATCTTTGGGATGTGAATTGTTGTATACATTAATATATCCATGCAACTTAATGCTTGGTGTGGTGTATTTGCAATAATTAGGTCTTCAAGTCATTCTATCAGTAATTCAAGTAGTTAAACTATCATAGCTTCGAAGTTCTTTGCTTCTTAGGCTCTTCGGATTTCATGGGTTTGAAACTGAGTAGGTTCTACTACTGCAGTAGAATAACTTGGTGATAAACAAGGCCATTCAACCTACTTATTATATATCATAATGATTTAAAGGCTACACCACAATGAAATTGAAGGAAAAATATTTGTTATCTGCCTACAACTCTAGTGATTGTTGGTTAGTATCAACAGGAAAATTCAAGAATATTTTTGCTGGAAGGACATTTATGGTGGTTAGGTTAGGGACTAAAAACAGATTCTGATATAGACGACTATAAAGCGTGGTTTAGTTAGGTTAGCTTAGCTTACACACATATAGCAGTATTTAAAATGAATTATGGTATAAATACCCTATACTGTAAAAGTGATCTGTGAAGTGTACTGTAAGTGTGCGTGTGTAGTAGGCCTATATAGGATGGATCCTATATAGGATATAGGATATAGGATATCCTATATAGGATGGATTTTTAGGATGGCTTTGTAGTGGTATGGATTTTTACCATGACGACTTCCGTTGTAATGAAATTTCGATGTCTTTCGAAGCCTGATGAAGTTCCCCTCGGGAATGAAACTGCAGTAGCCTATATAGACTACAAGGAATACCTTTGACAGTACAAGGTATTCAAACCATTATGTATTACTATACCAGTGATCCGGAGGCTAACAAAATGAAGTATTTAAAACACAATTTTTCCGAAAACATAAAATAACGGACTGGGATAAACGAATCAAAACTAACCTAACCTAACCTCCGTATACTTGCTTTCAGCACAGAATTCCTATATTTTCCTGTTGCTAATAACCAACAGAACAATCTCCAGAGTTGCGGACAGATAATGGATTTTAACCAAGCTGAATATACATCAGTCAAACACATTTTGACGTATAACCTGTATTCAAACAAATGCATTAACTTTCATACTTTACTTTTGATTAAAAATCGAGCAAAAATTGCTTTCTTATCAATGTTACTTTTTCGAACACTACCTTCTAGCGGTTTTACTGTACAACTCCTACTTACCCTCAAGATCGCCAATGAAGGCTATATCCAGGCAGTCACCTAGCAGATACCTTAGCTTCAGAGGTCGGTCTACTTCTACCTTCCAACCAACCCCCTCATACACTAAGCTGTCCGAGCCCACCACGAAACTTAAACAAAAGAAAAGCTTTTTATTTGACCATTTTAGTTGTTTTTAACTATTTTACCTACAACAGTTTTTTTTAAATAGCCGTTTTAGTCCAGTCCTTAGAAATGAAAAGATTAACTTAACAATATTGTTTGCTTACTTAACAGCATGATTTTACTTAACGATACGACTAACTATAATGAGGTTCAAGGATTGAGAGAAACGACGTAGAACTGTATTGCTTCGAACTTCAACTTCAAGCTGTTAAGACCAATTTAATTGTTAATGAGTGTAATGGTACAATGAGTTTTTGCATCACTGTCAGTGGCAATGATAGGTTATAAACGAAAACCAAACCTCTCTTATATAGAAGTTATGAGGAGTGATTTAAGTAATTAAAAAACGGTCGTAGGTAAAGTAGTGTACGCAACTCACGTACACAGCCTTAACGACATTCGTTAAAGTTTTTAAAGCACTCGCCCCTTTAATTTCTACTCGTATCGTTAAAGCCCCGTTCACACGGGGCGAGTTTACAAGCTACACGCCGGCTTTTTTACACGCAGCTAGTAAAATAGCTCAGTGTGAACGATGTACTCGCCCAAAAGCTGCTTGTAAAAAAGCTCTGGAAAAAGTTGACGATGCCGCTACTTTACACGCCAACTCGCCAGCTTTTGAGCTAGTAGGCGTGTAAAGTAGCCCAGTGTGAACACAGTTGCTTGTGCTTGTGCGCGTGTTATTCAAAGATGGTGGAGGATTTGGTTCGAGCCAGCTACTGAGCGAGTGGAAAAAGCATCGTGTGAACGACTACAAGCGCACTCGCCGACTCGCCGGCGTCTTTTTACACGTCGGCGAGTTGGCGAGTGGACAAGCTCCGTGTGAACGAATACAAGCACACTCGCCAACCCGCCGGCTTTTTACACGCTGGTGAGTAGCTTGTAAACTCGCCCCGTGTGAACGAGGCTTAACGCTATTTTCACGCAATCGTTGCGTAAACTACTTATGTAGTAGTACAACTTTTGTTGTAGAAATATTTTAAGCACGAACTTTTATTTTGTAAAAACATGAGCTAAGATTCCGTGGCTTGGTGCAATGATCATGTTTTGGAAATTTTGTTCAAAATCGGAAAACATTTAATATTCTTTCCTGTTACATTTCAGTTAGCTAACTCTGACTAGGTCCGTCCCCTTTTATCACAAGGTACCAACAAGGTAGGTTTGTATGCATGCTTTACTTTTGAGTATAATACAGGGTTCAGGGGAATCAGAAAGTCCCATTTGAAAGAAATGTTTTTACTTTTCATAAAACTAAACGACATTAAAACAAACATAAAGACGAAGAAACATAGAATCCTTCCAATGTTCAAAAGCTTACGATTGAAATATCATTTTTGTTTTACCGACGAGACTTTAGATAAGTTTTGTTGATAGCTGTTGGTAAAATGAATTTATTTCAAATAGTCTTTACTTGCTTTTGTCAGCTGATTATTTAAATGATTTAAATTAGTCATCTGCCAATGTTTTGTTTTTTAGTTTTTATATACACAATTCTTGTTCAGTTCATGAAAATAAAATAATGTTAGAAGTGTTTGTTAATCTGTGAGTTTATCTTAAATTAAGCTTACCAACATGGTGTCAGGTTATTAGAAGAATTACAATAATGAATGGAATACCTCTACCAGATCCACTTGACATTTCGGACAAAACAAATGCAGCAGAGAAATGGATGTTATTCAAGGTCCAATGGAACAACTATCTAACTTTGGCTGAAGCGTGTGGTGGCTCAAAATGCAGCAAGATAACAAGCAAAAAAGTTCAGGTAGCTTTATTCCAGTCTCTCATTGGAGGTAAAACATTACAGCTAATAAATAAAATATGCAATGACAAGGCCAGTGTTGATGAGATTATTGATAGACTAGATGATTATTTTAATAATGCTAAGAATGTTACTTTTGAGCGCTTTATGTTTAATAGTGCTACACAATCACCAAATGAGTCTTGTAAAGAGTATATTAACAGGTTACATGAAATGATAGGAAGATGTGAATTTGAGTCACTGTCAAATTTATCTAGGCTTGAAATTGAAGAGCAGCTCTTATGTGATAGGTTAGTAGTAGGTTTATCAAATAATGACTTAAGAAAACGGCTCTTATCAAAAAAAGATCTGACTCTTGATAATGCGACAAGCATATGTCTTTCTGATGAGCAGGCTAGTAATCTTGCTAAAAAAATCAATGAACGTAGGACTAACGAGACTGAACCTTCTACGGAAAATATAGTTAATGAGTCGTTTAGAATAAACAGTGATCAAAAACTTCTTTCGTGTAAATTCTGTGGGGGAAAACACCAAAGGGGAGCAAGTTACTGTCCTGCGTTTGGAAAAGCGTGTAGTTTATGTCGAAAAAACAATCATTTTGCTAAAATGTGCCTTAAAGCAAAAGAAAAGATTAAAGTAGTAAGCTCTGCTTGTGAAGATACCATTCCTGGAGATTATGTTGACAAAAATGACATATATGAAATGGAAGATGACATTCCAAAAAAACGTCTATTCGTCCATTTGAAAGTCCCATTTAGGAAAGATAATCGAATGCTAAAATGTCAACTTGATAGCGGGGCGACATGCAATGTAATGAGTTACGATATTTTGAAGGAGCTGGTTGGAGTTGATCGTCCAGTCCTCCAAAAAAGTAATACAACGCTTACTTTCTATGGTGGTGCTTCAAAGGCTTCTCTTGGGAAAATAACATTGCATGTTATATGGAAGAATATTAAGCAAAGAATGTCCTTTGAAGTTATCAATACGAAGCATATTCCATTGATTGGAGCTCAAGACTGTTTACGGTTAGGGCTTATTGCAGTAGATGAGGATGTTTTTGAGTTAAAGAATTCTCCAAATCCAAGCTCCATTCTATCTTCTTTTCAAGACATTGGTCAAGGTCTAGGATGCTTTGAGGGTAAACATAAATTTAGACTTGACGAATCTGTTGTTCCTGTAGTGGTTCCACCTCGAAGATATCCTCTGGTTTTACAAGATGAGATAAAAAGTGAAATACAACGTCTTCAAGAATTAGGTGTAATACGTAAGGTAACGGAACCTTCCTCATGGGTCAGTGCTATGGTTGTCGTTAAGAAACCGAACAAGTTACGCATTTGTATTGACCCACATCAACTAAACAAAGCTATCCAGCGGTCACATTATCAGGTCCCCACTATAGAAGAAGTTGCTCCAAAAACTTATAAAAGCCAGGATATTTAGTACTCTAGACCTAAAAGATGGGTTCTGGCATATAAAGTTAACCGAAGAGGCAAGCAAATTAACGACATTTTGGACTCCATTTGGGAGGTACCGCTGGCTAAGGATGCCTTTCGGAGTAAAGTCAGCTCCAGAAGAATTTCAACGGCGAGTACACGAAGAGCTGGAAGGACTAAAAGGAATTTTTACGATTGCAGATGATGTCGTAGTTTACGGCAGTGGAGACACAGATGAACAAGCTTTAGAGGACCATAACAAGAATCTGCATGCATTGCTTGAGCGAGCTAGACAAAGAAATATAAAGTTCAACATGAATAAATGTAAAATCGGACTGAAGGAAGTTAAGTACATGGGACATGTTTTGAGCAGTGATGGCTTGAAAGCAGATCCTGACAAGATATCAGCAGTCTCAAATATGAAAGAGCCTCAGAACAAGGAGGAAGCTCAAAGGTTCTTGGGATTTATCAATTATTTAAGTAAATTTCTGCCAGGACTGTCAGAAGTAGCAGTTCCAATAAGAACTCTAATTAAAGAAGATGTTAAGTGGACGTGGCAGGAATTACATTCATTGGCTTTCAAGAAATTAGTTAACATGGTGACCAACTCTCCAACCCTACAGTATTACAATAAGGACTCTCCTGTGACGTTGCAATGTGATGCAAGTCAGTTTGGTTTGGGTGCTTCGCTATTGCAAAATGGTAAGCCAGTTTCATATATATCAAGGACTTTAAATTCAACAGAATGCCACTATGCTCAGATCGAGAAAGAATGCCTGGCAGTTCTATTTGCCTTTGAAAGGTTTGAACAGTATTTGTTCGGTAAGTGTGATATTACGGTAGAAACCGATCACAAACCTCTTGAGACTATTTTCAAAAAACCTTTGGTCAACGCACCTAAGCGGTTGCAAAGAATGTTGCTGCGATTGCAGAAGTTTACATTTACTGTTGTTTATCGACCAGGTAAAACAATGCTTTTAGCAGATTTTTTGTCACGCGCCCCAGAAACTAAGTATGAATGCAGTATGCAGGACAATTCAGTAATGATTTTTGAAACCTCAATGAACAGCTCGACAAAGGAGTTTGAACAGTGTAAGTCCTTAGAGTACATAAATGTTACGGATGAGCGTTTAAACCAACTGAAAGAACACACATACAAAGACCCCGTGCTTCAGAAGCTTATACCGGTGATTATAAATGGTTGGCCTAATAGAAAGACTCAAGTTCCCAAGGAGCTATGGAATTACTGGCCTTTTAAGGAAGAGCTTGGAGTTGAAGACGGACTTGTCCTCAAAGGAGAGCGGATTGTTATCCCAAGTAGCATGACAATTGAACTAGTCCATAGAATTCATTTTTCACATCAAGGGGTTGAATCATGTATAAGGAGAGCAAAAGATGTATTTTTTTGGCCGGGAATGGCAGGAGATATAAGAAAAGAAGTTGAAAAATGTTTAGTATGCAAGAAATATGCACCGACTCAACGGAAAGAACCCCTCTTACTTCAAGAAACACCATCACGACCATGGCAGCGAATCGGGGTTGATTTTGCTCAAGAAGGCTCAACTCACTTCATTATTGTGACTGATTACTATTCGTCATTTTTTGAGATTAGGAAAACACAAAAATGTACCTCTGAATCATTGATTGTTTTCTGTAAAGAGTTATTTGCAAGATACGGCATTCCAGACATTGTAGTTGGTGATAGTGGCACCCCTATATTAAGTCAAGCATTTAAAGATTTTTCAGAAGAGTGGAAATTTAAGATAATTACTTCCTCTCCATATCACCACCAGGCAAATGGAAAAGTTGAATCTGCTGTAAAGATATTTAAGAGTATTTTAAAAAAAGTGAGAGAAGACAAAGGCGACTTTCAGCAGGCTCTTCTTGAGTTGAGAAATACACCACTCAAAGAAATTGGTAAGAGTCCAGCTCAGTTGTTAATGTCTAGAAGAACTAAAAGCTTTGTACCCACTTGTGAAGATCTGCTGCGTCCTAATGTTCCTGTGAAAGTAATTGAAAAGTGGGATAAAAAGAAAGATGCATACAAAACATATTTTGACAAAGGAGCTAAAGACCTCGCCCCACTGATACCAGGACAAGTTGTTTGGGTTCAAAGGAAACCTCAAGAGAGAAGGGATCCCTGGGTAGAAGGTAAAGTTATAAAAAAAGAAAGAGATCGAAGATATGTGGTACAAGTTGGTGGAAACTTATATGTTCGCAACAGACGCTTTTTAAAGACATAAAAAAAAAGTTAAGAAAGGGAGGATGTTGGTAAAATGAATTTATTTCAAATAGTCTTTACTTGCTTTTGTCAGCTGATTATTTAAATGATTTAAATTAGTCATCTGCCAATGTTTTGTTTTTTAGTTTTTATATACACAATTCTTGTTCAGTTCATGAAAATAAAATAATGTTAGAAGTGTTTGTTAATCTGTGAGTTTATCTTAAATTAAGCTTTCCAACAATAGCTATATCATTTTACTTTATATACGGGACAGAAATAAGTCTAAGAATATGATCCTCAAGTATATAGAAAGAAAGGCCTATATTAAGCTCTGGCATAAGTCATACTTACTTGTAAGGTATGTCCGTGTCTCCTGTGAACATTCTGAACTTCTGAACCTCCTTCATGTACTCTGAACAATCCTCGTACGAGTCGGCGTCCGTCGTCGTATCTAAGAACCTCACAAAGTTCACTGGATGCTTTAACCGCTGTTTCTTCGGCGTCCTCGAAGCTTGAGCTCCCCATTTTCTTCTGGTTATCACCTTAAGAATTGAGTCGGTGTCATCAGTACTCTTATCCTCTGAAAATATTTAACAGTTAGGGTAAAATATTTAAAAAGGGTGAAATCAGTTTTTGGAAATTAATTTTAGTACCATAGTTTTTTTCATAGAAACATTTAAGTACGCCTTAATTTACAATATTCTAGCATGAAAAAAAATAGGAATGAAAAACAACCTTTTTAAATGTTTTATAAAGTATACAGTATTATATACCTGGATCAGGGTTATCCTCTGATGTTTCTTTCATGTTGAATCACCTTAAATATCAATTCGCCCTAAAGATGAACTTGGAATTACATATTGAAATGGTAATGGAAACAAGTTTTAGCTTATCAACATTGATTCAAGTCAATTTTTTTACAATAAAAACTCAATTCAGTGACATAGTGCCAAAAGAATGTGCTGTTTAGATTTGAAATGAATGAAACGTATATCATGACGATTAAGTGTTATCACGGTGCAATTTTTCTGTAATCGTTTTTTGTCAACGAATGACTAGTAAATATGCCAATAAACTTAACCCTTTGCGGTCGAATGGTGAGTAAGGTCGCTGCCCACCATTTTCCCGACTGCTTTAAAATGGCGACCCATACTAAAAAAATAAAAATAAAAAAAGTTTATTTTTGCAGTTAAAGTTGAGTATAGGTCACCGGGCGCCATTTTCCTGACTGCTCCAATGGTAAACTATACTCGGTGTAAAATGGAAAAAAGATTCGACCTCAAAGGGTTAATCTTTGAAATTGTAAACCACTTACAGTTCATAGTATTTTACTATCACCTATCAATATTCCCGCACATTATAGTGATACATTCATTACCTAATTACAATATAACATTCTGTGCTGTGTTATAATTGTAATTATTCTTTAGTTTAGTCAAAGAACTGACATAAAACCCTTTGTACAAACATGTTTTATATTATCGCAAAAGCTACCAAATGCTTTGCACCTTTCATAACTGTGAGAATTTTAGTAGACCATCAGTTTTTAACTCGATTCGGATGATAAAGCTTTTTAGTACAATACCGTCCTTAACTGCCTTCCAACGGAGATTCAAACAAATAATATCTCCTAATATACCCTTATATACTAGATGCCTATCTCTTAAGCTTTGTGTAGGTTTTCAGTGGTTTAATAACTACAAGCAGTGAACACTACTCTTCATTAAACTAGCTCAAGTAATTATATACCACCATACAGTATTTTCATACCACCGCCATTTTGGCTTGAATTAACCGTTATGTCATTGGTCAGTTTTAATTAACCGTTATGTCATTGGTCAGTTTTTCTGACAAAAAGATATATAATTGCTCCACTTTGTACTCCTCATAAAGATACTTAATTTTATTTACTCCCCTTATTCTCATGCTTAAGAATTATCTCGGTTCCTTGTGGACTAGTCTTAGTATGATGATGAGAACATATCGGCTTCAAATAACATAACTTCAACGACTATATTTTTAGGTATGCATATAATGTAAGTAAAGCATCGTTGCGTTATATGCAATGGTTTAGAAAATCAAATTAAATGCTCGTCGGACTGTGGAGTGGACTCTGAATACTAAACTTATGGCATAATGGGTTTGGAACGTATCCTTTCAAAACTATAAAAATCCTTTAGCGTATATAATACACAAAAAGAAAGAAATCAATACAAATAGATCTTGTCATTAATTATCATTATCTATTTTTGGCTAGGTTTTTGCTGAACGATTAACCTAACAATAAAGTCTCTCATACTGTCTAAAAACGAATTTATTGTTTCAATTATTTAGAATGTACATCATACCGAGTCAGTATTAAATCAAGCAGAAAATAAAGGAAATGAAGTGGGTTGTATATTTTGTCTACACAGTGTATAATATGTACTCGGAATGTTACATAATACAATTTGAATACAAGTTCCCTAGATTTTGAACAAGTTAGGGAACAATATGTACCTATTTTCCTTCTTATCTACTATTGTTACACAACATTATTTACCATTTACAACAATTAATCGTAAGTCGTATACAATCAGTGGGGGGGGGGGGGTTTCCACCCTCTGGAAAAAATTGTTATTTTGAAAGCCGTTTGGTGACTTTCTAAAGAAATTTTTACATCTACAACTGTGCCCAAAATCCTAAGTTACGGTTATCAGACGAAATATATGTTTAAACCTATTTTCCAGGGTACAATGTTGAGGGGGGGGGGTTCAACCCCTTTAGCCCCCCCTCACCATTGTATACAATATTCAGTATTTCATTAATACCAGTAGCAATACATTATTTCCCAACAAGCAGCCTTGAAAGAACAATTACCCAGTACACATTAACCTAACATATTATGATTTCCAGAATCTCAATACCCTTAAAACATAAGAAAATATATCACTATTTAAGTTACAATATATTTTGGGGAAGGGTTATGGATGGTTTGATAGTAAAGTAGTTTTTATTTCGGTAGTTGGTCATGAGGTCTGAACGGGATGACCTTGAATTTTGGGTCGAGCACTCTGATTTCCACAGCATAGCGGATCACATCCATGGCACCCTTCAGCAGAAACCAGGGAGGGTCGGACTCTACGGAAAATACACAAAATGAATACAATTAAAAAGGTAACACAGGTTAAATCTGTGTTAGAGAAGTTGCCAGAATAAGAAGCATGTCAAAAAACTTGGTTTGATTTTTTTGTACCGAAACCTTAAAAAATTATTAGAAAGAAAACTTGTCTTTTTCAATTCGGTTAGATATAACAAATATTTACTTCAAGTGATATTTGGAAACTGACTCAACATTTTACTATACTAATACATTACCGTACCTAAAACAATTTAATAATGTTAATGGTTTATTCTAACTGATGTGACGTTATACTACTAAGTAGTATGAGAAATATCTAAACTATTTCTTTTGCAATGTTGACATCTAATATGCAATGATTTGTTGAATAGAAGCCCAGTTGTAAAATTCTAACTTTACATAGTTGATTATGCTGCTGTCAAAGCATCGGTTTGCTCCTTTGGTTTTTGGTACTAATACCATGACATTTGATGTAATGTGAAAAGTGTTATAATTTACAATACAGTGTCTTTTTAAGTTGCTCAATTAAACTGTGCCAATTTTTATTATAAAACTGGATAAATCTTCAACAGTGGATGCTGATGTGTGATTCAATCAGTAGTCAAAGATAAAACATACTTGTTTAAGAAATGTTCGAGTACTTTCAAAACACTATCTAACGCAAACGATACTAAACATTTTCTTCTAGAACATTAGTTTGGAATTCTAAGATCTGAAAGGCAGAATCAGTGTTTCAGTTATTAGATCAATATGTGGAGATACTTACTGCTAAAGTCTCCCATGTACGCGATGTCGAGACAGTCTCCTTGAAGATGGGCAAACTCAGGAGGTCTCTCAGCGTCGACATACCATCCTCGACCTTCGAAAATGGCACCGTCTCGGGAAATCATGTAACTGGGTATAACAAAAAAGAAGAGAAGTTAAATTAAGTATTTCATACTCTAAAATACAAAAGATAAACAGTATGATTCAATGAGGTTTTTTTACCACCCAATTGTTAAACATCTTATCATGTTTAATTTAAGAGTTTCCTTGAAAAACAGAGAACGGGGTTTTAAGAAAATTCTCATTTATAGAATCAGGAAGGTTTAGGTTCCTTATTTTTATACAGTTTTCTCATCAAAGGTTGAGGAGAATGTATCAAATTCAAGGGGACTTCTTACTCTCTCTGACTCAATGGAGTTACGTAAGCCCTACTCCTGTAAATTACTTAGTTGAGTTTTAGGCCAGTCTCAGTTACAGAACAATTGTGGATATTTCCATCATACCTATGACTCAAGTGTAACAAAGGGCATCTAGGTTTCTCGATCCTTGATGATCTCTTGTGTCTATACTGATTTTGTGTTTGGCCAAAGAAAGCACTTAAGTGGTTCTCCGATCTCCGGCTAAAGTTAGACGTATTTTGGCTCTTGTAGTTGTTGAATATGTAATATTAATTAACAAAACCCAACCTTCTGGCTTCAAAAACAAACCGACCTTACTGGCTCTAAAGCGTTACGTGAGTAAGTTTTGTATCTTACACAATAGAAAAATATACCTTTCAGCCTCCCAAATAGGTAATCTTCAAGAGGGTTTGTTCTCAGTTTGGCTCAAAAGAAGCATGTATACAGATAATCAACTTTCAGTCATACAAAAATTGATTTTCTACCCTTATTTCTAAGGGGTAGTGTATCTTCCACAATAAAAGAAGGAATTCTGGTCCTATCAGAGACGCTGATCACCAACAACTCCTCCACTCGACTTACTTGTAAGCTATATCGTCCAATCCATCCTTCCTGTGTTGCTTCTGCATTTCCTGTATGATACCCATCGCCTCAGGGTAGTCGTCGGTCGGGCCGTTGGTGTATGTGAACCTGACATGCTTCACTGGGACGTTCAGTGGCTTCTTGGGCTTCCAAGGCAGCGCTCCCCACTCCTTGCGAACTACGGTGCCGATAACAGGGCCATGGTACTCTTTGTAGAGCCACAGATTGCGGGGGTCATCATCTATATAGCACTTCCCCTTTAAGAGCTAAAAGCAACATGGCGTGGATTAAAACTACATGGATGATTACGATGTGTCTTCAGTTATTTATAGTTATAGTTAGTTATAACCTTCAGTTATTTATTGCAATCTTATGAATTTTAAGGGAACTTTTCTAATGTCTGCTCTCCTTATAGGAAAAGGTCTGACACTGATGGGAAATGTGGTTCAAACCCTTCAAATAATTTGTAGATTTTTAGGGAATTGATTTTTTTTTATCCATTTGACCGTTTTTCATGAGTTTTTTTATGGGAAAATAACATAAGTTACGATAACTTTTGAACCGTAATTTTTACACCGGGGGTTGCACTATGTTGTTAAAAATTATAAGGATTATCACATAAAAATTCAATCAAAGCCGGTTTTTTATACGACTTTATCTTATTTTATGTTTTTTATAGGAAAATAACATAATTTAAAATAACTTATGAACCGTATTTTTCACAGAAAGAGGAGCTATACCATTTGGTTTAGAATTGAAAGGGCTACAACATACTACATATTTATAAAAATCGTTTTGGGCCATTTACGATAAAATCCAATATTTCCGTTATTTTATTGGTTTTTATGGAAAAACATTAAAATCTAAATTTGAAAAAATGAAAAAATGCCTTAAGATACTATAGATTAGTACCTACATACCAAATTCTATCACAATCGGACCACAGGTGTAGTCCGTAGCTCTGTACACATCCACCCATACACACACACACACACACACACACATCACTTCGAAACCCACTTTTTTCGACCCAAAACGGATATATCAACTGAAAACTCAAACTCGAAGATTTTGACGAAAACAATACTTTCTCCATTTACTATGGTATAGCCGGAAAGAGTAAAGAAAACGACGTTAGTCCAGTAAGAAAGCTGGTTAATTAATATAATTTACTTTAAATACTTTATTCTGAAAGAGCGGATTAAATTCTACAATTGTCACATTTCTCGCTCTTTCTCATACTTTGGCTTTATACGCCACCAAAAAATGTTAGAAATAGCTATTTGTTATAAAGCTTAATAACAAGAAAGTAGCAAAATAATAATCTTCTGCACAGTGTTTATAACAATATACCTGTTATTACTGGTATTAGCATGGCCACGGGTCGGCCGGTTGACGTTGCCACACCAACGCCACGGCCTTTGTATTAGAGGATGTGATCAAGGATTTATGTAACTATTATGACATTTTATCATGACACTAAGCTATATACCCTCTCTCCCTCCCTCATGCTGGCCAGTGTTGGTGGTTCCATGTATTTTCGGAGCCATGGCACGATGTAGGTAATGTCTGGCTTACTAGGGTCCACCTTCATGTCATCCTTATCGAAATATATCGGTTTGTCCTCCTCGTCCGTCTCGTACTCAAAAGCATCAATCTCGGGGTCGGACACATCGGGCCAATCTTGAGAAAGAGAACACAACTTTTACCAAGCTCATATAGTACAGTACTTACTAAATATATACTATATTATGAACTACAGTACGTTCCACGAGAGTCTGTAGTTGAGGGAGGAGCCTATTTACCACGTGACTTCGAAGGAGCCAATGAGGACAGTGCGGTGTTGCCAAAGGTAATAATAATAGCCAATTTGAAAATATTGATTAGTATATTTTAATTAGTGTCAAGAATTAGTAAACGGGAGATGTTGCAACGTCGCGCTAGTCCAGTCTTGCTATCGGCTGCAGCCAACTGTAGACTCTCGTGGTCCCTAGTATAGATAAAAATACCGGGTGTCTAAAAAATGGACCAAAAGTAAACTGGTATAAACACTTAATTATCTTTATATACATTTTTTCCTTAACTTCCTAAGTTTTTCCTACCATGGTGACCCAACCTCTACATTTTACTCCATTATTTGCTCAAAGAAAGTCTAATTGGTTTACCAGCTCTGACCACACATTGAGGCGAACTTCATTAGATATTTTTCAAAAGATTTCCCTTATCGTTGCTTTAAGTCTATGTTTGAGATTGACAGCGATAGATACACTTGTTCTTTCAAAAAACCCCAGACAAAAACAATCGCACAGCAGATTTCGGCTCTAAGCCATTCAATGCGCTGTGCTTTCAACTGCACCTCAATTATTATGTTATGAGAATTCAAACGTGCTGACAACAATGGAACAGCTGATAACTGTTGAAGGGTAAAAAATTAAGACACCAGCAGCCTTTAAAACTAGCTTTTCTATAACCCTTGATACTATGTAGATCAAGCTGTAGATTTGATCCATTCTTTTTGGTACACGGTGTTCGATAATTACACTGTACACTTTGTTTGCTACATTCACTACCAACTGGCTTATCCGTTCACATAAGTATTGCTAGGAATTTGTTTGATGATCTGAATCTATGTGATATTTTAAACGTGCGTTTTTAAATAAAGATCCAGGATGTTTGTCCAAATATTAGGTAAAGATAGCGTGCCGAACAGGAATGAACACTACTAATTAATTTATTGCTGAAATGCGACCCCATGGGTGTTGTATTTCTAAAAACCGTCATAGTACTTTCTCAAAACCACTTACTTCTTAAGTTTTCAACTTATATTAAAATTATTGTCAAATGTATATACTGTGTATATCAAGATGTAACTATTCCAATTTCCGTGGTGTCGTTTGAAAGAGGCATTTGGTATTTTGGTTACACGACTCTTAATGATCAATGGATGTTTTCATAATTATTTGTATATAATATTTGAGAGAATGTTTTGAAATAATACAGTATTCAATAGTGTTACAATTAAAATTTAAGTAAAAAAAAGGACATTGAGGTTCAAAATACAAGACTCGCATTTGCCTATACTTATGTGTTTGAGATTTTGGGGAGTGATTAATACTTTTAAATATAGTTTTTGCTGACAATAACTTATATCTAGGGTAACTAAATTAAGTTCTTAAATGATTTTTAATCTTCAAGCAAGTTAGAAATATCAAATGCACCTTACGTCAACATTTAGCCCAAAGACCCAAATGAACTTGTGGATTTCTAAGATGAAAGTTGAAGATCATAATCATCTTTATGAAAGGCAAAATAAAAAGGACGGGAAAGAATACTAAAGGATGAAGTAGAATCAATACACGTCGCCATTCTGTTGTTGAAATTAATGAAAATAAAATAAAATACCCCCGCCGCAGCAAACCTGCCGTCTAAGCGAATTTCCATTTGTCCGAATTGATTTTCAATTGATCTATTTAAATAACATTAGGTTTAACGAGTACCTAGGTTTGCTGCTACAAGGAAACTAATAAAGTAGTGTGTTTTTAGTAAAATATTGATAGCTTACTATAAAATAAATAAATTTGCCAACTTTGATCAAAATATATCCATAAACAAGCAAACTACAACATTTTACAATATTCTCCATAAGAATAACATGGGAATTTTAAATTTACCATTTTTTTAGTTTTCTCCGTAACCAATAACCGTACAAAAACACTTTGATATACTGAATTGTTTGTTTTTTTAAGCTCTTTAAGAAGGTTTGGAGAAAAATTGGGAAATTTTGTGTTTTGAGGGTAAAACGTGAGAAAAACCCATTTTTACCCCATAAAACCCCCCATAAAACCCTGTTCCCATGGTCCGATCATGCTGGATCGCGAACTCATTCAAGTTTATCCCGCCTTACACCTTCAAACCAAATGTCATCAAAATCGGATAAAAATTACTCAAGTTATCGTGTTCACGGACACATATATATATATATAAATCTATATATATACCTATATATATATATATATATATATATATATATACATATATAAAAATTTGAAAGAATGGTGTTTTTGGCCTCTGGGGACATAAAAATGAAAAAGTAAATCGGTCCCGGGCCTAAGTCTTACCATGAGACCTACGGTAATAGCTACTTCCCTATAGGGAAATTCGCTAAAAGCCACCAAAAATCAAAGTTCTACCCACGTTCTCTACCCGTTGGAAGACAATGTCGAGAAAAAAATTATATCAATGTTTTTTTTTTTACTATCACCATGCATCTTAGGTCTTCTAAGCCCAAATTTCCAATACCACTAGCAACAAAATATGTATCCCGATTTCGTTCTATCCCTGTGTTAGCAATAGTTACTTCGAATAAAAACAAAGTTTTCTAAAAGTAATGAACAAATCTACTTCTATAAAAGCTTAACAATTTACTTGGATGGCTTTCCAAAGGATGATCATGTACTTTGTCATCATCATCATCTTGCCAAAGGAAAGGCTTTTCATAATTCAGCTCCTCGTCGTCCATTTTCGAATCCATTTTCCTCCAAAACAACGCACAGAATCAATCGTATAAACACCAAACAAAACTATCGTACATCAGTTTTAACACATACTTATACAATATTAATCATTCTGATCAGTAAGTAAACTTTTCATAAAAAAGTGAAAATTGCAGTAAGTGATTAAATTGTTGTGTCTAGTGTAACTGTTGCTCCACATTAACAAAGTCTTTTATGATAAGATTGGAAAAAATCCAATATGATGTAAAACGTGAGTTGAAATGTAGCATTAATGAATAATATAACAGTGTTTGAAGCAGTTTATTTCTTTACATAATTAACATTTCACGGTCAATATATGTACAACTGTACTATAACATTCGATAAAGTTTAATTTGATTTGTTATCTTTTGTTTGTAAGTAATTTTCTCTTGGAGTCAAAAATTAATAATGGCCGTATTTACAAAATTCAACTGTTGGATCAGTTACACAACAACACCATTGAAAGATGTACACTGCAGGTTGAAATATCTTGCATGTTTCATAATATTCTTGAGGAAAGTGAGAACAGAAAGAGAAATAGAAAATATCTTTTAGAACTGTGGATAAAAACACATAAAATTACTTCTAGCAAAGATTTATACAATTATGTTCTCAGCCATTACAAAACTATAATTTTGTTTTTTGAAATTACGTTTTCGTTAGGTATAAGTTGTTGAAATAAAATGTCAAAGTTAAAATTAACTTTTTACATTTTATTTTACATTTGTGGCATTATCTGCTACTTAATTCGTGTCTATAAATATTTATAGTACAAAAATTTTGGAATAATATTTAAGTACCTCATAAACGCATGAATAAAATAGATTTGGCTTCTAAGAATATTTTTAATGGAATCTTGAAAATAGAAATCACAAACCTGGAATATTTTAAACACATTTTTATTACAAAATTACAAAATTATTTTAACCTACACTTTTTACACAATTATTAATCAATTTTCTGAAACAGGTAAGGACTCATCCCTCCAGTTTATTAAGTTGTATTGTGGAGTTATATAAAACTGTTTGAGACCGTAGATTACTAACCGCATCCCCACCAGAAACTGTTCATAGGGTGGGCTTGAGTCTGAAAAAAACACAAAATATTAAATTAATCGGTTTATGATTTTTTTAATCACAGGTTGTAAAATACAGATATTGTTGTTATTTTCAACTAAATCTAAACCTTTATCAGTTGGCTGTGATACTATAGCGAAATTATATCACAATTTCTTAAATGTACCAGTTGATATTAGAAATATTCAGTCAACATCAACCAACTCCAACTTTTCAATATTTAACAAACATCAAGTCAGGATCCAGATTTTATAAATGAGGTTATAGTTATTTAATTTCAATATGGATGAAAAATACGTGACGTGAACGAGACGTTTCAAGGGAGTTGATCTAGGGACCTTTGTCCTCTTTAGCCCAGGGTAGGAAGGGGTTTTGACGGACACTACTTCTATTACGAATGATGTGGATTACTTTTCAGCAACCTGTCTTAGTTGTTGGTTAGGGCACGATTATGTGGATGTTAAAATATGTTATGATGTCAATGGTGAAATCAATTCTAAATGTAAGAAAGGGGATAACAGTATAATTTTGTTTGGTTATGAGTTTTGAGTTGGGATTAAGGGAAGCTTATGGTGGTCAATGTAGTTGTGGGTATGCTGTTGTGGTTTAGTTGGGTTGGTGTTGGTTTAGTCAAGTCGTTAGTTTGGTAAAATCGGAGTTTGTATTGCTCGAACCTCAGGGAGGTTCGGGCTGAGCCATTCCGAGATGAAGTGGTTAAGGAAGTCTCTAAGGGTTGGCATGGAGTGAATGGTGTAGACATCTTTGTTCCTGGTCCACAATGGATTTGGAATGATCACCATAAGAAATAAGGGGGGGGGAGATGGGTTGCCTTTTGGTAGCTTCTAGGCTTGAGAGAGTGTGCTTGTATTTAAACAAAACTACTCTACTATAGTCTGTATGATGGAACAAGTCTCCTCCATCAACCTGGGGATCGGCCAATGGTTTAAGGCCCGGGCCAACCCCAGGTCCCGTCATACAGACTATAACTGACCTTCGCTCTTGTAGTCTCCCACATAACATATGTTCAAACACCTGTCTAAACCTTGGAAGGCCTCAGGTAGTTGTGGCTGGACCTTCCAACCCCGCCCTTCGTAAACTTTTCCGGTCACGTCAACTATGAAACTGTAACAAAATATGACACAAGATGAATGACACATATTAAGTTTATGTTTATACGTATTTAGACTGTAAATACCATTGACCATCTTAATGTTGTTTCTTATCGTATGTATTGCAGCGGGATGATATTAACTATGCTTCTGTTACACGACCAAGAAGTTCCAATTGGCAGATTTACATAAGTGTCTACTGTATGTAAGTCATTTATGTCCAATCAAAATATTACATGTATCAAAATACCCAAGCACTCACATATTTCTGGATATGCTAGGGATAATTCTGCCCCTCTCTTAAAGACTGCTAAGGCGTTAGTCAGAGATATAGATGGTAGATGGTATACTATTGCCACACGGCTACCATGCCTTAGGCCTATAAGATACTGTGTAGCATTTTAAATACACACTGGAAAATACATTCGGTCTTTGAATGAATTAATTCAACTACAGTATATAGATATAAAAATTTAGGATTAAGCAATTATCTTACTTGTAGGGGATGTCAGTGTATCCATCGTTCATGTATTTCAGCTGCGTGTCCAGAAGGCCATCTATGATGTCCTTGTCTCCTGGGGTGATATCCTCTGAAGTAAACCTCACCCAGGTGATGGGATGTTCCAGAGGGGAAGTCTCCTCCGCGTCCTCAGCTCCCCACCATCCTCTGCCTACGAGTTCTATGTCGTGTCGCTCGTCTACTTCTAGACGCATCCTTAGGACCTGGATGATAATTGGCCTTTTGATAACGCATGAAACCTAGTATAGGCCTCCTAAAATACAAGGCCGTGTCATAGAGGTGTGGCAACATCGCGCCGGCCGGCCTATTGTCATGGCAATAACAGTTGTAACAAACGTGTAGACATTAACAGGCAGGCGCTCCTTTATGAATATGCAAGAGCAGCTGTTTGAGTAGGCCGGGAATTCAGCGTTGCCACTTGTATCTCGCCGTGGCCTTGTATTAGAGGAGGCAATGTTAAAACTAGAAGTGTTCGTGTACTAAGGATTTACAGTCTAACAGTATTAATACTTGATCAGGTCCTACACTACAGATAACAATCAGTCCTTTTTCTTCGTAGAGGGGAAAAATACTTGACAGTAGCTGCAGCATTTGATTCTGTAGGGAACTTATTTAATTATTTACACACATACATATATATATATATATATATATAATACTTTTATATAGATTTTACTTTATATAGATAAAATACTTTTAGTTATAATTACTCGCCAATTCATTATATGAACTGAGTCTAAAAGAATACTCACAAAAACCATTTGCTTAAAACAAAATAAACCAGCTAAAACACCCTACATCCAAACACCCCCCCCCCCTACACCCCCCCTACATCCCCCCTACATCCCCCCCTACATCCCCCCCTACTTCCCCCCACACCCCCCTGCATCCCCTACATCTAAATCTGAAAACCACCGACATGTTTATAACTCCTAAAAAAATGGAAAAATGGAAAATGGATGGTTAATGGAAAATTTAACATGACTTACCTTGTTAAGCTGTATTAACAATCAAGTTGTTCAGCAGCAATTATAAACGTTGAAAGTTGAGCCTCCATATTGTTTGGGCTTTCCGAAGTCATACAAAGAAATCATAAATGATTCATGTTATCTTGAGACTTAAAAGCATGTGTTAGGGCCTACTTATTATTTCAAAATATCAGTGTGTGTAGCAAACGTTATCAACATTCTAGTGATAACAATTCTAGTAGGCCTAATATCAGTAGAAGGCCTAGTAACAGTTCTAGTAGGTTTATTAGTACTTCAGTAGTTTTTTTGTTGTTGATCTAGTTAGTCCTAATTATTAATTACATAGTTTGGCTAAGTAAATCATATAGTGCGTTATGTTAAAACACATTGCGGTTGAATTAGAATACGGTACACATACTAAACAACTATTTTACCAATAAAAAATCTTAAACCATCCCTCGTGTGGTTTATTTATTCTTACGAGCTAAGAGATACATCTGAGATTTAAATTTACCTATTTGCTCTAAAATTAGAGACAGAAAGGCGGCACACCAAATTTAAGTTCATCAGCTTGAGTATTTGTCAAAATAAATGATTCCATAGGAACAAAAGAGTTTCTGCCTACCAAGGTCGTTACCATTTGAAATGACAAATATACATAACTCTTTTATTTTACAAATATTTGTACAAAAGTAAATCCTAACATTAATCTTCCCTCAACAGGTGGCCCTCAGGGGTGTCGCTGTCTTCGGATAGGAATTGATAAACCCCAGCCTTGTCTCTGTAAGGGATGGTCTGGAAGGCAGAACTGATGTAGTTGTTTTTCAGTCCGTGCATGATCAGGTACATTCCGGAGCGGACCATCTCCCATGTCGGGTCCGTTGCTGAAAAAAGTGGAAACAAAGAAATTATTAGAGGAATAGGTAAATAATTGTTGTTTAATCAGTGAGGATATTGGTTCAAAACATCAGAATGTCGTTAGTGTACTTTTTTAAGAGATAGATGACCTCGTTTTCGTCCACATAGGTGACAGAGGCCAGTGCATAGAAAGTGCGTGCTGTATCAAGTAAAGTAAGGAATTAGCTGGATCTGTACAAGGGTGAACTGTGGTGATAAAAATTAGTGGCAGATAACAGGATACGAACCCAAGACATAGGTGCATTGGACCCGAATTCCGTGGCGCTACGGACTCACCAAATTTGATAGACTTAATTTCATTATTTCCAACTTGGTAGTTAACAACCTATTTCCCCAAGGAATACTTCATATAATAATTTATTTAGTTACTTAGTGTTTAATCTTTCATTAATCTTTTTATCGATTCAAATTTTCGTATGGAGAGAAAATTTTATCTGGGTTCAGAATTGGCCACCTTTTGGAATGGAACAAGAAACCAGGTTTTCAGGGATTCAGGTTTTAAGGCGAGCACTTAAACCCCTCCGATACGCAGATAATTTAGCTAGTTTTTGGAAACAGTCAATACAATACCCTAACTTAAATTTCTTCTTACGGGGAGTCTAGGAAACTAGGGAAAATTTGTATTCAATTCCTCCTCGTAAGAATAAACATTTATAAATCATGTAAATTAACTAATTTAGAAGTATATTGACGAATTTGAAAAAAAAACTGCTTGAGCGGCTCGTATATTTAATTGTGAGTAGCGTTTGCTAATTCTCTGTTGCTAATAAAAGAGGAAGACAGATGACATGGAGACAGGCCAAGGCACTTGCTGAGGATCGAGACGGGTGGCGGGATTTTGTCGAGGCCCTATGTTCCACCCACGAATGTTCACGGAAATAAGTCAAGTAAGTCAAGTCAATAAAAGGGAAGAGAACTCATGCAATTTACTTAAAGATAGCACTAAGAGAGCTTACAGAGTATAAAGAAATGTAATGCCTTCTTGAATCTCCTTCGTCTTGAAAAGCGATAATCAAGTTGATGGCAAGCCAATTCGGTTCTAAACTTACGCCTTCTTTAATTCTTGGAGTCATTGATACACATACATTTACTAGCCCCTAAACGTGCTCTATTTTATTACTGTTCCATTACAAGGAGTCTTACTCACATAGGTCTGCGTAATCCCCGATGTAGGCGATGTCTAAGCAACTTTTACCCTTAAGTTCTGGAAACTTTTCCTCGGGCCGCCATGGCTGCGTGTGCCATCCACGGCCCTCCACGATGATGCCTCCGGGACCAACCAGAAAACTGGAGGGGAAACAAAAATATCAGTCTTCTTACAATTTATATTTACTATCAAAGACAATTCGTTTATTGATATAAAAACTATGGGAGACGTTCTGTATGTCAGATTCTTCACTGAACATTTCTGTTAAAGAACTATACTGAATAAAAACTGTAAATGTGTGATAGGACTAATTAAAATAAACGGTATCAGCATTCTGACACATACTTTCTCCCATAAGTTTGTCAACAACCTTTATCATGTGTAAGCGGTGAGAGTAAATATACGGAAATGGGATTTGTAAGATTTTCTTCAGAATTTAAAGGACTATAACATACTAAATTTTTATCAAAATCGTTCGAGCCAATATTGGGAAAATATGATTTTCCGTTATTTTATGGGGTTTTTATGGGGGAAATAACATAATTTACAATAACTTTTGAACCGTAATTTTTACAGAGATGGGATTTGTACAATTTTGTTCAGAATATAAAGGACTATAAGATACTAAATTTTTATCGAAATCGTTCAGGCCATTTTTGGGAAAATCTTTTTTTTCCGTAATTTTATGGGGTTTTATGGGAAAATACCCATTAAAAATAAAAATTCCTAAGAAATGAGAAAAACTATCAAAATTGTAAGGATCATAACATACTATGTTAAATAAAAACGGATTTTTTTTGTCTAAAATCCTATTTTTCGTTATTTTATGGGATTTTTATGGGAAAATAACATAATTTACCATAACTTTTGAACCGTAATTTTTACAGAAATGGGATTTGTACCATTTTGTTTAGAATTTAAAGGGCTACAACATACTAAATTTTTATCAAAATCGTTTGGGCCATTTTTGAGAAAATCCGATTTTTCCGGTTTTTTATGGGTTTTTATGGGAAAATCCCCATTAAAAATCAAAATTTCAAAAAAATGATAAAAACGCCTGGAGATACCATGGATTAGAACCTACTTACCAAATTTCATCGAAATCGGACCACAGGTGTAGTCTCTAGCTCTGTACACATCCAGACACACAGACACACAGACACACAGACACACAGACACACACACACACACACAGACATCACTTCGAAAACCACTTTTTTGGGTCCAGGGGGACCCAAAACGAATATATCCACTCAAAACTCAAACTCGAAAATTTTGACGAAAACAATACTTTCTCCATATACTATGGTATAGGGGGAGAAAGTAAAAAGTTAGTTTGCTAGTGGGAGAGAAATATCTACAAATTTGACTGCCACCTTGGACAAAGGCTGTTATAAAGTCAATGCTGTTATTTAGTATTGTAAATCGTACGTAGACTGAATCAACGAAATAGATTACAGATGCAAAACCGATACCCACCATTCTCTTGTTAAAGTTGTGGGAAGTTTATGAAAACAGGGAAGGCCTAGTTGAACCAAGTCTTTGATTAAATACCTTCTTCGGATCAAACACCTTCAGCGTAATCTTTCTAAATTGAAATAATGCATTTCCAACTCAGCTTGTGAGAGCCGTCAGATAGGCGTGTGTTGGAACAATTATATAACATAATGGTTACCGATGAAATTCCTTTTGATTATAAATTAATAGTTACTGAATGACCTCAAATACATATAAATTAGTCCTCACAAAAAATACTACATCCATATTAGACGTATATCAAGGTGGTCTTCAAACTACCGGCTTACGGAATATTTAAGTGGGAATATGCTATTGCCAAATGGCAGAATCTGTATCCAGACAGGACAAAATAAACACCCTCTAAACACAAGACTAAATAAATGAAATGTAAAACTATACAAGTTTCACTCACTTCCAAGGTACATCAGGGAGGCCCATCTTTTCCATGTAGTGTTTCTGGCATTCCGGCATCATCTGGAACATATCATCGTTGTACTTCCTCAGGTCCTCGTAGGTGAACCGGACATGGGTGATGGGATGACACAGGGGCTCCGTAGACTTGGGGAGGAGTCCCTTCCAGGTCTGCCGGTTGACCAGAGGCACCTGAATACCTCCGTCCATCTCCAAGCATTGCATGGTTGCTGGTGTTCAACTGCCTGAAACGGTGTCAATTTTTACAATTTTGTTGTGGTGAATGAAATTACGTACATTTCTCAATGTTGCTAAGATAATTGACTTTGAGATGGATAAGAAGTCCCAGAACCAGCTACATCCAATATCTCGATGAAATAGAACTTAGTTGAATGCCCCAGAGTGTTCTGCTGTCAAAATAATATTTTCTCCGTTATTTCTTACTATGATAGTAGCTTTCGCATAAAAGATTCTATAATTTAGTCTGTATTCTTATCAGCTTTAGTTTGAAAATTGGCATATTCTGCAGAAATAAGTAATTTAACTCAACGGACTCTGTAAAAAAAAAATCACTCTATTCTTAACTTGGGGATTTAACTTCTATTTGTGATGGCTAGGCTGTAGATCATTCTGAAAGCTTGATACCACTGGCTAAAGGATTATTGTACGGTTTGGTTTACTTAGTTCATACCAACCACTCTTAAACCCGAAGTTTCAGAACTTGTTTTAAAATGGACTTTCTGTACTGCTACAATATTAACACCAATAAACCGTTATCGATCGTAAAAGAGTTAGTATTATGACAAATCAGTACATTTCTTTTAAACAACCATTTTCTATTAGAAAATTAAATTCATTCCATAACCAACATCTATGGTTTACGCTGTGTTATTTACTTATATTTTCTATCTCACCTCTTATGTAAAAAAATCAATATATTAGAACGTAAACATATTTCATTGATTTATTTTCGTATCCACGCACTCACTAAAACATGATGCACCTACCATGATAGGCCTACTACCATTATTGCACTGATATCAATATATTACAAAATAGACTTATCTATTGGATGATAGATGATACTTTTTACATAATGCTATATTTGGGATCATTTGTATTAGTTTCAAATTGGTCAAATGACAGTATCTGAGTCCGTGCCATAGAGATGATGTGTTGTAAAAGTAGTTTGAATTAGTTTTTAATTTAAAGTTAGAGACGAAAAGTTCTCAAATGAGTGCTGTAAGAACTTAAAACTTGTATGACGCATATATGTCAAGCTGTAACTTTAAAAATTGTTTCAAACGTGCGAAAAGAACCATTTTATACACTTAATATTAATTTGAAAATACTATGTTTTTCTACGGTTTAGTTTTTTATGTTTTAACTTATATATAAAGTAGTTGATCGTTGAATGCAATATTGGTGCAATCGATTTTATTTCCTAAAACGATGTAGAATTGAATATCATATAAAATGAGTATATTTTATTCTACCAAAGATTTTGATTCAACCAAACTAACCAAAGATATCTGCGTGATTTGTATTGAATTAAACATGAATCAGTATGAACGAGGGCTCGCCCCGTGGTCGAAAACTCGAACAAAATTATGTTTTTTGCAAACTTCTCTATTTTCAACCCACGCTGTAACGTGTGATTGGAATTTCTTCAGTTTGTTTAGTTTTTCTGTTTATATTTTGTTGTTATTTTGTTACCAGCATGGCAACCCATAAGACCCATGTAATTTTTTTTACATTTCAAATTAACTTTTTGTGCTTATTTTTGAGTCTATTTTAATTTATAAAGGGATTCGGCACACCTACAGGAACATATCTTTCATTTGGTACCAACCGCGTGTAATTTGGTCCAGTAGTATGGTCAGGCTAGCTGTAATAAGTTTTGCAAAAGTTTTTAAGTATATAAGATTATTGGTCAATTGTATTAATCGTTCATTTTGAAATACCATTACCTAGGCCTAGTAAATGTAGTTTATAGCTTAAATTGTACTTTTCTCAGCTTACGTATAATTATAAATAACTAAGTAAATAAATAGTAGAATATTTAAGTATCAGAAATAAAGAATCAATTGCTATTCTCTGATTCATGTTTGACCTACCCTCAATAAGGTTAAGGTTAGTAAATTATGAGTCGGTGACTACATCGGTAGCCCTAGCATAACGGACTGAAAGCTGAAAACCATGGTTCACACCCTGATAATCTTACACGAATTGTCAGTTCAGCTTATTCATACGCTTTAGCTTACCCTTTGCTTTGCTTGATGTGCTCCATCATATAGTCAATGATGGCTTCAATCTTTTACATTGGATAGAAAGTCTACTCCTTGTATAGTCAATGTTAATATTATTTATAGTTGTTTATGGTACATGAATGAGATAAAATATAAAATAGCAAACAGGATCAAATAAAAGAAGAAGCATTTAAGGCGTTTAATTTCCCCAAGGAGCCTTAACAGGTATTGATGAATTGTCGTGGTTTGGGAAGAATTCAAGAGCACTTGGTGGGACAGATGACTTACTCCTCATTGAATAAATGGAGAAATTAATATCTACTAATTTCTTGCGTACTCCATCCATAAGGAGGCTGTGAGCGGCATCACACTTCTCGTAGGACGGCCTTTCATAAGGTCCTGGAAAAAGTAAAATATATAAAAATGTGAAGTTTCAATTAGAGTAAATGAATGCAAATATAAGTTTGTATTGTAAAATATAAATGAACCGCAAAATTTTGTTAGAACTATAATTAACAAAGAGTTCCTTAGTGTAAATAAAACCCCTGTGTGGATTATTGCAGTTGATACTTAAGTGTAGCTTGAGAAACCGTTAGGAAATGTGGATAAAACTTTAAAGGTGAAATATTATTGTAGATGGAACCTTTGTGTAGACAAAACAGAATAAATAAAAAAGTTAGTATTAATTAAACAACTAATGTAAAAGAAATACTATTTATTTAGACGAGTTCTCATTGTAAATTTCTAATAGAGCCTAAATGTACACTTTATAATAGATAAGACCTGTAGGATGTGGAAAAATAATGTATAGTGTTGATGTATCTATTAGTTTTATCTTTAATATACAGTAAATATTCACCCTTGTATATGTAGTTATTAGTGTAAGTAAATCCCTGTAAGGGTATATTTAAAACTGCTAGTAGAAATAAACCGCTAGTATAGATTTAAAAATAATTTACCTCAATAAAACTCATTGCTTAAATAAAACAATCGAAAGTGTTGGTTAAGGATATGATCCAGTGAAATGTCATGTAACCACAACTGTTTTTCTGGATCAAACTCGTCCGTGAGAAAACTTTTTTTGTCTCACTTGATTTTATAATTAAAACTTTAAATAATTAACTAAATTATTTAATTATTATTTAATACTACCGAACATGTATTTAACTAGGAATGAATGTGTTTGTGAAGTTTTAAAGGCTTAGCTTACAGTTGAACAATTATGTGTTCGGATCTTAAAAGTATTCATCTTAAGGAAATAGCGAGCGAATCTACTCAAGAGTAAAATAGATATTGCAATTATAAATTTCCAAAATTAAAAAATCTAACAAAAATGATACAACATACTAAATAACACAGTGTACTTTAAGTCACGGTGTGTAACAAGAATCGAGTTAAAATGGGTGTAAAATGGGTAAAATGGTGTCTTGCTAAATACTTACCATCGTATTTCCCAAGAAAAGCGATTTCAACAATATCATTTCCTCTTGAAGGGGCGGAATTCCACCCTCTTCCCTCGTATATAAGGCCTCCTTCGTCCACAAGGAAACTAATAACAAATCAATAATATTAATAGTTCTATAGTTTTAATGAAATTTTAAGTCGATTTCCGCCAAGTCACCAATGGGTATATAAGTGATAATGCCGCAGACCTTAGGTCTAGCCTGAAGTAATGTGAAAAACAATCCCGGGCTCGTGCATAGCGTCATAGAATAAAAAATAGTTTTAATGCAAAGTGTAAGTTTTTCTTTACTGACAATGGAGTTCAACACTACTAAAATGAAAATCAAATTTATCTGATCAAAATTACATTAAAAATCCTATTTTAATGAAGTCATTTTAAGTTTAAGAAGAAGACATTTTAAGACCTTATGTTGGTTTAGTACTTTTAAGACGGTTTTTAAACCATTTACATTGTTTGAGCGTTGGTTGTTTGCACATCGCTGTTTTTTCTTGGATCTTACAGTCAATGTTTTTGAAAGTAATCAAACATTACATTTTGGGTTAATAGTGACTTGAAACCCAAAAAAATGAATATTCATCAATTAATTCTACAGCCCAGTTGTTCGGTTTACATAGCGTTTAAATATGGAGTAGTGTGAAAACACTGTAATATGTTTTTCACCACACTATGATGTTTTTGGCTGTATTACATACGTTAATTGGTGGCTGAAAGTTACGTTTTGCTGGCCATGCCAGCTGTCGCCAATTTGGGGACCGAGCAGGTTTTTACAGGCCGGGGCCGCAAAATCAGCTGTCCGCTTACTTAATTAAAACATGAATGCGTTTTAAATACACAATCAAAATCCATAGCATTGCAATATAGAATTGTGTTATTGTCACCGTTGCCTAGCAACTATTTATTTATATTTTTGCTGATTCCTCAAATTATTTCTTCACATAACCTTAAAGTTGTAGTTGTTGACTATCAGTGTGCATTATTATAGTGGTGAATAGTGGTAATAGGGTATAGTGTGGTGAAAAATAGCGTTCGTACCACGGACCGAAATGGTTTTGCAGCTCTCGATCGATTTAAGTTCTCGACTTCGTCTCGAACTTAAAAACTATCTCGAGCCGGCAAAACCTAATTTTCGGCCCTAGGTACGAAATATACTATTACGGATTTAGCAGTAATTGAAAAAAATATTAATCCACTAAAAAGCTAGACATATTCCTTGGTGTGTTGCAACGCTGGTTCTATTTGGAAGTTTCTTAGTTTGATGTCTGTTAAGGTTTCGATGATGTTACTAAATTATATTTCCCCGTTTCTGAAAGAGTTTTACCGACTAAACGAGCAAGAGCCATGTTAGCTTTGCATTTCTACTTTTACTTGTAAACAAATAGATGCATGTTGGGGTGCTTCAAGTAAATACTTCAGGTTTAGAGCCCTATGGTGAAATCCTATAAGCAGCTTCGTTTAGGTGTTTCGGGGTTCACTTTATTTTCCTATTTAGTAAGAAATGTCTACTTAGTAAAAGCAAACAGCTTCATCACAGTCTACAAAATTAATTCCTCTACGACAATTCATTACGTAAATCGCAGTACGGTTAAAGTTACCAGTTATTGCTAGCCCATTGCAACATGTATTAACTGTTGCGTAAAAAATCAAACTCATTTTTACTCTATGTAACTTACTTAAAAGGCACGTCATCTTCCCCCATCTTGTCCATATGGAAGTCCTGCATCGCCCTCAAGGCTTTTGTCAGATGCTCGTCATAATGATAGACGTCTTGACTTGTAAATTTCACCTTCAAAATTGGGAATACCATTGGGATCTGCTTTTTTGGGGGGCGAATACTCCATGATGATCTAGGAACGACGGCAAATGGAGTTTCATCCTCCAAGCTTGAGCCTGGTTCAAAAGGCTCCTCGAAGCGAGGCTCGTCGAACAAGTAGTCTGGGAGGGGGAAACCTCCCGGATACTTCTTTACCGGATTTGGAACCATTTTGATCTGAAAATTTAATATACAATGTTTATTAAAGGTAATTGAGGAGCATCTGGGTGTATTTAAATCCTAATATGAACATCCTAATATGAGGGTAGTAAAACATTGAGATGCCTTGTTACTGACTAATACAAACTGAATCCTTGGCCAGATTGAATGAACCTTCCAATAAATTTAAGGACACTGTCTCTAGTTAAATGAAAGATATTATTTAGGATCGAAACTGTGACTTTCTGACAGGTAGGCGAGCTTAATATCTCAACCCTAAAAACTATACTAATCTTTTCAGGATTGCTAAGTACTTACCAGTGTATTTAACAAGAAATACATTATATGTACATATATGTCCAGTCGTGAAGGTGTACATCTGTATACAAGGTAGAAAGGACACATTGTTATTGGGTCAATTGTTTAGTGGGAAAAACATGTTTTTTTTTGTAAAAATACTGATCACTGAAGATATTAGAAGATATTTTTTACACGTGTTTGGCACTGTGCCTGGTTCCAGGAAGAAGTTTTGAATTAAATTTAAGATCTTTATGTTTATGATTTTGGAAGTTCCTGCGTTGTTAAATTTATAGAATAAAGCATTGATGTTTAGAAGAATATTACTATCATACATTTATTAAACAGGCCATGTTTCAAAACACCTTGATTTGAGTTAGTAATTTTACACACGCTTAAAACTCGCTCCATTGGTCTTTCATGGTGTGTCATTATTTTTATGAGTATAATAATTCCACAATTGCTTATGTTTATTGACAACCAACTATGGGTAATGGTTGATTGAAAAAATGTTGTAATTTATGTTCGGGAAATAGTTTATTTTTTTATATACGTTTATTGTACATTTCGAGTGTAAAATAAATGAGAAAATAAAAAATTATAGTAAAAACTCAACTCTTTTTGTGCTTCAGACAGTAGTCAGACCGTAGCCTCAATCTATTTTAATCGAACATTTAATTTAATATTAAAATACTCACTCGTACTTAAAATGTATTATGTTACAAAAAAAAATTATCAAACTACTTACGTATAGCCTATTGTTGTAGATGAGTTTTAGTTGACTATTTCCTAATGGATTTAAAGATCTCGTCGTTTATTAATTTAAAAACACTTCACTATCGTGAACATTTTGGTAAGACAATATATTCAGCTTTAATCTTTTTGTAAAAGAAATTATTGCACGAATTTCTCCCCATGTTTTTATCTTAAATAATGCCTTTATCTCTGATGGAAGTGTAAACAAAAGATAACCTTAAAAAAGCGATTGGTTCGATTCTAACACCCAACAAACATCATTATAGTACACTTCAGAAGATAAAAATATTGCAATCATGTTCTATTCATATTCCTTAAAAGGTATGAGCAACAATGGATGGTTCTTGTAACACTTTCGTCCAAAAACTAATGAAAAATTCTAAATCACTTAAAAAGAAATAACACAAAACTACAATGACAATAAATAAAAAAATATCACCGTTTGTTGGACAATTTAAAACATAAGTTTTGAACTAGCTGGCGTAATAGAAAATATATTTTACTCACATGTGTATCTCTCACTCTTAATTTGTTTTTTTAATTATTTACAAGGTTAACAGACAGAATAACCACAAAGTAAACCCTATTAATTTTTCGTTGCTGATTAACCATCCGTCCTTGAGTATTTTATATGATGAGCTAAAAGAAGAAAAGCTTAGTGACAGAAACCTTTATTACGAAGTTACATAGAAAATGGCATGGGAATTAAGTAAATAACTCATATTCAACAAAAGTCGATACAAATATTTATTTAAAAAGATAAAAAAACATACAATTGGTCCTACGATGGTTGTGGGCTTTCGATTTTGTTTTTTGTGTATGTTTCTAATGAAAAATGTTTTTCGATGTAATTTTCCTTTATTCCGTAGAGAATCAGGTTATGAACAGCGTATATTCTGTCCCAATCAGGATCATCATCTGAAAAGTTTTTAATGATATATATTATAAATTCATAATTTCATAAAGATTTGATTTGATTTGATTGGAGTTTGTAAATGGTAAGTTATTTAAATAGTTCTATACTGATTACTGAATGAATTATACAATTACAATCACGATACAAGTGACTGACTAGGCAATCAATAATCTTCTTCTGTATATTAATTTATGCAGAGAAACAGGAACCGTTAGGATTACCTATTCAAACGTACTAGATAGAGGTCGTCCAGTGGTAAAAAACTCGACCAATAATATGTAATTTACATACTTCTCTATTTTCACCCCACACTGTAAATAAAACTTGGGATTGGAATTTCTTCCATTTGTTTTGATTTTCAGTTTATATTTCGGTGTTATTTCGTCACTAGCATGGCAACCCATAAGACCAATGTAAATGTAAAAAAAATTAATTTTTTGCTTATTTTTTTGGTTTTTTTTAATTTATAAAGAGATTCTGCACATCTACAGCAAAATATCATTCTAACAATAGACGTAGATTTTCCCTGTGATGTACACGAGCTGGGAAAAAAGGTTTTAAAGAAATATGCTTGCCTATTAATATATAGACTAGAGGTCGTCCAGTGGTCGAAAACTCGACCATTCATATGTAATGTAAATTGCAGACTTCTATAAATCAATCCCCAGCTGTAAATGTGATTGGAATTCCTTCCATTTGTTTTGATTTTCTGTTTATATTTTGTTGTTATTTCGTCACCAGCATGACAACCCTTAAGTCCCATGTTAATTTTTAAAGATTTAAAATTCATTTTTGTGCTTATTTTTGAGCCAACTTTAATTTGTAAAGGGATTCTACACATCTACAGCAAAAAATCTTTCTAACAATATGTGTAGATAATAGATTCCCTGCGATGTACACGAGCTGAGAAAAAAGGTTTTACAAAATATGCTTGCCTATTAATATATAGATAATACAGCAACTTATACACACTCGTTGTTAAGATAAATACTTTCCTGAAAGCAAAAAACTACTACAAATTTGGTTAGCTTGCTAGTTTGCTGCAACAGGGTAATTTTTACCTGTGAAGTTGCCGAGGTAGCAGATCCAAAACTCGTTTATTTCTGGCGGGTAGTACTCCCAACTTCGTCCTTCATACACTATACCATCATTGCCCACTAAGAAACTAAAATCAGACAAATAATAGTAATTTTTAATTCGATACAAAAGAGAATTAAGAAACCACATGTTTAAATGCTATGTAAGGATGCACAATCTTAAATATTTTTTATAACAAAGTTTAATCCAAATTTAAATACCGTTTTCTTAGATTCTGGATGTACAACCAAAAAAGAAACACATAAACCAAAAGAAATAAACTAAGCAAAATATAATAGCACTCTATTCTCTGGAGAACAGGAAATTCAGCGTACAAAATCATCATAGAATAATTGCAAATGATCGCTCTCAAAGTACATACAAAGTGAATTTAGTTAGCCTATGTGATTTTTTAATTCAAATTTTTGTCTTTAGGAAGGGATATTTAATCTTTGAATTTGACTAGTCTAAACTGATAAAATTTCAACGATGGGGAGGTAATACAATTAAGGTTGGTAACGATTATGGCTAAGCATGAAATTATAAATAGGACTGATGTTTTACCTACTGATAAATGAATGTAATTTAAAAAGTTAGAGGAAGAAAATTCACAACTAAAGGTGGTCGAAAAGTCATATTATAAAACAAACAAATATTTTTATGTTGCTATTGGTGAATTGTGCTAAGTCATAGTTATAGAGGATTCGGACTTTTAATCATTGTTGTGCATCTAGTGCATTGATATAATTGTTTAATGATTAGTGGTTATAATACCTTAACAACAACAGTCCATGAATCATTGGTTACCACAAGTTCAACGCAATACTCATGCCACAAAATGGAAATTTTATTAGTATTTTTTGGGGGATATGTAACACAAACATTTATAAATTTGGACGTATAAATGGGACGTCACTGGCCGGCATGTTGAAAACTCACTGAGTTTCCTTAGTATTATCGGTTAGCAACTTACCAAATTTCCAACACGCCAGCCACGAAGTATTGACACCAACTAGTTGAATATTTTCCATTTTACCGTTAGTAATTTGTTGACGTCCACTACACAAAATATACGATTTTTAAAACTTAAAATTTCAGCCTTTATAAAAATGTCTTGAAACCATTGTAAACAATAAATGTTGTGGTGGTTGTTTTACTTGTGGTGCATTAAATCACTAATGGGTTTAGTTCAAAACCCCGGGTCAATCGTAACAAAAACTAATAATTACAATTTGAGATGTTATTAGATCCCATCTTGGCTTGGTGGTGTATAATAAATGCCTTGCGTAAAGTAATGTGCTGAACTGTTCAAGGCTAGTCCCTAAGTAGATAAGGGCAAGGGTTTAGTGGGTTCGGCGAGTACCACATTACTTTCGCAAAATAACTGCCACATTCCCCATAAAAAGGCTCTTATTACGCATTATTTTCTGGCAATTATATCTACCACAGCTGAGGAACTAACTAATGACGTCACACTCGACAATGTATACCATGTAACTCTACTTGTAAGGGATGTCAGGTTGATTTTCCTGGGTCATCAAACGGGCCTCCCATTTCTCCATGACGTCAATCAGGTCGATTTGATCACCTCGTCCGATGTCGTCACAGAACAGTTTTATCTTCGGGAAGGGACCTGTGACTTTGACCATTTCCTCTTTCTTCCGTTCCAAATCTCCCCACCACAGTCGGTCCACCACGGGCAAGAAAAGTTCGTCGTCTAGATCAATACGACCCATTGTGGAGTGGTGTCTGAAAAATGAGCCTTTTGAAAACTGATGACGTAGGCCTAATTAATGGACAGAATGAGTAGGAAATAGGAAAACCACCTAGGTGCGTGTTTAAAGTGAACAACAAATAATTGAACACAAATACAAATAGGTACAAACGAGTGAAGGATGTGTGTGAGATGACCTGTGTAGCTTTGTTACCGACTAAGATCAGCTGTTTCATCAGTCAGGTCCATTTATTTAAAAGCCCAATGCTCAGGAATAGCTGGGTCCAGTTTCAAACCACCATAAAGCTACTGAGTTTTTCTAAAGGCGAGCACTCAGCTACTGCAGTGGGTTCGTTTCTTGCTTCCCCATTAGTTTTATCATTGAGTATACTGTCCACTTTAGTAGTGTACCCAGTAGTTTGTTGGATTGTAAAAAATACTGTATAGGCATATACTTAGATAAACCAATTTTCTGGCCTTACTAAGAACCTAAGTTAGGCTACTGTACTCGTGTCAATACAAAGGTAAATCATCACAATCTACATGTAATTTTCGTGATACAGTACTCGAAGTAGAGTTTATTATTAAGAAATTTTATTTCTTAAGTGTAATAAATATACTAATAGATAATTCCTGAGAATAATTACCTGCAGGTAAGAATTACATTGCCAATGTAACACCGGAGTTATGAAGATGTACAAGCGAGTAACTTAATTCAGAAAAAAGTTTCGAAATAAATACAGTACTCATATTGTACCTCTAGTAACAATAGGAAATAGAGTGCTATTATTATTGAGATGATAACGGTTTGTTTAACCAACCAGTAAACCCGGAAGTGTTATTTTCGGTTTTAATCACAAGTGTTTATGATAAGATTGAATTTAAATTTTACATCCTAAATGTTAGATTTAAAAGACACAATCATGTGTGAGGTGTTTCAAAGATTTGTCAGTATCTTTTTGTTTGTGCAGAGGTGCGATATGCTTATTTATAATAAATGTGGTACATAAAATGTATAATATACAATAAAACTAAACTTATAAAAAATAAAACTAAGTAATGTGGTATTTATTTATTAATATTATTTTTTTATTTTATTTTTTATAACGATCACACAATCCTAAATATAGTGTATCAAATTAAATTATTCTAGTACACAGGGTACTGGCCGAAAAGGGACCGGCCTACCTCATTGAAAGACTGGTCACCCGCGATCGGGTGTCTCAGCGCAATACCCGACAAGACAAACAATTTCACTTCCCGAAGTGAGGTTGGAAGTAGGTAAGAAAGGTTTTGCCTACTTTGTGCCTAAACTGTACAACGACCTCCCCTGCGACCTTAAGATGCTGGGTATCCCAGCTTTAGGATCTAGGCTTAAGAAAACGTATTTACAATTATTGTAGATAACTAAAATATTGTAAATAGCTGGTTGATCGCTATTTTGTTTCGATCATTAGTTTTAACTGGTTGTGTAGCTGAGTGGTTATAGTGCTCACCTAGTAATCAAAAGGTCGCCGGTTCGATCCTGAGAAAAGCCAGTAGCTTTTTAATGGTTCGAAACTGGACCCAGCTGTTCCTGATCATTGGGCTTTAAATAAATGATCCTGACTAATGAAACCGCTGATCTTAGTCGGTAACAAAGCTACACAGGTCATCACACACCATTCTACACTCATCCTTCACTCATATTTGGGTTAAAATACGCACTTAAGTGGCGTCCCCATCTCAATGATTGATTGATTGATTAAGTTAGCATTAGTTAATTGACAAGAGTCATACTGTAAAACAGTTTTTACTGAGGAATGCTTGCTAATAAAAGGCATTTGAATTTATTCATTCATTTAAATAGGCTTTACTAAATAGCCTACCCCCCTATTGATTTATCTGTGCCCTCAAACGTTAACTTTTAAATACTTTTCACTCGAGGATTTTCTTTAACTAGGCTTTTATATTACATCTATTATTACACCTCTAGAAGGAAATTTCAAAAGAACTTCACCGTTCAAAATTCCTACCAAAGGTAATGCAGTATGTTAATCTGTATATTTTATTTACCTTCTGGTTTGTATGCAAATAAAAATGTCTTGGAATATTAACCATTGTTTATCTTTTACAATATTCGTCTTGTAATAATAAATACACTTTATATACATTCAAAGTACATTCGGGTGATTCAATTTGCCATTGGTCAGAGTGCAAGACTGTGTCGAGGTTTGGGTTCAAATCCCTCAATTCACCGTTTGCTTTTATCCATGTGGAAATTTTATCCAAAGATCATTATCCAAAGATTATGACATTATCCAAAGATTTAGACCCAAGCTTTTTATTTAACTTATCCAGATAAATAAATGAGGAAATTTCTCAAAATTGGAGAAATACCACTGTTGGTCATAACGATGACTAACCACGTGGTCATCAACCAATTTCAATACATTATCAAATTAGATTGAAATCCTATTCCACCTAAAAGGACATACTTGACTAAAAATTGCTTAAATACAAATTCAAGTGCTCAATAATGATTGTGCGTTGTCAACACATTATTACAAATAAGTAAATTTATACATATGAAATTGACACAATAATTACAGGTTTAACGTTAATATACATTTCACCAACACTTTTAAAATATGTAAAAGGTTTCATTAGTTCATTCATTAATAGTGTTAGCAAAATCAGTTGGTTCAAGATTCGTCTATAAAACTGACTGGTCCTTCAGGAGGATCGCGTAGTCCGATGAGTCTGTAGTTGGTGTTGATGAACTTACTTCGGAGACCCTTCATGATGATGTGAAGGGCGGAGTCCATCATAGGCCATGGTGGGTCCTTCTCTGTGAGGGTGAAACATTCAATGTTACAATTTGGAATTGGACAAGCCAAAGTAGTTTTGAGCACAAGTAATATTTCTAGCTTTGCCAACAAAATAGAATGTTAATTTTTAAAGATATATGTTGAGGAAATACCAAATAATTAAGTTCAAAACTTGAATGACAAGAACCTTTAGTGATGTTTTGAACATATCTCAGCTACTTCCCGAAATAAAGTTGTAACTTTTATTCAATTAGATTTACATAAAGACCGAAATTGAAAAGCCAATATTTTATTTCACACAATAATTCCCAACTCAAATGATTTTGACAAAATATTGAAAGACGAAGTAATTTTACATTAATGTAAAACTGCTTTTGATCAGAATATGTTTACCTATAATTGTTACTCACCACTAAAGTCTCCGATAAAACAAATGTCAATGATTTTGTAGCGAAGAGGTACATACTTCAATGGCAGGACGGGTTCTGTAAACCAACCTCTGCATTCGTAAATTATCCCTTCTTGGTTGACTGCGAAGCTGAAATAATTCGAAATTACTTCTATAATTATTTAACTCCATTACGTTATTGCGTGTATTTAATTTAACATTAGTCAGATGGAACAAAAAAAGTTTTATTGTTTAAAAGCATGAAACAGCTGTAGTCGTCATTCTACCACCAAAGATTGTTTTAACAGCCAATGGGTAATTATTTTGCTACAATAGATCAATAGGCCGAAGTAGCTACGGATAAATGAATACCCTACCCCCCCCCCACCCCGAAACACCCCCATAAAACAGGTAATTTAATCTTATATTACTTCATTCAGACGATCCAGAGGGCATTCCATAATTTACCTACTTTCTTCGTCCGGAAATCAGACTTCGCTTTTCCAAAAATTAGCTACCGGCTTTGTCATTCGCTTGTAAAAGATCATCTAATGTGCAAGACTGGTCTAGGCGTGGACAGATCAGCCAATGGCCAGGATCCTGAGCAGCACCACACGCACACAAGATGTTTTCTTCGTCTGGTAAGAGACTCCATTTCTGCATGTTTGTCTTGCATTTTAGTACCTCGACCCTGATTCGATTTAGGGTCTTCCATACCGTGTAATGAAGGCCTCCACCGGGAGTTAGTTCCTCCCTGGCTGGTATGGGAGGGTTAGTCAACGTGGCCTCCCACCTTGCCACCCGATTGCTTGAGAGTGATCCATCCAGGACTCGTGTCCGTGATAAAAAGCTCTTTCTGGACCGCAGCCGTCACTCTACAGGTTTCATTCCATCATGAAGTTACTATAATTACATTGTTCTATCTACAGCTAAACATCCACTAAGCTAATCTGCCGCTACCAAACTACTCTACGGCTACGTTACTTGTATTTGATGTTGTCGTAGCCCTCCCCCATGTGGTCTCGCTGACACAGCCTAAGCGCCTCAGCTGTCACGGTCGTTTTGTACCTCGTCATTATGTCGTCATAACCAAACTTGACATGTGTCAGAGGTAACTCTGTACAATCCATTTCCCTGCAAGGCCTCTCGATAGCCGCACCCCACTCTTCGGGCAGGAACATCTGTTTGAACATTCCATCCCATAGCTTGAACTTCCCCATTCTTCAGGATCTAGGGTATAAAAACATTATTTTTACTGAGGATGGTCAGGAAATTAAACTATTATACAGCATATTTTTATAGATATATTTTGAATAAAAAATGTCACACAGTATGAACATTATTCTTTATGTTATCCATAGTAATTATAAATACAAAAAGCATTACTCTAAAATCTAAGTTTTGTTTTATGCAAATTGATAGTGCATGATTTTAGTATATACTCGTAATTACGATTTTGTCTGACCTCAGTGTTGTGTTAACCATTACCTAAATTATGTGGTATAATTATTTAGACAATTAAATCAGTTAGTGAAAAATATTTCAGCCGAGTTTTTTCAATTTGAAAAAGATGATTTTTTGTAACATTTTGTGCTTGTCTGAAAATAAATATAGAAATAAAACTAATCAAGAGTAAAACATTATATCACTTACTTTTTATTATTTCTAAATACAGTACATTATTCTCTCTACGATTCCTGATTTCTACTACACAATCTTTGTTTTCGTTTCTGTATTCCAGACATCACTGCAATCCTTCTTTACATACTTTTTTATAATGTTTCTGGCACCAGTCGAATCGAATAAATAAATAAACTGTTGTTATTGGCCTGAGCTCTCATCATCTACTGTCATAATATCTACTGGCTTTATTTACAAAAACAAATAAAAAACATTATGTTTTTTAACTCATTACAATCAACCATACTATTTAACATTTAAATGTGTTACTGTGAACAACATCAAATGTTGAATTAAAAACCTCAATGGAGAGATAAATAGATTATCTCTAGTTATTATTGGCTGCCGGGAATTCTTTAGTAGCTTTCATATTAGATGCCGTACCATTAGCTTTGCAAATTTGTATTTAACTTTTTGAATTTAGAATTAATGCAAATTGAATGGAAATTATTATTAGCATGTATCAAGAAAGTAAGTGGTTTAACTAAGTTGTCCTTAATTATTGTGCTCTAAATAATTTACACTAGGCCAAAGAAACAGCTGGTCTACAGAAAACAAACAGCTGGTTGTTCGTAACACTCAGCTGATCCATGGACTACCCTCCATTCTTCACTCATATATGTACACTATGTTTCTCTCAAGTGTTAATCATATTACTATGCTATTAGCCATAAGATTTTAAGGAAGAAAAACTTGGACTAAATTTCAAATTTAAAGTATACAGGGTGTCCCGTAAGTAAACAGTCAAACTCCTGGAAATGGGTCTATGGGTCAAAATGAAGTGAAAATCAAGAACAGGATTTCTTTATAAAATCGCTTTTTTAACTAGATATCTTCCATTTTATATATTTCACATAAACACTTCTATCTTTTAATTGTTTCAACAGATCTTAATCTTAGAAAAAGTTGCATTGATCCAATTTATAATTTCTAAATGCAGGTCATTTAATTTTTAAACTCAATTTAGTAAAAAACTGTTGGTTTATGAAATAATGTCAAGTGAATTTTTATTTTACATTTTAAATTCCTATCAAACGTCACAAAGTTCAAAAAGATCAAACAAAAAATAACTAAAAGATTATGATTTTAGTTGTAACATGAAGTAGAATAAGGCTAAGCCGGTCAGGTTTGGTTGGCAATTGTAAAAGATTAGGCAAATCGTTGTAAATTTGTTGGTGTACAGTAAGATGATTCTTTATTTCGAATGTTCACATGTACATACTGGTTAAGGTTATCAAAAACTCATGGAAGTCAATCCAATAAAAATTTATAAGGTAACAAGGGAAATAAAAATGAAAAATATACGAATAAATAGTTTATTGTTGATTAATACAGTTGATCACATTTTTAACTGTATCACATTTAGAATCATCTATATTTCATAAATATTGTCTATTTAAGGTACTTAAATATTTTAATTTAAAGGATCCAAGAACTGTTTTTACCAAGAAAAATTAGCGATAGCATATTTATTTAAAAATCCATGGCGTCTTTCACACAGCACATTAGATTTGTGCCAATTTGCCCGAAAGGTTCCTCATCTCCAAAATATTCTGTTTACTTATTGATGTTTAACTTAAGACAAAGATACACGTTTTTGTACATATTTGAAATATTAGATCAACCTCTAAATACTTTAAAAGCTTCGTCACTTTCCCAATCCTTGGGCCTGTCTTTGTAAGGAATCACTTCCACTTGATCGTGTATTTTCCCTTCCTTCCAAAACCTTCGGACAAAGTTATAAGCTCCCATTTTAGTATCATTAGGCGGCTCGTATACTGAAAAAATGATATTTATTAAATGTTTCAAAAATGTCTGATGATATTTATATTATAAATTCAACTATTTATTCATTTCTTCATATAACACACGAAAGTAAAGGCACAAGTCAAGTTAACCAGATTTACACACTGAGTAATTTATACACGTTTTTCTTCTGATCCTTAAATATTTAATTTAGTTGTAGACTTTAATATAAATTAAAACTGTACATTTGATTTATTTGACAAATAATGACCAACATATTTATAAAGCAATTAAGAATTAAGGTTTTAGAAACTATTACCAGTAAAAATACCATTGAAACGTGAATTTTTTATAATCTTTAACAGTCTAAAAACTGGTCTATTAAATCATTGAAACATTATTTCACCTCTCTTTTGATAAGGTTTTAGGAACTATTACCAGTAAAAATCCAATTGAAACATGAATTTTTTATAATCTTTAACAGTCTAAAAACTGGTCTATTAAATCATTGAAACATTATTTCACCTCTCTTTTGATAACATCTACCTTCCAAAATAGTTAATATTTCACTAAATTTAAAAGAGCTAGGTAATATCGTTAAGAGTTTTGACGATCAAGTAAAAAAAGTCCTAATGAAAATGTATCTCTATTGGTACAAACGGGGATGGGGTTTATTATGATTTGGAGTTATGAGTAAAAACTCCAACCAAAATAATAATTGTCAAAAAAATAGACAATTGTATTCGTATGTATGATAAAATGTTGTTCGTAAATATATTTTAGTACCATAGCATGATGAAATGTGTTACTTACAGTACAGGTCACCGATGTAGGCTAGATCCAGCGTCTTTCCCGCCAATTTCCCATGGATTCCCTCGAAATCGTTGTACCGCTGTTCCCTGATCGCTTCTCTCTCCCAGCCTCTTCCCTCGTAAACTATGCCTTTGCCGCCAATAATAAAACTGGTGGGAAAATAATCAATTAGGTTAAAACTGAAAGGAAGATATATCGTTTATTTATAAGTACAGTGCAGCTATTATAAATGTTTGTTCTGTAAAAATGAAGAATTAAGCTAATCTAGCCTAAATTAACTTAAATTTATATGCATGGTGAAAAAAAAAAAAAAACGAAATATGCAATCAAATAATTAGGCACATCATAGTCTTAATGTTTGTCAAGAATTTAACACAGTCTTAAAACTATGCGTTATAATAAGGAACATTAGCATGGAAAGTTTTGTGCAATAATGAAATCTACAGTGCCATACTCGTGAAAAAATTCTAGTTCTAGTTGGCCTTATTTATTAATTTTCTTATTCTTCTATATTTTTGGGGATATTTTATTATAATTATTACCATTAGAACATATCATGTCAACCACAATGACAAAAATGGACGTTAATTTTTTACAGATAATGATGGAAAGTTAAACGAAAAACAGTCTTAAAGCCAGGACAGGTTTTCATTTTTACCACATAACAGATAAAATTCATTAAATTTTAAATGTTAACTACGTACTTATTTTTTTACCATACTTACTTTATCCTTTATTTTTCTATGAAATGGCGACCATACAAAGTAGGTATTTGAAGCCAAGTATGAATGGAAAGATTGTAAAATGAGTGGCGCGATATACTATAATCCAAGGTGTTCAGAAACGCAATGCAATACCTTACAATAAGTGTTTACCTAACTTTTGTTCTTATAAGTGAGGTAGTTCAAACGATTGTGTTCCAAAAGGCAACAAGATCACAAAAAGGCTTACTTGAAAGGAACATCATCCAACCCCTCGTTCATCGACTTCTTCTGCAGCTCCCGCATAAAGTGCATACACTCGTCCACTTTAAAGCACTCTTTCATGCTGAGGTAGGTGTAGCGGACATAGAGTACCGGGAGCTTCAGAGGCACCCCGGGGGACTTAGGAGGCAGAGCCCCCCACTCCTCTCGAGTCACCACCGGAGCGAAGAAGGGGAGTGGGTCGTCGCCCTGTGGAGGAAACGGGAGAGCGTCCCAATTGTCCACGAATCCCTTAGGGAGATCAGGATCATTATCGGCCAAATTTCTGAAATAGTCCAGTTCAAGCTTGGTCGGAATAAATTTCGCCATTTCTGAAATACATATTGCATCATTCACTTATGCATACGGTTGAATAACATTTTATACCATTTTTAAATAGCATCCAAAAATCGTAATATTTCAGCTATTTCTTATGCGATATTTTTTAACTTGGTATCATTTTAATAGGGAATCAAAGATTCTAAATAAACGTGTACTATGCATTTTTTTTTGTAAAATCAGCCATTCTTTAGTATTTGCGTTAAAAAATTAAAATGGCCGCCATTTTAAAATCTTAAGATGAATCAAGATGATTTTTTTTCTAACGTGGGTCTCTTTTACCTTAACATACATAAAAAGTTTCAAAATTACCAACTGAAAAACTTCAAAGAAAGAAATTTTAATGGGAAAAACAAAATGGCGGATATCTGGTAAACAAACCGATAAAAAAATATTCTTGATTTTCTTTCCATTTTGACCCAAGAAATCACTACGTAAAATATGTCCCCACCTTTTTTGAACACCCTGTATAAGTATTTAGGCTTTGTTTAAAAGTTGGTGTATGTAAAAGAAATAATCATTTACATCAGTCACTCGGTCAAATTGACTGCGTTTACAACTTGAAAATGGTAACAAAAAGCACATCTATCCATAGTAGGCCTACTATACATCTGCATAATCTGGATACTCCAGTAGTTAATGATATTTTCATTGAATTACTTTATTATTGATTATTGATTTTGGATCTTACAAAGGGGCTATTTTTGTCTCATGTCATGTAGTTTACTAACTAGTAGTACGCTTATTCTGCGCGTAACGGGATGAGTGAACGTGAGCGCAACAATGGAAGATGTACGCTTCATTCATATTAACCAAAAACGTAAGGAAATGTTAAATGGATATATCAGGTATTTACCTCACATAATCTTGAAAACATCCTAAAAATAGTTCCAAATGTTTTTAAACTAGTTAAAGCTCTAACTAACCTATTCTTCTAATATACCTATTTTATAGAGAAAAAATATATATTTTTATATAGTACAAATTCGAAACAATACCTGGTAGTTCCTTGACAAAGATTTAAGTAGAAAACGTCTGTCAAATTATTGTTGACAGTTATAAACTGTCTTGAAACTCACAACACTGACTTCACATGTCGGACAAGTTAATTTTTTGTGATCTCTCAAAAGACTGAGATTTTGATATGGATTCCATATGAATGAAATCATGTTATTGATACACACTTATATTGCACAAAGATAAGATTCTCTACCCTTCTACGCTTATTGTTGTTTGGTATTGTATTGTTCGTTATGTACAGCATGTTACGTTGTGCAGATTCCACTTCAAGTCTTTTAAATATAGTAATAATTTATCCCATTAGGAATTTATTTAGTTAACCATCTTTTCTCAACTATAAAAATGAAAATTAAGTATTCCTTCGATACATCCCATTAATGAATAGGAACTAGATTGTTTTCTTGTATGTATATTATAGTTTGTCCTCCTCAAGACTAAAAAGAATAATGAGAAGAATTTTATAGCAGTTCCTAATATACCAATTTAATCAATTTATCTGATGTTGCGGAGAATTCTGGAAAAACAAAACTAGATAAGCTGAAATATCATCAAACTTTTGGTGAAATTGAACTTAATTAATTTAGTAATTTTATATTGGCTCTATATATTGAAATTAGTATGTAAATATCGACTGGCATACAATTTTGAAAATAAATTCTAGATTGTTCAGACAGATAATCATAAAGATAAGTCACGAATAACACATATATTTAACGTCCGAACTAGTGATTGCTACGACTATCCGCAGTACTATCCTAATAATTAGACCAATTCATTAATACCAAGGCAAAACTGTGGTTCGGATTCCACTATAAACTGAAGGTCCTTTAGTTGCCATTAGCTGTATAGGCTATTAATTAATTAACAGCTGTGTCTAAGGAATATGTCGGCCTTAGTCACTGAGAAGACTACAAGATCACACCACTCATCCTACACTCATCTCCATTATTTATACTTGGCTTAAAATACCTACTTTATATGGTCACCATTTCAATAAAAAGTATTTAAGTATAAAAACGATGAACCCCCATTTAGCTGTATTCATGGTTTTAATCTATTTTGATCAGAATTTGTATTGCAGATTTATACATAAGTCACAGTGTGCTGGCCTAATAGCCAAAAATAAAATTGATGCAAATTACACTATTGAAAATCAGTATACAAATTTATTACCTTTAAACACACTCACATACTATAATAACAATCTAACAGTTTTAATTTTTGCGAATACCAACATTCAAATAAGGTTTAATGTCTGTTTTATTAAAATTATGAATTTTAAACCACGATCTAATTTTCTTGTATTTTACTCCATAAATGATTATATCCATCATAGTGCCGGATAAATGCCATGGTAAGTCTTCACCTAAAACAAAAGAATCTATTTAATAAAAAGGATTCGGTTTAAAGTGTATAAATCTTTAAAGTTTAGTTTCTATTACGTATTGAGATTTTATTTGTTAAATTTTAAGGCATATTGGTATCCCCTATTATACATACAGAGAGTTTACAATCAGTAAATTCCTTTACACTCCTTCTAGAGAGCGAATTTCTCTGTAGATACGAAAAATAAGGTGTGTTGTAGTATGATGTTGAAATATTGAGTACTCGATAATTTTAAAAATATATATTTCAACCAAGCTATTGAAAATCACGGACTTTATTCGTTGGATATTTCTGGAACTCCTTTGAGATATTCGTACTTCGTGTTATAGTTAAACAGTTTAAACAGTGGATGGACGTGTTCATTTTTGATTCCGTACAAAATCATGTTTATCAGAGCCCTGACAATTGCCCATCTCGGTCTTTTACCTGTAACAAATCAACTTAGTTTTTAGCACAAAAAACAGGTTTAGTCAGTTAGTAAGATTTACATTCTTTAATTTGGTTTGTAAAGAGGAACACTTGTGAGAATAAATTATAGATGGTCGAATGGCTATAATCACCATACCAGAACACTTGAATACTTGAATGCTTGAACAGAACCGGTATGGATCGTAAACATAAACAAATTACGTTGCTGGACCGAATCCTAGATGTTAAATAATGTTTATTTTCGAGCCAGAAACATAATTTGTATATGTTTAAGATCCATACCGGATCAGTTCAACTATTCTTGGTGGTCACCTAAAAATTAATTGTAAGATCGTCCCATCTAATATTTCAAAAAGGCACTAGATTTTACAAAATCATGATCCTCACCCAAGAACAGATGATCGTAGTTAATAACAAAACTTTACCGAACACCCACTCCAAATCAACATCTGCTAACGGTATAATACTAACAATGTTTGATAGTTTATTTGTTTGTAAAATATATTCTAAGAACCAGTGGATGGAATCTGAAGTAAGTTTGGGATTAGAGGTTCTTATAGCTAAAAAGTGGTTGGGTAAAGCCATAAATTAAGGGAAACTTGTATTCCGCTCTACGACAAATTAATTTAAACATTTTAACATTGACCTTATGGTATGAATAATAGAAAAGAAACTGTTTGGATCATAAACATATGCAAATGACGTCACTTTCCCAAAAGTAACTATTATTATAATAATATTTATATGTAGCTTTCAAAAAACTTACTAAACAATTAATTAATTGTCATGGCTTTTTCGGGTCAGTGACGTCATTTGTTTATATTTTTATCCATACCATTTCTTTTCTAATATTCGTGCCTTAGGGGTTGCCATGGTGGTAATGGGAATATCAAAGTAAATGTTATCAAAAGAATCATAGCATTGCTAGCAAAAAATAGACTACCATCAAATTTTAAGTAGATTACAAAAAAAGACATTCTGATTAATACTGTTGAGCTACTGTATGAGTAATAATAATATAACTCATAAGGTGATTACTGAGCGCCAGACAGATAGACGTGTTATTTTTACAAAAATCACTTCTTAAACAAAACTCCATAGCAGAACAAAGGCCTTAATCACATTAACCTTGAACATTTTATGAAAAGAATCAAGACATTTGAATTGTAGAAAGATGTGACCAAAAAAGTAAAATTTAAAATCAGTTGATACCAAACCACCTATGAGTTTTCAACATATGCTCGCTACAACGTAAATCAAGATTCTTAACAAAGGATAATATTTTTTTTCCCACCTGTATTTTTATAATCTCCAATGTAAGCAATATCCAAACAGTTCCCCTTAAATTCTGGAAAGTCTACATTGCTTCTTGTTGCTTCCTTGGTCCATCCCCTTCCTTCATAAACAATGCCTTCAGATCCAATGAGGAAACTGTAAACGAAAATGATATTTATATCATGTGGCATGTGTAGATTCTACTTAATGTAATTGCAGGGAATTATTTTCCGCAATAGGATTATGTAGTTGTTTTTGTTTGAATATGTTTTGTACCATTTAACTACAGTATTACCATATGTATAATGAGATAAAAAGAGTTGTTTATAAACAGTTGTCTCAGACGTATCATGAGAGTGTTCTGGCCAAACACTATATCAAATGAACATTTTGAGAGGCAACAGGGTAACAAAAGATCAGCCTGGAAATCATAAGACGGAAGTGGAGGTGGCTGGGTCACACGTTTCAGTGCAGACTATTAAATATCTTCAGTTAAGTAAAATAGCAAAAATAATAAATGAGCTTACATAGTGTTCAAATAAAAAAAATGGTAACGTAGAAAAGTTTCAAAGTAGAACTAAGTCATATTGTTAATGGTTCTTACTAGATTGTTGGATCCCAAGACTTATCTTCAGATATTTTCAACCAATTGGCTCTGAAAGAAACTGACCTAGAGATACGACTGGAGGTGACACTTAATGATAGAATTGCGAGTTGTTGGCTGTTATTTCGTACAAAGGGATGAATTGCATTGTTCATTGTTGTGCATTGTAAGTTGCATTGTGTTGTGCATTTTTGTTGATGTACATCGGACCTGGGGGAATAGAGGATTGTAGAATTGTAACAAAGGCATGAACCAATGAGCTGGTTGATTCTCCTAATTTGTTCAACATAAAGTTTTACATCCTCTCAATTTTCTAGCAGAGTTTCTATACCACTGATACCTAAAGTTGTATTTATGTTGAGTACTCACTTTGGAGCAATATCCGGGAGGTTCCTAACGTTCATGTCGTACTCCTGGATCTTCTGCACTCTCTCTATACACTCGGTGTTGTCGTAGCAGGAAGGACCCCCGGTGCAGTACACCCTCACATTGGTGACAGGGAGGGTAAGCTTCGTGGCGTCCCCAGGGTTCTCCTCGTACCTTGGTGCCAGGGAGAACCATTCCAACCTGGAGACGTACACTATGTAGGGTCCCTTCATTGGGTCTACGTATATCATCCCCACCATGGCGTTCTGGCTGACAAAATATGTGTTAGTTATATAAACAAAACATTAAATTTAATTGTATGAATTGTTTTTGTCCTTAAACAAAACTGTATTATACCGACCACACCTAATAATTATAACCTAGCCTAACCTATCCTAATCAACTTCCAAATAAGATTTTAACCTCTAACCTATCCTAACCTATCCTAACCTCTAACCTAATCTAACCTAACTTAGCCACCCTTAGGTTAGGTTTGAGATTAGGTTAGGCTAAGAAGAATTTGTAATTTAAACCAATTAAAATCTTAATTGGAAGTCAATTTATCGGTGTGGTCCACCGAAAAAAATGTCTAAGACAATATTACGGACATTTTATATCACGCTCAGTAATTAAAGAATATGCCTAACAGTAGTTATTTTTACAAAGATTTCTAATAAATGGTTAAAAATACATGTACTGTCGAGCAATAATTTTTTTCTGTTAAAATACCATTGGTTTCAAACCAAAAGTTGTATTCTCATGCCAAATAACAACATATTTTTCATTGCTTGACTTGTGTAGGGTCGTCATAAACACAAACACGAAAATGTAAAAAAAAATGTTTAATAGTTGTTCTTGAAAAACTATTACTATTTGAATTCTTAACCCCAAGCATGTGGGGAAGCGAGCTGGTCTAGTGGTCACCAAATCACCAATGCATTTTACCAATGAATGAATGAATGAATTACAAGTGGTATTGCCGAGCCTGAAGTAATGTGAAAAACAATCCCGGGCTCACGCCTATCGTCCTAGGACAAAAAACCCAAGCATGCAAAAGAGTGTTAGGCACTTAAACTATGATAACGAACCTGTTTTGTGTTTTGGATCCCCCAAATGTACCGAGTTTTCCTGGAGACTTTAGGCTTCCATCATCTGGTAAGATAGGAGAATAAGGTTACTAAATCGTTATGGACAAGAAAATGTGAAAAGTTCTTTTCAGCTAAATCTTTGTATACAGTAATAATTTAAATTATCTGACTTTAAGCTTAGTATATTTCTGTTATGTTAGAATTTAATTAACGTAGATTATTACGTTAAGGAAACTGATTTTTTGACGCCCTTGACTTTCACGGAAAATTTTCAAAAGAATACTTAATTTAATTTGAGATCAGTAAGATGTATCTTAGGTACACTCAACAAAATATGTGATTTTCCATATTTTTGTATATTTCACTTTCCCATTGTTGATTATCTGACCCAATAATGTAAGCTTAAAGTCTTCGAAAAACAATGGCAATTAAATCCTGAACATAACCCCTTAAGGAAGGGTTCTAAATAGATATTAGAAATTACATAGGTATTAAATATGTCAGTGATGTTTGTGTTTTTACATTGTTGTTTTAAAAACGTATGATATATAATTCTTTCTTACTTATAAGTTTATAATTGCTAATATTGTTTTATGTTACTGAAAATGTAACAATGGCTTAAAACTATTTTATTTCAAACTACATACTTTGTCTTTCCTCTCGTTCCAATTTTCAGGAGTCGGTTTTAACAGATCCAAAACCTCAGGGGGAAAATCTGGCATTTTAGACATTTTGTTTACAATGTACGAGATTCTATTGTATTGAAGATAAACAAAACAGTATTACTAATTTTTGTAAAAATCCAAACTTCAACACGCTAGTTTGGGACACCTACTGTAGACAGCTTAGCCACAGTGATAAGTAAATTTTATATAACAGACATATAATTTAGATATCAAATTAGATAATGGTAATACAATGTTCATTTACTAAATGTTCAGTGCCAGTAATCATAACCTCTATTTTCGTTACATAAGTGAACCTAAAAAACGGAAAAGGATACTTTTTTCTGCAATATTTATAAAAAAAAATAATTCTTTGAAATCCATTACTGTAGGCCTATAACTTATGTACAAAAATGTTGTATCCTCATAATTTTTGTTGCTATCTGGAAGTCTTCAAGAAGTGTAAACCCAGAATATACTTATTTAATACGATGATGCAAATAGAACACTAGGGATAAGAAATAAATTCAATTTGTTGTTGTATGAAATGTACTGTATTTATATAGTTTTTTACCTGTATTTTTAACTAAAGTTATAGTAATAAAAACTTGTATAACATAGTACTTAACTTCTTATTATCTAGGTATCTTACAGAGTCTACTAAGATAAACAAAATAAAAATGCATCATTTACAAAACAAAACAATACTGAGTACAAAAATATACAGTTTTAAAAGACTAAGATCTTAGTCCTCAATCTTCTTTGTACAGTGAGTTACTTTTCTCTAGCAAGTCATGGTATTCGCAGTTTTTATCTATAAAACAGTGTAGCATTCCGAATGTAAACAGTTCAATGCTGTAATCGTACATAACTTGTGGCAGCGTTTCTTCTGTAAAAATAAAAACAATAAATTAAACAAAAATAATATAAATTAGGCTTATGTATGTATAATTTAATATTGAAAGACATTAAAGTATAAAAGAATTTATTGTTGTTTCAATTTCTTTTGCTGTAATGTGTAATAAATTTTAATATAAAATTTCGAAGGTTCCATTGTTCATAAATAATTATTGAAAGATATATTGGTATAATTTTTTTAGTAGTTGTAAAAGAGCCTTTAGAAGGGTGTGGCGGAACAAAAACGGCAACACCGCAGTACCGGCCTATTGAAACAGCTGTTGCACTATAATGGACGTCAACGCAATGTTCATATTTTTTTACTTTAGTTATTACCATAGCAATAAGCGGGCGCAACCTTTCCACGCACCAATCTGTGGCCTGGTATTAGAGGGGTATACAATTATTTAAATGATACATGCTACATGTTCAAATTGTCAAGTATGCGAAATATATTTTCCACAAACAAGAAAGAACGCTTTTGCGCGTTCTGATTAACCATGCGGTTATGTTAAGCAAATTTTATAATCGTAATACAAAACACATACATATTACAACAATCGGGAACAATAGCTGGTTTTTTAAACAGCTTTAAAATTCTTCATTTTAGACTTTGGAGTAAATGCCTTAATGAAAAGGAAGGGTAACTCTACTGGTTTGGGGCTACTAGTTAGTTGGGTAGATGAGTGGTTCTATTGCTTGTCCGAAATTAGAAACTTTTTGATGTGTCGAAACTGAGCCCAGCTGCCCTTGATAATTTTTCTTTTAATAAATGATCATGAATATTGAAATAGCTGGTCAGTAACAAATCCACACAAGGCATCCCACTTTATCCTTCACACTTATTTAGGTTAAAATACGCATCTAGTTGGTGTCTAAATCGATAGTGATTAATACAAATAATTGCTAAAGTTACAGTCTTACGTGTGTATCCTCCAAGGTATGCAATGATGATGCTTTGACCTTCAATGTCCTTGAAATTAGGCTCAAGAACAGTCCTTGTGATCCAGCCTCGGCCTTCAATCAGCTGACCTCTTCCTCCGACTGTGAAACTGTTAATGACACGTGCAAGTTTGTTTGGATTTTTTTGAACGCAGATTTACATAGAGGATAAATCATTTGAGGTCTTATCTACTACGTTATTAGACATAGTTTAAGGAGACACAGTTTAGACCATGTTTAACCAACCCAAGCGTGGATTACATTATCATGACGTGAATCATCCCTTAAATTTCATACGGCAATGTGAAAGAGTCCCCTTATTGATATTGAAATAGATTAATCGACCAATTTCATTATTTTTTTAAGTGGAAGATCCAATTTTGAGGACCTAGTGTATCAATCTTATCCAAACTAACACAATATTAGCATATAATTCAACTCAAAATATAGCACACAGAAACATAAAACACCGGAGAGGTTTTTTGATGTAGGCCTACTATGTACAAATACAAGCAATAATATTATTCCAAAAGGGGAGGCCCCGTTCTCTTTCTATTTCCTTTGCAACCCTAGCGGCGTGTACTTCACATAAACACACACTTAGAGCTGGCTTACTTAGGATTGTTGAGCTGGTGTTGTATTACCTTCAAGGTCTTTGTCTAAAAGTATTTAACTTTAAGCCTCCAGCTAAATGTGTGTTTCTTTTCATCATTGTTAATTCAGCATGTTATTCTATGAAGGGAAGAGTCCATTTATTATGTATTTACGATATACCGTCACCTGAAACTTAGGCTTTATGAACCACTGTGAGAGAGTGTGTGTAAGGACTGATTAATCCTCTAGTACTCAACAGTAAACGATCTAGTGTAGTAACGTGGCTTGAATCCTTCCGTTCATCAAACTACTACAAATTCTCTATTTTGTAGTTGGCCAAACTGCGTAGTCTACCTCCCATCAAACCCTTTTAAATACAAACCCTCTCAACTTTTTCACAAGTATTTTCCTTACAAATGTGACACTCAAAGCTATCTTACTTGTATCTGATGTCCTCCATGCCCTGACGTATGTGTTTATCCTGTAAGATCCTCATTTCCCTGGCACAAGCCTCATCACTGATGCACTGACTGGTCTGAGCTATGGTGAGAAACACATGTTTCACAGGTGGAGTTATGGAGACACATCGTCGAGCTGGAAGCGCATTCCAGGCTTCCCTGTTGATCCATTCCAGAGGCATAGTTCCGCATATCTTTCGGTATGGAAGTTACCTGGAAGCTAAGGAAGTTTTTAGTCTTACATAAATTAATGAAACAGTAGCTTTATTAATCCTTACTGAAAACTAAACCGAGAAAATGTGAGATCTTTTGAGTGTTCAACGTCAATTGTACGGTTTTTTTTGGTAATGGCATGGATTAAACCCTGGTCTTGTTAATTTAACGTCAAACGTTTTGTTAGATAGCATAGTTTATTTAAAGCACAATGGAAATTGGTATTAAGTGTTTAATTTCACCCCTGTTTGGGACCAAACGAACACCCAAGAGACGTCTTGTTGAGATTTGAAGACGATCACTACAATTTTAAAGTATGATATTGGAGTTTTATCTTTTATAACATTCAAAATGTTTACAAACCTATTAAAAAGAATGTCATTTTTGACACGTAAAATCTATATATAAAGGCAAAAGTACCCATGAACTTTTGAGAAAACTACAAGTCACATCCCCATAAACCATATACTTAAAATGTTCGTCATGACGAGAAACATTGCGCAAAATTATCCATTTTTTCATAAATTGCCCTTTAAGGTCTTAGTTGCTTTCCAAAGGGAACTTTCCATATACTTAATGTTAAAAATACCTCAGCTGTTCTTATTTGTATGGTATTCTTTCAAAAAATCTGGTGTGATTATTTGTTTGTAATGCTGTATTTAGTCCAGTCAAGGAATGAGGTGTAGAGTGCGTGAGCAGGTAACTAAGCGATTCCTTCAGAAACTTGTTCAGGGGGCTTAGGGTGTTAACATACCAAAAGTCCTGACTCCTAGGTGGTGAGCCAGGGGTGGAGGGGGGAAAAGGGGGGGGAGAAAGGTACGCATTTTGGGTTTTTTGATTATATCTCGAAAACAATCAACTTTTTGTATACTATAGTAAATTATAAAATTGAAGAAGATTAAATTTTCTACAAGAAAAGTATATAATGTGTTTATTTTGGTTCTAACAGATTACGAGTTATAACTTATTTAATTGATATCTTATTAAAATACTCCTTCCATAAGAAATACATGTAAATTAGTATGCGAAATGGAGCGAATCCTATCCGCCCAAAGGAAATATAAATGATATTCTGGAAATCTTGACAAAATTTCCAGTAATTTGACACTTTAATCATTAAAATTGATCCAAAATTAAGGCGAGGGCGAGGTAACAAAATGTCGAGTTTTGGTGTTTTTTTATTGGAAATATAAAAAAACCTTAAATCTTCCCATTTTTAAACGCTCACCCTCGCTTTAATTTTTGACAACATTTCATGATTTAAGTGTCAAATTACTGGAAATTCGGTCAAGATTTCCAGAATATCAGTTATATTTCCTTTGGGCGGATAGGATTCGCCCCATTTCGCATACTAATTTACATGTATTTCTTATGGAAGGAGTATTTTAATAAGATATCAATTAAATAAGTTATAACTCGTAATCTGTTGAACCAAAATAAACACATTATGTACTTTTCTTGTAGAAAATTTAATCTTCTTCAATTTTATAATTTACTATAGTATACAAAAAGTTGATAGTTTTCGAGATATAATCAAAAAACCCAAAATGCGTACCTTTCTCCCCCCCTTTTCCCCCCCTCCACCCCCTGGCTCACCACCTAGGAGTCAGGACTTTTGGTATGTTAACACCCTAAGCCCCCTGAACAAGTTTCTGAAGGAATCGCTTAGTTACCTGCTCACGCACTCTACACCTACTTTTGGATCATTCATTGACTGGACTAATTCTGTTTTGTTTTTTTCATTTTATTTTAACCAATCAATAGTTTTTTATAATACTTTGAAGTCAAACGGGTTGAAGCCCGTGGGTAACAGCTAGTTTTTAGTAATGCTGAAATAATATTGATTACTATATAATCGTGGTTCCACTATTTGTAGGCTAACGCAATCATGATTACCTTCGGGTACTTGGTATCTACAAAGGGTATTCACAAATTTGTTATCAAGTATTGCCCTCTTTTCTAATTGGAATAAGCTCGTATTTCGGTAATATTCTAACCACTCAGTATAATGGACCAACAATTAAATACCGGTGCAGCAAACCTGCCGACTAAGCGAATTTCCATTTGCCTGGATTGATTTTCAATTAATCTATTAAATTAACATTTATAAATAACGAGTACCTAGGTTTGTTGCTAAAGAAAACTAATCAAATGTGTTTTTATTAAAATATTAATAGCTTAGTATAAAATAAATATATCTGCCAAGTTTGATCAACATATATCCAAAAACAAGCCAACTTCAACATTTTACAATATTCTCCATAAGAATAACATGGGAATTTTAAATTAACAATTTTTTTAATTTTCTTCGTAACCAATAACCGTACAAAAACACTTTGATATACTTATTAGGCCTCTGGGGACATTAAAATGAAAAAGTATATCGGTCCCGGGCCTAGGTCTTACCACGAGACCTACGGTAATAGCTACTTCCCTATAGGGAAATTCGCTAAAACAATCTATACAGGGTGGAACGAAGTTAGTGTTAAAAAATTTGATGTGTTAAATTACTAAGTATTGGTGACAAAATGGCACCAATTTAAGTTTCCATACCCTCACAGGTAGGGAATAACAGACAATTTAAGATTTTTTCAAAATATTTGTACTTACTTACATAAATTGTCCATAAGTGCATTAAACATATTTTTTATTCCAAACTCATTGTCATTTTCAGAATCTTCGTTAAATTTCCAATAGTAATAGTACAAATTCATTGAGATTAAACATCTGCATAAGCCCTTATTTGACCATGGAAGTTTGAATTTGTGATTTTTTATAAAAAATTAATAACTTTTTCCAAAGTTTTTCTATACTACACTGGACTGTAGAGAATGTCAAATATCACTAAAAACTTCAGCAGTTAATAACCTTTAAAATGATGTATAAACATCTACTGTTCCTTTGATTTGTCGTTCTCAAATTTAAGAGTTTCTCATGCAAAACACGGAACGGCTAATATTAAATTTCCTTTAAAATAGCATGTATTTGCTTAAATAATATGGCAATAGCTGCAATAACAGTTATATTTGAATAGGGTCTATTGTAATTTTTAGAATCCTTGTTAGATTTATTATAAGAATATTAAGAATCTATTAGGATTAACATCCATATAAACGTATGTTTTGTGAAAACATGTTAAATTAGTTTTATTTTTATTTTTTGAATACATTGAATATTGTTTAAAGTTACACATGGTACATTTAACTTAAGATTTGTTTAAGCCTAAGCAAATACTTCCAATGGAGTAGCCTATAAAATTATTTAGATACTACACTTTACAATCTTGTCAATATGTTCACCGAAAACCGACAATTAACCTAGTTCACAAATAATACATTTATACATTTCATATATTACATTTTATGTAATAGTATACCAATTAATTGATTGTAGTGCTTAGACACATGCTAATGGAAATAACTCAGTCAAGTGACATATTTCTTAACTAAAATAATTGTTAACACCTCAAAAATACTTAGTTTTAGTTATTTATACAAAAACTAAAAGTTAATTCTAAAACACACAATATTCGAAACTTAAATAACTGTTCCTTACTTCCTTGACGTTTTAATAGTTGCCTTCTATTTAATGCCAACTACTTGAGTTTTTTTTTTCAAAATCTCCTCCATTTTCCCAGATACACAGCCAAGCTTTTTTGCACGTGGCACCAACAGCAACATTAAAATACAACGTTCCTCTGACTAGCACATCTGCATTCATTATCCAGTAGTTAATTTCCTAAATATCTTCTACTAAAGATGAGTAGACCAAGTACTCCACATAACACACAAAGCAAATCTAGTGGACTTAGGTCTGGCGACCTGGCATGCCAGCAAACCACACCATCATTATAATTCTTATCATTCAAGTTGTGTATTTTGCTTTAAGTCAATCTCGCACATCGGTTGAATGTGCCATAGAACTAACACCGTACAGATATTTAATTTATTCCAATAAATAAGTAGATAACCCCCAAAATGAAAATTCATCACAAAACATAGTTTCATAACGTGTTAATCCTAACAATTCCTCAATATTCTTGTTAGGAATTTTACAAGGATTCTGAGAATTGCAATAATACCCATTTAAACATGATTTTTAAAGCAGCTGCTGCCGTATCATAACAGCCAATACATATTTTTTTAAAGGAAATTAAACATTAGCCGTTCCGTGTTTTTCATGAGAAACTCTTAAATTTGAGAACAGCAAATCAAAGGAACAGTAGATGTTTATACATCATTGTAAAGGTTATTAACTGCTGAAGTTTTTAGTGATATTTGACACTCTCTACAGTCCAGTGTAGTATAGAAAAACTTTGGAAAAAGTTATTAATTTTTTATAAAAAATCACAAATTCAAACTTCCATGGTCAAATAAGGGCTTATGCAGATGTTTAATCTCAATGAATTTGTACTATTACTATTGGAAATTTAACGAGGATTCTGAAAATGACAATGAATTTGGAATAAAAACCATGTTTAATGAACTTATGGCCATTTTATGTAAGTAAGTACAAATATTTTGAAAAAATCTTAAATTGTCTGTTATTCCCTACCTTTGAGGGTATGGAACCTTAAATTGGTGCCATTTTGTCACCAATACTTAGTAGTTTAACACATACAATTTTTTAACACTAACTTCGTTCCACCCTGTAAATACACTAAGCAAATACTTCCAATGGAGTAGCTATAAATTTGTATAGTTATATAAAAAATTAAATATTGGTTGTTGATTTAGTAAAGAACAAACCAATGAAGCCAACATATCATAAAATGATGAATTAGTATATTAATAGTTTTGTTTAATACTTATTGTACTCTAGTTTTAATAAAAATATTTAGGGATTTTAAAAAATACAGTTAAACTTAAGTAAGTGCGAGACTCATTACACATTTCCCGTCACTTAACCAGTAAAATTACAATATTATTTAAATAAATTGGGTATGTGTTTTACTGTAATTTTTCATTGCTATTATAAGTTTGATAACGTGGTAAACAAACTAGGAATAATTTCAAAATTATTAAATACAAAGTTTACTATACTATTTGTAATTTGTAAAAAAAACCTTATGCAAGCTTGTAACAATTATATTGTCAATAACCAAAGGTGAAAACCATTTTTTACTGTACAGCTAAAATACTACCTGAAATTGATTGTCTGTATTAAAGAGCAAATATAAACATCTGTTTTGGTCCTATAAGCTGGTTAACTATATTTCGAATAATTATCCTACCTTGTTGATTGTGGTTTCTATTTCTGATAAGAACAATTTTGTATAGACAAATAAATTATGTAGATGACCTTCGTCTGGCTAGGTCAATAACCTTAGTTATATGCAACATTTAACTGTTCACGTTATCCTAGGATAACAGTCCTAGAATAACAACTGTTAGGGAATGGTTTCCTTAGTTTTACCTTTTTGGTGTCTATGAAGCACTGGTGAAAGAGTAGAACTGTAAAAAAATAAATACATTTAATTTTTAGTTCCGCAAGATGTACCATGTGATTTAGCTAGTGATCTAAAAATACTCGTCGGTTCTATTGTAAATGTGTTGGGGACGGAAAATTGTCTAAATTTGTAAATTAACTATAGGAGGTTTTAAAGGGGATTTTGTCTTAAAAGGAGGATGAATTATGTAGAATTTATTGAAATTATTAGTTTTAAAATTGCTTTTAGGATAAGTTTGCTCAGCACAGCTTTCTTTCTAAAGCTACTATCTTAAGAAAAAAAAAAACAATGTATTTCCGAGGTGGGATTAAGAACATTTGCGGTTTAATTAACTTACATCAACGATTTTGGATACTGAAGTTTGACATCTCATTAATATAAACCAACTGTAGCAAGTTTTTACTAAACAAACGTTTTTTAATGTGCGTCTTATAGAAAGTTTTACTATGGCATTTATTCTTCTTTATTTGGTTTTTTATCCAAAGATAGCTAATATAATATCATGGCCTCCTTTAATAGAAGGCCGTGGCGAGACAAGGTGGCAACGCCGCTGTTCCGGCCTACTGAAACAGCTGCTGCACTATATTCATAGAGCTTCAGCGCAATGCTAATGTTTAGACTTGTGTATTACTATTGTTACCATGGCAACAGGCCGGCCGGTGCGACGTTGCCACACACCAACGCCGTGCCCTCGTATAGAGAAAGAGATAATAATATTTCATTTTACAATACTTTTCTCTTAGTTAGGCAGGTTAGAAAGATTTGCGTTAAGAATAAATACATCATTATAAAGAAGCACACAATGTTTGTGGCTGTATCAAACCTTTTGACAAAGGAATTAATAACTGTTGCGATGACATAGGAATTATCAAACTGCATGTGTGTGAGAAAACCCTGTCTGGTAAAACGTTAAATAAAACTAGTCTGAATATACACTTTTATTTAACAAATCTTTCATGTGCTGGACGTTTTTTTGTGCAAAGTTTACAAATAAAACAACGTTACAAATTTTGACACGGCTAAAACATACAGAATATAAAACATTAATTATACCACCACTATAAAACACATATTTACAATTCCATACAAAGCTATTATCAGTGTTGCATCTAACCATTTCCTTCAGTATTTCTTGGCTTAAAGACTCAGAATAGCAGAATTCGTTTAGTAATTTACTTTGTGAAATGCAGAAACCTTTACTGGACTTACAAATTAATGTCTTAACTTTAAGTCTGGAGTAAGCAGATGTTAAACATTTGTCTTCAATCCACCACTTCTTACAGCAACCATTATGTTTTTAAGTTCAAAGTCCCTTTTGATCAATCCATTTTCGATTCCAAATTCAATCAAGTCACCAAGTTGTTCAGCTGCGGCCTCAGACAGATTGATGACTGAAAAGAGTTTGTAGGTTTATAAAAAAACCAAAAAGTCTCAAAAAAGATTTACTTAAAATATTTAATTAATAAAACTTAGTAGATTGTTAGGATTATTTAAATTTAAGTTGCATTATAATTACTGAGCTTACAATTTACTCTCTACTCTAAAATGCTTTTTAATTGGATGCCTCATAAGGCTTTGGGGTTTCCGAATAGAATAAACGGGGAGTCGTTTCTTTTGGAATTTAAAGGACCTAGAATAGAAAGTAAATTTCCTTTCGGTTACATTATTGATACAAAAAGAAAATCGGAATTAAGAAACGTTTTTGGCCAAATAACGCTTTACATTTAAAAGAAAACTTTGAATAAGTTTAAAAGAGAAACTAACTTAACCGTGAACGTGATTTATTAGCAAGCTGTTACAAAATAAAAATAACATAGTAACCAGTACATTAGTCGGATTTTCAATTTGTAAAAATAAAAATACTGATATTATTTCTGGGATTTCGAGCACAAGTTATACATGGGGTGGATTTAGTCCTACTTCAATTTACAGATTTTTGTTTGTGATACATTTTTTTAGTCAATCAGGAAACTCACTAAGGATTCCAGAGACCCACAAAACTGTTGTTCACAAACTTTCATTTTCTAGTTCTTGCGTGTTCTAAATTTACACTATTTGTTTGTCTGAGCAGAGTATGGTTTGTGTGTTCTAAAATATTTTATTATAACATCACTATGGAACATATTTTCATTACAGCTAAACAGCTCTATATAACAGCTCTCTATTACATGAGCTTTCAATAACAGTATACACTTCTCTTACTTAATAAACCTTTTTTTTAGATAGGGCCTTTGGCTTAAAGTCATGGTTTGATCACTAAAAGCTATTGGGCTTGTAAGCTTTGTGTCCCATCCACCAAGCTAAAGCCTATACAATCATAGGTATACGTCAGTCGTGCATCTTCTAATCAGTCTAGATAATAAATTACCTACATTTATATTGTCAAACGTAAAATTATTTTCCAATGAATATGCAGAGGTGTACTTCTTCAAGGATAATAAATATATTCATATTTAATTTACGAGATGTCGTCCTACCCTAAATTGGAATTACTTCCCACTAAAAAATATTGCTTACCCGATTGCTTGCCTATGAAAGCAATGAGGAGGCTGTAGCAATTGCTGCGTGCGAACCGCAAAGGAAGCAGTGGAGCGTGGTACCAACCCTTGGCCTCGTACACATTCCCGTCGTCACCTATCAGGAAACTGAGGAATCATAATCACCCAATCAAGAGAAAATAGGCACTTCTGACAACTTTGTTAGTTAACACAAGGTTTCCAGAGTCTCACAAAATACACAATATTGGTGTACTTGTGTGGAAGTCTAGTCTGTGTAGTCGTACAAGATCTTGAACATTCAAAGAATTAAAATAAATCTGGGAGGGTTTCCCATTCGTATTACCCAGTAGTATGATTAGCTGTGTAATGGTTATTTTATACCTGGTTACAGAACACATGGCTTTCATGGATTGTCCTCTTCATTGTAATTATTTTGCCTTGAAATTTAACATTAAAAATTGATCCAATATAAGCTATTGACGCTGTCAAATACATCTAAAACTATGAAATTCACTCATATTGAAAAATAAATGTTTATTAGAAATATTGAAGCTACCCAGACACAAAATATACGAAACTTAAAAGTTGTTTGGAGATGGGAAACCCTTTTAGTATTTACAGTCAATGATCATTAACATTAAATACTACAAGTAGAATTGTCATTCAAAAACAAAATGTGAAAATTTTTGTTAGGTGTTCTGTAGGCTCAACAATATATAGAGTTTCTGGTGGTTTACTGTAAATATAATGTATCTCATTTTAAGGTAAATATTTTTTTTTCTTTAGCTGTAGTACCAAAGAACATGTAGTTTAGGTACTACACATAAATATTAATAATTCGCTTCGATTAGTTTCAAAGTTAGTTAGAAATCAATAGTAAGCATTGCAACACACTTTAAGTACAACAGACAATTATTTAATTTAGAATTAATTTGAGCTAATCTAAGTACTTTAAAGGCATGAGTTATTAATAAGCATGTTAATGTTATGGTGTAATGTACCCCATACAAAATCCTACAAAAATTATTGCTTACTTATATCGCAGGTCCTTTAGATGATGCATTTTCGTAGTTAGTCCAAGTAAATCCCTTAGTTGACCAGAGCAAGCTTCTTGAGTGAAGCATTGGTCCGAGTTTGTGTTCATAAGCCATACGAATTGAGCAGGTATTTGGACGAAAAAGTTACTTTTAGGCATGGGGTTGGGGTCCCATGTACTTCTTTCGAATAGTTTTAGTGGCATGTTTGTTTGTAAACGTATCTAGAAAAAACTGGAAATAAAACAATAATTATTGTCATACCATTCACATTGCAATATTCTAACAGAGATGGGAGAGAAACTCGGCATGTATGCTTAATTTTAAATAATGTTTTAAAAACTGTTGAAAGGGGTAATTTTGTTCTATTTTACGATGGATGCATTGTATTCTCTTAAAAGGCTTTTTAATTTTGTTTATATCTTTAGACAGTTCAGATATTATTAAGGACACTCATCAAAATTAACACATTTTCATTTACCTACACACTCATTTAATCCATATATAAATCCAAAAGTACCAATGAACTTTTGAGAAAACTACAAGTCACACCCCCATAAACCATATTCTTAAAATATTCGTCATGACGAGAAACCTTGTGCAAAACTATCCATTATTTAATTTGTCCTTTAAGGTCGTAATTCCTTTCTAAAGGGAACATTCCATACAACTAATGATAAAAATACTTAATCTGTGCTTATTTGTATGTTATTCCTTCAAGTTATTACCTTATTAAAATCAGGTGTGATTATTTGATTGTATTACTGTATTCTGATTTGTTTATTTCAGCTTACTTAACCAATCAATAGCAAATCTGTTGTTTATTTAATTGATTAGATACTTGACTTAAATAACTAAATATAACAGTATTATTTACTTCATTAATAAATAAGAAGTGCGTACAAGAAAAATCTTATCGTACATTTTTGTTTTACCCTATAAAGTATTAATGAACAAATTGTTTAGTCACAATAATCCTTCAGTTAACACTTTATATTACCTTTTTTCAACTAACCTTATTTAGTTGCATGCATAAAGACTTATTACACAATAGACTTGGTAAGAAAATCTGTCGCTTTGATAATTGTATTTACAGGGGACGATAATAACCTTAAATTATTTTAAAAACATATTTCAATATGGACGATTTTGTAATACATAGTCCATTAATTAATTGCAACGTTCTTGATGGTTTATTGGTTTATATTAAATCACATAAATTTAAGTTCCAAGTTAAGTGTAATCTGGTAAAAATATTTTTTTAGAAATGTAATGTGAAACTAGTCTTACCAGAGTAAGCCGTCGAGAAAATATTATTTACTGTGTTAAAAACATTTATCTTCTATTGAGTATTATCAATGTTAAGTAACACAGCGATAATAATAGATGACTAACATTGGAGTAGAGAGTTCAGCCCTGCAGTTGAGCTTCAAACAAACTGAACATTTTGCCTCTTAATGATGTGCAAATGTTATTTAACAATGTTCATACATTATTAAAAAATGTGTAAGGTTTGTGAAGACTTTTTTCAAATATTAAATAATGTGTTAGAAAACATTGTGAACTTTAATTTATAGTAAGCTAAATAGTTGTTTTCTTACTTCTAGTATATTTATCAATTGTTATGTATTCACAAATATACTGAAAACTGTCTAATTTAAAGGGTCGGTTTTAAAACTACATCCTACAATTTTATTACCAAAACCTAAATTTAGTTTTAAATCCATATTAAACACTAACAACTTTTTCACTAGTATTTTCCTTTTCTATAGTCAAACAAGTACTAGACAAACAGCCCAATACGTAACTAGCTTATGTCAACTAAAGGCAAAATTAATAAATAATTTTACAGCAGCTTGCTAAAAATGTAAAGGCGATTTTTTGATAAAGTAGACATATATGTAACGAACATTGTTTTTCGATCATACAAATAATATGGTCATGGTATTTTATAAAACAATACTATTAAACATCTTTAGTAGGTACTTTATTACACACATTAGAATCTCAGGTGGCGTAAATGCCTAGATTTAAACCTTAAATATTAAATCAAACAAATGTATGAAAATAATAGGTAAAAATGTAACATAATAAATATTAAAAATAAGTAAAATACAAAACGTTCTATTAGGTTTATACAGAAATCCTTAAATGTGTAGACACTCATTCCGCCTCACTTGCACATTATTTTACTACGCTTTCTCTTTAGCTTGTGCAATTTAAAAGGATGTCTTTATTTCATTATTTTCTCGTTTTTTCGTCGAATGTAATAATTACTTCTTAAAAATATATCTAGTGTCGATTTCCGGGGACAGTTCGTTATTCAGTCCCATCTCTTTGAGCATGCATGCGGTTCTCGTCCGATTTTTCAATTTGGTAATGTAGGAATCTTTGATCATTTCTTCAATAACTTCCTCTCTAAAGTGGTCTTTGAAGAGGTTTTGAGATCTGTAGCTCTTTTTGAGATAATTGTTGTCTATGGCATAGTCGATGAGATCGCTGGCTGCTCGCATCATAATTGGGGTCACTTGGTCATCTGAACAAAAAAAAAAAAAATTATGTTCTCGAATTCTATCTGTTTTTTAAATAAAAGGTGTCAAATAGCTGACACATGCTTTATTCTATAAGCTTGTCAAAAATTCTTAAAATAATACTGTGGGAATAACTATGTTATTTTAAAAGTAGTTTTACAAACATTTTACATACAATTACTTAGGAACCGTTATTATGACAGAGTTGGGGATTAAACTCTAAGGTTTAAATGTCCATCATAACATAGTATTATCCGTTATTTTATGGGTTTTAATGGGGAAACCCCAACTACGAAATAAAAAGTTCAAAAATAAAACTCATAACTTCTAAGATTTTCGTATACACAGGTTAAGTTTCGTTGACAGTGATGCAACCAGAGAGCACAGAATAGAAATTTATATTCTGTGCTCTCTGGGTGCAACCAACATTGTACCAAACACTAATTGCATCACTCAACAATTAAATTCGTCTGAACAGCTGATTAGTTGAAGTTCGAATCATTAAAATTTTACTCCTTCCCTCTCAATCCTTGAACCTCATTGGTCCGTTACCCGTGTTGTTATGAAAAACTAAGCTGTTATGAAAGTAAACAATGCTGTTATGGGAAACTTTTCAATTCTTAGAACTAAACTGACACGGCTACTCTTAAAAAACGGTCGTAGGTAAAAATACTAACGTTGATGTAGGAAAGTTAACGTAACAAATGATTTTCAGCTCAAAACTATTACTTAAAATATTTAATTCCGAAGCTCACTATGAGAAAGCCTTGCAAATGTGGTTAAATACATTAAGATACGTTATTTTTTAAATTTATATATTATTTTCTGTCTTTTGTAGCAAAGCTGCATATGTAGCTACAGTTAGTAAACAATCTTTAAATTAAATTCGTAAAAATACCATAATAAATTTTATATAAGTTTTCTATATTTGACAATATGGTGTTTAATGGAATAATACTTACTGACCCATCTCCCGATGAAGGCTATCAGTATACTCTGTTGCTGGTTTCTGTCCCTGTACTCAATGGGGAGACTTGGCGCGTATTTCCAGCCTCTTCCCTCGTACACTTGACCGTCTCCCCCGATCATAAAACTATGTGATTAAAACACCCCTTATTACCGACCTTTGGTATACTTTATTAGAGATTTAAACATTAATTATTCAAACTGAAAATGCTTATGGCTTACCGTATGTTTATAAAAACACAAAATAACAAAAACACAAAACTTCAGGAAAAGGCGAGGTGTCGGAAGACTATGTTGGTTTTTGAATCTTTTGCTTACAAACCAGTATTATCTAAAGGCACGAATTCAGGTACCCTATTTGCAAATCTAGTGGTCAGCGTCTTGGACTTTGGTAAGAGAGGGAAAGATTCAATCCCCGGCATATTCAAAACAATATGGATCGGGTAAAAGTAAACACTAGACTGCAATAAACTAAGCTGAATCACTTTATTCTTCTATTTTAGAAAACTCTCTATGTATGTATTCAATCAAACTTTGAACAAAGTATATTTAATTGTAGTAGATGTTAACAATTGCATATAATACGTTAATTGTGGTGTAAATACTGAAAAATGGCCATTTAGCTAGGTCAACATGGCTGAATTTCATTATTTAAGTATCACAACAGTAAAAAATCTAAATTGATTCAAACTTTCACTGACTATAATTAATTGATATTCAACCTGCACAATGGATGACGCATGAACTTACCACTAATTAAGACAGGTTTTTTTTTCAATCCAAATAAAGCTATGACAAATTTGCTGTTTTTTACTACTAGTATAGTACACTGTAGAAAAACCAATTCATCCATCATAAAGTTGAAATAGACACTGTTGTTCTCGCTTCAGGAAACAGTTCCACAATTCCTAATTGCTATGTAAAAAAAGCGTACAATTTGGTTAAAATAAATAAATAAATAAATAAATAAGGTCTTTATTCATGAGCGAATTTCAGTTACAAAACTGTTTTACAAATTGACTCAAGTCAGGACTTAAACTAAATAAAACCTCTTATAACTACGAAACAAAATAAGATTAGTTACAAACTCTTTAGGCGATTCTTAAAACTGTTGTAAGACAGTGCTTTTAGCTTGCAAGGAAGTGCATTGTACTGAGCCGGCCCGAAGTAAGAAAACCCCCTTCTCCCAGCATCAAGAACAACCCTTGGTATGTCAAGCAACAAGTCCTGTCTAGTTCTGCGCTCTCTCACGGCTGACCTCGCTTTCAGTTTTTCCTTCAAGTACTGTGGTGCCTGAGTGACCAGTGTTTTGTGGACGATACATGCAACCTGCTTATCACAGCTCTCTCGGATGGACATTGTATTTGAGATCCTACGGTGACTTGTTATATGATCATATTTTTTAAGTTTGTATACGAACCTTAGGGAGCAATTCTGTAGCCTGTGAAGTATTGTGATCTGTTCCTGTGTTAAGCTGTATCCAAAAACAGGTAGGCAGTAATTTAAAGTAGGGAAAATCAGGGATTTGACCAACCTCAACTTAATGTTTTCAGGGAGCAATGTTCTAAACCTATTAAGCACTTTTAATTTTCCAACAACACGTTTGCTTATCTGTTTTACATGGCTAGAGAATGTCAGCTGTGAGTCAATTGTTACACCAAGAATCTTAATGCTTTTGGAAGTTGAAAGCTCTGAGTTATCAACTGTAACTTTGATGCTATTTTTTTCCAGCTGCTCATAGATTGCTGTATTGGCAAAGTGTATAGCGGAACATTTTTCAGGGTTTAGCTTTAATCCATGATCCTTAGACCATTCACAAACCTTTGAAAGGTCACTACTCATATGCTGTAATGCCTCCCCAACCAAAGTAGGCTGGTATGATAAGAAGATTTGACAGTCATCAGCATAAGAATACATAATCCCGAAATCCAACACTGATTCAATACCTACTATATACAGATTGAACAAGATAGGACCAAGACAACTTCCCTGGGGAACACCGACTGTCTTTGCCACTGACGATGAGAGCTGATTGCCCACTTTTGTAATCTGTGATCTCCCACTCAAATATGTGGTCATCCACTCTAGAGCCTTACAATCAAATCTAAAATATTTTAACTTTGAAATCAACAAGCTATGGTTTACAGAATCAAATGCCTGTGTATAATCTAACGACGACAATACGCTGCATAGCTTATTATTTTTTGCTTTGTAAATTTCATCAATCATGTTAAGCAAAGCTGTGCATGTACTGTGTCCCCTTCTAAAACCAGATTGGTTAACATCTAAAATCTTCTCTGCATCAATGAAATGCGTTATCTGGTCCACAACAACCTTCTCTAGGAGTTTTGACAACGAAGGCAACAGTGATACTGGTCTAAAGTGTGAAACCATGGATGCATTGTTCGTCTTAGGAAGGGGGATTACCAGGCTATGTTTCCAACATTCTGGGAAACTACCCGTTCTTAATGACATGTTTATTAGGCGTGTTATTACAGGTAGGCAGTAAGGGCTTAGTGACTTAATCATATGAATGTTGATTCCGTCTATTCCAGCAGATGCTGAAGTTATGCTATTCATGGCCATTTTTACTTGGCCTTCACTTACTTCAGAGAAACTAAAAGTCCCAGAAACGTGTTTAGCAATGTTAGATTTGTAATAGCTTAGAACATCAGGGTTAATAGTATTACCAGTTCCCATGGTGGCAAAAAAACTATTCATATCATCTGGAGCTAGTTTACAAGAATTATTGTTCTTTTGGTTCAATACAGATGGACCATCTCTCCGAATTGATTTCCAGAACATTTTAGAGTTCCTCATTTCAATATTATTGCTGAAATGGTTCTGCTTTGCCCGCCTTATTGCACCATTTAACCTATTTCTAGCCCCACAGTACTGCTGCCTAGACTCAGGGGAATTTGCATGCAGATGCTCCTTCTTATATTTATTTTTTATTTTTGTGAGAAATTTTATTTCCTCATTCCTCCATGCAGCTTTTCGTTTGGTGACTCTTTTCCTAACTATGGGCGCACACTCATCATAAATCTGAATGATTGAATTTGTAAGTTTAGTACAGATTTCCTCTAAACCATCAATCTTAGCTATCGCTGCCCAGTTGGTTTTTGAAGCTAATGAAATAAAGTGAGGCATGTCAAACTTTGTGAAATCTCGATATGTTATATATTCTGCATTCCGTTTTTGTCTGCTACACGGAAAATCACAAAAAACCAGTTTGTGGTCAGTTAGTTTCTTACCATAGCTAGTTAAAATTAGGGAAGTGTCAATCACTCCCACCCTGCTCATCTCCATAACACTTTCAGTAATAATATGGTCTATAAGGGTCGATGACATTTCTGTGACCCTAGTTGGCTCCATTACCAACTGCGATAAGCTAAGGGATTCCATCAGATTACTTAAGAACTTTCTATCACTCTTTTTTTCCCCGAATAGATTAATGTTCAAGTCCCCTAATAATATTACAGAGTCAACAAGTGGGAGAGTGTCAATAAAAAGAGAGTATAATACAGATTTCAGGTAACTATAAGGCAAGTCAGGTGGTCTATATAAAAAGCAAACGCAAATCTTTCTGTTTCCAATATCAACTTTCATGCATATATAGTCCATGTGATTGTCAATATCAGTTAGTTGCATCAGGTTTACATTTTTTCCAGATCTCACATAGACTGCAACACCTCCTCCTTGACCGGATACAGAGGTGTCAGACTTCCTATCACTCCTCAAAAATGTATATCCTGGTAATTCAAAACAGTCTGAGTTAATTTCTGGGTTAAGCCAAGTCTCCGACACCCCAAGTATGTCAAAGTCAAAATCCTCCAAGACATAACTGAACTCAGGGAAACCTGTATTTAGGGATCTTATATTTACATGTCCTATCCTGAAACTATCAACTGGACGTTTTTTCCGTTTCCCGAAAAAGACTGCCCCTGAGGCACTGACTCAGTGTTTACACATAATTGCTGGTAGTCACCAGACTTACGTTGGGTTGGTTTGACACCATTTCCTACATCACTTATTTCACTTCCTACTTCCCTAAGCACATCCTTTGAAACCCAATGAAATATTAAATTTTCCATTCGTTTTACACCCCCTCTATTCAAATGCCTTCCATCACGAGACAGATGATATCTGCGAATTGTTTTGTTTCCATCAGCAAAGGCTACACCAAAGTTGTTACACATGAGGTAAAGCTGTTCATTGAAATATGCAAGAGATGAGTTGTCTATGTCCCTACGACAAAGAACACTGCTTACAATAAGCTTTGATTGTGGGAAATTATGCCTAGCTGTACTTAAGAGATCTGCCATTTCATGCAAAGCCTCGCGCTTGCCCGAACCACCATTATAACCTGGACCACCGTTGTAGCCATACATCAGGTTGTTTGTACCAACATGAAAATAAATGCATTTAGGTTGACAAGTAACATAATTCATGAGTTTCTCTTTTATGTGTCTAATTATTGACCCTGGATTTACGTCAACCAAAGCCCCATTGTCAGCTAATTTTACCCCTGAAAATCTCAAAAGTGAGTCCCCAATTATCAACGTGTTTGCCAGCGAAACTCCCTTGTTACGGTTACCCACCCGCTGACCAAAAGCACTGTCTCTTGCTACATGGACATCAGAAGAAGTAATATTAGGCTCACCATTGTTCTTTGCTAAAACATGCACTTTACTTTTTACATTTTTTTTCTTTCTTAAGCTACTATTTCTAACCCTCCATACCCCAGAAACATTCTTTACCGAGTCCACTACATTAGTACCCATTGGTTCATCTAAATCCTGTAAAGCACTAAATTTATTTTGACAGTCAATCTGAGCCTTCTGATACATTTGGCTCTTCATTGATCTATTCTTACTCTTGCTCTTACGCTTGTTATGATTTACATTCCAGTTACCATCATCCGAAGAAACTTTACCTTGATTCAACCCTTTGTTTGGTGACTCACTTATACTAACATTATTTACATTACTATCAGCTAGAACATTGGTTACAGGCATGATATCAGTATTTACTAAATCCGTGGACTCAGAAGGAGTACCACACTCATCATTACTTTGCTTCTCTTGAAAGGAGTTCACATTAGCTGTCATCACCTTACAGCCAGCACCTTCCCCAGTAAAACAATTGTACCATTCAAGGAACTGTAAATGACAGGGTCTCTCCCTCTTACAAAACCCCTCATAAATAAACTTAGCATTAACAAGTACGCTAAGCCCACACTCAAAAGCATTGTTTTGCTGATTACAAGTCACTTCTGTAAAAATACATTGTTCAGAAAAAAGCCTATTTGCAACTTCTTTAGCTGTGTTTGAGTTGGTATACTTAAGAGAGTCAAAGTGAAATACATGTTTTGAAGCCACATCAACAAACAGTAAGCTCCAATGAAAAATGTCAGAGTTCAGAGCTTCATGCGTGCCTACTGGATTATTACAAATACATAAAAATGCATAATCTAAGCTAGGAAATGACAGCTGCAATAGGGATTCATTTACATCTTTAGCACTACCATGTTTAATAATTTGACTCACAGCAGGCCCTAGAAAAGCAGTTTTTGACTTTGATTGCCCATTGTTGGCAGCTAATGCCTGAAAATAATAATCAATTAGTTTGTCATCGAGAAACCTATTACTAGACCATGACCTTGCCTCGGCTTCTTTTACCTGGGCTTTCATTTTTGCAATAATATTTACAGTTTCTGTCTTTTGTTTTAAAACATGCTCAATTTGTTTACTCAATGAATTTACTTCTAAATCCTTGTCATCTAACTTTTTTTGGATAGCATCCAAATCGCTAGTTAAGTTATTTAGCTTAGCCTTAGTATTACTTAGACTAGATTTTAATTCTATGTTCTCTTTTAAGACAATGTCTTTTTCTTCTGTCAAAATTTCCTGAACATTAAAAGATTCATTAAGTTCCGAACGTCTTTGTGTTCTCTCTTCCTCACACCGAAACTCAAGTCCAGTTATCTGAATGTTTAATTCAGAAACCAGCTCCTCCAACTTGTTTACTTGTTCAGCAGACTTATCCAGTGATTTAACCAAACAAGCTAAATGTGGCTCCAAGACTTGTAATTGACAGTCTGGGTTATTTGCTGAAACCTTTTTAAATTCTAGACAAAGATCTGAAATTAAGCTTCCAGTTTGTTCATCCAAATTTTCAGTATCAGTCAAAATATTTTCAAAAGTAGAGTCACATAAATTAAAAGTCATTTTACCAGCACGTGTCATCACCATCTTGCTATTACAAAAATAAAGATTGTAATTTTATTTTTAAAGGTTCAAATGAATAAACATAAATATAATGTCAATAACTCTCAGTCAATGAGTTTAAAACAGGGAAACGGAGTTTGTTTTCCCCTGCGATGTATCTGCCGTAATCAACAATACTGTTCTGTAGATGAATTGCAGACCAGCAAATAGAAGGCGCAGCGAAAAAGCCGTGTCTCATCAACCCCCGCCAAGCAGATGCAACCGGTTGAAGGGATATTTGGTGCGGCTGGCTCCCTGCAATGGGTTATCAGTGCGCATGCGCCAACCTAGTTGTGAATGACAGCAGGACGTTGGCAATGTCGGATTTCCAAGAATCTGACTCTTCACTGATAACGGCAACTTTGCTCTTCCGAAAAATTAGACTACTTACAACAGTCCGGAGTAGTTTGATACCGCGGCCGCACAGGCGCAGGGTCCAAGAAGAATGGTAACTAGTTCAAACTACGAACTGATTCTTAAAACTGCACTGATGTTTGAATAAAATCACCTTCGATATCGTCCTCTACCTATCGTCCTGGTTCTATAAAATTAAAATTATTCTACAAGTAGGAATTTACAGTTCGCCAAATGCATTAAGTAATTCAATATCAATCAATCAATCAATCAATCGTTGAGATGGGGACGCCACCTAGGTGCGTATTTTAACCCAAATATGAGTGAAGGATGAGTGTAGAATGGTGTGATGACCTGTGTAGCTTTGTTACTGACTAAGATCAGCGGTTTCATTTAGTCAGGATCATTTATTTAAAGCCCAATGATCAGGAACAGCTGGGCCCAGTTTCGAATCATCAAAGACCTTTTGACTTTCCTCAGGATCGAACCGGCAACCTTTTGATTACTAGGCGAGCACTATAACCACTCAGCTGCCCAGACCTAACTTGTTTGTTTTATGTTTCCAAATTTTACAGTTGACTTCTATACCAGGATTTGTTCGCTTCTCCCTGCGGTTTACCACTTTCAGTCACACATTAGAGACTAGTAAAACTATTTACCATCACGTTATGATAATTTGAAGCAAAACCCTACAGTCACACAACTGACATACCGACATACATACCTGAAGCGTATGTCTCCATATTTTTTCATCAAGTGAATGGACTGTAGCCTCTGACATACTTTTATGCAGGTCAGTTCATCAGAACACTCTCGGGTCTGAGTAGCGATGTAGTAGACGTGGTATAATGGTAACTGTAAATCGTTCCATTTCAATGGTTTCACCGCACCCCATTCATCCCTCCTTAGATAACTTAGGGCCATACTGAGCTCAAATTTTAGTATTTGTGTAACATTTGAACAGCCGGTGTCACAAGTTTGTAAAGACAAAGATTTTTTAAATAATTAAATATATATAATTTCCATAAGATGGTTGAAAGTGCATTTTGATGTAGTTAATGTCTCTTCATCTTCCAACAGGACTACAAATGTTCCTTTAACCTTCGGGAAAATAGAGAGGCCACTCCCATTTCAGCACGGTAATAGCGGATCATAAGAAAACGCTGAACATTGTGGTGGATAAAAAAAATCACTAAAATAATTTTAATGTAAGAATAAAATTAAAATGGATTCACAGTAGTTTAAGCACCATTCACCCCAATGATAACAACATTGTGCATCACTGTTCATACAAGTACTAAATAGGCCTGATTAATTTCGTAATTGTTTTATCCACATGATTCAATTTTGTAACTTCAAATCACTACTGAAGATTGTAACAGATTATCAGTAGTTTAAACATGCAAGCCATTTATTTTACAGCTCACTCTTAATACATTTGATTTTTAGAGTCTTATGTTTAAAAAAAAAAATACTTTCTTGATCAGTAATGTTTAGTTTAGTTTTAATTTTTGTTTACTATTTTAAAAAGGTTTATTTTTTGTTTGTTGATCACAGTGTCATGAATTTATATATACATTAAGTGTACATGTATTTTGAAAATAATGCCATAAAGAAAAAATATCTTTGTAAAAGAAACAGGAGAGTTTTACCATACTGCTCAAAATTCGGTTTTTAGTTAATTGTGCAAATATTCTAGAAAACAATCTTTGTCACATTACACACGCATAAGTTTGAAGCTTTTAGTTTATTTACTGACCAAAACATAAACTAATATTAACATGTGTACTAACTATCTATCGGTTCTTGTAACTTGTGTTGTGAAAAGTCATAAAAATGAATATTTTAATCTATTTAGTCGGTTTATGTGAACTTAGAATTAAATATCGATTTAGATTTAGTTGAAAATTTTCAATCAATAAAACATTACCAGTTTGGTTTGATTACAAACCTTTTATGTTACAGAATAATAAGTTTTTCGTAATTGGGATTACTTGTTTATTACATGAATTCTTACAGGATTTTGTGTCCAATATACAGGGTTAGTAAAAAGTGTGGAGACCCCCTGTTATTTTTTTAACGGCCCATTCTAGAAAAAACTAAACTCGGCACACCATTATGGCATGTTATTAAGTACTTTTTGGGCACAACCGCCACTTGGTGTTCATCCCCAAAATGGGAAATTTTGGGGTAAACTAAAAAATTTCAAATACAAAGACCCATCGAGTGACCCCTCATTTTGAAGGCCCTGGTAAAAGAAAACCAACAACGCAAACTAGAGGTCTCTATCTCAGCTCAGTACAAAATGGCAGCCAATTGAAATTCTCATAAGTTCCCAAACCCAAAATGGGGGATTTTGGGGTAACTCAAAAATTTTTAATGGTAAGCCCCATCGAGTGACCCCTCATTTTGAAGGCCATAATAAAAGAAAACTAACAACGCAAACTATAGGTCTCTATCTTAACACAGTAAAATATGGCAGCCAATTGAATATAAAATTGCAAGTTATTTCCAATTTCTAAAGATTTCAATCAGCTTCCATTTTTTACTGGATTGAGATAGAAACCTCTAGTTTGCGTTGTAAGTTTTCTTTTACCAGGACCTTCAAAATGAGGGATCACTTGATGGGGCTTATCATTTAAAACTTTTGAGTTTCCCCCAAAATCCCCCATTTTGGGTTTGGTAAGCAAGTGGCTATTATGCTTAAAAAGTACTTCATAACATGCCAAAAAGGTGTGTAGAGTTCAGTTTTCCTAGTGTGAGCCGCTACAAAATTTACAGGGGGTCTCCAGACTTGGAAAGCTGCAAGTTAAATTCAATTTCTGAGAATTTCAATTGGCTGCCATTTTTTACTGGATTAAGATAAATACCTCTAGTTTGCGTTTTTGGTTTTCTTTTACCAGGACCTTCAAAATGAGGGGTCACTCGGTAGGTCTTTGTGTTTGAAATTTTTGAGTTTCCACCAAAATCCCCCATTTTGGGAATGTACACCAAGTGACGGTTATGCCCAAAAAGTACTTCATAACATGCCATAAAGGTGTGCCAAGTTTAGTTTTTCTAGTATGGGCCGTTAAAAAAATAACAGGGGGTCTCCACACTTTTTACTAACCCTGTATTATAATCATTAAAAAAATGATGGTACAAATTGACTTTACACACATACCTAAAGACAATACTTCTCTTCAATCCAAATGCTCATGAGAATAGTTCTACAATCATGCTCTAGTAACTAATTCTTGTGAGGGAAAATGATGACTTCGGGGATTAATATGCTACTTATACGATTTTAAATGTGTATTCAACAACTCTCACTTCAACCAATCTCATTTAAATTGAATAGTTTTGTTTCATATTAAATGAGGCAGCCTGTATCCAACTCAAACAAATTATTAGCCCTGAATCATGCCTCTTTTTATTATACTTATAATACTTACTCATTATCACTTCACTCCAGTAATACAAAGTATTATGTTGTTCTCAAACCTGAGAAATTTAAGTAAACATGAAGATGAAATACTTAGTTTTAGTAGAGCTGTTTCATTAATACATTTTTAGCAAACTTTCCATAGACAACAGTTTATTCGGTCAAATTGTTAAGTGATTTCCACCAAACCCAACAAAACCAAGCATCCGTTAAAAAATAATCTTTAAAAAAGTGTTGAGTATGAAAATAGGTTGTCAGGTTTTTTATTTTTGTTATTTATGCTATCCGATTTTACCCTCGGGACATTGATAATAACCAATACGTCCTACTAAATGTTTTATCAATTGTATTTTAAAATTTATTTTCATTTAAAATGTGGCATGCAGGCCTTTTAAAGAGTAATTTTACACATTAGGCTCATCATTAAAATACTTAAGCCTAATTTTTCTTTCATATTGAAAATTAATTTTAATAGATTTAAAAACCCTATCACTCACTGAATCATTGGTTTAACAAATATTGCAATCTCCATCCATATATGATTATTAATGAAAAACGGTTTAGTTGCTATACTTATTCTTAAAATCCTGCACAAATCTATATATTACCACTTTTGACTTATAATAATATATATTAAAATGCTACATACAAAAATAACCAAATATGAATTAGTTTCATTATCAAACTCCAGTCGTTAGATCGTTTGAAAACTGTGACTGAAAATTCTTTAGAGTGACCCGAACACCAAGTTGTCAACGTTTTTCACTTCGTTGTTTGTACAATTTGCTCGGGCTGATCAATTCCTTCTTTCCTCTTAAATATTTCCCACCTCTTGCAGTCTTTGTCGATATAGTTGTTTTCTATTCCATACTTGACCAGTTCTTCTCTGGCCGTCAACATCTCCTCTGGCAATGTTTCTTCTGAAAGACAATTAATATCTATTACATTTTGTGGAATTTATATAAACTGTTACATAATACTAACTGACAACTATTTTTATACTCTACATAAGTATTTTATTTCAACCTGTATCTTGCAGGGAAAAATCTTAACCTAAAACATTCCTCGTACATAAAGAGGATGGTTAACTTATTTATATTATTTGTAACATAACATTTTCCAATTGGAAAACTTGTCAAATAGGTGAATATATTGCGAATTCAGCATAAATTAAGATAGATGAGCTTAAAAGTAAAGATAGTTTGTTGAAATCTGAGGAATTAATTTGTTTTCATCAAAGATAGTCGACAAAATCAAGTTTATTTGAGCCTCAAGAACATATATACTTGGATTTCTTATTTTAGGTTTTTACTGGGGCGTTGATTGAAATTATAATAATCAAACTGGGCCATGTTTTGAACCAATAATTCAACAAATTTTTCTCAGGATCGAATATGTCACCTTTTGACTGTCGTGCAAACATTGTAAGCAGTCAGCAACCAGCTGAGAATGAAACAAATTTAGGATCTATTCAAAATTCACTAGACAGGATACGTATGACTAAGAAAGTACTTACCATCATATTGCCCCACAAAGCCTATAAGAATACTTTGGCTGTTGATATTCAAAAACTGCTGTGGAAGAAGGGGAGCGTGGTGCCAGCCTCTTCCTTCATATATTTTACCATTGCCAACAATCATAAAACTGAAACAAATTTTACTGTAGCTATTGATTATTTATTATTGTAGTTTTTCACTTAGATTTCAAATGCGAACATCATGTTTTTATTTGTAACTTCAAACTTAAAAAAGAAACACTTTTGTAAACTTCTTAATCGCCAATAGATAACTTCAAATATTTTTCCGTGTTACCTGTCAATCGTTCTCTTCGTTTGTTTAAGTCTACTAACATTTAAAAATTAAAATAAGTTTTTGAAAATTGCCATATGGCTTCAGGCAAAGAACTTTGAGATTGAACTTCAGAAAATTATTCCAAAAGTAAATTATTGTCCTATACCAGTTACTCCAGGTTAGTTAGCTCCATCATCCAGATAAAACAGTGACAATTTGAAGTAAAGTCAGATTTTACCTGTTAGCAACAGGACCAAATTTTTTGCAAATGATATCTTTTATAACTTGATTAGTAAGAATTGAAACAGGTTCACCTACATGTAGAGTAACAAACTATTACTAGCAGTTATCACTCATTGAGATGGGAGTGCCACCGAAATATGAGTGAAGGATGAGTGTATAATGGTGTTAGATGATCTGTGTAGCTTTGTCACTGACTAAAATCAGCTGTTTCATTAGTCAGGACCATTTATTTAAGCCCAATAATCAGGAATTTAGCTGGCAACTAGCAGCTACTGTACGCCTAATGTACATGCTACAGGTGTAAAACAAATTTTGGAAATAATTACTTAAACCTGATGTCCTTCATCTTTTTCCTTTTCATATGGAAACTTTGGACGTATCTTAGGGTGAATTTGCAGACGGAATTGTTGTAGCATGGGTAACCATTCGTGGCCATACAGACCACATAATTTACTGGGTGTTCCAAGACGTTGTGAGCCAAGGGAACTTTAGCACCCCAATCCTCTCGGTTCACAATTTCAAGCGTCATACCTGATAATAAAATAAGAATGTCAGAATGGGCTTAGCTTAAACAGTGTTTCAAATATTATTTTCAATCAATAGTCTAATATAATATTTTGCTGTTAATTTTGTTCAAGGAAAGGCTCCAGGCCAGGAATTTGAATTGTAGAAAAAGGAGGATAGCATTTAGCCTCCCTTGAAAGTGTAGGTAGGCTATAGGACATGAAAATACACTCCAAATTTACAAACTGTAAACTCTACCATATTCTCTACACTTGACAAAGTCCCTCAGGGGACATAATATTGTGTGCACAGTGTATCTTCTGTATGTTCTATGACCTACCTACGCTTTCAAGGTAAGCTAGTTGCTATCCTCCTGTTTCTAAAATTCAAAATTTGCTGTTAAGTTAACACAGGCAAATATTTTCACCAGAAACACTTTAACTCTCCTAAAAAGCATTTAAATTACAAAATTAAAAATATGTGTAGGAACTTGTATCATAAAAGTGAGTGATTGATTTGATTAAGTGAACCAATTTGACATTTCAGATTTTATATTATTTTATGAAAAATTACGATTGACATTGGTTTATGTATCATAGAACACGTTTTCCTAAATAGTTTAAATTTTTGGGGTTTCTGTAGAGAAAACCCGGGTTTGTTCGGACCTGTATTTACTATAGACGCCTTTCGTATACAAATGTGAAAAACAAATTACCACTGCAAACAATATTTTACAGCATCTTGCTTAACAAACTTCGTGTGGAATTTATTAAGAACTATGCTGTGATTATGTTCGTCTAAAATTATTAATGATCATCCTTATAAATTATGGTATTCTAAAAGGTGTTGTTATTGAGGTGTTTTAATACAATACCTGATGAGGGTTTCCAGTTAATAAAGCTACAAAGAAAATCACTTCAAGCCTATTGAACTCACAAATCTCCGTAATACATACATTTTATTCAATTTAAAGTGCCAAAAAGACAAGTAATACTTTTATGTAGTATGAAATAAAAATGTCAGGCTTTTCCTATCGTATTTGAGATAGTGAAATGTTGATAGTGAGATAGTTGTCTCTAAACTCATTTTTGTAGGGCAAATAATCCGATTTTGAAAGTAGCCTAGAACATTTTTGTTTGGAATCTCCTCAAATAAAATGTAGCGTAATTGCTAGAAATAGTAATGTTTTTGCAATTAGAGTAGTCATTGATGGAGTGTTTAAGTATGTGTTTGAACGATGCCGTCTCAATAATTCTTTTCATTGATAATTTGGATAACACCTCGCTATCTTATTTGGAATGAAAAAGCGCCATGAAGTCACCTTTAAAATTATGTGGAATGAGTCTTGACGTACATTCATACTATGTGATATAGACAATCGTAAGTATCAACGGTGAGAGTTCTTAATTTATATTATTAATCAATTACAATTTTGTAGGAACACATTTTTTTTACTTTTAGATTATTCAAGAATTATAAACATAGAAGCATACGTTGAATTTGACATATTAATATTTTTTCGATAGTTTGGGGTCTATCATATTTTACCTCACTTTCAGGCTGTATATGTGTTATGGTATGGCCTGTAATGATTAACTTACCTTTTGAAACAATTCATGTCACTAACATTAAATTTCTTACGCTTCATTGCGTTCATTAAGTTTGGAGCCTGAGAAAAAAGTAGTCAATATTAGTCTTACTCACGAGCACCACTGTTTTGAACATTGCACATTTCATATAGGCCTACTCGTATATTGGTAAAAAGAAAATCTCGGATTCCTGAAGTCAAAAAGTTCTTGAACACAGGCGTGCTTGAGAGTTTTGCTGGAACGGAGAAATTTTCGAAGGTCAAGCTAAGGAATAATTGGGAATGTTTGTTGTGAAGGGTATTAATATCCGTCAAACAGTGTTGAAAATATGAATTACTTAAATCACTGAAACCAGAGCTTTTCCAGAAATATTAACATTTATAATCTTTAATTTTTGTTTGTAAAAATTCCTTTCTGTTCAGGTATGATGGACAAAGATCCTACAATCATAACAAGAGACGAGTGGCAGGCACCTCCCATACTCCAGAATATGCTGATCGCTAGACTCCCAGTGATCTACGTATTCTGCATGTCCACTCACACTAGAGCGTGCAGCAATCCTGAGGAGTGTCACGACTTGGTTCATCGTCTGGAGAAGATACACACAGAAATACATCACCATATAGCCATCAGATATAAGTAAGAGCTCAATCAAAGGATGAGTATGAACAAGAATTATCACGGTATACGGTCGGAAAAAGAATGGTCAAACTCTAGAGTAGGAGAAATGATCAAACTGTACAACAGGTCAGAAACAAGAATGAGATTTTGGAGTAGATAAATACAATAATGAAACTCTGGAGTAAGACATAGCAATATTGGTCAAACCCAAAATCAGAAACAATAAATTGAGAGGACACGATAATGGTCACACATTCAAATTGTTTAAAAAAGACAACGCTCTAGAGTAATATAGACACAAAAATACACTCAATAGTAGGTCAAATACAACAACTATCAAACTATAGCTTAGATCAGACACAAAAAGTGCAAATTCTAGAGAGGAATCAATAATGGTCAGAGTTCAGAATCTTTTAAATTACAAAACTCTAGAATAAGACAGACACAAAAATCCCACTCTATCATAGTAGGCCAAATCTAATAGTAATTAAATTAAAGAGTAGGCAAAAAATCCCACTCTTCAGTAGATCCAATACAATAATGATCAAATTATAGAGCAAGTCAGATAAAATAAGGGCTAACTCTAGAGAGAACACGATAATGGTTACACTTTAGAACAGTTACAAAATTACAAAACTGTAGAATATTTCATACATAAATCACTCTATAGTGGGTTAAATACAATAATGATCAAATTATAGAGTAGGTTGGACACAACTCAAAAGTAAGTAAGATGTAGGATAGGAAGAATTCAGTAAAGCAAGATGGTTGAATGATCATCTTTGGGACTGTGAACTACTAAACAATCCATTTTCTCTCTTAGTTTTTTTGCTAGTTTATAATTTTATGTTATTTTGGAACCAGGACATATTCTCTAGATGACGTTTTGTGTTTCTCATTATAAACAACATGTATCCTTGCCAGCACAGTTTCGTGATCACGGGAGAAGGCTCAATCTACGAGGGGAGAGGCTGGGGGGTGCAAGCGATGCTGCCCCTCAGATATACGAGGTACAACGACCGTAGTCTGGTGGTGGGCTTCATGGGAGATTACCTAGGTAAACTGGTTATAAAATAAGTTTTTGTGGTGTTGTCAACTCCAATATTTACTGTTTTTTTAAGGTTCAAACCCCAGTATTGTTCTTCTAACGACCTTTGGATAGCACTTAACTATTCGCCTTTGGCTCGCTGGGGGCGGCGAGGGAAAGTTCCTCGGGGGCAGGATGTTTCCGGGAATGTTTCCTGCGTTAAAAACTAACGATAGCTTGGCTGTTGCAAGTATTTTATGTAGGAGTTAATTATTTATCGGGGCATCAAACAGGCCTTGACATGTTAGAGTCATAATGTGAATTTGATACTCAAATACTTAAAACTTTTAAGGCATCAACTGTAAAACTATTTTTGGTTCGACTAATCTATATAAATAAAATTATATAACAATAATGGTACAATTTCAGGGGTTAGGGGTGTAACAATATTTTAGATAGCCTTAGGATCCCTTCGTGGGGGGGGGGTTTAATATATTTGGTACGAAGAAGAATGGGCCTCCTTTGGGGGCTGACCTTGCTTCAACACAATTTTTAAATACCTTGAACGTCTATGAACAGTTTAACATCAATTTTCTAAAGGAAGAACTTTGAAAGGGGGGGGGGGTTAGGATGGGATTGGTCATCATGGGATCTATTTTTTTCCATTTATTTAAGCCCATGACCACTAACTCTATTACCTCCCCTGTAACAGCTGATCTAAGTACTCATAAAATTAAATAATTTAAATTGGGAATAAATCTTGCAATATTTCGGACAACAGCAATTTAAAAAAATCTAGAACGTCTAGTAACAGTTAAACAAACATTTTTTTAAGGGGGGGGGGTCTAACTTTTTCTGTTGATTAACGGTCATAACCAATCCACTCTCATAATTTTATCAAGTCTCTAGTCTGCTCTTTCACTGCATGCTTGCTCTCCATAAGAAATAAGTAAAACACACACACAAAAAGCGCTAAAAAAGACTTTTTTATTTTGAAATCCACCATTTTTAATTTTGTTGGTGGGTAGCAGTTTTAAAATGTCAATTTTGGCAATTTTTCTAAAAGTTGGTGGCATTAAAAGTACAAATATATGTTCGAAAAGTCGTTTTAAAAATTAAAACACCCAAGAAATCCGAGATATTTTAAGATTTTTGGAAATATGGCGTTTTTGAAGGCGAAGGAGTGTGATTTTTGAAAAACGCCTAAGAGTGTCTTGTAAAAAATTTAATTCTGACTAAGGATTTTCTTTCAAATCATTTCTAGCTCTTACCATTTTCGAGCTACAGCCGTCTTAAAAAATGTGCTTCGGGCTGTATAATTTTTTTTCTGTTTCAGAAAATACGTTACCGAGACTTATGAAACGACGGAGAGAGGAACTCGTACAATATGGGATTAAAAACAAGTATATTTCGGAAAATTTTGAGGCAATACAAATATTTAAGCAAAATGGAAATAAACAAGAAATTGTTGACTTCGAGGTTTAAATCTAAGTAATGGATTGATAAAAGATTAAAATTTAATAAAATTATATTTTTAAGTACAAAAAGCTACAATAAAAGGCTTAAGCATTTAATTAAACTAATTTATTGAATTTTTGCTTGTACAAAATCATGTGATACAAAGTTATATTTAATATTTAAGTTTGTATTAAAAATTAATATAACCATCTGTATAACTGTGAAAGTGGTAGTATTTACTAATTATCCTGTTTGTGCAATTTTATAAAATGTATTTTAAAAATATGTTAGAATGATTTAATATCTAAGAAGGTAAAATGTTTATCATGCTTTATGTAAGCTTTGACAAACTTACTCTCCACTACATTTATAATATCTGGTCACGTATAAAATTTAAAATAATATCTTTCACATAAAATAACGATCAAAAGGTTGTTTGTACAGAAGAACAGAAAAATCTTATACAAATATTACTTTTTCATTTTCATTTACATCATATAAGAATAAATAATCTTGAAGGGCACTTTTTGAAAAAACAAATCTTAAATTCAAACACAGGCATTGTGAATTCTAGATAAGTTGAGTACACTCTTATTGCAATAACAAGGTCCTCAAACAAGAGGAAAGAGTATTTTTTTTATAATTAACTTACAAATTCAAGAAATAGATAAATAAATTACATATAAAACCCATTAGCTACAGAATGTGACTAATTCTTATCTATTTAAAAGAGATAATAAATAATAGTCCATAAGAAAGAGGTTGTTTTATGATCTATCTATGACATTTAGAATATAAGCTTGTTTATTGTGATTATATGGCAGGCATATTGTTGAATATTAATGGAAATGCTTATACCGTGTTAAAACATGATCGTGTCGTTATGGACGAAATTTTTATACCTATGTGTTTACTCAGTACTTACGGTGAGTATTTATAACAATGTTGAAATTTTATCAAAGTTTGTAGAACTATTTCCAAAACTGCTCCGTCCAACTGATTTAGTGTTATCAGAAGGATTTTAGCTTAAAACAAAAAAAAATCAATCTTTTAATACAAATTATAAAAATAAAATTAAAAAATTTTTCTTAATTTTTCTTTTCTTTTGCAGAAAACCATTTATGAAAAACTAAAGGAAGCCCCGACGGACATATACAGATGGTGGTGTGATTTAAAAGATTGTTTTGACGATTAGGAACCGTATTAGGATGCTAACTGTTTATTTATAAACTCATTTGCTTTATATTTAAGATTTATTGCCTTATCACTTATAAATAAGATGTTTAATTGTTAATAAATGTATTGGTTGTAAAAGAGGTGCTGTAATAAAAGTGTATAGCCAATATATTACTGAATCATAAAAAATGTATAGGTTGAGTAACGATGCAACATAAAATCATACATATTTATGAATCTATTTTTTGATTGAATATGTAAACGGGCTTATTGTAAATATACTACTCATAATTATAAATACTTTATATTTGTCTGTTATTTTTACCAACAAAGTTTACTCATATTTCTAAATGAATTTTACTACATAAAAACTTGTTATAATGGAAGGAAAAGCTTAGGAACTGGCTTAACATTTAAAGTCTTAATTTGAGGATGTATATATTGCTCATTTCCTTGACGGAGTGGACATCATTCACCTTAAAGTAATTATGTTACTTCAAATTGTATTCACCTGTTGAAAATTTTAATATGTGTATGATTAAGGTACACATAAAATAACACAAGATTACACAAGATTTGAAGCAATAACATTTTTTTGTGTTTTGGTAATTAAAAATGTTGTTCAATCCTTAATCTCTTGAAATTCTTACTCTATGACAGCTCTGAAAAAAATAATACAAAGTGCAAAGAAACGTTCAACTTAAAAATTAATAAAACTAATAAACTTTAATTTGTATAACACTTTATTATCATAGTTTACATTTTGATTGATTATTCATACTTTTAAGGGTTTTATTGTACATTGTAAATATATTTACCTCAACTGCCCATATAAACAGATTCAGAGTATATTAAATAACCTAAAATTCCTGCCACCATGATAATTTCCGCCATTGCTACAAATATTAACAATATTCTGCTTGAAGTGTCCAGCTTAACCATTGTGGTAAAAAGGGAACTTGACAAGCTACGCAACGTTCAGTAACTGTTTCCACAGAACTGTGAAATAATAGGCCTATAAAACCAAATAAAGATAACACTACCGTTTCTCTATCACACTGTGGTTAGAAAACATGTCTATGCACACTTAGTTCTGTTATTAGTTGTTCATGAACAACAAATTTTTTTGCTAATGATGGCGCACCATGCAGAATTCGGAACAGCACAAATGTGAGATAATAAAAAACATAATTGAAACTTGAAATTATTTTGCGATAAACGTTTTGTGACTTATGCTGCGGTAGACCTTGCTAGAAGACTTTTCAGTTTTAGCTGTGGACATGCCGTGTTGTTAATTAATTACTCCTATTGCATAATACAAAACAAAATTAAAACAATTTTAGTAAATCATGGGTGAGAACAAAACTACTTCTAACATGTTGACGTTACAGTACATGGAAAAATGTTTTTTGACGTGTCTGCCATATCTACTTTGTCTTGTATGCTCATTTTTTGTTACTCATCTGGTTTGAATTTCAATAAATTTGGAGCAATATTGAAACCTTAGCTGGTTTGATAAATGCAATATTTATTAAGAGTTCATAAATAAATTGTTCATTTGGTTTAACCAATATAAATTCGAGTGTACCAATACAATCTTATGAACTACAAACACGTCTATAGGAAAAATCGAGACCTTTTTTAACTGTACACACTCCTTGGTGGAGTTTCCTAATTGACTAGCCTTTTCGAAAACTGTATGAATGGATAAAAGACCAATAAATTTATCTTGTGATGACAAATAGACTGTAAGGTGCTTAAATAAAACTTAAGGAAGCAGCTGGGCTTTTGGTGTGTTTTAATTCATGAAGACACGCTTAATATGTTGTTATGTAATTTAATTTACAGAGTATTTACAGCGAAACTTATTTTGCTAAAAACATATATTTAATGTTGAATCTTCAAAAAGTGTTCAGTACAATTTCCATCTCGCTGAATTCGTTACCAAATTAACTATCTTAAGGGCAGGCATGATAATCCATAATTTTGTTTACACTTAGTTTCCTTCATGGAAGCTATTTAAAGGAGGTCTTCCATTTCTGGCATGCAAACCTACCAATTCTCGAAGAAAAACAGTAGACAGAAGTCACTACTAGCTTTACTACTAGCTTTGTAGTTCTAGACTAAGGCTCAGGTCCACACTCTTCAGTTCTAGACTAGGATTCAAGACGATCCATCTGTAACTCTTATTTAAACTTCCAATACACAGCCCGACCCCAGTAAGGGATAAGTCAAGGGAAGCCCACTACTTACAAGGGTTGTTTTTTTACCTGTGATATCAAAAAGCTATCCCGACTTTCAAAATAATCTTAAGAATAAATTTAACCATCTCTGGAAGAGAAGTTGGCCTCCATCAACTGGCGAGCTGGTTAAAAGTTTTTTTAAGGTACCTCAATCAACTAACCTCCCAAGACAAATTTTGAAGTTGAAATATGATTAGGTGGTTTAAAGGTCAAATACTTGGTTGTTGAACACCATTGTTTCGGATCCATAGTTGAACTATATGTATCATGATGTACACTTGAAGTTAAATGTATTCATTTACAGTAAGTTGAAACGCCACCTACTATGCGTATTTTAACCCAAATATGAGTGAAGGATGAGTGTATTATGAAGTGTGATGCCTTGTGTAGCTTTGTTACTGACTTTGGCCAGTTGTTTCATTAGCCAGGACCATTTATTGAAAGTCCAATGATCAAGGACAGCTGGGTCCACTTTCGAACCATCAAAAAGCTGCACGTTTTTCCCAGGATTCTTCGAAACCACGGTGACCATTCGATTAGTAGGCGAGTAACATAACCACTCAGATACCAAGCTGATCCCTAGCTGATGCCAGCTTCCCCACAATCTTAAGTATAAAATACAGTTTAGAAAACATACTACATATATTTGAAAAATTACTTAAAATTACCCTTTGAATGCGTTCTTTTTCAAGCTAGTCGTTGTTTTCTCGTTTCACGCACTATGTCACAGCCGTTCCGTGTGTAACTTATAAAGTCTTTGAAAGTTCAGAGAAGTATATCCAGATGACAAAGCTATCTGATGACAAAGCCATCTAACGACAAGCTCTGACGCGTCAAGATGTTCACATTGTTAACTTTGACGTGGAAGGTCCGCCTCTCACTTGGTCAAAACAGATCCGGATTTAAAGACCGCTTCTCTGTTATTGTTATATCGCGGTACTGGAAGTGTTTAGCAATCATCCCATCCTTCACGCCAAGTTTCACAAGTTCCACGGCTGCCTGGGCCATGGGCTTAGGAACCGTGCTGGCTGTGGAAAACAGTTTAAATAATAGATTAAGAAAAATTCAAACAATAACGTTATTTTTTTATGTAATACATAACTATTTGATTTTCAATAAATTTAAACTATAATTGATCATACTATAAAATGTATGCCCCTTAGTTACCATTGGCTGTATGGGCTATTAATTAACAGCTGGATCATGTCAGCCTTAGTCACTAACAAGACTACAAGATCGTGCCACTTATCTCCATTCATAATAGACTTATAACACCTACATTCGTTTGGTCGCCATTTCAGAATTTAGTATTAAGGTTTAGTTGAGGTTTATTTTGAAATAATAAGTTTATTGGTTTTTTCGATTAATTTTGAAGGCGAGACAGCTTGTTGTTTTTTGATAGTCAAAAACCACAGCTATGGACATAAAACATTACTGGATTTTTCGTAATTTAATTTATTAATTTTACACTAATACTTTTAATAGTTTAATAAATCAAATGGTTATGACACGTGCGACAATTAACGTTCCAAATCTATTTTAGATAATTTTCAAATTATCGTTGCAGTCTGTTGGAAGATTTAGTAAAGTGTACAGGAAAAGACAAGACATGCATTCTTTTAGCTATACAAAGGCGTGGGAACTTCTGAATATTCAAGTGTGAATCCACTTGAAAATAAAAATGGTCCTTTACGGTCACCATCGCCGTAATGTGTCCCACAAAATATTACTTCAAAATGAAGCATAGCTCTAGTAGTCCAGTAAAATAAGACATTTTGGTATGCAAAAGGTCGGGTAGTTCTGATTTTTGGATATGTTGTTAGTATTGGGCCCATAACATAAAATCCAAGTTATCCACCTCGAGATACTGCCGCTCGCCGCGGGGCGCGCCACTTGTTATCGAAATATTAAAAATATGGCAATTCCTATTGTTTTTCACTCAATCTCTCGAACCGTTGAGTTTGCCGAAAATTTTATATTATTACATTAAAGAAGAATAAATTTGTGACAGTTTAAGCCCAACAGCAAGTATGTAGCGTAAATAATGGTCAAAATACAGACCATCAAAATAAATAAATTTTCCAAAGACGTATAAAAATTGTGGTTTTTTCAATATTTCCACAATATAGTTGTTTGAAGCTAACACCGTATTGATTTAGAGAGTATGCCAGTTTATTTGCTATTAATAGAAAATAAATGAAAGTATGAATAAAAATACCCCCACCTCAGCAAACCTGCAGACTAAGCGAATTTCCATATGCTTGATTTGATTTTCACAAACCTATTTAAATAACATTAGGTTTAACTGGTACCTAGGTTTGCTGCCAAAGGGAGGGTTATATAGTATATAAAATAATAATAGTATGATAAGAAACAAATAAATTTACCTAATTTTATAAAAATGTGTATAAAAAAAAAGTTACGAACTTCACCGGTAATGTAAGATCCTGTACTACAAAACTACAAAATTTCAAGTCTCTGGCACGTTTCTTAATGGTTCAGATGAGCGTACGAATGTCGGTATTTTTCAATGTTATTTAAAAAAAAAAGAATAACATGGGGGGGGAATTGTTCATTTAGAGGGGGTTGAAAGGGAAAAATGGGATTTTTTGGAATTTCTCCGGGCGGTTGGGCCCAAGACCCACGTGCGTGCCAAATTTCATCTCCCTGGCACGTCTAGAAGTGTCCAAACGTTTGCCTGTCAAAACATGCTAATTCTCCGTAAGAATATACGTCAAAAATTATTTTTTTCATAGAAAATTCATTATTTTAATTTTTTTTCGTAAATTAAAATTATAGAAGGTCACTTTAGTGACTTTCTTTTTAATGTTGGGAGCATAAAAAGTAGAAATATATGTACGAAAAGTCGTTTTAAAAATTAAAAACACGTAAAAAAAATAGAGGATTTTCACAATTTTTGGAGTTAGAGCGTTTTTTGAAGGTGAAGGAGTGCGAATTTCGATATGACGCCTTCTCAGAGAAAACTGTCTTGTAGAAAATTTAATTGCGAACCTACAATTTTTCCTCAAATCGATTCTAGCTCTTACCGTTTTCGAGCTACAGCCGTTTTAAAAAAACATGTTTTTCCGAAAACCGAAATTTTTATGGAATTTTTTTGGGGGGGTAGAATTTTGAAAATGGGGTTTTTACGAATTTCACCGGTAATTTAAGATGCCATAGTACAATACTACGCAAATTCCAAGTCTCTAGCACGTTTCTAAACGTTTCAGATGATCGTACGAAAATCGGTGTTTTTCAACGTTATTTCCCATAAGAATAACATGGGGGGAAAATTGTTAATTTAGGGGGGGTTGAAAGGGGAAAATGCGACTTTTCGGGATTTTCCCGGGGGTTTGGGCACTAGACCTACAAAACACCAAAAATTTCAAGTCTCTAGCTCATATAGAAGTGGTCTAGAAGTAGTATATAGAGATTTGGTTCTCGCAGGAATCATTGCGCTTCTCGCTGGCATATATACCACGCCCGGCCTCTACCACACCGGGAGGACCCCGATGCTGCTAGACGTCGGTAGAGATTCACTTCTCTACCATACACATTGGTGATGTCTCACACTCCGACAGTGGAGCTTACGTCTCAGCAGCGGACTTTGTTCTCCTTTTGTAAACTCTGAAGTGTAATGTTAAAATAATACATTAACACTTTTATTGCTTTTGTAAAGCAAACTTATTGCTAGGAATAGGAAGTAAACAAAATTTAATGTTTTATAATATGTAAATTGGTAGCTAGTATTTCATCAGCCACTACAATTTTTTTATTTATGACTACTATAACATTATCTAGTTTTAAGCAATTAAATAATTTATCCTCTAGTATTGTAATAAACAATATTACAGTAAGCGTTTAATCAACAACACTGATCTCTATGCGTAAACATGAAACACACATTCAGAAATGCGCCAGGCTTTAGAATAGGAGATTCTAACTGTTATATTTTAAGTCAATTACAACTACTATCGAAACATGTATTTGTCATAAGTTAGTAGAATCCAAATTTTTATTTAAAAAATAATACACGGGTATTGAATCTGTCTACATATATGGTTGGTCAACTAAATGTACGTTTTAATGGTTTTAATGGTTAGACAAACGTTGCGCCCCACACAACTATCAAATGGTCAATGTTGTGGACACTTACGTCTCAGCAGCGGACTTTGTTCTCCTCTTGTCACTTTTGTGTAATCTCTAAAATGTTGTAGAGCTAATTAGGAACGCGAAAAGTATAGAATACCGTAATTCGCTCATTTATCAACCGGACACCAGTTTTTCGATACAAACTCCCAAGGGCTCGAAGCTTAATTAAAGGATTGTACTTTATTACATTAAAAATATTATATAATGAGTCAGTTCTTACGTTTGTTTTTATTTATTTATTTATAACTAGCTGATATACCCACGCTTTGCAACAAAGGAAAGAGGATGTGGAAGAGAAAATGTTGGTTCTTTGAAAATACCACATGAAATGGTTTTTAAATCCAGTGCCAATGGGTGGTTTATTTTGGTAAAATTCCGTTTTTGTTAACTGGGGTTGTGAAGACATTTTTAACTATTTGGGACGATTATAAACTGTGTAAATAAGTGTATATTTATAATTTTCATAAATGTCATTGTTTTAAAGTCAATTATTAGGTAAAGCTGATCTTCCAACAACTTAGAGTACTGTTATATAAATAAATAAATATATATATATATAAAACAGAACAAAAAAAAACATTGATCGAATTAAGGCCTCTTTTTCTGCAGCTCTTTAAGTAAATTTCTCACTAAGCACAAAGTAAAATACCCTAATTTTCCCTATATAATATATTTAAAACTTTCTCCGACGGTTGTGATCCGGTAATTACACAATGTACTTTACAAGTTAAGTTGCAATTACCCTGACAATGAAACTAATAAAAATGCAGTTACAACAGCAAATAAGTAAACAGTTCTAAGTTTTAAGTAGCTAAGTTTTGTGTTTGTGAAACATCAAGGTATTTCAACACTTGCTGAGTACCCTGTATGTACTAATAATGAACTTACCCGTGTAAGTTCCCAGGTAAGCTATGACGATACTGGTCAAACTGTAACTCTTGAAGCTTCTTGGTAGTTCAGGAGCCAAGGCCCAACCTCTTCCTTCGTACACTGTAGCGTCTCCCCCGATTATAAAACTGTTGGAAAAGATTAGCTTATTATTTTGAAGTGTTCTACTTTGTATCAACTACCAGCATGTTTCATTCGTACTGTCTTTCCATCATAGTTTTTTAACTCGTATAAGTATCAATGTATTGTTTGCAAGCTTTTGACCAACCTATTCACTAGACTATATTAGCAGATGCAGATTTCATAGGTTAGCATAACCTCAAAACCATTAACAATATGTAAGTTATCAAACCTGATTACTTATATCTGATGTCTGCCATCCGCTGAATGTTGATGTTGAACTCTTGTACCCTGCGAACCATGCCGTTACAATACACCCGGTGACGACATGGTTTGGTGTGCGTGTTCATCAGGAATACAGTCTGTGCTGGTGACGTCATGAACGTAGTTCTGGCGTGTGGTAGGGCGTACCACCTGTCTCGGCAGATGATATCCAGCATCTACAACAAGGGAGTCTGTCAGGACGAAGTATTTATAGAAAGAGTGGCTCATGTCATAGCGAGGCCGATAGTTCAGGCATCAAAGACCAAATAGGGGAATAATTCCAAAATGCCAAATTTGGTTCAGTTGTTGAGGAAGGGTCCTTAAACTTTTTAGGATGCGTGATGTTTCTCCCCACTTTTTCCCCTCGACATGTCTTAAGGTAATAGTCCTTGCAAAAAAGGTGCATATGAAACTTCTTTGTTGATAATTTTACGTAAATAATTCTTAAGGCTTACGACAATCGTTTTGCTGGAGGCCGTAGTTATTGAGTTATTTAAGAAAACCCCGATAAAAAGGGACCTTTAAAATCACCCAACCCTTTTAGCTCTACCCCCACTGGTCAATACCTTTAGTAGGTTGTTTATGGACCCTTTCCCCTACAACTGTAAAAAATGCTTATACGTTAATTACTCGTATTTCCCCTATTTGTTCCTATTTTATCTTATATTTTAATACGATTGCGAAACAAATGTACTGATAGAATGGTTTTCGTCCTGGCGGGACACTTAAGATTTATCAGTATATTCTGGTTTTGTACCTTGTTCCATACGTCCCACGCACGAGCCTCCGGACCACGTGTAGAGGAAAATTACAGGTTTAAAGTTTTGTTAATGGCGTACTTCTATGAGATAGTCACAGATTGCACTAGTGGAAAAAATTTCATTTTCTGCCTTACTTGTTGTTACTGAGATGACTTACCTGAAAAATGACGAACTTTATTGTATATGTTTTGTATACCATGGGAAAAAAGAACCATTTAGATTGGAAGGAGCTTTAAAATTGAAAAAAAATCATCTGTAGAGTATTTTTTAAATATGACATATATGTTAATAAAATATATTTACATCGAGAAAAAGCGCCCAACTATCAGTTCACATGGGAAAAGCAGTTAAGTACCACAATATCTTCTGTGCGAAACACACGCAGAGCATTTAGTTAAAACTATATTACTAGATATTTTACAGTGAGTAACTGAATAAATTAATCATTTCGAATACATAAACTGTGTACATATTTTATTATACAGGTGTAAAACCTGTATTTGTGTTTTACTATAAGTAAGAAAAAAATTACCTCCGTAAGAAACACACTTTTTCAGCACCCTCATAGGTTTTACTTATTTAATCTAAAACGTTAATAACCAAACCACGAATATCTTGACCATTGATAGCTTGGTGTAGATAAGATAGAATTTATCTAAGCTCAGTATGGTTTTGTGATTTCAGTAAATACAATACTCTACTAAGCTGTTCTTATTGTAAATTACTGTTGGAGGGATATAAAAAGCATTTAAGTGAATTTCCCATTTAGGTAGCTTTAAAGTAGGTCTGGTAAGACCTAGTCACGGTCTAATTAACTTTTACTTTTGAATATATTTTATTTGTTTATGCGTGTCTGTACTCTAGTAAAAATCACAGGATTTTGATTAAATTTGGAACATACGTGTAAATTTACGTTTATTCGAGTTAGTTTTCAAACCTGCATGTGAATGAAGTTTTATGGTGTTTTTAAGGGATTTAAATTGGGTTTTCTCCTTTTCAACCCACAAAACCTATAATTTTGCGATTTCTTTCCTGAACACTAAGACCTCAAAAAATAACTCAGTATATTGGAGCGTTATTGTACTTCTGATGTTTTCCAATCTTGGTCAAACTTAGTAAATTGACCAAGTTAACTATAAGTTAAAAAAACACATGTTATTAACTTTGCATCAAACGTAGGCTACGAGCTCAATTAATCTACTGTTATTTAAATAGGGAATACATCTGACTTTTTATGGAAATATTTTAGTAGCCTAATTTAATTAGATCGATTAAAATCCGTTCAGTATGCAGGTTTTCTGTGATAGGGGTATTTTAATATGTCATATTTGATGGTGGTTTTGTAGTCATTTCTTAAAATATACTTAACATTTAGCGAATTATTCGTGTTCTTTGATAATACCTTATACTCTTTGATTAAAAACTAAAATAAAACCCCTAATACTCTTATATATTACACGCAGTACAACAAGTACATACCGGTACATTGGACTTTAATCAGTATTCATCTGAAACAACAATGAGATATTTTATTTCTATATTAGTTGACTGAACTAATATTGTTTGGAGTCTAACCTCTTACTGCATACATACAACCGTACTTCTTCAGTTAGTCCTTGTGGCACTATATTTTACGTTATAATCCACCACTCTTTCGCTATGTAAAAATTATATTTCTTTATAGTATATTTCATAACTAGGGCTTAAAGGGACTCTTTTCGACCCAAGCTTAAGTTTCGCAACCAAAGGCGAAGCCAAGGTCGGAAAATGAGCGAGGGTTAAAAGACACCTTTTGTCCGTGTGATGAACTATACTTTTCATCATTTTGCATCATTAATTTACAAACTAAGCTTGAAAACGAAGATACTTCCCTTGTAAAGATAACCTCCTTAAACGAATCCATCTTTTTTGCAATTTCGCTAATGTAAATAAACACCTGTTTTGTAAGTGGTACGAATCTTTTACGATTGTCTTACAGTGCATTTTATACCATCTATTGACAAGAATGCAACAATAGGTCTTACCTAATAAAGCAATCGATAAATAATTTCAATCAATGCGATTGCCTACAATCATATTAATTTACAAGTGTTTACAACAGCTCACCTTTACTGCCTAGGGTGGAGTAATAATCATACTTTAGACCCGCAACGCATGTATTAAAAATGTCTTTTTTGCTGCAGTATGACGAAAAATTAATTTTCTCACCACTGCATGGAAATTACCATATTGCCACACCTGTAAACAGTACGCAAAAAACTCATTTACGCTCTTAACCGGGAGTGACCATTCCCGCTCGCTTAATAATTAAATCAGCTGATTTCACTGTTCTATAAAACACTACAACACGTTAAGCGAATAACATAACCTAAAAAAATCAAAGATACCAAACCTTAATGCCATCTTATATACAACTAAAAAGTAAATGTAGTGTATTATAAGTTAATTATGGAGGTAGGAAACCATGTTTGAATTACTAGCACAAACAGTCATTGCCGCTCTCGAAATGTATACGTTCAGTCAAAGGTTCAGCTAAAGTTTCTTGTGGCCATCTACATTTCTGATGCGGCAGTGACGTAATTTGCGCTCTTAGTACACAAATAGCTATTATAGTATATGTTAAAAGTAAATCTTCCTCTCGTATTGTTTTACAAACACAAATATATTTTATAAGCTATACAATGTACGATGTAGCAACCAGAACTAATTTTTAACAGCAATTAATTTATGGTTATCTCATTGACCCACTAAATGCATGTTTCGATATCAGTTTTCACTGCAGCATTACAAAAATCTTTTATTACATCTGCTTGGTAAATGTTTATCTAGTAAATCTATATAGCTTAATATGGCTCATTTTAATAAGTTGCATACTCATGTTAGTAAAAAAAATGGATTTATCAAAACAAAGTTATCGGGTAAAAAAGGAAATTGTTTGGGTTTTCATGTTTACTAAAAACATATTAAATATTAGACATATTTTGGGATAAAATCTATAGTTTATGTACAGAGTGGTCCTCTCGTTCCACTACACTACACCTATTTTCACAATAAATACTTTTAGTTATATATATTCCGTCTATTTGCAGTTCGTTCGAGTCTATGTGTTTCACGCATTTCTTTTGCTCGTGATTGGTAAGTCATTTGATCATTATAGAGAAAGAATTTTGAAATAAATCCGTTCTTTACGCCATACTCAACTAAAAGCTGACCAGCCCTGGCCATTTTCTTGGGCATCGTGTCCGCTGAAAACAAAAAGATAAATGAAAGAAATTTCGATTACCTTTTTATCGTTGAAGGAAAAATGTAAGGCAATAAAACTTCATTTGTTGGTTGTAAAAATTAAAACTCCATGGCCAGTCTTTAGAAACTTATTTGTGTAGGCCTTCACTTAAATTAGGTTGATAATTACATATTCCCTGTAAATTTATCAACGTGATAAAATATTCGAACTAAATATTGTTAATAGACTTTAAAATGTTCTAATGCAAAATCAATTTGTAGGTTACACCTACAAAACAAAAAATATAATTTAGTTGATAAACGTTAAAAAAGGTGTATTTCTTCATATTACACTCTAATACATATTCATTTAACCAAGACTATTTCAATCTTCTAAAATATTTAGAATAATAGATTCATAAATAAGTGTTAATGTTTTGATGATTTCAATCTTAATCAAACTTATTTATTTTTACTAAAGCTGTGAATCTTAAATTTTACAAATATATTTAAATCGATGTCCTCTATTAGTTTTTTTTTATTGTTTCTAATCCAATAGAATTTTTTATAATTAAGTCAAATCAAACGCTTTTAGGGGAAAGTAGGTGAAACCCATTTAAATTTGTGGATGTACCGGGAATTCCGAGACGCTAACCACTACCAACACACCCAGTCTATAAAAACGTACATTTTGTTTTTATATTGTTTGCTATCCTGTATATTTCAAATATTTACCTGTTAGTCCACCTCCATGGTAACCTATTAAAATGCTCTCTGGGTTGATGGTTCTAAATTTATGGGGTAAAAGGGGTTGAATGTACCATCCACGTCCTTCAAAAACCACCCCACTTGACGTCACTATAAAACTGAAAATAAAACGATTAAAAAAACAATAAAATAAAAAAGTATATAAACCTGCACACTGTAAACTCCTCTGCTTACAGAATAGTACAGTAAGATATGTTTTAAGTTTGTCGGGAAATAAATCTTTCAAAAGCTATTCCAAGTAAAATTAATTATTTGGTACGATAAAAATGTATCAAACACATATTTCAGCTATATTTTCTTTGGACACCCATATAAGTCTGATAAATTTCAACCACTCAAATCTAACATACTAGAGCTTTTCACAACGCCGCACAGCGTTGCTTAGAAAGTGCATTACGTTGAAATGCACGGATAAAAAAGAATGCAACTCTAATGTCCTGCTAAGAAAGAATTTACAAAGTCACAGACTTTGCTTTGAAAGAATAGTCATGGTCAGGTTTGCTTTGAAATTTGCTGATCCGAAAATGTGTTTAAGATCAGTGTTAAAAGTAACGCATTTATAAGTAACGCCTATATCTCTTTCTCAACTATTTTTCTACACCAGTGGAATTTTGATTTAAGTCAACGTGAGATTAAATGCTTGTAAGGGAATCAAAGTTTGTGCATGTCCCGAGGGGGACAGTCCAACTACTCGCGGTGGTTAGATTTTGGATGAATAGTTTTATGACCCCCGAAAGATCCAGTCCAACTCCGCGCGGTGGTTTTAGTTTATAGTCAAACTCCTAAAAGTTATGTTACACTTTTTCGTAGCTTCTTTATTCATGTAGGAGGTTAGGTTAGGTTAGTGTTAAAGGTTAGGTTGGTAAGGTTAAGTTAGGTTAATGATCATGTATTAACTAAGACTTTGGGACATATAAACACCGCCCGGAGTTGGACAGTTGGACATGTGCCGCGAGGGTCTCAAAGGGACTACCGCGGAGTTGGACAGAAGGTTCGGACAGTTGTCTGACCACCGCGCGTAGTTGGGATAAGCCCGGACCGAGAACCCGTCCCTTCCGCACCGAAGTCCAAGGCGCTAACCACTAGGCTAGTAACACATAATTATTTGACCCAATCCTGTCCTCGTGTCTAACACTTACTTGTGCCTAATGTCAGGCTGGCTCTGCCCGTACACATGGTATGCCTGAGTTGACTGTATCTCGGCAGCACAATCCGACACTGTATCACACGGATTTCTGTTGATGGACATTGTGAAAATGTACATCGCAGGGTGTTTTAGTTCCTTCCCCGGTTCCATCTCGTTGGCGGCTCCCCATGACTCCCGTGTTATAATGTTTAGGTCCATCACGAAATCCTGGAAGAAATTGACAAGGACGTAAATTACAGGTTCTACGGATTTTGAGTAAAAGTTTGTGTTCTCGTGAAATATTTATAGTTTTTGTTATGCTTTTTGGTGGTAAAAAAGAGGTCGCGAATTTTTAATAGTACTGTCAATAAATTAGGGGTGGATTAAAATAAAACTAAGGTTGTCCAGTGATCGAAACCTCGACCGAAAATATGTATTGCGGTAATAACACACTTCTCTAATTTCACCCAACATTGTAAATAAAAAACATGTTTTTGGAATTTCTTCCATTTGTTTTGATTATCTTGTATTTCGTCACCATCATGGCAACCCATTAGAACTATGTTATTCTTTTTTTAATTTAAAATTCATTTTTGTGCTTATTTTTGAGCCTGTTTTAATTTATAAGCAGATTCTGCACATCTACAGGAAAATATATTTCTAACAGTGTGCGTAGATTTTCTCTGCGATGCACATAAGCTGAGAAAAACGGGTTTCAAGAAACATGCTTGCCTACTAATATAAATATAGCAAAGGTTTTAATATTGCTTCGAACTACAGTATGCGCAGATTGTTCTGTGATTCAAACAAGAGAAAAAATGTTTTCAAGACTTGCCTATTATATATAGGATATTCTCAGGCCTACTGAATCTAACACTATTTTCCTTAAGTTATTATGTTATACCTACGTACACAAACTTATCTGGCCACATACGTAGGTCTAAAAATGTATTAGATAATCTTTAGATTAAATGTCTTCACCACTTATATATTTTTGTACTCTCAAATACGTTGGTGACCACGAAGTTGACCAATAGTTCTTGCTTGACTCGTAAATTTTGGGATTACAATGGGTTGAAAAGAGATTACTCACTTTTGAACTATTTTTAAAATTAAGATCCTAATTTGATTGTTGGTCAACTCACATGCCCACCAAATTTGTAGTACACATACAAACTGGCTGAACAAACCTTGCAGAACATTGATTAGTAGACTCTTTTCACAAACTTACTTAAACGGTATCAACAATCTGACAACTATTTTATACAATTAGATTGTCAACAAGCTTAACCAAGGGCAAGCTTTGGGAGTAACTATGATATTTTATGTGGGAAATCGTAGCAATTTTAATAATTTTTAACAGTAATTGTAAATATTACTGCATTGGGAGATGTACCATTTTCTTTATAAAAGGGCCATAAAATACTAGATTTTAATCAAAATCATATACTGCTTTTGTGAATACTCGATTTTTCTGTTATTGTATGGGTTTAATTGGAAAACATTAAAAATTAATTTTTACAAAAATGAAACATCCTGGAGATGCTATGGGTTAGGACACACACACATACCGAATCACGTCAAAATCGGACCACAGTGGTGTAGTTTGTAGCTCTGTACACAGTACACATCTACACACACACTCACACTGATTTTTTTCTAAACCCCGCTTTTTTAGTTAAGGGGGGGGGGGTGGCACAACGAATTTTTCCACCAAAAACTCGAGTATTAGTGCAAAAACATTACTTTCTGAATATACTATTATAGGGCGAAAATAAAATTTTGGAATGTTATTCAGTTTGTATTTAGATCAATGTTTGTAATACATACCACTCATATATTGATGGATACAATCAACTTTTCAACTCAAATCAATGCACCAATCTTCTGAAACCTCTCCTGCATTGTCACGTAAATTGTCTTGTTCAGATTACATTCACATTTTTTCTAATATTTCTGTGTAAGTTTTAGAGCATTGAGCCATTACAACAATCTGAAATGTTATAAATACGCCATCTACAATGATGAATTGTAGATGGTAGTTACTTAGCTATCTAATCGGAACGTGTTATAGTTCTTGATTTCCTTGATAAAATCGATAACAGGATAAGGTTCAGATAATGTACATTTATTCACCCAAGCAGATATTTATTGTTTTGTTCACCGACATTACAATAACTATAAAATTATATTATAGTCTCTGTGTCATTTATTAATAATTGAGAGGGTTATTTATTAATGTGGCTATTTTTGGTTTTTTGATAGTTTTAATGATTACTATACTCTGCATACATTTCCTTTTTTATCCTATCTCGTTTTACCATTTGTTAAGATACAAGGTTTTATAAAAAAATATTCATAATTACATCGTTTACATTGGAAAAAGCATGTTTACAATGCGAAAGTAATGTTTACTATCTTATTTGGATTTTGCCGACGTGAACAAACAAAGATTTGTTATATTTTGTCAAATATTTCAATTTTCATCCACCAAAGTAAATGTTAAATTTAAATTGAAGACATAACCTAAAACTACTATGCGTTTTGTAATGTTCCTAAATGCAATAAAGAAATATAGAATGCCTGTTTTAATTAGGAAATAATATTCTTTGTAGTGTAGTGAAAGGTAGTGTTCAAAGTATACACATTCTTGACCATTTAAAGTGCTCCATAAATCTTGCACCTTAAACATGGTCCTAAGTATGTGATGACTCACTTTCTAATCTTTTTATGAAATATATTATTACCTACGATTGTTTTTTTAACTAGCATTTTCAATTCAGTTCTTAGAATTAATAAAAAGGTTCACTCAACAGTATTGTTGACTTACTTTGAGAAAAAAGAAGTAAATTTGCAATGCTTCTAAAATCAACTTATCAGCTGTAAAGGTAAATTTAATTGATTATACAATTATGTGAGTGGTCGGTACAATGAGTCCGTTGCATCACGATCAGTGAATCAGTGGCTATGAGAGGTTATAAACAAAAACATAACCTCTCTTAGACGTAATGAGTAGTGATAGTTAGTAATTAAAAAACTTAAGTAGGTAAATTAGTGTACGCAACTCGCGTTATTAGCATTTAAGACTTACGCGATCGTTGCGTAAACTACTATTTCCACACTCATGTGTATTTAAGGGAGTTTTAAAATTAAAATTAGTTTGTTTAGACAACGAAATTACTAAGGCGTAGCATTAAAACATTTTTTATTCGCAGTATACTGTTTAAATACTTTTTATAGTGATTTTTATTGTATGTGCCAGTGAAATACAAAATGTAGCTATTTAAAACAATTTTCTATGGGAAAGCCATTCAACATCCTCTAATTTCGTTGGATGTGACAGGAATCGTACACTCGGTTTGGACCAAAGTTTAAGACGCCAACCATCAAGCTACCAAAACACATTAATGAATAGCTGTTATCGAAAATATTTACTCCTTTAGCGTGGTTTAGTTAGAAGTTTATTAATTAGTCACTTCCACTTTTACACTTTCCATAGCTTCTTTATTGTATAAATTTTCACATAGATATTCACATAGATATTCACATTCTATTACAGTATCTTTCTCATATTAAAGTAAAATCAAGGTGAAAAAGACCCTCAGAGAAAATTAAATGGATAGTGATGATTTACATTAAGTCTGACTATATTCTTCCTCAACTTCCTCATATATTTTTATTTTACTATCGACTATAGAATGATCATAAAGTAATTTACAAATATAATATATATTTAGACTAGTTTGTTGCATAATTGACTATCATTACTCGTAAAAGTAAACTCTTACGGAACGCACAATCAAATATTTTAAATTTCCTGCAGCGTCTTTAGCTGTAGAATCGTTTTTCATGAAATAGGAAGTGACTAAACATTTCTTAGCTTAAAAGACAAACTTAGCTTCAGCAGGATTTGGGGTGCCTACTTTATCAGTAAAATCTGTGATGCTTTTATAAAGGCAGTTTTGTTCTATGTAGTTATTTCTCTTCCCGTATTCAATCAGTTTGTTGGCTGCAGAACACATCTCATCAGGAAGCTGATCCTCTGAAATAATAGGTGTAATAGTATTAAATTGTGTCGCTATAATAGTCTAAATAAATTAGATATATTTAACTGACAAGCTTGTCGTTGCCTGCTAATGCAAGGAAAAGATCACATTTCCTCCGCTGTTAACAGTACGCAAATCACCTTATTTCACTGTCAGCTAATTTCACTGTAATTTCTACACTAACCAGCAAACATAACCTAAATTACATTTTATACACATCAAAAAAGTTAATCTGTGTGTTTAATAAGTTAATAATTATGGTGCTAGGAAAACCCTCGTGTGTACACTAATAGCTATTTCAGTTTTGTCATCACTTGAAAAATCTATTCACAAAATTGAAAATAGTTTTATTCTTCTTTGACTATACTAGTGTGTAACGGCATTAATATTTTGTTGACAAAATTAAGTAGCTGTTCAAAGACCAAATTCTTTTAGAGGCAACATGTAATCTTTGACAGAACACACTCTTGTTTGTATGTAGAAGTATTAGGAGAAAAGCTTTACCAGAATTAGTTTTTAATGATTTTTGAATTTTCTGTTTTATTCAACTAAGCTCAATTAAGAGGAAAATTCCAAAACTTGCACTAACCTTTGAACCGTAAAACGTACAAAACTGGACAACATTTTACGTAACAATACTTTCTCCAGTTACTATGTATGGAAAGAGAAAGTAAACATATATTTCTCGGTTTTACATCGAGTGATTAATTATTCTCACCTTTGTACATTCCAACGAAACCGATCAGGATGCTCCTCATTGCATCTGCGACAGCAAAAGCGGCGAGTCTGGGAGGGGTCATCCACCCCCTTCCTTCATACACCCTCCCATCCCCTCCAATCATGAAACTGGACAATGTAAAAGCTGTTGTTAATATAAAACCATTGACGATAATTGAAAAACATATATGGCTATAGGGTACGATTTAAAATTTACCTCAAGGTTTTTATAACAAATTTCGTTCGTGAATATCCTAAAACACAATAGTTGAACCAATTTGCATTTAGATGTGAAGAACAAATTTGCAGATTGGTTAAATAATTAAGGTAGGTTTCGTATTTTTTTATACCGTATTCATAGTTTGCTCTGTTCACTTACAGAATCATTTGGTGCATAAATTGTATGTCTTAAATTTATTAAAAGTATGGCTTTCAAACGGGAAAAAATAGTATATTTCATCAATAGGGCCTAAAGTGAATCTTTTCGACCCGAGCTCAAGTTTTGCTATCGAGGGGAAGCCGAGGTCGGAAAATGAGAAAGACACCTTTTGCCCGTGTGATGAACTATTTTTTCGTCCCTCCTGTAACCTTAAATAATGTCCAAATTCCGCAATCCCACGAAGTGAAATATCTCGGCATGACGATTGACAAAAGATTAACATGGAAAAACCATATCTGGAATAAAAGAATGTACCAAAATTTAAAATTTAAAAATCTTTCCTGGCTCCTAAATAGTAAATCAAAATTGACCATCTATATAAATAAAGTTAGAGTTTTGTCTGTACATTGCTCAGAATCGTAAATTTTTAGGTTATTTTTACGTTTTATACATTAAAGAAGCCGAAACAAGTCTCATCTAAATTTCTGTCTGTCTGTCTGTCTGTCTTTCTGTCTTTCTGCAACACTCAAGATGGCATTTTACGCAATCTTCTCCAGGAAAACGAGAGTACCTATCAAGACCCAAGTCATTTTAATGTATTCACTGGATTGGCGAGAGTGTTTTTAGCCTTTAAAATATGGCCTCACTACTTTGTAATTAAAATTACGGACGTTCAAAAATGAAGTTTTGTGCGATTTTTGTCAAGTTTTCGTCCAATTTTTATCACATAATCATCTAGGAAATAACGAACAGCTGTTCGGATCAAGATTATTTTTTCTAGCTGTCACTGAAATGTTTACAAATGTTGTTTACAAACACCGCAACCATTTCCGATCACGTTTTGAAGGCAAATCCCATCCAAGTGAGATTAAAAACGTTTTTCTGACATAACGGATTTAATTAATCGCAAGTGGAATAATATAGTGTAATCGTAAATTAAATAACTAGGCATCATCCAGGTCAGGAACCAGACATTCTTTGTGTATAAAATTGTTCTTGAGTTTTGATAACCAGAAAGAAGATATTGAATCAGTGTTTTATAAGGCTGGCAAACTTAAATTTACTAATGATCGTCACCAATAGCTTAGAAACAAGGTTCCACTCATTGACGACTCTTCAATGGCGGTTGTGTAAAGTGTGAAGTAAAAAATCACAACTGCAGAGGGTGATTGTAACAGAGGTTTACGGATGATGCTAAGCTCGATTTTCCAATGTGTCACTTTCTGTTCCTACCATTGACTATATATAGTTAATAGTTCCTACTCACCGTGTGATGCAATCGCTGGACCATACAGCCAATAGGCCCATAGCCCATCTCTTGGGTACGTACTCTTACAGAATTATTTTTATAACAACCTTTTCGACAACGATCCTTGATACCGGTACTTTTCCATAGAATACACGGCCTACCTAGGTACTTAAGAAATAAAATTACAAACGTCCAAAAACCCAACGTTGTGTAATTTTTGTCACATTTCCTTATAATGTTAATAGATATACCAGCAATCATTGTTTAGAGAATACGTAATCTATTAAATAACAGAAAGTTATGTTGTATAAGGTTGTTTTTTTTTCAAACTGACACCGATAAGTTTACATTAAGAGTTGTGTACAAATAAAGCAATTAATGGGAAATAACTTTGATTGCCGATAACTTTTTATGAGAAAATCCAAAACCAAGAGATAAATAACCTTGATTAACGCATATAATTGGTCGGATGCACTACAGTTCTTAACTGTAAACGTTGTTTTTGGTACGGTACTGGTTCTTTTCCTTTTAATTATTGGTAGCAGCAAGAATCATTTTTACGTACCAACACATCACAGTAATTTACAAATTAGTTAGTGGTGTTGCACCTTATTTATTACAGGCGTAGGCCTATCCAATTTATTGATGTCTTAACTGTATATTTTTTGCTTTTTCTGTCTGGATTCCAAATTGTTAGTTTATGCTAAGCGATAACGCATTTTAGTAAAACATTTATTCAGCAAACCATCATGAATTGTTCAAACGCTTTGAACGTTGTTTATGTATCAATAGTTCGTGGTCTATTTTGGTAATTTTTACTATAAATCACCAATCTAAATCGTCTATAGTAGGCCTACTGTACTTCATTTCATATAGCAAACCGATTCAGATAGCATTTCGACAGAATTTCGGGTCATCTCCGGTCCAAGCAATAGCAAATATAAATTGTTATGATAAAATTTTATGACATTAACAAAGATTTCAAATACTAATTTTATATGTACTTTTTTATGCTTAAAGCGTAGCAAATTCCCTAATTAAGTTCTGTATTTTTGTGTGTATGTCTGTTGGTAACGCATTAATGTCCTTTATTTCTCAGTATTTCACGGAAAGGACAAGAGCACCTTGAAAATGAAAATGTCAACCCGAATAAAGTGTTAAATTATGAGTTTGAGGTAGTACCTTAAATACCTTTAACCATTATGTTATAATCCTTTAAATTCTGAACAAAATTGTACAAATCCCATTTCCAAAGGTTGTTGACAAACTTATGGGAGAAAGTATGTGTCAAGAATGCTGATACAGTTTTTTTAGTTTAATCATTGCATTTAACATATGGACCAAAAAGATCCGGGTGACATTTAATTGCGAAGCATTAGTTTTGGCTTGAAACTGTCAGATACTGTATTTGCGAAGGAATAGTTTTGTCAGCATATCTGAAAATATGCAAACCAACTGCTGTGCTTTAGTATATAAGAAGGTTTTAACTGACTATGATGAGATCCCCGTGCGTAGAACGGGCACACAGCTAGTTCCAAATAAATTATTACTATACAAAGTAATCCTGAAGCCAATTTGGACTTATGGAATCCAACTGTGGGGAACGTCCAGTATGTCGAACATAAACATCATCCAACGATTTCAGTCAAAAGTTTTAAGGTTCATCCTGCAAGCCCCGTGGTATGTTAATAACAATATCCTTCACAAGGACAGTAGAATTCCGACGGTTGAAGAGGAAATAACCAAATTTAGTACAAAATATCTAAAGAAGCTTAAAAATCACCCCAATCACCTGGCTCTAAACCTTTTGGACAACAGTACCAGTATATACAGGCTGAAAAGGATTCATGTCTTGGACCTAAGCTCACGTTTTGTTTGAACAATTTAATTTTCCCCTGTTTATTTACTTATTTATTTTGTCATTGAAATATTTTTAAGTTAGATCTGCCAATGGACAGAGACTAACTAACGTTTTATAAATAATTGTTATTGTATTTGCTGAATGTTCAAAAAATGAACAGATTGTAAATACAATTGTGAAAAAAATATATATATATTACATAATTAATTACACAAACTAAGCTATGAAACGAAAATATTTTTCTAAATAACCCTTCAAAATGAATGAGCTTGTCTTTAATTCTGCTAATGTAAATAAGCAGCTGTTTGGTAAGTGATTCAATTATTTCGTATATTACGATTGTTCCATGCGATTCTTGCATACGAAATTTACAACTGTTTACAATAGCTGATTTTTATTCCCTAGGGACTAAAAAGGCTTTTTACTCCCTAGACACGCAACGCATGTATAAAAACGCCTGTTTTTGCTGCAGTATGACGAAATAGTATATTTCGTACCTAGGGCCGAAAATTAGGTTTTGCCGGCTCGAGATAGTTCGAGACGAACTCGAGAACTTAAAACGATCGAGAGCTGCAAAACCATTTCGGGCCATGGTACGAACGCTATTTTTCACCACATTATACCCTTATTAGCACTATTCGCCACAATAATAATGTACACTAACACAACAAAACTACAACTTTAAGGTAATGTGAAGAAATAATTTGAGGAATAATAAAAAAAATTTTAATAAACAGTTGCTAGGCAGTGGTGACGAAAAACAAGTCTACGGTCCCCAAAATATGATCGCAGCTGACATGGCCAGCAAAATGTAACTTTCAGCCACAAATTAACGTTTGTAATACAGCTAAAAACATAATATTGTGGTGAAAAAATCGTAATTGCGAAATTAGATTTTCAATTTGTTAATTGGATTATCTTTGAATGTCAAACAAACTAAAAATTACTCATTAATAAATGATTGCACCGTAATTAGAAAGACCAATTACTTGTAAGCCCCTATATGGTGTGAAAACAATTGCCTGTTTCGTTCGAACTAGTTGAAAAACATCATCGTTGGCTAATATACAAAGCAAATGAGGTAAACAAAAAAAAAAAATAGAAAAACAAATTCAAACATGAGAATTTTCTCAGAGCATCGGGATTACATCATTATCACCATCATTTTTGATTTGTGGGATTAAAACCCAATCCTACTTTACTCCCTTCGGGTTATGTATGTGTGTATATATATTCACCAGTTGCTATAAAAAACCCTCAAAAATCATGAAAATACCTCATTAAAATGGTGGAAGGAAAATACATACGTGTGCATTATCGTCATATGCTGACGTCACTCAGATTGCAAACACCATTTTACCATTTAACAAATTATGAAAGCCATAACAATCAAATCAAAACAAATATATACTTATATGGCAATACAATCAGCTGATTTTTTGTTTGCGATCTGGGTGACGTCAGCATATGACGGGAATAGCACACCTATTTTCCTTCCACCATGCCTCATTACTGTATAACAAAATTAAAAACATCTTACTTTACTTGAATCTAATATCCGTGGGGAACCTGGAGAAGTGTTTATGCTGAAGGAAGCGCAGAGTCCCTTCACAGAAAAGGGGGTCGAAGCAAGGCCCTGTGTGTGTAGAAGCGGCGTATACTATGGTAGCCGGCCTTATAGGAAGATCTTTAGTCTCGTACAGTTCTATTTTAGTTCCGCTCCATTCAAACCTTGGTATGATAGCAAACTCTTCCGATGTGTCTGAAACGTAAAACACACTAAACAACCCGTCAATAAAATATTGACCTAGTTTGAAAATAATTTACGAACATTTATTATACATTTTGACAACTTTTGGTAGCTCAGTTGTGTTGGTCTCTTAACGACTTGTAAAAAATCATTGTAAAATACACTGCTAATATACAGCACACAATTGCATGAGATTGTAAAGAAGGGCTCAAAACCTAGTTTGTGAGAAATTATCAAAATTCAGCTGTTTATTTTTTTAACTAAGTGTGATGTATGTTCTAGCCCTTGAATCGTTATACTAGGACTCGACTAGGTATTTCTGAATGTTAATACTTAGTATTTTCTTGAACATTACAAATAGATTTTTTGTTATATAGTTTTTATAATACTCAAAACTTTCTTTTGAATTAAGATGTGTATTCAGCTATATTACAGAAAATAATCAAACCAGGTGTTCAAGTTTGCTAAGACTGCACTATACCTTCATTGACGTTATTTCTTCGAAACATGTTTGAACAACCATTTGAGATTATATAAAATACGTGTCTCCACAAATTTAAAAATCCTAATGAACATCAACGTTTACTAGGACTGACACTAGACTGTATGTTCCATTATTATTTATGTCACAAAATACAATCTGCCTTATAAATTTCCCTTGTCAATATGAAACTTTACTTACCTGTTGTCATGTTTATTTTAACTGAATGCTCATGTTATTTTTGTATTGTTAAACTTCATTTTGTAGCTATACTCAACACAGGCTATAAAGCTTTGTTATCAGAACAATGTTCAGATGTGATAGCTTATGAATTATAACATCCACTGATAGACATCTAAAGTTACTTAAGAGTTTTGTGGAACATTTACAGTTCGGGTATAGATCAATCAAGAACTCAGCTGAAAGACGTTTTTAATTTTTTTTAATCTTTTTAACTTCCTCAGGTTTAAGGCAGCATAAACTTAAATGAGTTAGCGAACTAGCAAGATCGAGTCATATGGAACGGAGTGTTAACTTATAAAGATTATGACGTTTTTAAAAACATTAAGCTTTTCAAATTTTTACCATTAAATCATGGAAATATATAATTTTCATTTTGAGGAAACAAATAATTTTGTACAACTAGTGTCCCTGTTGCTCGAATTCGAGCAATTGCTAAGTATTACAGGCTTTATTTTAAAACGAATCGCAGTCATAATTTCTGATGACTTTAAAAGATTCGACTCAAAGATTTTGTAAATACTCATGATGTACATAACAGATCGATATAATCACAATTTCTTGTAAATATCTTATCATTTTTCAAAAGCTGATCTTGTTTTTCTGTGTTTTCTACAAATAGCCTTACTCATAGCCGCATTAGGTTGTCCACAATAACGATTATAAATAATAAAAAAAAAACATTATTTCTATTTCTTCTCCTTGGTGGTGTTCTATGACTTTCCTATGTTTCCATAGTTTGCAAATCACCTCTTTCAATGATTACTAAGAAATGCAGCGCAGTGTTAATTTAGTTTTTTTTTTACTATATAAATTTATCCAGGCTCTCTCACTTTTTTCCATTGTAATATTTACGCCAACCCAAATTCAAATAGTAAATATTTCATTTCAACTAAGTCGGAGAAATGCGAAACTTTAAAGGGTCCCAGGGCCTCACTCTCAAATTATTTCGATAAAAAGAAAGTTTCCTGCACAACTTCACGTTCTGCTCTTTCCAATGACACCAAAAACATGTCAATCGGTTCAGTAGTTTCGGAGGAGTAATTGTCACAAAAATCCTGCTTGCGTATTAAATAAGTATATATATATATATATAAAGATGGTGTTGTTATACAATTAAAATTTACAGAAAGAAAACCTGTACATTTAAAATGATCATGTTAATCCCATGGAGAATAAGAAAACTCCTGTAGATTGCTTGTTTATGGATTTATGTTGTTTTGGTAAATTTATTCATTTTATTATAGGTATACTATTTACATTTGGACATAAATACTTTTTACCTTCCACGTAACAGCAAACCTAAATACTTGTTAAATCGGATGTTATTTAAATGGGTAATAATATATGACTCGTTTAAATTGAAATCCCCTTGGTCCGCAGGTTTGCTGTGGAGGGGGTATGTAAACTTTGATTAACTAAGACATCAATTTGTGTTTCCATGTAACAATTTAAATAGCATTTAGAGCTAATTTGAAACATAACAGCTATGTTAATGAACAACTTACATAAACCCAAGTAAAAATGTATTCACCTGCAAATTTCCATTTAAAATATTACGTAAAAACTTTGCAAGTAACACGTTCTATTAGCTACTAAAGGTTTTGGTTAAATAATTCGAAACATGTCACTAGTTTGTAAAACGGTATTTTATTTTACATCTCACTTTGTTTATTTACTGCCTTTACAAGGATTATTTGAAATGGTCATGAACGTTCCTAATGCACATTTAGAGGTCATGTGTTGGTACACTCGATATTTTTTTAATAGCACAGCAGGTTAAGCCTTTGGGTTTTGGATAATAAAGTTCCATACATTTTCAAATGCTAAACATTCTTATTGATTTAATATCCTGGTCTTTTTTATCGTATCTACGCCAGTGGCAATTTTTGTTACGAAGTCATTTCGAACACTTTCAAGGGAAAGCGGTCCAAACCCATTAAAGTTTGGTGGATGTGTTTGTGTGTTCAATCCCCGATTGAACCCGTCCCTCCCGCACCGAAGTCCGAGATGCTAACCACTAGGCTAGCAACACAACCACATGCAAGTTTTGGTTTTCGATAATGGTTAAGTGCTATATTTTTTTAAGTCCTTTGTACCATCACGTTATTTTACTTTTTATTGTTAAGACTATAACAGTACGGCACATACTTCATAATCTACCTTGAATAAAGATTTTTGTTAATTTCATCGAAATTAACTCCTTGCGTAACTGGACATGAACCACGGTCATACTTTACAAAATGATTCATGTACTATTTACTGTAGAAAAAGTCAATAATAGTGCAAATTAATAATATATTTTTTATTAAATGAAGTAAAATCCTTCTTATGCTATGCAAAGTAATAGCTCCTGCATGTATGCTTGTTTTAGCTTCTAGTTTTCATGTTTTATTTGTGATACAAGTACAAAGATAGCTGTGCATACTGTACCTCATTATATAGATCTCATCAGGGATTTTATAACATTAGTTCCTACCTCATCATGTTTTTTTGCTGCTCTCCTTAAAAGTCAAACGTTAATCACACCTAGGACCTTCTTACAGGGCGAAATATAACATTTCCTTGTTGAAAGTTAGTTTACTATGTACAGTTTTGTTAATCATTTGATTTGCCTACGTTAGTGAAATAAAAAATATCGATTGGTTATTTGTTTTGAACGTTTTCATAAATAATACGAAAATAGCTAAAAATATTATTTAAAAATCTATAATGCCATCTATTAAAAATCTATATGCTTATCTTAATATAATTGAATTGCGTTACTAAATCACACTTCATACTGCATATTGTATTAATAAATATATTTATTAGGTTTTATTAGTGACTAAAATAACAAAATAGAATACTAATCAGTTTGCTGTTAAAATTTTTTTTATTTATTAAAAAAGGGCACCTTTGGTAATTAATAACATGTCTAGGGTTTCCCAGACAAAACAAAATCTGTTTGAATTCGTGAATTACATTTAACTTTGACTTGTTAAAAAATGACATTATATACCGTCAATATTAAATAATCATAACTAGTTCTTTTTAAACACCTTTTTTCTTTAATTATTTGAAAAATAAAAAAATGTTTGATCTAAAATGATAGTGATGCAGTTAATGATTAGATTTCAGAACCTAAATCGACATACTCTCAGATATATGATCATTAAATAGATCACTGCTCACAAAATCTTTATAATCCGGCAGAAAATTAAGATATTGTACAGGAATTCTTTAGCCATCGTCCCAAACCCACATTTCAGACGCTTATTTCAACCGTTTCGGTTGCGATATCGATTCAGAACAAGCCAAAACATTTTATTAACATTAACACTAATCTTAACTTATAAATACCACAACAAGTAATAAAACTAAATAATATTTCACACATGGCTGTGAAGTTTCGTGAGTATATCGTAGTACAAGAAGTCTGATGCGATGTGGCCCTGCTGAATTCCGTATTCTATGAGATCGTATCCTGCCTGTGACATGTTGGCAGGAAGATCTGCCGCTGAAGCACAAACAATTAAGTGAGTAAAGATACAACCAAGCAACAATACGAAATTTCAAATGCATATGATCATGGCTTCATCTAACATGACTGTTGGATAAGATGATGTTGGATAAGATGATGTTGGATAAGATGATGTTGGATAAGGTTATATTTGATAAGATTATATTGTATAAGATTTTATTTTTGACGATGTCAACACGCCAGGATGTCAAATTATGGATGAGTTAAGGAGTGTTGAATGAGATGAAATGATAGGTTTGTTACTGACTATATTCAAAGATAAACAGTTTTTTTAGCCAGGACCATTTTTTATTTTATTTTGAGCCATTTTTCTATAATACCGTTATTATAAATACGTAAAATATCACTTGTAATAATGCATTTACACTTACACTGTTTATTCAAAAGACGGTAAATACATATACAAGATAGAAAGTGGTGATCGATTTGGATTGGACGCTCATCAGACCCAATAGGCGAATGACAAGAATTAAAATGGCGTCCCTTATATAGAAGTACCCAACAAGAAACTTCTATAAGTACAACTGGAGTCAAAAATCAATTGATCATTAATTAGTTCCTTTCTATAATTACATTTTCCCTTATAAATATACACCTCTTCCCAAGCATTCATCCCATTTCCTTTCTTACAATTCTTTAACGTACATACAGCTTCTAATTTTTCCCCTAATGAGTGGTCATTTCGTAACAAGTTATGTGTGACATTTGATCTTTTCGGGTTTTCGTGCCTCTAAAGAGGAACGCCATTCAAGGGCACCAGAGTACAGCTATGTACCATAAAAAAACCATGCCTCTGTATGGAGAGTTATTTACAAGAGTTATTTGACGTATTTATGTACTTTCAGACACTTAGAATTCACCACTGTAACGTTACGTTTTTAAATAATTCAGTAATCACTTTTTAAGAATTAAATGCAAGCTTGACAGCTCCTCCATGCTCTTTTAAGGAGAGTCAAAGAAATGTTTTTAATTTTTTTCAATTTTTACTTTTTATGTCCTTTTTATAGCACAGAATGTTTTCTTAAAAATTGTATACTTACATTTTTAATTACTAACCTAGAAATGTATAAAAAAATATATTTTCCATAACATTGCAGTGACGTTTTAAAGGTAAAACTAGTAGATCCTTGGTTGACCCTTGGAGGCTTTTCTTGCCGATTTCCGCAACTTTACTTTTTAGAACTTTAATGTCATTTTTTTCAGGACTGGTAATACATCCAGCTGTGAAATCTTTACCATGTAGTCTTAGTGACTTATTATAAACACAGACATAAGGATTTCATCATATCTTTAGTAGAAGCATGTAAAAAAAATAATAAATTTTATTTTTGAAACAAATATTTTTAAAATCTATACAAACCCATAAAATAGTTATTTTTAATTTTAAATGAAAAATCTTGTGTCTGTCACTAGTTAATTAGTTAATATAAAAGTATACCAAGTTTCACTATCCTACCTGTTCTAACTCCTGAGAAAAATGACATTTAGTTAACATTACTAAAGATAGGACCTCGGACTCCCCTTAAGTTAAAATAATTTTCTTACCAGTAAAGTCACCGATGTATCCAATGAGGATACTTTTGTTGCTCAATCTGGAATGCTCTCTTGGTAGAAGAGGTGAAGATGTCCATCCTCTGCCTTCGTATACATCGCCATCACTGCCCACTATGAAACTGATAATAGTGTTAGTTAAATCTACAAAGCCTTGTTACTAGCTACACAATTATTTACTGGGTACCAGTAGAGTACCTGCACTTTGAATGGAAGTGGTCTATATTTGTAACGTGCTTATTGTCCGCCGAACTCGTTCTGACGTTTGCAACGAAAGTGGACAATTTAGTTCTTTTAAATTTACAATATGAAATAAAACTGATTAGTCTACTAAGAACAAATAGTTTTCTCATAGTTTTTACATGATTGCACTTATACTGACAGACTCCGTTACATTTTTTATTAGAGTATAAACATACTCAATGGTATAAATAAACTTACCAATAAAACCCTACAAAAGCTGAAAGATTTGTCTACTTTTACCTAAAACCATTGACTGTTGGATACTGAAGTACAATAGTCAAAGCTAAAACTAAGACAAAATCTTTTCAGAGTATAAAAAACAGATTTCATAATGATCCTACAGTGCCATTCGGCCTAGAAACAAATTACTTACCGATTAATTTTGTTGTTTTGCATTAAGTTTAAGAATTAAAAATTAAAATCCGTTTGAAAATTGTTTTCATGGAGAAAATAGGTATGTAGGAATTTGTTCACAACGAAAGGCTTGGTTGGAGGTACTAAATACATGTTTGATATAAAAAAAAACAAAAAAATAGCCATTTCCTGGTGGAAACAACAAAAGCTCCATAGGAGGAAGTAGTAATGATACGAACTTGAATCATTTCAAAAGCTACAAATCAAATTAAATCAAATCAAATCAATTTATTGCCATCAACATTATAAATACATGTATAGCAACGTCATACAATTTCATCACAGTATATCCATTAACCTACTTAATATGTTTTACAAATTCTTTTACCTTATACACACATAAATCATACAAAATCTTTCTAATAGTAAATTTAAATTGTCGTATTTCAAGACATTTAATGTGAGCAGGTAACATATTATACAATCTTTTGCCAAATTCACTAAAGTTATTGATTGTGGTCATAAAATTACATTGGTTTGGACGGAGAAAAGTGTTTTGTCTGGTAAAATGGTTATGAACTGAATCATTTGTAGGGAAATCTCTAATATTATTTTTAACATACAGTAAACAATCTAAAATGTACAGAGAAGTGACAGTTAAAATTCCAAGTTTCTTGAATAATGGCTTACAATGTGTTTCACTGTCAACAATTGTTACACAGCGGTTGTTGTTACGCTTCATGGTTCATGACCTCCACGGCCCAAAAACAAATCTTGGATAAATGTTATGTACGTACTTTTGCAAAGAACTCCCCAGTCTTTGTCTACAACCTAATTCGAAGATTAAGGTCAAAGGACACTATAACTAGGATACACTAGGACACTGTAAATATTTATTTTAATCCACCCAGTTTAATTTGTAATTGTTTGTATGTTTCACCTTAACATCCAACGTAAAGCAGCAAGAACCATTTACATATTACCTAGACTTAGAGGGTCGTGGGAATATGACAAAAGATAGTAGTGATAGGCGAGATTTTAACCCAGAACCTCATGGACGAAGCCCCAACCTGCTCCCAATCTACCTATAGACATCCCAAGAACAAAATAACCTGCGCAGAAACGAAAAGATCACGTGGTTCGCGCCGGTAGGTGTAGCGACCCTTAAGAATAAGAATAAGAATAAGAATCGTTTATTGCCATAATAATACAGAAATGTACAGGGCAAAAGTCACTAAAACTAAACAAATAAAATCAGACCCATAAAAATAAAGATACAAACTTCAAGAGGTACTTACTATTTACATTTTAAAAACGAAGAAACACTGTAAAATTCCTTATCAACTAAATATTCCCTCAAACCATGCTTAAATTTTTTTTAAATTATTTTCGCCCTTGATTGAATTGGGAAGAGAATTGAAAAGATGGATACACATGCAGAATGACTGTTAGCGAATTTCCCTATAGGGAAGTAGCTATTACCGTAGGTCTCATGGTAAGACCTAAGCCCGGGACCGATTTACTTTTTCATTTTGATGTCCCCAGAGGCCAAAAACACCATTCATTCAAATTTTTATATATCTATATATAGAGATATATATATATATGTGTGTCCATCCGCACGATAACTTGAGTAATTTTTGTCCGATTTTAATAAAATTTGGTTTGAGGGTGTAAGGCAGGATAAACTTGAATGAGTTCGCGAACCAGCATGATCGGACTATGGGAACGGGGGTTTATGGGGGGTTTTATGGGGTAAAAATAGGTTTTTCCCATTTTTGACCCTAAAAACACACAATTTTACAATTTCTTTTTAAACCATTTTGTAGAGCTTAAAAAAACAAATAATTTAGTATATTGAAGCGTTATTATACGCCTAATTGTTATGGAGAAAATAAAAAAAAATTGTAATTTTAAAATTCCCATGTTATTCTTATGGAGAATAAGTCAACTGTTGTAGTTTGCTTGTTTATGAACATATTTTGATCGATTTTGGAAAATACTTTTATTTACCATTATCATTTTATAAAACAATCTTTTTTACCCTCCCTGTTGCAGCAAACCTAAGTACTCGTTAAACTAATTCTATTTAAATAGGAAATAAATGTGCTATTTTTATGGAGGCATTTTAGTGTAAATCCAATCAGGTAGTGGAAATTCGCTTAGTCTGCAGGTTTGCTGCGGCGGGGGTATTTTTTATTAAAAGTGGTACGGGATTTTGGAATAGGTAGGTCAAATTTATTTCTAAGATTGAAGCTGTGGTGAGATGACTCGTGAAAATGAAACATTGTTGAATTCTTTTTTAAGAATGACAAGGATTCAAAAATGAAAATTGATGGGAAGGTCAGCATATTATTTCTACGAAAACGGATCTACAAGACTCTCTGCATTTTAAGTTGAAGATTAATCTGATCCCTCTTTTTTCTAGTTTGAACGCAAACCTGCGCGGCTCGAAAAGGCCCAGGGTTCTTTTGTTTCTGGGATGTCTATAGTGAACATTACTGTACCACACGTGCTTACTTGTATCTGATATCCCTCTGGTTCTGTCGTTGCATGTGTGATCTCTGAAGCAGTCTAAGTGTTCCCATACACACCAGGTGGTCGAAGCAGGGTTTGGAGTGAGTGTTCATACAGAAAACATTCTGTACAGGCGTGAGTAGAGCGTTTACCATCACCCGGGGTGGTAGGGCACCCCATTGGTCCCTCGGTATGATATTCACTGGCATGTCTGTAAACTGTAAAAAAAATGATTGTTCAAAGTTCAAAGTGATGTTGACTATAGCCTGTCACTATAATTCGAGCTGGTCAGTAGAGCACGGAGTTTAGACTCCAAGGTCCCGGGTTTGAATCCCGTCAATGCCCAATGGGTCATATGTAAGAGAACCACTACCTTCTAGGCGTATAGCAGAATTACTTTTACGTCCCAATTATTTACGATTTGTTATTTTCTGTGTCTTCACTTTTAAAATTCGGGTTTGATTTAATGAAAATTATGTTCTACTGATCAATAATTATTGTCAGTTTTCGGAAAACCCTTTAAAAATCCTTAAAAACAAATTACTGGACAACTCCAGAGGTATTTTAAATATACTTGAGTTAGTTTGAGGTATAAAACCTTAAATTTATTCTGAGTAACTGTGTCATTTCTGACACATTTACTTACCGATTTCGCATGGTTAGTTCACCCCAAGAAAAAGAGAAGTTGTGACAGAAATAGTCCTACTTTAGCTAAAGTATTCCCTAATAATTTGAAGGTGTTGAACAATTGTTATTGAGGTAAAGCATACAATTAGGAAACAAATGTATCAAATGTATCATTATAAACAAATGTATTATTAGGTCTGCAGGTATCATATCTATCAATAATTCACTTATTTTTTATTAATTTATTAAGCTTACACGAGATATGGGTAGTTTCCAAATGAAGTACACACTAGTTTTTATATTTTAAGTATAATTTGTAATTTCTATTACTTTTAAATCGTTTTCTTATCAACATCTTCATAAATGGACGCAAGAAGACTATACAAAAATAAAATATACAATTAAGTTCTTAGTTGAATATTTTACTTTAACTTTGAGTCAAAGTAACATAAGTAAACAGTATTAAAGTGTGGTCACTTTTGAAACACAACTTTTTTTAAGTTGTTATTTAAATGATTTAAATATTTTTTTTCAAACGAATAAAATGTCTGTCAGTGAAAAACTATTCAACAACCTTATATTAAAAAAATACAAAATGCAATAAGGCTCAACCTATAAAAATTAGGATCCGAACACTAAATTCAAAAATTCAAATTCAAATTCAAATTGTTTATTTGGCCATTAAACATTACATAATAGGCTATGTCAATACATAATTCAGTAAATAAAAATAAACCATCATCAGAGATTGGTTAACAATCAAATCAAACCATGCTTAGTTTAAGTCAAATAGCATAAGGCAAATAGCATAACTAATATAAGGTATACACAAATTTTTATTTGTTATGTTACTTACCTACCTAAGTTCACTGTTTTAATGGTCTTTATCACTTTTAATTTTCAGTGTTATAAAATATATTCTTATAAACATTTAGTCTGTTAACCTAGCCTATGTGATGAGTTAGGTGTTAAAACATAACTCACTAGTTAACTGATAACTATTTGGCACTTTGAAAATCGATAAGATTACGTATGATTTAAATAATAGAAATGAGTCTTATTTGTGTGTCGCACATTATATAATGTTTGTTTTTCACATAAAACATTTGCGTGTAAAGGCTACACTGAACCTTGAGTTTTTAATATTTTACACAGGGGAAATTTTAATACTCAAAATTCTTATAGTTTATAATTCTTTTTATGATAAAAATCTTCCAGTGGTTTTTAGACTGACGACTGACGTAAAATTCAAACACTTATTATTATTATTATTATATCGAACTTTACGAAGAAGCTTTATCCGTGCTTTGCAACGGGAAATGAATGCGGAAGAGAATGATGCTGTTCTTTAGATTTGCTGTATAAAATAATTACATATTATGAATTCATTTTATAATCAAAACTTATTTCCCCACTAATTGAAGTAGAACCTCTTTAATCCAAACCCCTGTAATCCGAACGCCTCATTGCTGTACTCTATACACAGTACAGTAGTTCTTTATTGCATGTATACTGTATTTATTGATACACTCACCGTAGTTATTTCAATTGTAATGTATAGTAGGCCTACTGTTTATTCCTTATGTTTACTACTGTATTACATAAACACTGTATTTTACTTTATAAAGCATTTTTCACTTTTTCCTAGCTTTGTTATGTAAAAACAACAATATGTTCTGTAATCCGAATTATTCAATAATCCGAACTACCCCCGGTCCCAATTAGTTCGGATTAAAGAGGTTCTACGTAAATAGTTTTCTATATTTTTGGATAAAGGGAATACATATTCCAATCAATTACAGTGTAAATGGCTCTGATGTATAAAATATAAAATAGTATAACTCTATGACTTAATGATTATCATTACCCTTTGAGAAGGGGACGTCCTCTCTGTGCGTATTTGAACACAGAGCGGTGTTAGGAATGAGTGTAGAATAGTGTGATGCCTTGTGTGGCTTTGTTACTATGATCAGCTGTTTCATTAGTCAGGAACTTAAAAGCCCAATGATCAAGGACTTAAATTGTGTTCGAACACTTCAAATTTATTTAAGAAAATATTTTCTTAAGAAACCTGTTCTATCACACAGATCGTCATAGGTTCACGAGATTATTGTTATACATGTTTTCAATCATTGGAAAAATTATACAAGTGCAGAAGGGCACTTTGCCCCCAGTGTCCATATTTTGCTAAATTAATAGTAGTTTACAGCAACTGGATAAAACAGTTTACAATATTTATGTACAAATATGTGCATGATTTAGAAAGTCATTAAGCTGTAAAACTGCAATTTACTACAGACTTTTCAGAGAGTTTACTTCGATGTTGTTAATTCAACTTAGTGAAAACATAATATGGATAAGTATACAAATAAGAATTTGAACTCTTAGAGAGCCTTTGAATGTTATTAGAATAACGAAATGGGTTGTGCATGTTTACTAACGCTAATCAGCAACAAAAACCATTTAATTTATCTCTAAAAATATATTCTTAAAGTGCACTGAGCAGCAGCCTCCAAAATACTATGTAACTTGGTATATGTATAATGTATGGGTATACAGTTACAAAATGCTCAAACTCACAATGTGACATTTATAATTCGGCTTATATTTCTCCAGCAGATTATTATCTGCAAAAGAAGTTTATTGTGCTCTTATCGTGTGTAATAACAACCAAACACAGAAACCTGGCCTAAAATAGTATCTATCTTGACAGATTATTTGAAGTGATCTATATTACAGACCGTGGCTCACTGGGTTGTTACTAATACTATTTACTGGGTTGTTGTTAATACTATTTAAGCAGCTACTATCATGACAGAAAGGTCATATTCCTTTTAAACTTGATCACATCATCCTTTATAAGATACTTTGTTTAACAATGCATGTAAACGTCAATATTGACGTAACAGCCAATTTTCAGTATTTATTGCTTTTTGGAAATGCGGCATTGTTATGTAATTTGAATTATTTGTTGCCAATGAAGCCGCACAACCATATAAACGAGGAGGTCCCTAACAGTTTAAGAGTAAAAGCCAACTTCACTTCAAGTATATTCCACTAGATCCACTAGATCCTAACTTTCCGTAGATGAATAATTAGCTTAAGCCTTGACAGTGACCGTCGATTTCGACGGGTTTCATCTAGTAGTAAATAAGTCTGCTTAGAATATGATTTTGCTTATAAGGGTTCTTTGGAACACAGATTGTAAGCTCAACAAACCAGCTGATATTTGTTACTGCTCTCAGCTGTTAGTTTATGTTGTTGTTGACGAAGTTTGTTGGTGTTGTAGTGAATAGGCCGTATGTTTAGTTAATATTTTTGAATATATTTATAATTCCAATGAAAAAAGGGCATAAGGAAGAAAAATAATTGTTGTCCGAGAGAAATGCTAGGAATGTAATGCAAATATAAAAAAAAAAAACAAGAAAACATATCGCAGTAGCCTACTTATATTAGTTAGCCTAGGCTACTGGAAATCTACTGTGATATATAATTTTTTCTCAAGATCGTGGGATTAATATAGCTACTAAAAGTCAAGTTTTGGATTAAAAAATAATTGTACTCTACCTAGTAGATTTTTATAGAATATAGATATAGTTACCTGTTCTAACCTGTGCTGACATATTGGCTGATATTTGTTGTGATCAAAATCACGATTAATTACCAATGAAATTGTCCTTGTTTCCAGAAAGAAAATTGTATACAACTACAGAACAAAAAATGACAAGAAGATGGATTTTTTTAGTTACCAAGATATTAGCTACTAGATATTCTTGTATATTTGACAAATTTTGCAAATTTTATTGTTGAAAAAGGTTTTTGTTTTTGTAAAATGGCAGTTTTATTTTTAAATGGACATAAAACATAGATTGCTTACATATTCATACCAAAACTATACATGTAGTTTTAAAATGTCATTAGTTCCTTTCACTGGACACAGAAAACATAAAAACTAAAAGAGTAATCTTTTCGATATCAAACTTAAAAAAAACCAAATTTTTGGAAAAAAGGGTTAAATTTTTTTACACAAATATTAAATAGGTTAAAATTACAAAAGATTCTCCTGATTGGATCCCTACAAACACAATGCTGAATCTTCTTAAGGAAAACAGTTAAACTTTGAGCAAAGATTCTTTTGCTGAGTCCATAACGCTCTCAGCGAGTTTCGCTTTTGGGCTGTAACTGTAAAGGAATACTGAAGCTATGACCATAGCAGCTCCTAAAACGAATTGAAATGTTATCGTAAAGTCAAACAGATACTCAGATACTATGCAAGATATCACGATCGCTAGAGAAGTGGCGAACCCTTTCAATATGTTGTCAGCGTATTTAACCACCATAGCCACCATTAGTCCCCCACCAGCCTGTAGTACAACCAAGTAAGCGATGAACCAATCGTATCCGTGGAAGAAACCGTTGTTGCTGATGGCACTCAGGTCTTTAGCGAAGCAAGCCAACAAGCCAAACGGAAGCGAGAGAAAACTGAGTTGAACGTTTCTCGTCCAAACTGAAACGTCAGATCCTTTCAAGATCATTTCGAAATAGATGCCTGCAAAACCCGACAAGACACAGGCACCGATAGCAGCGGCAAAGCCGATGAGTCTGTTCTGTTCAGCGTTGTTTTCAGCAGTGTCAGAGGCACCGGTCAGTTGAACCATTGCTACTCCCATCGCCAGAAGCACCAGAGAAGCCCATTGCTGTGCTAGCAACTTCTGCTTGAGCATCGTCACAGCAAACATAGCCGTTGTCAAGATCTTTAGCTGGTAGGTTACCTGATATGTTGCTGCGTCTAAATGGGAAGCGGACAAATACAAGAGATTGTTCTGGATGATGTAAAGGAGCGAAGGCACACACACTTTGAGCGTATCCATCGGTTGATTCACAATGTTGTGTAAGGTTGCTATCCATCGACTGCCTTCTTCTTTATACACGAGAGCTAGACTGGTCACCAGCTTGACCAGCTCAGCCATAACCACGGCAGTAGAGGGGAGGAACTTGTCACCGGTTCTGGTACAGGCGTATCGCATGCTGAGTCCTAAGACAGCATTCTGTAGAGTCAGAGTGACCAGGCTGACCACCTTCAGCGTACGCGCTTTCCTTCGTCTCTCCATCCAGTTGATAAGTTGGCTGGTACTTAAATTAGCTTAACGTAACAGGAAACAATTGAGATGTAAGTAAACATTTCAGTAATCTAACCTATTCCACCTAGCTCAAGTTGAGTTCTGCACAACAAATAAATCACCTGAAGCACCGCAAAAAAATAAAAACATAATAACGTAAACAGAATTTACATTTTCCAAGTTGAGGAGTTGAGGCACAGGCCTTCAGCATACTCGCTTTACTTCGACTCTCCATCCAGTTGATAAGTTGACGCGTACTTAAATTAGCTTAACGTAATAGGAAACAATTGAGATATAAGTAAACATTTTTAGCAACCTAATCAATGAGTTACGCTACAACAAATAAAAACACCTGAAACGCAGGGAAAAATAAGAACACAATAGCATAAACGGTTTACATTTTACAATTGAGTTAAGACCCTAGGTGCAGGCCTTCAGCATTCGCAGTTGATAAGTTGTCACTTACTTAAATAACCTTAACTTGTTACAGGACACAATTGAAATATGAACCAACATTTCATCAACCTAAACAATGAGTTCTTCCATACTTACCATAAATTTGAAAAGAAAAACTCCTTTAAAAATGTAAACCTGCATACCTTTAAATCCCCTAATTATATTTGACGCCAATAGATCCATAATATTATAACTACATAGCTTAGTGTAACAATAGCATCAATTGCTTGATATTGATGCTTTATGAAAAAGTGTTTAACCTCAACCCTTCAAATGTAGTCAAGCCTCTTAACCTATCAATTAGTATATAAATTACAAAGACAAATGTGAGGAATATCTTAAAACCTTTACTACCTTTCTTTAACCAAACAAAACCTTCTTACTTAATACCACCCACATTTGATCATTGTAAATAAAACACCATAGCAAATTCAATAAAGTAAACAAGCACTTGTTAATTGCACTGACAGCTGTTTCATTTTATTTTACCCTTAGGAAATCAGCTGTTGGGGCACAGCCCTTAGGAAATTCGTTCATATAAATTCTTTTCGGAAAATCTACACACTCTAGGGGGTTACTGGGAATGTAATGACTATAGAACTTGATTTAATTTAGTCATGGAATATGTTTACATTTTGTACAAAATGAAAAGTAGGAAATGGTTCTCCCTTAAGAGGTGTAGGTGTAAGAGAACTCTTCGTCCTATGCTTATCTGTGATTAAATGCAATGCCTTCTAATTACAAAAATAAAACATTAAATTAACTATAACTATCAAAACAAACCTATCCAACCTAGCATGTATTCTATTAAGAATATTATTTAGGAAATGACAAACAATTAATGGCCAGCACTTTAATAAATTAGTCATAAAATAATAAAATAAAAATAAATAAATAAGAACAAGCTACGCGTAATCTTGTTCTTCATGTAGTTCAGGTTCTCTGTACACATTATAATATTTTCTTTCTTCTCTTTCAGCTACGGATTGTGGGTACATGATGTCGTAATATTGGTAGTCGACCGCTATATGACCTGCTTTGACCCCAAATTTGATCAGGTCAGAAGTCGCCTCGTCAATTTGGGTTGGCATCGTCTCAGCTGAAAATCAAAATTGGAAGTTTAGCAGAAGAAATTTGTGTTCTGAGGTTTAGTTACTTTATGCGTAATGTTTTGAATATGGAGTATATCTTATATTTAGGATCGAACTCATCAAAGCCTTAAACCTTCGTCACTTTAGCCTTGAAAGTTCAGTTTATGACTAAAACCACTTGATTAGTCAGCAGAGTTCAGTATGCCAGAGCAAAATCGATGAGCGGATAGAAAAAATAGGCATCTACACTGTGGTTTTATTTCCAATGAAAATGACTATGTTTCTTCGAGTAAATTTCGAATTTTTTTTATATCACACCAAGTTTTTAATCAATATTAACTGAATTTGGCTAAAAATGTTGGAAGGTGTCTATTGATCGATGAAAGTACACATTCTGTCACAGACTCAACTTCAGCGACATTTCTATTAGACCAAACAAACATAATAAGATAATGGATGGATGGATTATGGATACATCAAAAGAGTGTTCAATTAATCAATTAAATTACATATACTGCAATATTATTGGTGTTCTCACCTGTATAATCACCCATGAAGCCGATGAGCATACTTTGAAATCTCAACTTGTTGAATCTCCTCGGTAAGCAAGGAGGAATTGTCCAGCCGCGACCCTCGTATACGTTACCATCCTCCCCTACCATGAAACTGGAAAAATAATGACAACTTTAGAAGGCATCTGCTTATTACGAGTTTTAAAGCTATGTCATCCTTCTCCACCATAGAACTAAAACAATAGAACCAAACCCCTTAGCGGTAAGTAACTAAATAACAATTAAAATTTATCTTGCCAAAGGAAAAAGCCAAGTCGATATAGGGCGTAAGTCTCTGACGCCATCTCACGCCATTCTGCCCTCATATTTTGTTCATATTTGGTTTGAAATATACCCAGTATTATTCCCGTCTCAGTTGGTAATGGCGTAGATTAAACATAAAATCTTATTCCTAGATTTGTTATCCATACCTAGGTTGCTGTTTGACAATCAAAAGATTTCCGCTTCTATACCGAGAAAAGTCAGAAGCTATTTGAAGGCTCGAAACTGGAATCAGCTGTTCCTAATCATTGGTCTTTAAATAAATGATCGTGGGTAAAGAAACAGCTGATCTTTGTCAGTAAAAAAATCAACATGGATCACCAGACTTCATTCTGAACACTTCTTTCACTCAAATTTAGGTTAAAATTCGCACCTAGGTGGTGTCAGCTGAAAACAATTTAAATGTTGGTTCCGTCGTGTGTCTCTAATGCTGTGAGTGGTTTTGTGGTTTTGTTTACATTTTGTTTCTTCTTATTTCTGTAATTAAATATTATCAATAATTTCCAATTAGTTGAGATGGGGACGCCACCTGGGTGCGTATTGTAACCCAAAAGAAGTTAAGGATCAGTGTAAAATACTGTGAGATGGTCTGTGTAGCTTTGTTACTGGCTAAGATTAGTTTCCTCGTTTAACCAAATAAAAAGGGACAAATCATAACTTGCCCTTATGTTAGTTTAGTGTTACCAACAAAAACTAGACATGATAAACGCACTGAAGATTTTAAATTGGATAAGGCAATAGTAATGATATTTTGACAATCAAATACTTCACCTACTTGAACGTGATGTCCTGATAGAGTAAGTTGGATGCATGCATTTGCTGAAGTTCTCTTACTCTCCCTTGGCACCGTTCCTGGTTTAGACAAGGTGTTGTGAATGCGTTTTGGATGAACACCTTGTTGCACATCTTGAGATATTCTTGGCAGTTGATGGTGGGGTTTGTGGACCATTCCTCTCGTGTCACTATTCTCAGAGGCATCTCTGTGGAGGAAATAGAAATTTAGAATGTTAAAAAGGAGTCAAGAAGGGAAATCAAACAGGAATGAGGAAGAACTTTGTTAGTTTTGGAGCATTTGAAAGGAATATGAAGAGTAACTGATGTCTTAGACAAAATTTAGACCAACAAGTTTGAACAATAGGCAGTGCCTGATCAGATGATGTTGACTGTAAAATAGCCAAAAGTATATTGGATGTACCAAAGCTGAAAGAAAGTGGAGGTCTTTTATTTTGAGGAACATAAAGACTACGGAACAATCCAATTATTTTGAACATCTTGGTATGAGAGATTTGTAGCATTTTTAAGCATCCCAGATCGTTTATAGGTTACAAAAATGTTGAGTGGACATGGTAATTTTTTGGGGGCTCTAAAGGAATTAACCATTTTAGGTTGGAATGACCTAGGCACTCAAGAAAAACCAACCACTTGCTAAATTTTTTTTTTTTTTAATTTGTTAATTTATGATCAAAGAGAAACAAAGTGTCCTTACGTGACTTAGTTTGTAAATTTTGAGGAATCAAGATCCCTAGACATCCTTTGAGTAAAAAATTTAATATATCTTTTAGCAACATTGGGTAGAAACACCCTTTTGTCCCTTGAGAGTGAACAGATAAGAACCATATTTCTTAAAATATGTTACTGAAATATTTATGTTCTTCCTCAGGCAAGAAAATTGTATTTTTGTCATTGTTAACAATTTATTTTTATGGTAAGGTAGGTCAAATACGTTTTATGAATGGCTGTTTATCGTGATCTTTTTTACAATGACATGTTAAGGATTGTAACTGGTTTCATTTAATTTTAGGTTATTGATTCATTGTTGACAGTCCACATTTTCTAATAAAAACAACTATATTACAAAGAATCAGGCACAATATATTTTATTGCTGTACAATAAACGATTGCGAAATGTTTTCCAATTATTTTCCTTCTTGTATTCTCATTACATCATACTTTTTACCTACATAATTCAATCATAATGTTTATTTTTGTAAGTGATATTTAAAAAAATAAGAACATTTACTTACTTTTTTCAAATAAGTTCCTACTGACGAAAGAAAAATGTTTCCATACAATGAGTAACTTAATGTGAAAATTTATTTCTTGAATATGTCTTTACGATCAGCCTGAGCAATAGTTCCCAAAAGGCACTGTAGCTTTCTTTAATAGTAAACTAGTATGATCCGGCATTTAATTTTCATTGAGGAAACATATTTACATTAACTATCATAGTTTTAAATTATCACGTGATATGGTCAAGTGAAGTCGTCACCACGTTTTTCCTTATCACGTGTTTTTATTTTCACACTTGTATATCACACACACTTTAAAAAAACGTGTGAATTCTCACGCAATATTTAGATAAAATTTCTTGTACTGCTTAAAAACTAATAATAGGGGTTATCAATCTATATTTTTCTATTAGTAATAGGCCATTCATATATCAGTTGCAATAAAGACTTCAACTACGTTACTTGTAGAGTAAGATTGTTTTGATTTTATCGTATGAGGTCGTATACTGAAGAACCAATTATATTGTATTAGTAGAGGTTGACACAGTTTAAATGTACCTATTAAAATATTTTTTGCCCACTATACAATTTTAAGCTATTTTGGACGTGATTATGAAGGCTACTTACACACAATATAAAACGATCAAGCACCAGAAAAGGTCCTCAGCGTAATCCTCGTAGGAAAAGTACACAGGGAAAGCACTGAGGAAAAATTCCCAGAACATTTGCCAGGATCTGGTCCTGTGTACTTTCCCCTTTAAAGCATATTTGCACCCCATTGGGGTGTTTTGTCAATTGGACCTTTGGGCCTGACTCCACCGGTATGAGCCCCCTGTGGGGAACACCTGGGGTTGTTTAGATCGGTGCCCCTGGTTGGCGTGTTAAGCCACCATATCCGCTTTACTGTTTTGTCCCCAGTGGCCAAATGACCTGCATCCAGGGACCACGAATGCGCCAAAAAAGGGGATATATCCCCCACCACAGCTACATAAGAGAGCCGTCCAACAAAGAGTGACTCTACGTCAGGCAGAGGGGGGCTAGCGCATTGAGAGGTCGAAGATTTCTACGTATTGAGCTTCCAGACAATGTGATTGAGTCTCCAGAAATATGAAGGCAGGAGCAGTGGATGACTGCCAGAGCCGAGTGGAGAGAAAAAACTCAGCGTAAAGACTTAAATCTCAGTGTTTTTTTATCTCTCACCTTCACATTCTAGGTCGCTAGATTCTCGCACGGAACAGTTTTACACATTACTTCAATCTCTGGAGGCTCGTGTCATTATCAAATAGAAGTCCTCCATTGGTGATTGGCAGGATTTGAACCCGCGACCATGGGCTCCAAAGTCCCGCGCACTACCTCTGGACCGGCTCACCCCCCTCGTATTGAGAGTAATAAATGTAGTTGTAGTTGTAGACTAAGAGCAGTATCCGCATAGGCGTTAGTCAATAAGAGAGTCTTAAAACCTCCTTAAAGGTCTGTATGCAGGAAATAAGGTATAAGTCGAGAAAGTACCCAACTATTACAGAATTTTTAAACAAGCATCAAGGCCACTTATACATAGTTTAAGGTAGCCTTAACAATTTAATCCACTCATTCGTATGGACAAAAAATGTGCCATATCAAACTTAGCAGTAAAATTAAGCTTTGAATATAAAATTAATCAAGGATGTATAACTTCATTTCATGCAGCAGGTCTAAACAATCACATTATTCTGTCACGCTTCTATTTCCCGTAGCGAAACACGGGTATAGTAGTTATTGCAATACTGTAGTAATTTTGCCTAACTAAAAAACTCAGATATGTGAAAATACAATATAGGCCCCAATATACACAAGAGGTTTCAAAATTGATTTCAAAGCTGTCATTTTAAATAATAAACATTTAATGAACAAACATCACTCATTGATATAAATTGCCACATTAAAGAATGCTTGGGCTAATTTTAAACATGTACGTTATTTTGGTTGTAAAGATGCTTAAACTCATTTTATCAAGAGGCTCCTATGGTTAAATAACGTGGAATGATGACATTAAGCAGTTTTAAAAGATGCTATGGTTTTGATAACAATAATTTGACCCTAACTTAATGTAGTGTATTAAACCTCAATTTTGGAAGAAGAAGCTCTTCAAAATCCATCTTAAGTTGAGCCTACAGCTTAAGCTTCAGACCACCGAGTGGGTTATATCACAAGCAAAAAGTAATTTGTGATAGCGGGTTCTGAACCCAGGTTTTAAGACCAAAGCCACGCGCTTTACCACAAGACCAGCCATTCTCCAATATAACCCGGTTAATACACAAACACACTTCTGAGGCATTTAACTATTACAAGAGATTGTTTTGTGAAAATGTTTAACCACATTAGGGAAATATTAAATAGACCTTAAGTTGAAATTTCATATACAGTATATACAGTACTATCATATTTCATATACAGTATTATCATTCTTAAATCCTTCCCAAAAAACACCTTTTTCCAAACGTAATTTTTGTGGGAAAGGCGTTAATAGATCATTCAAAATAAATTTCGGCAGGATATAGTTTTTTGCGATTCCATACTTTATTAGTTCTTCTCCAATAGCGTATAGCTCCTTTGGCATTTCTTCATCTGAAAAATATTTAGGAAAAGATTTAGTTATCTATTGTCGTAATTTCCTATAGTGTGTATTAGTAGTCATTTCAGCCAACACATCTTCGTCTAGACACAATTGATATAAGATCGTTCATAATGTATTTTTCTTTGATGTATTTATTTTCCACACCGTATTTCACCAATTCATCTGCGATTATGTAAAGATCCTTTGGCAGCTCGAGATCTGTAAGCAAATACAATGTGATGTATGATTTAATATTGTTTAAAGTGTTAAAGTGATTTGGAGGATTCGTTCCTGAAACATCTCCTATGTTGATCAACGGTTGTTAATGATCATAGAAAAAATATTCATCTGCTGAATCATCACAATTATATTTTAATTTCCACAGGACTGTAAGATGGAGAATCCTAGGAGGGAAAAGAACGTTACATTATGCATACAGCTATAGAAGTAAAAATACCTAACTTCTTAAAACAAATATCGTATATGGTAAAATTTTAAGCTTACGTTTTATGCGTTTTTTTATCCGCACGTAGAATTATGTTATAGGCTAAGTACAGCATTACAAAAATATTCACACCATGTGCGTTTTACATTTGTTTACGTTTGCATGTTTTCAGGTATAGGCTACATTTTTAACTACTTACATTTATACCATCCAATGAACGCTATATAGATGCTTTGGTGTTTGAGTGATAAGAATTGAACTGGTAGATCAGGGGCATCGAACCATCCTCTGGCTTCTATAACCTTGCCATCGTCCCCGATCAGGAAACTGAAAGAAGACGTGAGTTATGCATTAACATGTTAAATATTACTCAATACTTTGCATGTTTGAATCTCCTTGTAACGTAAAAACGTGAGGTTCGTGAAAATATTCATAGAGTATAATTAATTGAACAGGTTATTAACCTACTATGTTTAATGGTGGTTTTAAACTCTTCTTAAATTTAAAAGATTCATGATTTCATACAGATAAATTTGGTAAAAACAATCTTATGTGAAGTAATGACAAATGCTTATGTCTGCTGACTATGCATTTTCGTTTACAATCTTTCCTCGACTTCATATAATTACACGATGTATTATGACCCAACTTGGCGAATTTAAGTGCACATTTCAGTAAGGGATGTGTAAATGGAGTGAAATACATTGTGCGGATTGTTATTGACTAAACTCATTGACTAAAGTTCACAAAGTTTTGGATATTTGAGGGTATGCTAATTTGTCCCTTCCACTTCACCCTTACTATGCAACAACAGCCAAAAGCTTGTTATGATCAGCTGGTATATACTTTAGGCTAAAAAAGGAGGGGGGTCAAGAATAAGGAATAAGGCAACCTTCCTCTTAAACCATCTAAATTTTGTGACGGACTATACTACCAGCTGGATTTTTAGCCATACATTAACAGTGATCGAGAACAGGTGAAATCAGTTCTTAAAGCACCAAGAAGTAACAGAATTTTATATGGTCCTACTTGGTGACCATATGATTACTCTATTAGCCAAGTATCGTAACAAATGTGAAAATTGTTTGTAAATATTTTTATTGGTGAAACATCCAATCACTGGAGCAAGCACCAACCTCATCTTCTATCCAGGTAGTATCACTTTCAAAGTACAATAAAAATTGGGAATTTGCAAGCAAACAAAAGTGATAAAAGGTCTGCAAGATTTCTATACGGCCAATTAAGATCCAATCCAATATCCAAAAATCAATAATATAGGGAATCTCGCTCACTTTTTCACATCATGGCTGATGTTAAACTAGATGTCCACCCTAATATTTTAATTCTCTGATTCGTATAGCAAAAATATTGAATTTTACCCGATTTATTTCCCAACACACAGATTCACTCACTTATAGGCGATATCCTTGCGTTTGAAGTCAAGCCTATGTTCCCTCAGTAAGCCTTTAGTCCTCTGTATACATGATTCCCCATCATTGCATGGGCGGGTGCAAGTAACGGTGTACCACACACAGTAGGCCGGGTGTAGTATCTTGTCAGGCTTTTCTTCTCTGAATTTTGTCCATTCTTCACGTTTCACAAACTCCAGTGGCATCGTTTGATTTGGAATCCTAAACAACACTAACTATAGTACTTTCGTATCCTAAACATGAATGCATGAATTTTCCTTTCATTGTGTATTTACTAATATGGTTCATGCAAGAAATTGAGTATGACCTTTGTATGCCTAACCTATTTAAGTGAACTAAGATTTGTGTTTTAACATTATCAATTGAGAGGAGATCAACCCAAAAATGAGTGAAGGATAATTGTAGAATCTTTGACTATCCAAAATTCAGTTGTAAAATATTGTGAGATGATCTGTGTAGCTTTGTTACTGACTAACATCAGCTGTTTCAGTCAGGACTTGTCAGGATCATTTAAAGCCCCATGATTAGGAACTGGTGGGTTTTCCTTTGAATTTGTGTTTTGTTTGTGTTTTTGTGTGTGTGTTTTGTTGAATTTGAATTTCCTCAAAAACACTGCTATTTTATATTTCTACTACAAAGCTGAACAGTTATAAAAAGCTAAGGTACGGAGTTAGAAATTAAATCACAATGACAATGATGTCCTTTTGATGGCTCTGTCTACGGTATTAATGACAAATCTAGGCTTTTATGCCTTAGCACCTCAGATTTAGTAGCGTAAAGTGGATGTCTAATTATTTATGTATTTGTAATTTACTTTGAGACATCCAATTAAATATTAATGTAGATATTTGGTCCTATTTCTTTTCTTATTATTAATGCAACAGCAAAACTAGTTAGTTTTAAAACTATTTCTATTGACAAGTAAATTTTCCTAAATTGTTATATCTTAATTTTATTTTTACTAAATTATTTTACATGTAATAACACGAAAAAGTAGCTTACCATAACGTACAGATAGTGTTATGAATCACACTGTAAAAGCAACATAAGCCGTTAGTCTGTTATTACATTAGTCATGTGTAATCTGGTTTTGTTATAAGAGTATAGGTTATTGATAAGATCAATTTATTAAGTTACGATTAACTTTGTTATATTCATTCTCTGTCTATTAAACACCAAGCAAATCAATTGAGATATGGATTCATTTACACAAACAAACCGTTTCTGGTCTTTAATGTTTTAAATTATTTGAGCATCGAAATACCAAATTTTATTATATGCTCTTTGCAAGGAAATGTACAAAAGTTAATAATTTAGTTTGAAGCCAGGTTATGTAGCTGTTTGAGGTAAATGAGCTTAATTCGCAAAATAAAGAATCATCTTTATATTTTTTCAAACATTGTTTTTGTTTCCACTATCTTACATCTGCAATCCACATTAAGGGTTAGTGATTTAAACGCTAAACACAAAATATGCAGTGTAAATTAATTCAAAAACAGAGTTATAGCAGCTATAAAAATAGTCAAGAATCAATAAATATGTTATAATTGATAATAATTATACAATTTACACTATTATACAACATGCCTAATACATTAAATCTATCTATATATATCTATATATATTATCTATCTATATATACAATATTAAAATTGATAACATCTTCTATGTTTCGATGAATTCCAAATTGTAATCTTCAGTGATGTACTTCATTCCTACAGCCATATTTACAAACTCCTGAAGAACGAAGAAGAGCTCATCGTTGTTAAAAGCTGTTAACACATTTCTGGTGAGGAAATTCTGGCAAAAATTAAGGTCTATTGAGGTATCTACATCCCTGAATCCAACGAAAAGTTGACTCAATCGTCATTTTGTACTCAATTAGTTACAGTATTCTAGACTAAACCACATAAACATAAAATATTTAAGCTCAGTAATAAATGCAGAGTTAAGAGTAGATAAAACCTAACTTCACAGGATAACATGATATGCTGACCAAGACCAGCTGTTTTTTTTTTATTTTTTTTATTTTTTTTTATTTAGATTAAGTTACTACTTGAAAGTCTAATAATCAAAGGAGCAGTTTTAACCTCGTAAAAAGCTATCTTAATTATTTAAAACTACTTAAATTTTACTTCGCTCACCACTATTTTGTGAACATAATGTTAGTGTCTGATTTTTTCAGAAGCCACTATATTACTACATATTTGTTTTCTTCCTTATCCTGACCTCCTGTAAGATGTTGATGTACAACTAGAGGTTGAATAAAGATCGATAGAGGTTCTTTGTAAAATATGTTTGTCACACAGATAAAAAAACATTTAATACAAGGCCGCGGCGAGACAATTGGCAACACCGCAATGCCGGCCAACTGAAACAGCTGTTGCTTAGATTCTTAATGGAGCCTCCACGCAAGGCCACACTATTGCTTCACGCCATGTTTATGTTTTCACGTTTGTTATTATTAACGTTATTACAATGGCAATAGGCCGACCTTAACGTTGCCACACACCAACGCTGCGGCCCTGTATGATAGGAGGACTATACTGTAACTATGTTTTTGTATGTACATTTACAGAATATATACGTACTTGTTTGTTTTCCAATACAACCAATGTATATACTGTATTCTTCGAAATCTGCATATCCGTGGTCTAAGCTTGGGCACGATTCCCAACCTCTTCCCTCATAGACTAACCCGTCACCGCCAACTAAGAAACTGACAGAATGAAGTACGGTTAGAAAATTCCTTAGAGTGAGAAGGAGAATTCTAATTCTGGTATTTATTAAATGGCGTATAATTAAACATAATAGGAAAATAAGAGATACATTTCAGACACCATGTAGTTGTTGAAGCAAAAAGTATACTTTTAGAAGTACTGGGCTTGTGATTATAAGAAGTGGTGAACTTATGAAAAGCAAATAATGTAGAGGGAATACGGCGGATGGAAGAAGATTCCATGTATTTATAAGAACGAGGTGACAAGATTAAGCTAATATGAGAATGTTAACAGACGATTAATCAGATGAACAGGATTTGAAGAATTGGAGGCAGATAATTTATGGTACAAAATACTAACTTGGGAGTTCTTAAGCAAGTACAAAATGCGTAAACGGTGACTATTTGTTGACTTGTCAATAAAAACACTACCAACTTGAAGCGTATGTCCTGCAGCACAATACGATGCTGATTCTGAAGTCTTCTACACTCATCGGCACAGGTATCTGGGCATGAGCAAGGAGAGGTGTTGGTGTGTGCATAGAACACTCTAGAAACTGGTAGTTCTAGATATGTTGATGACTTTGGGCACCTCGCCCTCCACTGAGCACGGCTCACTACCTCCATATCTGACAAAATGTATGACTTCTTCTATAGAACATTCATCATGTAAAAAATTACACATCTAACTAAAAGGTGGTCCTTAAATACTTCAACCGATTGATTGCATACGTTTTTGTATTTTAAAACGTAGCTGGGTTTAGCTATCTACGATTATTTTTCTTTTGAGTTTAGACACTGAATTAGACATGCTATTCATGCGGACCAGCTTTTTCTAGTAGGCCTAATTACTTAAGTATACAGTATTATATTTTATTGAGCTTCTATAGAATATAATTGAAGCTCAGTGTACTACAACATACTATGATATACATAATTAAATAATAACTTTTAAGTTACCATTCCTTTTGGTATTTATAAAAAAGACACTTTATGGGGGCTTTAAAGATATTTTGGTTTGCAATTTGTTTCAATCTTATTTAACAATCTGCATCTAGTCTTTGGTATGTTTTTCATTGTTAATAGATAACTAGTAAACACGTTGCTCGAAACCGAGCAATTGCAAAGAAGTAAAGTAGCCTAGTTATTTAAAAACAAATAAAAGTCATCATAGTCCAGGTAAAATACGAAAAATATATACCTAACCTGGGAAAAATTGCTTTAAAGCCAATCAAAGTAGAATTCTTGTCATTACATATTAGGGGAGGTCTCTACCAAAATCCGACAAAATCCGGCCATGGGAAAACCTCCAAAATCACGATTTAAAATGGCGGCTTTTCCCAATATTGGAATATTTTCAAAAAAAGACACCCCACTGCATTTTTAATCCACATTTTTCGAGATATTGACTTGGGACCACCGCATATATTTTTTGGGTGATTGGTACTTTATTTTGACAGTGTAATCGTTTTTGGCCGCCATCTTGGATCCGCCATATTGGATATAAATATAATTTCTTAAATGTAAAGATAGTGTTGTGACACATCATAATAAAGTAGATTTTCACGCAGATCACAATGCCGAAATCCGTTTTTTAATATCTTTATTCGTTCTAAAGATATACTAAAATAAAAATTCTACCCTATACATTTCTTATGGACGTTTCGTATTTTGAACATTTTTTAAGATTATTTTTCTTAAATCTCCAGTTCTAAATGAGGCTTCCAGTTCGTTCTGGTCTCAAAATGTCCAGTGATGTAACGGCTTTTATTTGAGCTATTGGTCATCAATTTACATGGAAATTGCTTTCCCTCACTCTTGTCCCTTTGGTGTCAATAAAATGTGTTAATAGAAAAGAATAATGCACAAACACTCAAATGATATAGTGATAATGTTTATTACTTAATGTACATAGATATCAAAGAAAAAAAATACAAAGAAGATTAGTTATAAATTAATGTTAAGGCATTACATCACTCTAGGTCTGAGTTGTTGTCAACGTCTTTATCCTTCTCAATGTCCATTTAATTCTCACAGCCGGCCTGCTGGCAGTGTCCACAAGCTCTTGTACAGGGTAAACCATTCTTCCGGCAACTGCAGCGTGTTGTTACACAACCAGAGGCACAATTACATCGTACCTTTGAAAGTAAAGAGGCGGGAGCTGGTGGCAAGTCGCACATTAGAGGGTAATACTCATTATTTTTCTCCAACCATCCCCAGTCTTGTGGATTTGCAGCGTCACTATCTGATTTCCACACATGAACTTGATAATACACACGAAGTGAATGGTATTTTGTAGCAGATTTTGTAGGAGGTAATCGTTCTGGCTTGATGAAGCCTTTTGCTACAAATACCTTGTCACAGAGCATGCGGTGGCGGAGAGTTACTAGCTCTTCGTCAGGTTTCCCACCGCATAGTATTAACATTGCTCTTTGTCCAGCTTCTGCTATTTTATCTTGATGTTGATGTGTAGCACAGAACACGCTGGCCGTTTCTCGCAGATCTTTATCGTTTAGCAGTTTTTGAAATGCACTTGTCTTTCCGACACTATGGATACGTGAAGTGGTATCACATCCTGTGAACGCATGCAAAAACAATAAGTGCTCACATATTTCAGGTCCAAGGCCTTGCCGGATTAGATTAATGTTATAGGAATTGAATGTCTTTGCTTTCCTGTTTACATCACTGCGGAAAACTAGGGAAAAGGGGGAGTGTTTGAAATAATGCAAGAGCAACAACAATAAATCTGTATCTTCGCCTATTACCGTAGTATTCATGTTTTCAGAAGACGACACTGCCTCTTTAACAATATCTACATCGGCATCCCCTAAGGCATGTACAATCAAGGTTATCAGCAGCAAGAAGTAGGACACCTCCCTTATCAGCTTCCACTAGGTTCTCGCTGGCTACAGTAGCTGCATTCCTTTCAAATTTCTTAACCTCAGAATATGAAGAACAGAATCCAAGATTATGTAGTGTCTCAACAAGGTGCTTTGAACGGAAGTGGTAATGCATTTGTATTGCTAAGCCTATCTGAAGAGGAGGAAGTAAAGCTCTGGGTCTCACAGCCTGCATTATACACTGTCCTATTGAGGCAACACGTGTTTCAGTGTCTTTTCCAGAGAAGAGTTTAGTCAACAACATTCTCAAGCTAAGAGGAAGGTACTGAAGAGCTTGCTGAAGCTCTAGTTCTTCGCAGGATGGGTATGTATAAATTTCCCCTGATGAATGTGATTTTATATCACTTTGTATTAGCCTGGCTGCTGTATCTATGATCCACATTTTCTGTGCATCCTCTGATTCTTTTGGCATTGAATAATACGAATGAAGAATCGTATTAGCTGTTTCTCGCAAGGTGATAACATCAACTTTTCCACTCTGTCCAGATATTACTATATTGTCTCCATAGTGTTCAAGTAGTTGACGCTTCATGTATCTTCTGTCATACGCATTAAGTTCTGTTCCCTGCAGAAACCCCTCCATTAATGACACGAGATCTCCAACTGTCACCTGTTCGTCATTATGTGATTCTAAGTGAGCACATATTTGTAGGAATGCATCTTTTTGAAGTTCATTTTCTGGTCGACCACTCCTTCGTTTTTTTACGGATGGATTTTCATTACATGCATATAGCTTAGGGATGAGATTGCCAGTGCGAAAATTAACACTACACGAATTATGGTACACACATTCTGCAGCTTGCAGGTCAAGTCCAAGATATTCCAGTCGTCCTCTGACGATATGTGACCATTCATCTTGTCGTTGCTTACAACATGCCATAATCGAGTGTGCAAAGGTGTCTGTTTGTACTCGAATGCCTTCGCCATTTCGCCCGTACTTATCATTGAAGTGTACAAATGTACCACATAATAAACAGTCTAGGTTGCTCCTGAATGAAACATCAGTTGACCGAATGCTTCTTTTTTTAACTGGGGAATCGTTTCTTTGCTTCTGGAGGATAGAAATATCTTTTTTGTCCGTGTACCGTTTTCGGCACGTTGAGTGTACTTTAAACCCATCTGCTACAATTATAACATCTTGGCGTAGTTTACTTGCATTGTTAATTCCTTCAGCACCTTTTGGGCTTAAAACTATGAGGGTATCATTGGTATCAGACTTCTTACATATAGCACACTGACCTGATAAGACTTCCATGATGATATTTTCTTTAGGTTATGAAACATACAACGATATTTGGCAGTTTTGCCAATGAAATAGTATAATTCATTGGTACAAACCATTACAAATGACACAATTGTGGTAATTTTAATTTATTACTATACTAAAACTAAACAAATGTCCAAAACATAACGTTAAAAATACTTATTATTCGTATATCAAAAAAGTAAAGCACTTTTTATATCAACAACATTGAAATACGTAATATTTGTAAACACACTAAATATGTTATTGTTAAACAATAACAATCAGCTGTTAAATACAGTGGGTGTTAATCAGCTGTGTAATTTCCACTGCTTTATATGCACAAGTACATGACTAGGGAGGGAAAGGAAAATGTGAGAGAGGCGGAGATCAAATAGACAAATTTCAGCAACTTGCAATTTATATATATATATATATATATATATACATATATATTTATATATAAAAATTTGGAGGAATATTATTATTAGCATATAAAGGGATCTAAAAAAATCTGCCAACCATTTTACTGCCTACTTACAAGAAATAAATAGCTGCTTTATATATGGGGAATATGTGGGGAATACACTACTGTATTTGTCTATTGTAAAATATTGCATTTTGTTATGTTACAAAACCCCAAATTTCTCAGTGTTACCATGCTCGGATTTTGTCGGATTTTTGTTTATATATTGTCCTGTATGTATAATTTGAAAATATGGCTTAAATTTGCTTAAAGCAATTTTGCCCACCTCATAGTGTATTTTACCCGGACTAATCATAATTTCCGATGAGTTTAAAAGACTTTGAATTGAAAAATAAATAACAGCAATTAAATTATAGGCCTACAGCTGATCAAAATGTAAACAATTATGTTCTTCATAAGGATAACATAGGAACTTTAACAGCCACTGGGGCAGAGCCCAAGGGACTTTTTTCAAAAATGTAAGGCCAGTTTGCAAATGTACGCGACACGCTCTTTCCAATGAGACGTCAATGGATAAAATCGGTTAAGAAATGGCGGAGGAGTTCAACCGACAAAGTTTCATGTAGCGTATTAATTATATAGATAACTAAAGTCCTATGCTTTTAATCAAAACAAACTTATATGTGATGTGCAGTACTCAAACTTTAGAACAACTTGAGTTGAACTCTTTAGTAAATGAGTTTTCTTAAAGCCACACAAACGCATACAAATTATTATGAGTAAGCTGTTGTACGAGTAAAAGCTAACGAAACTTACCTCGATTTCTAGCATTTAACTAAAAACTACTTTGTTGTGTGGTTCCGTCCATCAATAGCTTTTTGACAGCTGTTTGAAACATTTAGTGACGTCATTGCTCCATTTAAAAATTTTATCACTTCCCTGTTAAAAATGACGTCACCACTTCGTTTTCTTTACATTCGAAGTTGTTTGCGTCTAAGTTTGTAAACAAACTCTTCGTTGTAAGATTTATTACACTTAATAAATAAATCACTTTTCACACTTTGTGTAGATAAAAATTATCTAATGAAACAGACGTCTTCACTTCAAACAGTGCTTGACGTAAAGAACTAAGACCAAGATAATTGATCCAAAATATGTTGATCTTGGTGATTTTCGTTGTGTTTTTTCTCTTATCAATGTTTTAGGCCAAAGTGTCGTTAACATAAAGGGAACATGCCGTAGGTCAACAACATGACAGATATGACGAAATGGTAACTAAATAATAATGGTTATAAAACTATTAAATAGTATAGTAAACAATGGAAAACCTATTTTTAAATAGCTAAGCTGTAGGTTTTAATGAAGCTAAACGCAGATCATAAATTGCTACTTTTAGTAAATGTTCTGATCTTGTGAACACCTATAATATACCATATTTGTAAGCATTTAGAATAAATATGTTCAGTGAAATTTGATTAATTAAACATAAAAACGAAGATGTTTTAAAACTTTTCGACATTTACAACTCTCTCTCTCTCGGACGATATTTATATTTTTTAGAAAACTTCTCAAACTGACATTTCATCAGTGAACAAACACATCATATAAATTGGTCAAACGTTTAATTAACCTTTAGACCCAGGATCCCAGAGGATTAAAAATATCTTTAAGGAACTTTAAATATCCCAGTGTTTCAATAAACTTAAATATGTGTTTGATGAATTTGACGTTGCTTTTTTGTATTAATCAAAAATATATAGAGACCAGGATCTAGTAGGCCTATAATTGCTTGCGCATCGTGTTATGTCGTGTACACATTTTGGACAGTAGAACTTCTTGAGTTTTGCAAGCTTATGTTAAAGGGATATGCTATACTTACATGATCTTTTAACTAAAACATAATATTTTAACAAAACCTGCAGTCCAGGCGACCCTGACCCACCTCATGGAACGGAACTCATCACCACGAAGGAGGTCCCAGACTGCGTGTTGGAGGAGGTAGGCTTGCAGCTAGTGGAGCCGGAGCCTTATGTGAAGAGGAAGCGATGGGGAGCGATGGATCCTGTGAAGCCTCCAGTGTTCAGGGATTGCCCTCCAAGCCGCATAGTGGTCGTGGACACCGGGACAAGCCAGTGTAAGACATTGGAGCAGTGTAGCTTGGTCCTTCAACAACATCAGGAACAAACCATATACGAGGGAGGACAGAGCGACCTACCTTACAAGTAAGTGGAAGAGGACTTGAAGGTATTGTTTATAATATAATATATAAGACTTACCGTCTTGAAGCAATCCAGTTTTTGTACTCAGTGTACAGCTGTTTCGGCTTTATAAAGCCATCATCAGCACATTCTTCTATAGGTCAATTCATTGTAAATATGCGAACATTCTGGTTCTTGTCAACTTTTTACAACACATTTTACACAACATAAAAGATGAAAACATAAACTTTGGTAGGCCTACCCTACTTGTATGTCGCGACATAACCTCGCTTTTGACATGTGCTCAACTGACAGACAACAGACGACTGTCAGTTGTTTGAACTGATTTGAACTTGAACTTGAATGGGATTTGATTCATTAGTTGAACTCTGGGTCGTCTGTTGTCTGTCAGTTGAGCACATGTCAAAAGTGAGGTTATGTCGCGACAGCGGTGTTGCCACTTTTGTCTCGCCATGGCAAGATATGGCGTCGTTCAATACAGGCCGTATTTTCAAAAGCGTTGAAGTAATACATCTTCCAGGCAAGCAGCTGTCTAACAAGCTGTTCTTTTTGTGGAACTATGTTCGTCAGTGTTCCAGAAATTACTGGTACAATTTACATGCACCACTTTTATATATACCTATTGACAGCACGCTTAACCTTTTTAGTCTCACACTTCGGTTGTTGTGTCAGAGCATTCCCCTCCCCTTCGGAGCTGACGATAGCGCAAAAATACAATGGAAAACCACCTATGAAGGAGACCCTAACTATCGCAACTCTGAGCGCTGTTATAACTCTGAAACGGCTATATTATATCAAAAGCATGCTGTTGCCTAAAACGGTGATTTTGGTTTATTGCTGCTCTATGATAAAACATAATTATTGGATATGCCATGACTTGAGCTGCAAGGATTGTGATCTTATCCCATAGGTGGCCACTTCACTGGAAATATTTTGTTTGATTGATCAAATGAGTAGAGATAGGCCGTGTTTATAATCATGCCAACCATATTGTGAGATTGTTGCACACCCCGTATCGCGCTTCACAAGCCATATTGAACTTCAGGTACTACATAAGGTTCAGTATTCTGTTCCTGATATTTTCCTTTAGTGGCTGTCTGTCCCACCATAAAGCCAGAAGTGATTTTCACTCTCACTCTATTTTTTTGCAGAAGAGCAGATGCCTCTTCAGACTCACCACACTTCTTACATTATACAAGCGAAAAATCTTAAAAATAAAATTGTTCTCGATCACTTCTAATTCATCTGGACAATTATATGTTACAGTTTCATGGTGGGAGGCGATGGGAGAGTGTATGAAGGAAGAGGATGGAGAGCGAAGATTGCCTTGCCAGAAACATTCGCAGAAGAGTACGAAGACGACATCAGCTTCATAATAGGACTTATTGGAGACTTTTCCTCATCAGGTAGGTATTCAACTCACAATTAGTATAGTCCTTCAGTTGGAATAGTCGGTCCCAAATTGGTTTCTATCGTTAATGAGTTTAACCAATAAAACAAGTTATTGTCTGTTTTAAATTGAGGGCAAACTTATTATTGTCGTTCAATTTTAAATTGATTATTCTTGAATGTGATTAAACAATTGTGGAGTGTAGTGTAGTGTCAAGATCCTTAGCTAATAGATACCTTTTGTTTATTTTTAGAGCTAGAAATTTGTCCTCCAGAGAAAATGGTGAAGGCAAGAAGACAGTTTGTTCTCCTCGGGAAAGACGTTGGTATCTTCGATAGGGAAATCGAAATTTGGACTGAACTACAGTGGAAAGTTTGAACTGATTTAAAAAGGAATATTTTTTACGTATACGTTACCTCTGCAATAGTATTAATTTGTGTTTGTGTGTAAACCCGTTCCAACAACTTTAAAAAATACTCTTAAAAAAGTCTTAAATTTTGTACTGTGCTTTTGTTAAGAACCAAGTAATAAATGTTTAGCTTAAATTTGTTCTGTTTTAGTACTCACTAATTTCCCTACCTTCATCCTTCAAAAATTCTCAATTTATTTCGGTGATTTGAGAATTTTTGATGACATTTTTTGGAAAAAGTACTTTAATTGAACTAACGTAAGATGGTATTAATAAAGGTTTTTGTTTAAAATTATTTCCAACCATATGCCATGTATTTTAAATTCAGTGTACGATAACTACTATTTGTTCTGCCCGTGCCTCGCCAGAAACGCAGAGAATATTAAAAAAAGATAGTGTCACAAAAAAAGATTAGGTTTTCTCAAAACTTCAAATCCATCCTAGCTTTATATATTTACATTTATTTATGATTTACATTTAATATAGTATTTCTCAATAAGACAAACGTGTGTGTGCAAATGTTTCTTTTTAATAACTCTTTTCTCTCACGTTCATGGATTTCTCAGAACATTTTTTAAGATTAATTAATACGGTATATCAATTTGTATATTATTGGATTAAGGACACGCACATGTTTTGTTTACGAAATAGTTATATTTACTCCAACAAGTCTGGTAGTAGTTTCAATTATGTATTGTAGCTTTACTGAATAAGTCAAGTAGACAATTATGTAAGGTTTATCAAACTTCAGAGACTATCTCAAGATTCGTTATCACGTTACCATTAATCACGATATACAAAGTATGTAGAAAAGTTATCTTTGTATTAATACTGGACACTAGCATATGTAAGTGAAATAAAGTTTAGTATAATGTAACTCCAAGTTTATAATATATATTTTAAATCTACACAACATTAAGTTATTGCAGCTCAAAAATAAGAAAATAAAAATGTTAACACAAAAAATAGTTCACTATTCCGCTTGGAGTTGAACCTACATTTAACTTACACAGAACAATCAAAAGCTTTCGTAAATTTGAAAAATACGTATTGAATTAAACCATTAAAATTTTACTTGTCTTAAATCATTATCTACATCATGGGTTGTTTCTGCGACTTAGCTTACATTTTCTAATTAGTTTTATTATAACTAGCAATAAAATATAAAATCCTAAGTAATGTAATTAAAAGTTTAACGATAAAAATGAACTGTAATTGTTTCGTTGGCATGGTTTTATTGGTTTATAATAAATCTATATTTATAAAATAGTTATATAAAAGGCTATTTAATAACAGTTCTAATTTATCGAGTATGGTGTAAAAGACCCACTACCTGCCGGTGCAGGTTAATTTGTAAACTAGCAATAAATGATGGAGCTGATGTACTTTCTCCAATTACTTTTAATGACATCCTCAATTAATCAGTTACACCAAATGAAAACTGAGAAAAAATAGGAAAGCTCGATAGTTCCTTATTGAATAACAAAAATGTGTTTTTTGTCGTTCAATTTCGGTTTTCCAATCTTAAGGCATGTTAATATGACAAATGTTCTTACTTTTAAACTTAAAAATATTTATTTTATTTTCAGAAATCCATTCTCCTTGGTTTTTAGAGACTAATTGAAATAATAAAAACAAAATGGCGGATGAGGAGCCAAAGGTAGAAGAAAACGCAGAAACTCAGGTAAGAAAAACTAAGAAAATCCTGTGAAAAACAAAGATTTTTAACAGGGTCTTTAACAATATCAATCAATTTTTTAGAAATAAACTGTTATTATTGTAGTTACCAAGCAAGCACAAGATCGTTTCCTGTTATTATGGGAAGTCAAATACCTTTCTTATGTTCAACAAAAAAGTAGTGATCATTGTCACTTTTGGTAGACGATTTATCTTTGGGAATGGAGTAGCCTATTAGTTCTGTTTAACTTTTTATTGATACTTTTTAACTGTGGGTATAGCGTAAAAATATTTAAAAATACGTATAACTCATCCATAGGTTAATACTGTTTATTTTTACTATGGTAAAATTCAAAAGAACAAGAATAAAAAAAAATACCTTGAGTCAGTACAAAAACTTGTAAAATAAATTTCCCAATAATAATTCTCTACATGGATTATGATTCTTATGGGAGATTACTTTGCAAGAGGAACAAAATTATCATAGTGTAGGCCGTAAAAGTATGATACATAGTGAAATTAGGTTTTCAATCTGTATTTAAATAACAGTGTTTACTAAAAGAAACCATCACATTAAAACTGCAATTGTATCAAATAATCGGAAATTCAATTTAATTTGACACATCAACAGAAATATTCTTTGAGCCACAGGCATTCGAATAGTTACACAAAACGTCAGATACACCCATTTTATTCATAGGAAATAAAAAAAAATACGTATAACTCTTTGAATACATAGATAATTCCTCACATTGGCGATGCCTCAGACCAAGCAAAATTGATACAAGAACTTAATTAAAATACCGAAAAAAATAAAAATCTCACGAGAAAAAAATAAAATAAACCTAAGAGCTTATACAACCATTCATACAAAGTTTAAGAATAATATTTTAAATATTTACCCAGGCTGAAGATGCAAGTCCAACGGCGAAGTCCACCAAAGAATCAGCGATGGAGAGGATGATAGCTAGAGATGTTTGGGGAGCAGTCAAACCTATGGAGCAGGAGTCCCTAGCTACTCCAGTGTCCAACATAATCTGTACCTACACAGGTACTGCGACATGCGCCACACAGGAGGAGTGTACCAAGATAATCAAGGACCTTCAGCTCAGCCACATGGAGGAGCAGAAAATGACAGACATAATGTACAAGTGAGTATATTAAAAGGACATACTGTACGAAGATAATCCATGGTCTTCAGGTCAGCTACGTGGAGGAGCATAAAATGACGGACATAATGTACAAGTGAGTATATTAAAAGGACATACTGTACGAAGATAATCCATGGTCTTCAGGTCAGCCACGTGGAGGAGCAGAAAATGACGGACATAATGTACAAGTGAGTATATTGAAAGGACATACTGTACGAAGATAATCCATGGTCTTCAGGTCAGCCACGTGGAGGAGCAGAAAATGACGGACATAATGTACAAGTGAGTATATTAAAAGGACATACTGTACGAAGATAATCCATGGTCTTCAGGTCAGCCACGTGGAGGAGCAGAAAATGACGGACATAATGTACAAGTGAGTATATTAAAAGGACATACTGTACGAAGATAATCCATGGTCTTCAGGTCAGCCACGTGGAGGAGCAGAAAATGACAGACATAATGTACAAGTGAGTATATCAAGAAGACATACTGTACCAAGATAATCAATGGTCTTCAGGTTAGCCACATGGAGGAGCTGACAATGACAGACATAATGTACAAGTGAGTATATCAAGAGGACATACTGTACCAAGATAATCAGTGGTCTTCAGGTCAACCACGTGGAGGAGCAGACAATGACAGACATTATGTACAAGTGAGTATATCAAGAGGACATACTGTACCAAGATAATCAATGGTCTTCAGGCCAGCCACATGGAGGAGCTGACAATGACGGACATTATGTACAAGTGAGTATATCAAGAGGACATACTGTACCAAGATAATCAGTGGTCTTCAGGTCAGCCACATGGAGGAGCAGAAAATGACAGACATAATGTACAAGTAAGTATATCAAGAGAACATACTGTACCAAGATAATCAAGGATCTACAGGTCAGCCACATGGAGGAGCAGAAAGTGACAGACATAATGTACAATTGAGTATTTATAGAGTAGTGTACGCGTGAACATACTTTGATGGCGTTCTGCACAAGTGAGCATGTGTAGATTAGGTATAAGTAGACAAAGATTAGGTATAATAATTAAGAAAAGTACAGTAATACAAACGAAAGTATTAAGTATTTTTAACATGCTGGCAACACACAGTAGAATAATGGAGTATGATTATTAATCCAGATGGTTTCCAGTTTCTTGATTGGAGGAGACGGCAACATATATGAAGGGCGAGGGTGGACGACGTACGCCCCTCCGGCGCTAAAGGGGAAGAGGTATAGCGGACTGGACAGGAAGAGTATAAACGTCGCTATGGTCGGAGACTACAAAGGTAACTATGATTCTTTGGCTTTTCTTGACAGTCAGATATTTTAAAAATACTTCTTTTTTGATATTTTGTTATATTTTCTTTTTCAGAAGGAGAGTCTGAATGATCAAACCAATGTACATGAATTAGTAAATAATAGAGCATTTTGGCGATTAGTTAGTTAAATCTTTGTCTGTGTATGAAATTAACCAAAGACTACAACTAGACATTCCATCCCCATGTTAAATTTGTAGCGAGATTTTTTTTTTCAAAATCTTCGTAGTTGACGTGAGCCACATACAGATTGCGCTGATCGAAACAACTAAATTCTGTCAAATACACAAACTTTTTTACCAAGTCAAACTTAGGGAATGACTTATGATGAGTTATAGCAACTGTTATGACCTGTTACTTTCCGCAGTGTGAGGGCAACGGTTTGTAGGTACTTATGCAAACCAATCCCTGTCTCTGAGCACGGACGGTATGGTTATCTTGAGTGTGGGGGGTTCTTCCCGGAACCTCAATTGAGTCAAGGGTGTCGCCACCTCTGGTGGATAGGTTCATCCGGGTGGGTCCCACTTCTATACCTGCCTCCTTTTGGGAAACCCTGATGGCCTGGCAGTGATGTTGGGTCTGGCGGGCAAACGAAGTAGATCGGGTGCTGGGTCCGAGCCCGCCAGGGGTATCTGGGGATCTATCGCTCTGGTTATCTCTGGTTTCCCAGCAATGGGTAAGGCCTCGATCGGGCAGCGGTGTAAATGGGAGGTTGGGGTTCCCCCCGTCAGCGTGCTGATGGTCCCCTTCCTCCTGGCTATCGATGGCGGGTTCTGCCTGTCAGGGATTAGATAGGTCCCGAGTGTTGCTTGCACTAAATGCGTCTGGGCGCTCTACCATGGACCTCTAGGTCCCGACCTAGTGGAACCCAGGTGGAGTGACGCTTAAACAAGCAGCCGGAATCCCTGGTTAGGATTGAGGGGCAACCCTCTTTCCGAAGGGTCTGCTTCGGCAGCCGGCGAGCCTGATGACCTTAAGTCATCCGCCCATGGTGTGCTAAAGGTTGATGCGTAAGCTTCGGCCTACATCATGGGGCCCGGGTATGTCCTAAAGGATAGGTACCGGGTATGCAGTCAGGGGGCTTCGGCTCTCATGACAACAATAAATGTAAATGTAAATGTAACTGTTATGACCCATCAACTTGGTCAGCAAAAAAAATAAGGTATAAAATATAATTATAGACACTAGCGCATTCTGTGACTGGCTCACACAACTATTTCCTTTAAAAGAAAAGAAAATTGGCTACAGCTGGTCCATAGATGGGATATTTCAGTATCCAATAGTCAATGCTACAACTTTGGATAATTTACGGTATATTTAGTAAAAAGGGAGATATCTGCTAAATTTTAGCTTGTTTCACTAGCAGATTTGGTTTATATAACATTTGCCAAGCTAACATTTTTATTACCTTGTATAATTTTACTCAACATATTTTTTTGAATTCAACTTTATTAAATACTTAGCTGAACATGATTCAAATTATGAGAATATACAATTATAATTTGATTGTTTTCCTTTAAGTACTATCTTTAAACAGTAATAAAATGATATTGTTTCAGATGCTGACCCCCCAGAAAACATGCACATGGCAAGAAAGGACCTCATAGATTTTGGAAAAGAGCAAAATTACATCGACCCCAACACTGCTGCAATGTGGCACGGATTTTAGAAATAAATTTTAAAAATCTCTTCCTGTTTAAATACATTTATACCTATGTTGTATTAAAATTATGATTATTTAGGTCATTGCAATTTTTTCCTTTTTTAGTACTACCAGTTTAGCACCAAGGTTTCATTTTAAGGACCTATAAACTGAGAAATATCTAGTAATTGGTGTTTAGTGCTAGCCTTCAAATAACTAAAAGTTTTTGGTTGAAGTATAGTTAAAGGTTGTTCGTTTGAGTCGATTCAGAACCCAGATTTGTAGTTTGGCAATCAATTAGGGCATCTTACGAAATGTTTGCTCTAAAGAGACCATTTCTTGCAAAAAAAAATATTATAAAATATCACTGGCATCAATTCGAAAGAGTGTGCTAAAATAAATTCTGCTTTATATAACAACGTATGAAGTTCTGATATACATTGGTCCAATTTCATAAATACGAAATTATGTATAAGTTTAAATTGTATAAAAATATTGACATATAGGCCTAATCAGTAAGCACTGTATGTATATAAAATTAAATGCATTTTTACTTCCATATACTTTGATAGTGTGTAATGAAAGATGGTATGAGGACCATACTTTGTTTGAAAACTTTTTTCTGAAATGAGTACATTATGGTAAAGTAAGTTTCACATTTCCAAGCAAGCCCGTGGCCACTTTAAAGTTGTTTTAAATTTTGTATTCATAAAGTTAATTGATTTCAATTTCAACACAGATTACGATAAATGTGATAACTGTAGAATTATTAATTGTTAAGATATTGTATTGCATGCAAACGGTTGTGTTGTCTGCAACAGTTAGTTAAGTGAATCGATTGCTAGTACTCTAAAGCAAATCAAAATGTGTTTATATTTCTGATTAACTCAACTGAAATATTCTTTGAGGTTAGTGTATGGTTTATTTGTTAATTGATATAAACTGTTCACGAAACTGCAAAAGTGAATGAGAGGAAATTGATGGTATAGTTAATATTAAAGACACTCATTCCCTTTTTAGTATTTTTTCCTTTTTAAATCGAAAATCAGACCTAACTAATCAATTTTGTCAACAAATTTACATTTAACTTTAAAATTGTACCCTTATACACCAAACGAAAATTCCATTATGCATTTTTGCTCAAGAAAGACAATGTAAACCACTATGCTTTTACAGTGGAATAAACATCAGTGTTCATTTAATATCCATTTTTATGCTAAAAGTATGATTATGTAAATGTAAATCTGTATAAATACAATTACAGTTTTGCCTGTATATTGCTCCGAGTTATATATTTTTTGGTTATTTTTACGTTTTATACATTAAAGAAGCCGAAACAAGTCTTATCTCAATTTCTGTCTGTCTGTCTGTCTGTCTGTCTGTCACGGCCAGAAGACATTTTACGTGGACTTCTGAAAAACAAGAGCATCGGTCGGAAATCTTGAATATAAAAATTTTGTATTCACTGAGTGTTATATGAATATGTATTTAAACTGCCCAAGAACCTTTTCCAAAAGTTCCATACTATCGAAAATGATTAATTAAACAATAACAATAATCAACTTAATGATTTCAAGATGGCGAGAGTGCTTCGTATCAAGTACAGACCTGATTGGGGCGCTCGTGAGGCGGCCTGGGAGGAATCCCTCAACAGAGAACCTGCCACAAAGGTAAACGTTGGGTTTGATAAACTGAATTTTATTATTTTTGACTGTCCTACCTTCCCGTCCTAGTACTATAGGAGGCTCCAGGCTGAAGCAATCTTACACCCAACTTCAGTTAGGCCTAGAGGATGTCAGCATTATTAAACCCTTAAGGTATTGATTGGCAAGATTCGATCCCCTAGACTTGAGGACCGAAGCTATGTGCTCCATCACTGGATCAGCTTTTCATTATATAAATCAAGTTAATAAATGGCGAATCTGGTTTTAGCATTGATTTTCATATTTAATGTAGACCAGTCATTTCGCTCTAAAAATCTTAAGCTGCTTTTAATTTTGTTCAAATTCATGTTACCTGACGAAAACATAATAGATAACTTTTATTTCGTTTGCTGTTTTACCTTATTTTTAGGAATATTTATTTATAATTTAGTATTTTGTTTGTCCTTTCATAGTTGAAATCAACAATTATTTAACAAATAGGTTGTTTCATTGTAGTTGTTAGCCTCCGGATTGCCAAATAATATTATAAAAGGTTTAAATACCTGCTATTAAGCAATCCAATTTTGTTGTTGACACAACTAGTTTCGGTGTCTGTGTGACACCATCATCAGGCTGCACAAGGACAGTTTTCTTTCTTCATACGAAGAGCGTCATATTTACACGAAAATAATAAATAAACATTTAAACACGACACAAACACGAATACGAGACATTTATGGTAACTGATCAGTTAAGAAAACAGACGACGCTAACCCGACGGAGTTTGAGTCCAGACTGCGGGTGGTCAATGCAGTGGTGTACGTCCGTTATCTTATCATCCTAGGTTGCGTCCTGTCAATCACTCAATCACACCTCCCCTCTCCAGTAAACCGATGGCGGTGTCATACATAAAATTAGACGAGAAAAACTGTTGGTCATTTAGTACATTATGGTGGTCGGATTTTACTGCCTTATATATCTCGAACTCTTCCAATGTGTTAATTTTATATCTGTCTTTAGAAAAATGTAGAATATCCATATTGCTGCTAATGTTGGTATAATTGTGGCCTTGGGATATTAAATGCTCGGCAAAAGATGATGTTTGGTGGGCTGTTGACGCTTTTGGAATATGCTCTTTGAATCTTTTTGTAAAGGAACGTGCTGTTTGGCCGATGTAATATTTCGTACAACAAGTCATCAGCTGTAAGTTATTGCTGAAGTTATCAGCTGAGCAAGCAAAAATAGCCTTTCAGTACAAGGACATAAAACTAAAACTTTGCAAAACGATTGAAAACATAAAGTTTAATAAAACATGCCTACAAAATAATTTGGTTCCAAAATACATAAATGTAAAAGTTAGTGGTAAATCAAAAGCCGCCTTAAGAGCTAAAAAGTCTGCTGAAACCATTTGGATTAAAAATGAAATAAAACATCTTTACTTTAAGAAAGATGCTTTAAACAAGCTACTATTTAAGAAACATTTAGAGTTAACGAACAATTTACACATAACTCAACAAAACAATGTTTTGCTTGAAATTGAACTACAGGTTAGCAGAAAGATCAGTTTCAAAAAGAAAACTCAAAATAAAAAAGTTAAAAGTCTAATGGAATCTCAACATAAAGAAGAAATTATTAAATGCTCTCACACATTTTTTAAAAGAGTTGTAAATAACACAAAAATTGAATTTGAAAATGAGGAGTTAAATTTACTGTGCAAAGGCTTAAATTTTAATTTTCCTAACAGCAAGAAAAATAGTCTGTTTACTGAGTTACTAGACACTGAAGCTTCAATTAAACTAATAAAAAATAATGAAGTACGTGAAGCTGCTCGAATCATTATGAGTGATAAAGCTAGATGTATCGTAAAAAATCCTCCACGTACAAGAAAACATTTGAAGTTCAACGCCATGAGACATGTCCTAACGAGCGTCAAGCATAAGCTTGCCGACCACAACGCTCTTATCACCAAAGCTGATAAGGGCAACTCAATTGTGATAATGTACAAAAACGATTATGTAAATAAGGTAACAACGTTTTTGAACGTTAACAAAATACATGCTTTAAATAAAGATCCGACTTTAAATTACAGCAAATTGATAAATAAAGCCATTTCAGAAAGTAAAAACCTTTTATCAAAAAGTGAAATCACCTCACTGAAGGTAACTAATCCACAAGCCCCTATACTCAGAGGCCTCCCCAAGATCCATAAGCCTGACGTCCCCATCAGACCCTTAGTAAATTTTATGCCAAGTCCAGCCTACAAAATAGCCAAGAAGCTAGATAAAATAATAAAGGACCAAATTTTATTGGAAAATAGTCATAGTATAAAAAATAGCCTAGAACTTGTTGATAGAATTAAGAACCATGCTGTTAAAGATAACCACAAATTGGCATCATTTGACATCGTAAATTTGTACACCAACGTCCCCGTTCAAGAAACAATAGCTCTCTTACACCAAAACCTCATTAAAAACTCAAGTTTATCCAGAGAGTCGGTAAATGAGTTAGTTTCACTCACAAGATTAGTACTAAATCAGAATTACTTCAGATTCAACAATGACTATTATTCCCAGAAAGAAGGGCTGGCAATGGGTTCCCCCCTCTCCAGTATTTTAGCAGAGATTTTTCTCAACAACCTGGAAAATAAACATTTATTTTCTGATTCCAACCGCTACAAAGAAAAGATCCTGTTTTATTTCAGATATGTAGACGACACTATTGTTTTGTTCAACGGAAACAGTAGACAGTTGTCGTTACTCAACGCATACTTATGTGGCATTCACAGCAACATGAAGTTTACATTGGAGGAAGAAAACAATAATTGTTTGAATTTTCTGGACCTCACCATAAAAAAGCATCAAAATAAATTTGAGTTTAAAATATTCAGGAAACCAACATGCACTGACCAGACCATTCACTCAGAATCCCATCATCCGTATTCACACAAATTAGCTGCATATAATAGTTTCATACACCGATTACTCACAATTCCAATGAATGAACAGGACTACAACGAAGAAGTAATTACAATAAAACATATAGCCGTATCAAATGGTTATCCAAGTAGTATTGTGGATAAACTCATCTACAAACATAAAAATAAAACAGGAACTAATAATAAACAGAACAATTTCATCTCTGCAAAATTTGGCACCTTTATGAGCAATAAATACAAAAATCTCATGGCAAAAAACAAAATCACTGTTTCCTTTAGAACAGAAAACAAGCTTGGTTCATTGTTAAAGGAACGCAGCCCCACGATGACGCAATCTTTTGATAAATCTGGCGTTTACAAGATCAATTGTACCGATTGTACGAAATATTACATCGGCCAAACAGCACGTTCCTTTACAAAAAGATTCAAAGAGCATATTCCAAAAGCGTCAACAGCCCACCAAACATCATCTTTTGCCGAGCATTTAATATCCCAAGGCCACAATTATACCAACATTAGCAGCAATATGGATATTCTACATTTTTCTAAAGACAGATATAAAATTAACACATTGGAAGAGTTCGAGATATATAAGGCAGTAAAATCCGACCACCATAATGTACTAAATGACCAACAGTTTTTCTCGTCTAATTTTATGTATGACACCGCCATCGGTTTACTGGAGAGGGGAGGTGTGATTGAGTGATTGACAGGACGCAACCTAGGATGATAAGATAACGGACGTACACCACTGCATTGACCACCCGCAGTCTGGACTCAAACTCCGTCGGGTTAGCGTCGTCTGTTTTCTTAACTGATCAGTTACCATAAATGTCTCGTATTCGTGTTTGTGTCGTGTTTAAATGTTTATTTATTATTTTCGTGTAAATATGACGCTCTTCGTATGAAGAAAGAAAACTGTCCTTGTGCAGCCTGATGATGGTGTCACACAGACACCGAAACTAGTTGTGTCAACAACAAAATTGGATTGCTTAATAGCAGGTATTTAAACCTTTTATAATATTATTTGGCAATCCGGAGGCTAACAACTACAATGAAGTTATCAGCTGAGCAAGCAAAAATAGCCTTTCAGTACAAGGACATAAAACTAAAACTTTGCAAAACGATTGAAAACATAAAGTTTAATAAAACATGCCTACAAAATAATTTGGTTCCAAAATACATAAATGTAAAAGTTAGTGGTAAATCAAAAGCCGCCTTAAGAGCTAAAAAGTCTGCTGAAACCATTTGGATTAAAAATGAAATAAAACATCTTTACTTTAAGAAAGATGCTTTAAACAAGCTACTATTTAAGAAACATTTAGAGTTAACGAACAATTTACACATAACTCAACAAAACAATGTTTTGCTTGAAATTGAACTACAGGTTAGCAGAAAGATCAGTTTCAAAAAGAAAACTCAAAATAAAAAAGTTAAAAGTCTAATGGAATCTCAACATAAAGAAGAAATTATTAAATGCTCTCACACATTTTTTAAAAGAGTTGTAAATAACACAAAAATTGAATTTGAAAATGAGGAGTTAAATTTACTGTGCAAAGGCTTAAATTTTAATTTTCCTAACAGCAAGAAAAATAGTCTGTTTACTGAGTTACTAGACACTGAAGCTTCAATTAAACAAATAAAAAATAATGAAGTACGTGAAGCTGCTCGAATCATTATGAGTGATAAAGCTAGATGTATCGTAAAAAATCCTCCACGTACAAGAAAACATTTGAAGTTCAACGCCATGAGACATGTCCTAACGAGCGTCAAGCATAAGCTTGCCGACCACAACGCTCTTATCACCAAAGCTGATAAGGGCAACTCAATTGTGATAATGTACAAAAACGATTATGTAAATAAGGTAACAACGTTTTTGAACGTTAACAAAATACATGCTTTAAATAAAGATCCGACTTTAAATTACAGCAAATTGATAAATAAAGCCATTTCAGAAAGTAAAAACCTTTTATCAAAAAGTGAAATCACCTCACTGAAGGTAACTAATCCACAAGCCCCTATACTCAGAGGCCTCCCCAAGATCCATAAGCCTGACGTCCCCATCAGACCCTTAGTAAATTTTATGCCAAGTCCAGCCTACAAAATAGCCAAGAAGCTAGATAAAATAATAAAGGACCAAATTTTATTGGAAAATAGTCATAGTATAAAAAATAGCCTAGAACTTGTTGATAGAATTAAGAACCATGCTGTTAAAGATAACCACAAATTGGCATCATTTGACATCGTAAATTTGTACACCAACGTCCCCGTTCAAGAAACAATAGCTCTCTTACACCAAAACCTCATTAAAAACTCAAGTTTATCCAGAGAGTCGTTAAATGAGTTAGTTTCACTCACAAGATTAGTACTAAATCAGAATTACTTCAGATTCAACAATGACTATTATTCCCAGAAAGAAGGGCTGGCAATGGGTTCCCCCCTCTCCAGTATTTTAGCAGAGATTTTTCTCAACAACCTGGAAAATAAACATTTATTTTCTGATTCCAACCGCTACAAAGAAAAGATCCTGTTTTATTTCAGATATGTAGACGACACTATTGTTTTGTTCAACGGAAACAGTAGACAGTTGTCGTTACTCAACGCATACTTATGTGGCATTCACAGCAACATGAAGTTTACATTGGAGGAAGAAAACAATAATTGTTTGAATTTTCTGGACCTCACCATAAAAAAGCATCAAAATAAATTTGAGTTTAAAATATTCAGGAAACCAACATGCACTGACCAGACCATTCACTCAGAATCCCATCATCCGTATTCACACAAATTAGCTGCATATAATAGTTTCATACACCGATTACTCACAATTCCAATGAATGAACAGGACTACAACGAAGAAGTAATTACAATAAAACATATAGCCGTATCAAATGGTTATCCAAGTAGTATTGTGGATAAACTCATCTACAAACATAAAAATAAAACAGGAACTAATAATAAACAGAACAATTTCATCTCTGCAAAATTTGGCACCTTTATGAGCAATAAATACAAAAATCTCATGGCAAAAAACAAAATCACTGTTTCCTTTAGAACAGAAAACAAGCTTGGTTCATTGTTAAAGGAACGCAGCCCCACGATGACGCAATCTTTTGATAAATCTGGCGTTTACAAGATCAATTGTACCGATTGTACGAAATATTACATCGGCCAAACAGCACGTTCCTTTACAAAAAGATTCAAAGAGCATATTCCAAAAGCGTCAACAGCCCACCAAACATCATCTTTTGCCGAGCATTTAATATCCCAAGGCCACAATTATACCAACATTAGCAGCAATATGGATATTCTACATTTTTCTAAAGACAGATATAAAATTAACACATTGGAAGAGTTCGAGATATATAAGGCAGTAAAATCCGACCACCATAATGTACTAAATGACCAACAGTTTTTCTCGTCTAATTTTATGTATGACACCGCCATCGGTTTACTGGAGAGGGGAGGTGTGATTGAGTGATTGACAGGACGCAACCTAGGATGATAAGATAACGGACGTACACCACTGCATTGACCACCCGCAGTCTGGACTCAAACTCCGTCGGGTTAGCGTCGTCTGTTTTCTTAACTGATCAGTTACCATAAATGTCTCGTATTCGTGTTTGTGTCGTGTTTAAATGTTTATTTATTATTTTCGTGTAAATATGACGCTCTTCGTATGAAGAAAGAAAACTGTCCTTGTGCAGCCTGATGATGGTGTCACACAGACACCGAAACTAGTTGTGTCAACAACAAAATTGGATTGCTTAATAGCAGGTATTTAAACCTTTTATAAATAGGTTGTTCTATATCGTTGAAAGGGGCAGTTTCCAATTCTGTAGAGTAGCAGTAAATAAATAGCGAACATCAAAGTACATCTTAGACAAGACAATGCTCTATAAAGTATTTTAAGCCTGTTGGGGAATGTGTCTTTGGTTCCCGTCTGTGAAAATATGGTGTACAGAGTTAAAAAAATGAATATCGGGGTACTTCAACTCTTTATTTAAAGTAACACATTTTTTTACTGTTAACATAAATTTTTCCCATGGTACATTTTTTCTACCTTAAAAATAAATATTGGAATGTGTTAAATTACTTCAAGGTACTATCTGTTAACAGAAATCACAATATATTTTGTATTATTTCCAGGTATTTTTCCACCATCATGCTAACCTGTATGGGTGGCGGAACAATTTCTGTGACGAAGTGATGAAGATCATGCAACTCACTCAGGACCGTAACATAGAACACTACGGTCTGGCAGACTTGGCCTACCAGTGAGTGAACTCAATACTAAACATCTGTATCTTAGCATTATCCTAACGCAACTCTAATTCCAACAACAATACACTTACTTACTTACTCCTGTAGCCAATGAAAACCAAGGCGGTCTTTGGCCTGGCCAACCATGTGCCTCCAGGATCCTCTGTCCTCTGCCAGCTCCAGGTCTGCTCCTGCTCCCATACTCCTTAGGTCCTTTCTAACTTAGTAAATCCATCTCATCCTTGGTCTTCCCAACGCACCCCTGCCCTCCGGAGTACAGTAATGTAATAATACAATAATACAACTCTACTATGAATTTAAATACATATTCAATACGCTGTTCACTATGTGACATCAATCTATATTATTGCTTAGGTGAAACATACTAAGCCTACAGCTAATTTATACTTCTTTTTGGAAGGAAGTATTGGGGTACGATGGATGGTAAAATTATAAAGTATTCTATAACGTTTATACAAGGAAATCAATACTCTAGGGATATAAAAATGAAAAGGTAAATCGGTCCCGGATATAGTGTTGGAGGATTAAAATCTGTTATGGTTTAGCTAGGATTTAACTAAGTTAACATTGCTATTGAAAATTGGTTAAAACTATATATATTTTACACTGTCTTACTGATATGTCCCACGTGCAATCATTCCGTTGTCACTGATTGTTGTCAAATTTCTAGTTTCTACATCGCCGCGGACGGCTACGTCTACGAGGGGAGAGAACTTAAATACAACACCCCTGAGAAACTACGTTACAACCCTAACTGTTACGGCAACAGAATCGATATCTGCTACCTTGGCGACTATCTGGGTAGGTTGGTTTAAACTTAACTATTTACTTTTAGGTTTTTATTACATCTTAGTTTATATATGGAAAAGCAAAATTGTGTTTAAAGAGAACGTTAGGGAATATGAATTGATAGAGTGTGTTAGTCTCAATTCTGGTTCCTCTGTCGGATTCCCTACTGTTTGTTCTTTCAGGCTTGATTAAATCGATAGAGGATTCGACAGACAATACTTTTAATAAGCGCACCTTGTTGATGGGTTGACTACGTCCATTCTCAATTGAAAACTGTGTACTACCATTGACTATACACAGAGTAGACTTTCCATCCAATGTAAACATTTGAAGCCAAGAAAAACATGAAGTTCAGCACCATCTCACGAGAGGGTACAAGTGTATTGGGTTAAATAATTATACGGAAAGTAAATAAAAGAAACGTCTTATAACACTTAAAACATATATTTACGCTTATACTGTTACTCACAAGACGGTAAATATACAAAAAGATGGTAAGTGGTGATCGATTTCGATTGGACACTCCAATCATCATCAGACCCAATAGGCGAATGATAAATAAATAAATAATTATATATCCTATATTATTGATAAACAAAAATGTTTTTTGAACACATTTTTCTCAGTATATTTTGTAGGGAAAATCTACGCATAATGTTAAAAAAGATATTTTTCTGTAGATGTGCAGAATCCTTTTGTAAATTAAAATCGGCTCAGAAAAAAAAATATTTGAAAGAAATTAACATGGGCCTTGTGAGTTGATATTCTGGTGATGAAATAACAGCGAGATGTAAACAGAAAATCAAAACAAATTGCAGAACTTTCAACCAAATGTTTTATTTACAGCGTGGGTTGAAAAATTACAAAAATTACGAGAAGTCTGTACATTACATATTTTTGGTAAATTTTTCGACCACTGAACGACCTCTATTTAATATTATTGTTCCTTGCCAACAGCTGAATGATTCATCACATTTACACACAGAATATTGTAATTATAGTTCGGCCGCTTAGAAAGCGACCTCCTCCAGCATTGGTTTAGCATTAGCGCGCAGGTCGTTTTCTAAGCGGCCGAACTATAGTTGGTAGACCATCTCAACTGATTGCACCACAGGTTTTGGCCTCATATTTTACATTGGAAGGGAAGTCTACTCTTTGTATCAATGGTACTACCAATAGTCAATGGTACTATTAAAACATATGAATGGGTGGTCTAACTCTATCAATAGTTAAAGTTAATAACGTAAAATAATGTTGTTTATCTTGCAGACTGTGTAGATGATTCATTTTCATTTGACTTAACTGTGTTTGCAAAGTTAAATCACATCCTATTGGTGCTCAAACTATCTTGTAGGTTACAGACTTGAGTTTAGGGATTTTTTGCCAAAACTTGATATAAAAAGTTTTCCAGAAGTACCTACATAGGATTGAAATAACATGCAAATTTATCATCACTGATTTCCATGTTTTATTGACAGTTAGTGGCCTTGTCATGGAGGGTAAAGAATATATGGGTCGCTTCATATCGGTACGTGTCGATGAAGTTTAGTAATTGCTGTGTAGGTCTCAAAGTAGAAATCCGGTCTTCAATCTTGAATATCTTGATCGTACCGAACTTTTGAAATGTTTTAGTTCTTCTACCCATGATTTTTCAGCTGCCCAAGTCTCACCCCCTTATACATACACTAGCCACAACAGCTTTCTCCACTACAACTCACATAACACAAACTCATTAACAACCACAATTCACATTAACTTAACCCTAACTCTCGCTAGGATGCCTAGGCCAATTTTGTTCCTAACACAACGTACGTTTCGCAACACACGCAGATCTTATCGTATCCAAAAGCTGTGCCATAAAAATATCCTCAACCGCCCCAAACGCTCCTGGCCCACTAAAATTTCACAATCCTTGTGGATTTTCCCTTCACTGGGAAAATTCGTTCCGAAAGAAGCGTCCTTTTCTTTCTTCACCCTCCGTGTCCACATGCAAACCCCAAATAAACCTAAATTGTGTTTTAGAGAAGAAACCGCCTCCGGTTATGAAAACCATGGCAAAAATGACCGTCGACTATTGTATCCAGGAAGGAAAACTAGCTAGCGATCACGACAAAATCAACATACACGAGAAAGACGTGAATCCCCTCATTCAGACGATTCACCACTATATGAGAAGGATCAATTTCAAACGGGGCAAATGGAAACTGGTCAAAGACTTTGACCCCAGGATGTATGGAAAGGTTGGCCCTGTCAAACCGGAGTACAAAATCAGACCCTACCACAAGGGGAAGAAATTCGGCAGGCACACGGATAGAATGTATAAACATACTCTGCATAGGAAGTATGGAAAGTCGCACTAAGATTTTAGAATTTACTAACTAGTCGTGTTTTGTAGAAGAGAGTTCAAAACCGAAAACAAAGATGATTGAAGCTGGGATCCAAGTGGCTGATTACTGCATCAAGAATGGGAGACTGCACAAACTCTACACGTTTACCAACGTATACGACAAACTTGAGACGTACTACAAGAGGATAAATTGAGTTTGTCTATAAATTTGGGAGATGAATTGAAAAAAAAGAGACAGAACATGCATCACAACTATGAAAAATATGAAAGACGATTAATGTGTTTTATAGGTTAAATTATGCTAAATATTGGATGTGTTTTTATAAGTACAAAATAAATTAATATATGTATTTATATTCATGTTAAAGATCTTTTTTGTGACCAAAATATGTAAACTTATTTGACAAACATTACTATTTGTTTAGTAAGTAGAGTTAGAATAATATGAAACAATTATACATTTTTGTGTTTTTATGTATATCTGTAAAATTATTTTGGTGTTTTCAAACTCACAAAGAATTGTTGTAACCTGAATGTACTCTTAAAATAATTTTAATACAATACAATTTATTTTATTTAAATTATTTTAAGAATTCATTCGAAACAATGCAAACATAGTTTATTACATTATACTGTATATGATAACATTTTTTCTAATGTTACGAAATTGTCAATATAAACTTATATGCCACATTATGGCATCTACGATTATTACTTATTAAAACATAACAAACATGTAAAAAGTACAACAATTATAACAGTTTTGACATTTTAATCATTCCCCATCACAAAAACAACAAATGCATATAGCCTAAACAGAATGTAATTGTTTAGTTAATTATTTTATTTATAGAGTACATTTCTTTCAATCAATCAAATAATTTATTATCATGGACATTTACATGCATTGACATTGTCAGCGAAGCAGAACATAAAATGTCAATGTTCATTGTCTTAAGTTGACTTAGGTATGAGTCCGTTGTAGAAATTCCTTTCAAACTGTAAATACAATAGACTATGAAAAATTAACAAATGAATAATTATCAAAATTGAATAAACAAAATAGACTATATAGAAATAATTAACATATTTCTTTATATGCAAATTTACGGATTTATTTTTTATATTTTATTATTTTTTTTATTTATTTTTTTTTTTGCAAATTTATTTAATTTATTATTTTTATATCGTCACAAGTTGTTCCAGGAACTCTTCAATGCTGTAAAAAGGATTTATTCAGATCCAGTCACTGATTTTTTTAAATATGTTTTGTAAATAATAACTTATTTACGTTATTAACAACCATTATAAACTTTCTTACACATAACAACATGACAATTTAAAGATTTGCTCAAACTAGGTGCTGGTACCTTATTTGATGTCTACTGCGAGTATTGTTGGATGAACATCTTCATTCAGGACCATAACTAGTTTTTTTTTAGTTTTTTTTTAGAATAAATTAAAAGTTCTTAAATATAAAAGGTCATAACAGTAAAAGTCTTTAATTTAATGACAATAGGCCTAGGATGTTCAAGATGAGCTGGACCATCAATAATTCCAACAGCTTTTTTTAAATATTAACACTTCTTCATTCTTGAACAATTATTGACCCAGACAAGCAAGCAGTACTTAATCATTGGTTGAGAAAAAGCAAAATACGCCATTTGGATATACTCTGGAATTAGACAGTGTTTCAAACGCCCCAACAAGAAAACAACTCTTGAAAGTCTACACATCAAGATTTTAGTGAAGAAAATTAGAAGCAACTTTATTAAATGTAAAATCCTATCCTACAAACATTTCAGACCATATTTTCAAACTTAATTTGGTTTACAACATTATATTAATTTTGATCATGCAACAAGTCCTGGCGTAGTATTTAGTAGATGAGGAAAGCAAACATATTATAAATAAGTTCTAACAAAAAGCAGGCATTGAACCATGAATATTTTGTTTTAATGTTGACCTCTGTATTATTTTTTTCAGTCAAAAGTTTATGAAGTATAAAACAATATAAAGTTCGTAAAACTAAATATTTTTTACCTTACGAGCAGTGGAAAAATAATTTCTGTAAAACAATATTTATTTTAAAAAGTGTACAAAGTAACCCCTAAAAATACAATTTCAGTTAAACGAATCAACTTACAATGGTGTTACTTACTAGTACACAAGATGAAAATAGACTCAAAGACCTAGAAATATATGACAAAGCATTATACGTTTCATACAAAGTAATACCCAATATAAACATTTTGGAAATTAGCCGGAAGACTTCGAAAAGGCTCAGTTGCTATTAGCGACTTTCGTAAGTATTTGTTGAATATAAACATTTCTATAGCAAAACTTAAATAATGTAGCTATAATTTGTGTATTTACATATTGAAGCTTAATTAATGAATACAGGCAAATTTGAGGGAATGAAGTAATTCGGAGGGCATGAACCTATGAAGCTTTACGTAGAGAAACAAAGTAAGATAAAATCCGCCTGAACTACAGTTTTCGGAAAACTCAACAAAAGTGGAAAAAAACGAGTTCTGAAGAGGCATAATATGTATTTAGATAAGAGTAAGTAATTTTGTGTGATAGCTAGCATCTTAAAAATATATAACCAGATTATATGTGATAACAAGAGTATGAATAATTATCAAGCTTTAAGTTTAGTATAGGCCGGTATTTTATGTGAACGTATACCTTATTAAAAATATCTAAAGAATATAGACTAGTTCAACTGATGGATTTTAAGATTTATCCAATGACAGACAGCCAAGGACATTGCCAACTGGAAGGCTGAATTTTAATTTTACAAAATGGTAAGCTGAAAAAATAGTTTAATAACGAAGTCAGGCTAAAAAAACCTTTAAACTCGGATTTGAAAGTATTTTTTCTTAAAATATAAAAATACTCGCATTTATCAAATCAGGGTGTATATTTGTGTATAGCCTAAAGTAATGTGATGGATGCTTTCCATCTCTACTAGTGTCCTATTATTAGGACATACAGTGGAATTGTTAATAACTGTACTGCATATACTGTCATTTAATTTAATGGTGTACTATAACTTACTAAACATAAGATGTCGTCAACTTGTGTTCAGAATCAAGGCCCGAACTGGCCACCATTATGTATCCTACCTCGGAGCTACTGGCACGCCTCGCCACCATACATCGAGGAGGCCCTGGAACACCCCATCAAGTATGTGTTCTGCATGAACACACGCACCCTTCCTTGCCACATTGAGAACCAGTGCAGCCAGGTGGTCAAGGGTCTGCAGGACGCACACCGGAGAAACCACTACCGGGATATCCGCTACAAGTCAGTAAACCTAGAGTTTCTGTAGGATTAGTACAGCTATAAAACGGTCGGGCATTAATTGTGCCAAAGAGTTCCTTAATTGCGCCAAGCCCTCAAAGGGTTCCAAAAAATGATTCTTGGTTGCGCCAAGCCCAAGCCAGGTAGGGATGAGTTGCCGGCAGAAGGAATGTCCTTGTTAATTTAAAGTAAATGTTCACTTTCGGGCTAATGACGTCAGCTGTTGAAGTTATGATCTATACCTTTCTGTTTTCTATTTATGTGAAGTAGACATCTCATGCATATGGACCAGCTGTAGGCAACGTTTTATTTTAAAGAGCATAGTTAATTGAGCAACGCATAGAAATTTATACTGTTATAATAATAATCCCCCCCCTTAATTTTGAATGCTTTGTAAGACGGATATTATAAAGGTGCTGTGTTTAACAAAAATGTTGTCCTTTCAACTTTTCCCGTTGAAAGTGTATTTGGCAAACATCTGTATTTTACACCAGTGCATTCTGTCGGTGATTAAATTAAACTACGTTCATGTTTACTCCAAAATCGGATGCAGCTTTAACATGCAAATGGCAGGTCTACTATTATGAATGAAAGTTATTAATAAAACAAACCAAATCCAACATATAAAATACAATAATTATTTATCTAGAAAATGTTGGAGTAACTTGTTGTTAACTAATTTTTGAAGTAATGTAATCATACTTAACGGTATAAGATGTTTTAAGCTATTTACAAGTCATTTAAGACTTATAGCTGAGTGTGTTTATATCCTAGTTGTTAACGTCTATGAATACGGTGTTAAAAAGGACAAGTTGGTTTTGAAAAGTTTGAGCTACGTTCCAATCATAGCGCTTTTAATAATAAAATACAATTATTCCAAGGGTGCAGACCCTAAAACACCATGTAGTTTTTATTTTGTAAATACTGTATTCGACAATGGGAGCATAGTTTGACTAACACCTTGAATTGAAGTATTAGATTCAAACAATTCTTCCTCCGAAATAGTAAACGGTTTGGAACATTTGGTAAAACCTTGATAAAAAGACTCTCATGTGACTTGTTATCAATGTTGCCTTATTTTCGTGCTTTTCAATAACATTTAACTGGGGGTAAAAAAAATCAAGTGGATTTTAAAATGACACTTATCAAGGGTGACTAGTTAGCGAGGGTCTTGTTATCGAGTTTCTACTGTGTTCCTAATCCACAGAGAATTTATAAGCTTAGAAACAGCTTATTGAAGAGTGTGTACTGAATCTCGTATGAAAAGTAATTGATTTGTACAGCTTCGTTATAGCAGGAGACGGTAATGTATATGAGGGAAGAGGATGGAAATGTCAGGGGATTCTACCTGAGAAATACAGAGAGTACAATACCAAAGCGATCATCCTAGGCTTCATTGGTCACTACACAGGTATGTTTATGGTTATGTTAGATTATGTATATGTTTTGTTTTAGAATAATATTTTTATAAAGGAGAAATATCTCCATTCAAGCTTTCCTCAAGGTTAAACCACATCATGAGGGTTTGTAAGATTTATAAACAATAACATCTGGATTGTTCGGAACCTAACCCTGGACATGTAATGGTAAGGCAAGATCAAATGAAAGGCACGTTTCCTAAAAACAAACTACACAAACTACTGTACATCTTCTAAAGCAATCAAAAGTTTATATAGTTGTAATAAATGTATCCTCAGCTGCAATAGTTTACTAGTAAACGTATAAGCCTCTCTTAAAGCTTTTCAATATTATTAAGTAAAGAAAGTATTACAATTAATTTGCATTTTACTACTTGTGTTGTTTTCAGAGGTTGACCTCCCTGAAATTATGGTTCTCAGAAGAAACGAACTGGTAACATATGGTGTGAAGCAAAAATACATCGCAGAAGACTTCCAGCCCTATGAAATATTTGAACGAAGGCCAATGTATGACACGTCAATGTGAAGGACGATGATTCTAAAAATCATCTCAGTGCTAAATTATAAAGATAAATTTATAAGGTTGAAAAAGACTGGTACACTATAATACATATGCTCTATTGAAAATATAGCGTAATTATTTTTTACTTCTTCAATGTAACATTAAAGAAAATGTTTATGACTTTAAATATTGTAATAAAAAAGTGTTATCCATTACAGTAAAGATTAGTTTAGTTATTTCTTTGAGAGTAGCCAAACCTGAAATAAATTAGAAAAAAGTGTACCTAAGCTACCTAAAATCATTAATACCCTTTTCTTGATATCTGCAAAAACTGTACATATTTTAATTATTTATTATTATTTTATGGACATGTCGTTATCACGTAACTATTTACCAATTGTGATGAAATGAAATTGGGTTATCATTTCCAAAAGTAATACTATTTCAGCCTCAGCCAGGGTAGTGTAAAAGTTCTGAATTTGAATAATTATTTTAGTTCTTGACTCTTTCATCACCCCACCCCCCCTCACACACACACACACACACACACGCACACACACACACACACACACACACACACACACACACACACACACACACACACACACACACACACAGACAGACAAATGAACCTAATATAATTACTCTTAAAGTGTCAAATTTGTTTAATTCTAAAAACGTTTTTTTATCGTCCAGTAATTGTTTGTTGTCATTGACAGAAAAAATTAGTAACAATAATTACTTTATTAAGTTATTTTTTAAGATTAGTACTTTTTTGCTAATTATGTAGTATTTTCATCAGCACATGGTATGAAGGTGTTTTAGATAATACTTTGAATCTTTAATTTTTATTTAAGATGTGGCTTTTCTGTTTATCTGAGTTAAACGAAGGTACACTAGTTTGGCACGGTATAACTTGTCTATGAGGGAAAATTAACGGGTTCCTACATAGTTTATTTAATTATGAACGTACAGGATGTACACATGATTTTAATTTTTTTTTTTCAAGTATTATTAAAATGTAAAATACCTACTCATTTGAAAATATAAGTAGGCCTAAAGGTGAATTAAAAATCAATCTAAATTTTTTATAGTTTATTATTTACATAAGATCTTTTCTTACTAAATACAGTTAAGTGAACAATTATTAATATTATCTTGAATTTATCAGTGGTATTAAAAGTGCTATTTTAAATGCTTTCATGAGTGGAATTTAATTACCTAATTATTAAATTACCTTTTCATAATATAAAATTGTCAAAAAAGCTAACCTAACAAAACAAGTATAAAATTAAGCTCATATATCATACACATTATAGACAAATATATCATATAAAAATAACTAACTACACAATTCAAGACCTGTTTTTCTTTTGTTACGAGCTACACCATGTGGAGTTCGTAGTTTTCATCTATAAAGTGTTTCTTGATTCCAAACAGTATGAGGTATTTCATAGCTTCCAGCATAGGTCTGGGAATGGGGATGTTTTGATCTGAAACAGAAAATATTGCTAGTTACAATAAATGTTATCTTGATACAGCCTATTCCGTAACATAACTCAAAGCTATCGAGATAAAATCCCGTACCGTATACAGTAGTTATATTATGATGTACCGGTCGAATGGCTTGAAGCATATTAAGTTCTCTCAATCGAGGAGAGCTCTGACTGCTATTCAGAACTTCGTCCGAAGTTCTCAATAATCTTCTGAAAATGGTTCAAAGGTGCCTAAGTTTCTTCAGCTTTTAACGAAATCACTCATGTCTAATCAACAGGTCAACGTGTCAACAAGTATTTACCGGTTACTAGAAAGAATAGTTGTTAAAATTATTTTATTCCAACTAATAAATCTTAGGTAGCTCAAAACATTTCATTTTTTCTTCAATTTTTATGCCCCAGAGGTTCTTGAGCAAAAGCAAATAAAATTCAAAATCTTATTGAAAGGATTAATTGTGTTACTTAAATAGCTTTTGGAGTTTACTTACCTTTGTAGTCTCCAATGAGAGCTATGTGCACAGCGTCCTTGATGGTATGTCCCTTTGGCAGCCAATACTTAAATTCAGTATAGTTATGCCACCCCCTTCCCTCAAACACCGTTCCGTCAGGTGCTAGTAAAAAGCTGGACACGAAAAAGGTTGTAAAAAACATTTTCTTAAATGTAATAAAATGCGAAGCAGCCTGTCTTACATAGTCCTACACATATCCTAACTCCTTGTTCAGCTTATAAAAAAGAAACCACCTTATCAAAATTATATGACGTTCTAGACCATAGGGCATTCATATTCAGAACACCCTTGTAGTGAGCACTACTTCCGTTGTGCCGTTGTACCTAAGAAGATGGCCAGCCTAGGCCAATTATGAACACTACTTTTTACTTAGGTTGTACACCGTTACTTCTAACAAGACTGGCATCTTGAGAGCAATAATCGAGCTCTACTATAGTACTTATTACTTGTTTAGTTGTGTTCCGTTGCTGCTATGAAGACGGTCATAGTTATAGCAATATTGGAACACTTCTACCATTACAATGTACATTGCTTGGTTAGCTGTGCTCATTTACTGCAATAATGTTATCTGCAACAAAGCTGGAACTCCAACCTGTTATAGTAGTTTACGCAACGATTGCGTTAAGTTAGTCTTTACGACACGAGTAGAAAATTTAAGGCACGAGCCTTGGCGAGTGCCTTAAAAACTTCTACGAGTAAACTTCTACTTTACCTACGACAGTTTTTTTAATTACTCACAATCTAGTTTTTAATTTCTAAAAATCACTACTCATTACTTTTCAGAGAGGTTATGTTTTCGTTTATTGTCAGTGCCAATGAAAGGAAAGTGATGCAACGACTTATTGTATAATCAGCTGATTTCCAGTAATTACGTGTTTGTAAAACTTTGTTAAAAAAATACGTTACCTTTTCCAGGGAATGAGTTCTGCTAGCAGCTTTCATACCATAAATACTGTATCAGGTACAATGAGGAAAATTTTGCATTTTGTTTTTGAAAACTGAATGATTATAGTGAAACAGTTAATTTACAGTTAGATCTCAGGATCGAATATTATTGAATATTATAAACAGTTAGTTCTCTCATTTCCATCTCGTCAACTTCACTTTCACTGACATTTTTAAATCAGTTTAATCTATCTTCCTTTAACTTCCACAAACTTAGGTTAAGAATACGCGAGTATCAACAGGAACAAGTCAGATCAACAATTAAAATCGTCAACTGATCAGCTGATCAGCTTATTAGTTTACGTTCGAAGCATTACAATTTTACTTCTTTTCTCTCAATCCTTGAACCTCATTGGTCCGTTACCCGTGTTGTTATGATAAAAACTATGCTGTTATTTATTTATTTATTTATTTATTTTATTTTCAATGCTACAAAACAGCACATGCCAATTACTTTGTAGCATTAATCAAATGCTTAGTTTCATTGCTTAGTTATGAAATGAAACTATGCTGTTATGAAAGTACCCAGACAGCACACTTTCTTCTCAGGACATCCCACGGATATTGCGACAGGATATGCAAGATATCCCATAGTGGTCCTATGGTCAACTTGGGATATCACAGGATATCCACAGGAATGCCTAATGTCCCCGCCCGGGGATGTCCTACGGATAAGCTCACACGCATATCCGTGGGACATCCGAGGTCATCCCAGGGTAGTCCTCAGGACATTCTCAGGACATATGGGACTACTATGGGATGTCCCTGGGATAAAGTGTGGTCTGGGCCTGAACATAAAAAACACAAAATAATATAGATTTAGTATGAAAAGCTTAATTATAAATTTAGTAAATTGATTAAATAGTTAATAAACACAAATTTTGAAGAAAAAAACGAGAAAAAAGTTTTTGGCCCAGACGGGTTTCGAACCTGGTACCTTCGCCTTGTGAGCCTCTTACCTTACCTCCTGAGCTATCTGCGCTTGTTGATTATGGGTGTTTTCAAGTGGTTAAAGAGTAGCCGACAGTTGCAATGGTCGCAATACTTAAAATATTTTTGATACTACAGTATAGGCTATATATGATTCTGTTAATCTGTTTAGGCCTCAAGTAGTTGAATTGTTTTTCTGGTAGTTGGAGAGGATACTGGTATTTGAATATAGATTATTTAATCACCATTAGATTAGCACTGTAATAATTGATTGTTATATGATTAAAATTAGTTTTTTGTTGTTTTATTAATTTAAAGTTAGAATTAAATTCACATTCCACACAACTATGATAGAACTCTAGTTTTCCTGAACTCAGTGGTAGTAATATGTCAGTAAAGTAAAGTCAACCCTTGCTAGCCATAGTATTAACAAGACATATTTTCAATCTGGGAAACCTTAAACTTTTAAAATAAATTATAAAACCTCAACATCTTAATGCGTGGGAATCTTATTTTTAGAAAAAAAAAACAGACCAAAATTATTTGTTAAATAATGAAGACGGCCCAATTATAAATTCGGAATTACTGAAAATAATTACATCAAGAACAACACTGTAACATATCCAAAATTCAAAAGATTAATTTTTCTAATATTATTTTTTATTTTTCCAATATCCTTTAAATCATCTGTTTTAACTTTGTTTAAAATTAATTTATTGAGTAAATATTTCCTTTTTGTACTAGTGTAAACACAGCCTGAAGATGGAAACCAAGTTTCTGAAAGCACTAGTGAAAAAAACAAATTATTATATATTGGCCTTGTTGAACATTTAAATTTGGATATACTGTACATTTCATCAGTGGTATAGTATTTTTTTTCTTCAGTTTGTTACCGGGACATTACGGGACATTACAGGATATCCAGTGGATTTTGTACATGTCCCGGGATGTCATGGGACATTCTGGGATATCCTATGGCATTCGTACATATCCCGGGACTTTACAGGATATCCTGAGGTTAACTTACAAATCCCGGGACATTACGGTATATTGTAGGATATCCTGTGGATTTCGTACTCGCTCCGGGATTTTGCGGGATATCCTGAGGATAGCGCACATATCCCGAGACATTCTCAGGACATATGGGACTACTATGGGATGTCCCTGGGATAAAGTGTGCTGTCTGGGTAAACAGCTGGTAAGTGAAACTTTCAATTCTAAGAACTAAACTGAAATAAATACTTTAAAAAACTGTCGTAGGTAAAAATATTTGACACGGTTCTGTCCTGCAGACCACGAAAGCGATCAAATTATGGTTTTACTAAGAAACAAACTTACTTATAAGGAATGTCCAGACGCTTCTTGACAGCCTGATGATACTTCTGGAACCTTTTGACGAAGTGTTTGCAGCTCTGAAGAGAGAAGCAAGGCTGGGTCCTTGTAAGGGAACATATGACATGTTGGACTGGTAGAGTCAGGGGAAGAGTCTGTTTAGGCTGCCTCGCTCCCCATTCGTCTCTCGTTACCATGGTGATTGTCATAGCCATGATTACTGCAACAATGTTGTCATTTGGGCACATTACAAAACCGTTAGGTATGTATTTTGATTAATTGACTCAGAAAATACCTTATTTTAAATTATAGCATTGACTATGGATAGGTATGGACAATGGAACTAAGGCGTTTCATTCCCATGCTAAGTTCAATAATAGCCTCCTTTTAGAGGAGGTTATGGTTCGATCAATGTTTAAAAATAATTTTGCATAATCATTGACTAACTTAATCCGTTTTTTAACTGATCTCTAATATTCATTAATTCATTATTCTTAATTCATTGTTTTGGCATTCTCTAGTTCCTTATAAACACCAATATTTTAGTTAGTTTTCATTTCTTTTTTTCTTTTAGAAATTTGGTAATTTTTTCCTTAATTTTTCTAACAATACCTGTTCAAGAATAAAATATTTCTTCTGACAGAGCCTTTTGCAAATCAAAATTTGTAATAAATAGCTATTTTAAATGTATATCGTTAGGATTTTTTGAGATTATTTATAAAATACCAACATTGAAACTTTCATCATACCACAGATTATAAAATGAATGGAGTATTTTTTAAATCCAATAGATCTTACATTGTGTTAACTTTTAGCTTTTATTAAAGCTTTATTCAAGCTAACATTTACAACCATCAAACGTGTTCTAGGAATTGTTTTAACATTCCTACGTGCTTATTAACTGAATACTACATTTATATTTCAAAATTATTTTATTATTTTTATTTTAAAATTTTTGATACAAATAGTAAAACATACCTTAATTGTATTAAAATATTCCCTGTAAATAAAAACCAGAGTAACCTGCAAGCAGAAAAATGCTCCTTTTCAGTCTTTTTAAAACTTATCTTAAAACTTATGTTTAACTTGCGTTATACGTCGCACGCACTTGAACTAGAATGTTTGTTTTAATATTGACCCATCATATTATATAATTGGTTATCAGTGTCGATCACATTATTTAAAAATATCCATAGACGGCAAACTTGGCCAAAGTAAGGAATTTTTTAAATGACAAATTACAATCTTGTTCCATAAATTTAGTTCTAGAAGTTTCTTTACAACAAAATATTGATAAAATAGATTGGTTATGCAATAACTGTAGATAATATATTACAAGCTATGTAACATTGTTCTGGAGTTATCCAACTATGTTTTATTTTGAATTGTATGTTACATAATTGTTTAACTTCCGTGTTTCTTTTACTTTGTTTTAGTTCGGATATTTTACAGTCGTTTACTTGTTGTAAAACTTTTACAGTTGGTAAGAACATTGCATGTACATGTACATTGCACTTTTTTCATCCCCCCCCCCCTTCACCGAATTAAATATACTAATTCACATTTCTTACTCCTTGTTAATAATGGTTTTTGCATTGGTTCTCATGAACCATAAATTGAAAAAAAATATTCTTTTTAAGAATACATTTGTAGTTTCATGTACATAACATGATTTACAATAACCCGTTATTTTTTCCAAAGCTCTTCCTAAAATATAAGTTAAATCCGTTGCAAAAGTGAACCTTAGTGTTCATTTAAATTTTAAATAATATTTTATTTAAGCACCCTTTTTTTCTCCAGCTTAGGAAACTGTCTTAAATTGTTTTTGTAACCAAGAGAGAAAATGTATATAATGCTTTCTTAAGCTGCAACCCCATATTTACACTTTAAACATTTATTTTGGAAAACACTACAACTGGAACTTGCCGAAAGGACTATCACATAGTAAGATAAAATTTATTTTTTCTGTAATCAATAGTTGGTGTGCAACTTCTTGCTGGAGGAAATCTCTTTTCCACCACACTAAGATATTTTTAGCTGTTTTACTGGTTTTTAGCTGTTAATTGGTGGCCGAAAGTTACATTTTGCTGGCCATGCCAGCTGTCATCGACATTTGGGGACCGAGCAGGATTTTACATCCCTAGGGCCGCAAAATCAGCTGACCCCTTACTTTCTTAAAACATGAATGCATATTAAATACACAACCAGAATCCATAGCATTGCAATAGAACTGTTTTATTGTCACCGCTGCCTAGCATCTATTAATTATTATTTTTGCTGATTCTTTAAATTATTTCTTTACATAACCTTTAAGTTGTACTTTTATTGACTATCAGTGTGCATTATTACTGGCGTGAATAGTAGTAATAGGGTATAGTGTGGTGAAAAAATTTCATCCCGGCATAAGAGGTTCCTCTATCAACTCTTGCACACTGTAGAGGGGCCTTTGAAAGAGAGCAATTCTAAAAATTGTCTCGACTGTTGAATATTAAATTTGACAACGATTGTTTAAGATGGGCTGTTATTAATGTAAACCCAAGTGGAGAAAGCAACAGATATTTATTTTACCACGCCAATTTTGAGATAGTCATATCTCCAAACCAACTCCCCATCCTGAGTCACCTCGCAGGGTGGCAACATGACCACATTAAATACATGAAAATTAACTTTCAAGTATACCACATATAACACTTCATTACTGATTAATGTTCATCTTATCAAAAATTCATATTATAATAAATCCCACAAAAACAGAATAAACTGCAGAATTTAACAAAAATATTCTTTTAAATGCATTTTACAAATAGCCTAAACTATTTTTTCTAGAGACATAATTTCATTTAAAGAAAATGAATCATATTTATCTGAGGCTGAAAACAAATTCGAGGTACTGTGGAACGTCATGTTCCTACATAAATGGACGCTAAATTATACCAAACAAGGTTTCTCAAGAGGTCTATAACCACCATTATTATTATAACCCTTTATTTAGGATCAGTACTCCATTCCATTGTAATTTCTAAAGGTTTTAGTTCTAGCTGTGTTGATTCTTAAAAAATATGTCTCTAATAAAAACAACTTTTTAGTGGGCATAATTGTTATCTTTAGATGTATCATGGTAATAAATCATTTTAAAGATATTTATGACCGGTACCAATTCAGAGCGTTGTTGTATTGTCTGTATTTTAAAGAGCATTTACATAAACTCTCAGCGAAGCTAGGATTGGTGATTTAAGACACACACTACAATATTAAATAATACATTTAATGACTTATAGTAATATTTATAATTAAAATATAACGTACAAAATTTATAACATAAGCAGTGGTAAAAAATACAAGAATAATAACACAATAAGCACTCCACATTATTATCACCGTGGAAAATGCTGTTCGTAGTTTTCCTTGATGTATCCATTTTTGATGCCGTTATTGATGAAAGAGTCGAGCATTTCAAACATGGCATCGGGTGGTTGTCTGTCTAGAACAAAATGTGTGTTGTTAGAGAATAACATACCATGTTTGCTTAAAAAGGCACCAGTGGATAAATAAATAAAAATTAAAAGTTGTTTATTCCTTTTTGCACAGTAAATATTATATCGTTTTTATTCACGTCATCGAATTACCGTGCGTAACCAACATTCACGGAACATCTTCTATATATTTAATACAATAAGGGTTTCTTCTGTAACATCTTTTTCACCCGTTTAACTTAATCGATTTTTACGATTTCGGTAAAGCTTATGGTCCAGTGGAGTAACGAATTGTATCTAAAAAGGTCATTTCCTTTAGGGCTTCGTCCCCTAAGCTTTTGATTTATTCAAAGACTTCGCTTTCAACGATGTAGTGGTGCTGATCAACTTGATTTAATAACGCTTTCAAATTTAAATTTTAATTAAACAGCTGATCCTTCATTTAAATGTTTAATCTCATTGATTGAGCGAAGCTCTTATACGTCGCCTCTTATGCATTTCGTAATACGCAAACTCCTCCTAGACGGCTGAATCAATCGTTTTCAAATTTTGCATGGTGATAAAGACCATATCGGTGAGTGCTAACATCTATATGGCGTTAAAAAAGTCTCTCAGGAATCCGCCCCACTGGGTCTCTAAGTTTCAATGTAATCCTTATGGAAGCAGTATTTGACACATAAACAAAGACATATGATCAGCTGTTGGCTTTTGAATGCAGCAGATAAAGAAGTAGCTGATAGCATTATTCCACAGATATTTGAACAGAAACGGTATGGATCATAAATATAATCAAATGACGACACTAGCTTGAGGTCCGTGACGAATCAAGTGGTGAAGGAAGTAATGAAGGAAGTAGTAAAGGTGAGCAGTCTGGAGTGTGGAAACTGTTTATGACGATTAGATTAAGGTACTGTATCTGCATTCCTAAATTTCTATGGGAAGGGAGGAAAACAGGTCCGCGACGTAGGAAGTGGTGAAGGAAGTAGTAAAGGCGAGCTGTTGGGGGGGGGGGGGATGGGATCTGTTTGTGACCATTAGATTAAGGTATTTGCAAACCTATGATGCTATGGGAAGGGAGGGAAACAGGTCCGCGACGTAGGAAGTGGTGAAGGAAGTAGTAAAGGCAAGCAGTCCAGACTGTATGGGAACTGTTTGTGACGATTAAATTAAGGTATTTGCAATCCTATGATGCTATGGGAAGGGAGGGAAACAGGTCCGCGACGTAGGAAGTGGTGAAGGAAGTAGTCAAGTCGAGCTGTCCGGAGTGTGGGAACTGTTTGTGACGATTAGATTAAGGTATTTGCAATCCTAAAATGCTATGGGAAGGGAGGGAAACAGGTCCGCGACGTAGGAAGTGGTGAAGGAAGTAGTCAAGGCGAGCTGTCCGGAGTGTGGAAACTGTTTATGACGATTGGATTAAGGTATCTACAATCCTAAAATGCTATGGGAAGGGAGAAAAACAGGTCCGTGATGTAGGAAGTGGTGGAGGAAGTAGTCAAGGCGAGCTGTCTGGAGTGTGGGGACTGTTTATGACGATTAGATTAAGGTATCTGCAACCCAAAAAAGCTATGGAAATGGAGGGAAATCGGTCCGCGATGTAGGAAGTGGTGGAGGAAGTAGTAAAGGCGACTTTTTCGAAGTGTGGGATCTGTTTATGACGATTAGATTAAGGTATCTACAATCCTAAAATGCTATGGGAAGGGAGGAAAACAGGTCCGCGATGTAGGAAGTGGTGGAGGAAGTAATCAATGCGCGCTGTCTGGATTGTGGGAACTGTTTATGACGATTATATTAAGGTATCTTCAATCTTATAATGCTATGGGGAGGGAGGAAAACAGGTCCGCGACGTAGGAAGCGGTGAAACAAGTAGTAAGGTGAGCAGTGTGGAGTTTGGGAACTGGAAACTGTTTGTAGCAGTTTTAATGTATCTGCAATGCTGAAATGCTATGAGAAGGGATGGAAGCATGCCCACTACATAGGAAATGGTGACAGAAGTAGTAAAGGCTAGCCGTACGGAGTGTGGGAATGTTATTTGTGGCAATTTAAGGTATCAAAAATACTAAAATGCTATGGAAAGTGATGAATACAGGTCCACGACGTAGGAAGTGGCTTAGGAAGTATTTAAGTATGAGCATAGTGTGAGATCCGTCTGTGGCAGTTAGATTAATGTATCTTCAATCCTAAAATGCTTTGAGAAAGGAAGGAAACAGGCCCCACGACGTAGGAAGTGGCGAAGGAAGTAAGGCTGGCAGTGCAGAGTGGGGGAACCGGTTGGGCAGTTAGATAAATGTATCTTTAATACTTTAATGCCATGAGAAAGGAAGGAAACGGGTCTATGACGTAGGAAATGGTGGAGGAAGTAGTAAGGCTAGCAGTGCAGAGTGTGGGAACTGTCTTTGGCAATTACATTAAAGTATCTGCAATGCTAAAATGCTACGGGAAAAGACCGTAGATTGTATGTTAAAATTATTACGAAGCACGAATCGATACATATTTTCGATACATGCAATCGTTTACAATCGAAATTTACAACTGAGTTGACAACAGCAGATTTTTACTCCATAGAGGCTAAGATTGATTTTTACTCCCTTATTTAAAAAAAATGCTAATTAGATACCCGCAACGCATGCATTAAAAATGTTTACTGCAGTATGACAAAAACAATATAATATGAACCCTTGATGACTCCGCTCAATTTTGTGGATGCCTCTGCGAACGCCACCTAGTTTAGATATTTAACAAGGGCCGGTTCATGAAAATGAACTTTAAACAGACTACTTTTTATTTACTACTAGCTGGCCCGACAGACGTCGTCCTGTCCTAATGTGGTTTTATGTCAAATGCTCGTTAATTTTCAAGATGAGCTTGTTTGCATGCTCAATCACGTCCTGGTTGAAGTTCGATCGCTACGCTCACTCACCTTTTGGTTGAAAATTAGCTGTTGTCATAAATTAAAAAACTTGTGCTGCACCCTGCTGGTAAACCTATTAACTTTTTAATGCTATTGAACATCACAGAATCAAATTGTTTAGTTGAACCAGCTGTTAAGATTCTTTAATTCCATTTAAATATGAGTACTCATAAGGTTAACATAAGAAACTCCAGAGCCACTGGGGCGGAGTCCTTTTGACGGATCTGCACCAAACTTCACACAAACCATCCTTAAATAATGTTTAATAATGCCTGAAAGTTTCATTACAATCTGTTGAGTGGTTTCGGAGTCCATAAAGGACAAACAAACAAACAAACAAACAAACAAACGTTCAAACATACATTGGATTTTATATATTTAGATTGTAACCTGAATGAGGTAGGTATACCAACCATTTTTTATGGTGTAGATATACAAAAAAATAGATAGTAAAAAAATTGTAAATTAGTGGATTTATTTACCTAACAAATAATCTCTGAAAGGTAAAAGGATATTGTATTTAGTTTTGCCTTCCAAACAAGTTCTGAATTGTCATTCCTGTGTTAGATTAGTTTTCAGTTTAGAAAATAACAAGTATTTAAGTATCTAAAGTAAATGCTTATTTTTATGCTAAGATAATAAACCCAACAACGCCTAAAGAAGAAAGCTATACCAAAGAAGAAAGTTAATGTTTAACTAAGATAAAAGAAACATTTCAATTTAAAAGCGCTTGGGCGTTAACGAAATAAAACTCATCCAAACAGACTACTTCATATTTTGTACTTAAGAGAAGTCAACTCAATCTATGGTTGTGTTACAGAAAACTTATAATGCAATAGAAACCTTTTACAAAGTAAATCTGCTTAAATAATTATTTACTTCACCTTTGAAGGCTCCTATCATCGCAATAATGATGCTTTTGTAGTTCAAAGTCATGATGTTTTCTATTTTCGCAGCGTAAAGCCATCCTCTGCCTTCATACATGTTACCATCACCACCTATGAGGAAACTGGAACATACATGAATTTATTGAGTAATTGAATGGTGCAAGAAGAATAATTATAAGTTATTCTTTCTTCCCATAGAATCGTAGCATCTGAAGTTTTACGAGGGTTTAATATCTGTTAGATTAGAATAGATGTCTACGACACTTACACACCAGGTTGAAGATAAGTGAAGTATGTGAGTTGAATGGAATGAAAACCGTTATTGTATATGCTACTTAGCTTTTCATTATGCAGCCTTGTATACATACTTGTATTAGATATGTCGTATAGATGGTTCTTTTATGGGCTACATAGCTTTTTAACATGTAGCCTTGTATACATACTTGTACCGAATGTTGTATAGACAGTTTTTGCTTTGGCTACTTGATTTCAACATGCAGCCTTGTATAGCATACTTGTACCGAATGTCGTATTGCCAGTTCTTGTATAGACTACATAGCTTTTTAACACGTAGCCTTGTATACATACTTGTACCGAATGTAGTATAGCTAGTTCTTGTATATACTACATAGCTTTTTAACATGTAGCCTTGTATAGCAAACTTGAACCGAATGTCGTATAGCGTTCTTGTTTAGACTACATAGCTTTTTAGCATTACCCCTTGGGTACTTACGTATTATACGGAGGCCACCCTTATACAACGCGCTGCGGCGGTTAGGTTTGGTCATCATGAAGCTTTTATGACTTGTCTGGTTCGATTCATAACGAAAGTAGGAAAGTCCTACAAACATATTTATAATAGACCAACCTAACCTAACCACCGCAGCGCGCTGTAAAATAAGTGGCCTCCGTATAATACGTAAGTACCCAGCCTTGTATACATACTTGTCCCGAATGTAGTAAAGACAATTCCTTTATACATTGGCTACATAGCTTTTCAGCATACCGCCTTGTATATACATACTTGTACTGGATATCGTATAGACAGTTCTTGTATAGGCTACAAAGCTTTTCAACATGTAGACTTGTGTACCTACTTGTAACGGATGTCGTGCATACTCTTCTTGTAGATGTGGAACTTCTGTAATCTCCTCATCTGGGCAATGCAGCTGCGACGGTCCCAACAAGTGGCGGTCCCAGTGTAGCAGCAATATATGTTGGACACGGGGGGTCGAAGATCGGGCTTCCATAATGGCGGTTTTTTGGAACACCATCCATTCCGTGTTATAATGTTCAGCGTCATCGTCTGTAAGGAGGGAAAACTAATCAGTAGTTTCACATGATTGTTCGTGGGATGTGGATTAAATTATAGGCTTGAGACGAATACAAAATATTTCACATTTATGTTTCCTATACTTCCTGACTTTCATCCCACTCAAGGTTAAGTTGGTGACACCAATATGTGTACATGAAATCTTATCGTATAAAAAAAATTGATAAACAGCAGAATATATATTTATTGCGTTGAAAACTCTAAAAGTATCTTATAAGAAGTGATACTTATTGGCTGTAAAACCTAAATGTAATAGGTTTCATTCAAGTTACGTTACATTCAATTGCAATATTTCGAACATTTGGGAAGGATGACGGAGCCTATTAGTAATAACTTATATGGTGTGACATTATGTGAATCGCTCCAAAGTTTGTGTATAGGCTAACTATAATACCAAATGAATGTCTTACATTTAACATATCTTGGTTTTTAACCATTAAAAATATATAATACTCTATAGAAAATCCCATTATTTAAATAATTACTTTTGAAAGTTATTTTAAACATTCACCTACCTCACTCAGTGGAAATCCGTCCCCTTAGCAGATCAATAAACAAATCAAATATGCCAGGGGTTTATAGTAGGTACTTTTCATTTTGAGAACCACCATTAGTAAATCGATGAAAACTAGCATAACTGTGTATAACTATATTTTATACACTTGTTGAAACCATTGTTTTGTTTTGTAAACATTTTTCAAATAAGTCAGTAAGTAAACTTTTTCAACTGAAAATTGAATCTGCGATATAACTAACATTCATAGACAACTCTTGGATAATCCATAAATTAGTAAACAAGCAATCGTTGCAAGCCTGTTATCAGTAATTACGTGAATATATCTCAGCCTTTACTGAACATAATTTATTACAGTAGGGTCTACTCCTCTAACATTGTAAGTCTCTAAACACGATTTTTCGTGGAAGAAGGGATTGAAACGACATTACACTTTTACGCTTCAGAGAGAGAAGCTCAGGTAAAATGGCATCCTCTACACAAGATACTGTATGAACTTGGTACGCCTGCAGCGGGCTCCACAGCTGCGTGCGCTGCCTCTCCACCATCCCCACCTAAATGACGACCAAGTGAGCTGACGGTCAAGTCAATTGTCGACGAAGGGGATTCTCATATTTAATAATTTAATTTTACAGGCTGTTCAACGGGTCTGATGATGAAATAACTGGCCAACGAAGAGGTGTTTCGTGTTTATCTGTTTGATTTAAAAAGACGGTCAAGTGACCTGACGACGAAGTAAATTGTTGATCTACTGGTGGTCCCTAGATTAGATTAAAAACACATAAAAACTATATTTAGTATATTTCAAAGGAATCAAACTTCACCAAAATCTGTACACCTATGATAAGACATTTTACACTTGGATGAAATCAAAAAGTTAACTTGCACTTTTCAAAGTCAATATAACAAAAATGTTCGTTCCTTGATTAAATCGTTGTTATGTTTTTCTTATAGTACCGTTGGAACCTCAACTTAACATGTTGGATATATAAAAACAATTCTAATACAATTCATTAATATAATCAGCTGCCATTTACCTAACCTCAACATTTTATTTTCAAACAAAACATGAAATTCTTAACACATCAAGTAGTTTCAAGATGAATTGAAATACAACTCTTTAAATTGCACAGTGACATATATTTCAACATTTAAATATATACAACATCAAATCTTCTATTAATTTAGCCAAGAGAAATTTGAGAAGTCCCATTTTAAACTATCTCACCTCCACTACAAACTCCACCATGTTTTATCTGTGTATTATACTTGCTTTTACGTTGTTTTGTGACTCCATTTTCGTCCTTGATCAACAAACGCCACAAAATTACTACAAAATACTAAAAGTTTCATGTTTTGCAGGGCCAGAGGAAATAAACAAAGCCTACAAAATCATGGCTAGGAAATATCATCCTGACAAAAACGATTCTCCAGATGCAAATGCGATGTTTCTCAAAATCCTGGAAGCAAGGGATGCACTTTTGCATCGTAACAGGAATAAAAGATCTTCATTTCCTTTGGCCGACCAAGGTTATATCGGCGTTATGTTTAATTGCGTGGAGATTTTCAAAGATGTGTTTAGTGATCTCCGACATAGAGTGTTATGCTTTTTTAGATCCCAGATTTATGAACGAGGACTGCCATAGTTCTGAAAATCCCAGTAAACATTTTACTTCGAATGGCAAAATTTTTTCCGATGGCAGTGAACTGTTTGGTTAAGAATGAAAAATTGTAGCATAAATTTATTGACAATAAACGTATATGCCACTTAACGTAGTTTTAAACAATGTTTTTCTAATTTGATCTTTCATAGGCTATATTAGTTTTCCCTAATTTTCATATTTTTCATTAAGTAGTGCACAAAACCTAACTAATTTAAAGGTTAGCCTACCAATGTAAAGATGTAGATGATTAGACCCGACTTATGCGCGTAATTAAGAAGTAAATGATGGTCTTGAAAATATATATCAACAACAAAAATGGAAACATAAGATGATATTTCGTTACAACCTCTTGATACATACAGTTTAGTGTTAAGTAGGATATACCCCGAACTACAAGTTGGCTATACAAGTGAAAACATCATTATATATTGAACTATTTATTTTCAGTTTCGATACTGTAAACATTTTTTTTATCAAACCAAATTTTTTTATTGATAATTCCCTAATACAAATCAATTAATACTGGTAAGACAAATTATATATGTAAAATGATAAAATGAAGGCTCAATAGAGCAGCGGGGGAATTGTGGCACCATCTTTAAACTGAATGCTTCCAATTTTGCGTCTTGTTCCTCGAAACCCTAAGTGAAACTGCTCGAATGATGGAAAGCTGGCTTTGGATCCTTAACCATCCAATAATTTGGGAGTATGGTTTTTTCCATTTTACAGCCAGGGCCTCGCTTGTTCTCCTCTGAAACGCTTCATATTCTTTGTGGGGGACTCCTTCCGTACAGCCCTGATGGAGTCGTGCTTATTGCTGAACATCTAGAGATTGGAGCCTTCAATCCAATTCCTGAGTTATTATGGTTTGTAGTTTTAAGATACTATAGTTATCAATGAGTCAGTGAGTCACATCACTGTTTATCACTGAAGCCATCACTTTTGTAAAGTCATATAACTTTTTCATTTTCAAACCATGACCATAGACTAACCAACGCCATGACTAACCTTTCTTATTATCTGCTTTGCAATTAATACACAATACGGCAGTAACTCCCATCTAGTAATACCAGCACATAAAACAATAACCACCTTCTTCATATAAGACGTCTCCCCAAAAAAATCCATAAACATTTTCAAAGCTTTTCCTTCAAATTAAGTATCAAGTCCACGTCAAAGGGCAATATTTATAACGGTCTTGCGAATAAATACAACCACAGTGTCAGATCATTTGTCACTCGACAAAATACAATTAACGTTAGCCATGTAAAAATAAGCCAAAATACACAACTTCTTAAATAGTAACATTTGTTAAACTATTTCCATATTGTGACCAGCAAAAACTTCAGCCAAACTCAAGAGTTACTGGACATAAAATTACCCTTAATTTGTCTTAACATAATCTATGATATTAAGTAAACTCAATATACAGGGTGAATCAATCGTCAAGACCTCCCTCCCTCATCTAATATTTTTCTAAGTGGGTATACAGAGGTATCCTTTTGATGGTCGTTCAATCTTATCAAGAAGTTTCATTTTATGATTTTGAACAATTTTGAGTGCCCCCCAAAATGAGGTATACAGTATTTGGGGGGGGGAATAAACATTTCCATTATCGTAAAATGAAACATCCTGCACAGGCTGCATGGCTACCCAAAGGATAGGCTAACTCATAAATATTTAATTAGGTACAAATAAGAGGGGAGGGAAAATTACTTTTTTACACAAGAAAATAAACTTAGAAAAAATAGACGGGGGAGACTTTACTTTTGATTCACCGTTTATATTAAGGGTGTATATTAGTTAGGAATGCTAAGGTTCTAGCGTTCTAGCATTGATGAGTGGATCGTAATCAATGGCTCTACAGTGCTTAACAGAAAAGTCGTTCGTCTCCTAAACGTCTGGATGAAACGGACGTCTACATCTCAGCTGTTTTAACCGATTCATAATCAAATCACCTCACCTGTCATTGTTTTTGACATTGGTGTTGATGGTTAACTGTGATTGTCAAGTGCGAGAATTGCGTGTGACTATTATTTATTTGCGGATTCAACGTTTGCAGCAATCCTATTTGTTGATTCAAGATTTTGAAAAGTTTTTTTATAATTTTCTAAATCCTGTACTGCTAATGGTAGCCTTACATTTTTAATTTTTGCGTGTTTACAGTCATGTCTTGTCAATTGCCACCTTGTCCGGCTTCATTAAAACCAATTCAACATTATTTAAAAACAGCAGCTGAACATGATGGAAGAGATCCAGTTATAAGCTACTGGTGTAAGTAAAAAGTAATCCGTAACATGTTTCTTCAAGTGGAACTCCAAGCTATTCTTGTTTTCTAAACCTTAGGTTTGTCGAGGCCTAAGTTTAGGTCCATCCCATCAAAATGGTTGAACCTTCAATTCCTCACTGGGTACAGGTCATAGGGGAGCAAGCTGGTTTAGTGGTTAGAGCGCGGGACTCGAGTTCCTGGGGTCCCGGGTTCAAACCCCGCCAAATCACCAATGGATTTTATCTAACTTGTGAGATGCCGTAACCCCTAGGTCTAGCCTAAAGAAATGTGAAAAACAATTCTGGGCTCGTGCCCAGCGTCCTAGGACAAAAAAAAAAAAAAAAAAATAGTACAGGTCATACATTTTCACTTAAGACACATTGAGCTTCATGCTATAGTTGTAGGCGTACTTTGATTCAGAACATCCAATAGAAGACTATTCAAGCCAAAAATATGAGCGACTAAGTTAGACTTAGTATAAACCGGTCTGCTGCACCACAGAGTAGGCTAATATGGTACCGTACAGAGGAATCTTGCTTATGGGACGACCGTGTGCTTTCAGCTCTGCTATGTTGTGCCAAAATTATAGGCCTACTTGAGACGAGCACTGTGTGGAAATTCCTATCGTATAAGGATCAGGGTCTTCCTCCACCGTAAGTAGTACGTAGTACATGAAGGTGAGGGGGGCAGTGTCGGACTTTGTCCTAGACATTAGCACTATGGCCTAGAGCTAGACAGGGCCGTCCGAAGGGGGGGGGGGGGGGCGCACAGCGCCTATTTGTATTAACATAGTATTACAATATGTGAATGTGACTATTACTGGGGGGGGGAGGGGGTGCCACGACCACGTTTGCTCCGGGCGCCGCCAATCCTAGGGACGGCCATGGCGCTAGACACTTTCGGTCATTTAAGTTTACCATTACGTCTTACCATTAGTCACCTTACTTCCATGTGGCTGCACCTAGAAGTAGGCCGATCAATAGGCTATCAAATTAAAAAATATTTAGCAACCCAACAAACATGATAAAAAAATTGGGCATCTGGGTAAAATTGGTAGGCCTACGTAGGTAGCCTAGTGTCTTTTATTATTTTAAAACTATTAAAGCTAGGCTAGGTTGGATTCAATCCTCTTGACAATTTTTATTTTTTATAGGCATGTTATGTTACTGTATAGGTACTTTAACTTGCTTTTGCTACTTAAATTTATCAATGTATTAATTTTGTCTCTTTGTAGGTCGCATATATGCTTTGCAGTCAGCACTAAAGTTGGACAAAAAGTCAGATGAGGCCAAAATAATGTTGATGAGTTTGATGGATTGGCTTGAGAAGGAAAAAAAGAGGCTTTCAGACAACGAAGCAATAACAAACGATGTGGCAGCTCAGGCTCATATTGAAAATTATGGTTTGAAGTTGTTTTTGTGGGCTGACGGCCAAGATAGAGCTGGGCAGTTCAACAAGTAAGTAACTTATTTTAGCCTACTTCTAAAATTATAACTTAGGTAGGCTACCTACCGTAACTTTTTAATTCTTTTATAGGCCCTACCTTCTAACCTAAATCAATACTAGGCCACATTAAGATTCCTTGTAGGCTAGCGGCCATTTTTGATAATTTCAAACAGCTGCTGAAGAGTTAATTATCATCCAAAAATAGTTTTCCTAACACAGAAGGGGTACACTTCCATATCTGTTGGCACAAACAACCGAATGAGTAATATTGATTGTTCGATTGTTTAATTCAATATATCGTTTGGTTAGCTAGGATAGGTTAACCTTACCTAACTAACCAAACGATATATCGATCGATATTACTCATTCGGTTGTTTGTGCCAACAGATATGGAAGTGTACCCCACAGAAGTGATTATAGGCTAATGTAAAATATCTAGTAAGTTTATACTGTGAGATTAAAAGTGTTGTTTTGAATGTATTTCCAAGGGAGTCCATGGAAGCCAAAGGCCATCTTGGATTAGCCCACCATAAGAGCAATGTTAATTTTCAAACAGCCGCTGCAGAGTTATTTACTACCTCAAAATATTTTGTCAAATACCAAAGTGATTGTAATTTAAATATCTTGTATTACTGTGAGAATAGAAATTTGCTTTGTAGGATTTTATTTGTTTTATGAGTTAGAACGTAGGTATAGGCTCCCAAGGGCTCTTAATGTAATGGAGCGATCCAAGCGATATAAAGCGAGTAGGCTACTAACTAAAAGTAGCATTTGATGCTATCCCTTGCAATCATAATTAATACAAACACAAGCGCAATATTTAGGGCTACGATAGTTGTTCAAAATAATATGGCATAAGTTAGGGGTCATTAATTTTTATTAAAGAGAAAGTCTGTTAATCTTGAGCTTCTTTGCTTTAACATGGTTAAGACCCTGTTAAAACAGATTTAAAATGCAACTGACATCCTATAGGGCCTATTTTGTTTTCAAATTTTCACCTGACTTGTGTGAACTCAAATCTCTGTCCTATATTTTTCCCACAGAAATGTAGTGAAGGCGTTCTACACAGCTGGTTTTCTCATGGACGTTCTGAACACTTTTGGCGAACAGACAGACGAGATCCAGCAGAACTGCAAATACGCCAAGTGGAAGGCTGCGTACATACACAACTGTCTGCGTAACGGAGAAATGCCAGTCCCGGGACCTGTGGGTGGTGACGAGGAAGGAGCTGGTGCGACTTCGGGTTACAATCAGCCGAGCTTGGGTAAGGTGTTAGTTTATGTAATGCTGTGAGTTGTTCGGTTAGGTCAGGCCGGTTTCAAGTAGAGATTAGTATGGTTTAACTTGAAAGGAAATAGGCTACAGTGAATCGCATACCACTAGCTATAAAAACAATATTTTGGGGTTTTAAACTGCATCAAATAGACTGCAACAGGGTTAAATAGCATTAAAAATATAAAAAACCATTGTTAACTGACAAGATTTATTAAGTTTTTCCACGGTAAAATGTATTAAATGATGTATGTACCTAATTTAGTTTTCCATCCAAACCACCATTTCCCAAGTTGAGTTTCTTTTGATATCACCTACTTTTTCTGTTTTGAAGCCATCACCACCAAAAACATTCAGAACCGACAAATTTAAAATCATATTTATAAAATGTTTCAAGGTTAATTATTCATTTAACAGTGAAATAATATAGTAGGTAGTTGGATAAAACTAGGCCTATATTCACCTACTCAGCCACATAAGGCTATCCATATATGCACTGTGATAGACACATTAACAAGTTATTACAAACTGTGTATAATGCAACATGCTAATAAAAGTCAAAAAGTAGGCCTAAGTTACAGTCGAATGCAGGTGCCAAGAGTGGCGCATTATCTTATAACACACAGGGTGAATGAGGTTGTTTGGACTTACCAGCTTCAGTATACAGTGATACCTTACAGGAATGGAATGTGATTTCTTGGTACTATTATCTTTCACACGGAGGGTCAAATTGCATGGTACGTTGGATAGCTCAATATGGTTTATGGACTGTACTGGGTTGACAAGAAATTTTTCCTGAAAATACTGTCAACTGTTTTTTGTGCTGTTGTACAAATCTGTTGCCTAAGGTAATAAAATTAAAGGGATGGCAACAGTGACATCTTAAAGAAAGTTTCAGTTTCGGTACATCAAACCCTAGTAAATCTTAGGTTATGAGCCTAGATCTTGCTGGAATAAGTTGAATCAGAGTTGGTTGATATGAAAAACCTCTGATTGTTATTCTTAAACTATAAAGGGAAACAGAGAGCAGCAAACTCTTCCTTCAATTTTATGAATCATTGTCAAAAATCATTAAAATGGGTCTGTGCTGGAAAGTAATGCCATTAGTTTCAGCTTCACATAGAAGTGTTGGTGTTTAATTGCCCTCTTAAGTTATTCTGTCGTAACTTATTTCTACCCATGTTACTTCATCAAACTGTTTTCAGGTTTTGACAACATCTCGCAGCCTAGTCAGCCAACGCCACCGCCTTCAGACTCACCTTACAACCAGCCTAGCAATAGCAACGCTCCCTCTTACGACTCTATTCATTATCCGACACCCTCTAATGAAGGGTTCCATCTCCCTACTCCACCAAGTGGACCAGGCTCCTACCATAACCTCCCTCAACCTCCTCCCTCCCAACCACATCCATCTCCCTCCCCATCACCTGCTCCTCCCACTCCTCAACCTACTCCCGCCACATACAACCCGCCCAGATACGATCCTGCTGCCATTGACCCGGCGCTGTTGTCCAACCCGTCTACAAGTAAGTTTCACATGTTTTGTGTCTTAGAAATAAGTATTTGCTACTGGATTACATTTGTACATTTTGAGAGATATTTTGGAATCCACCTTGTTTGGACAGTTGAGTATAAATCCTGAATTAGCTGTATAGCCAAAGATACATGGGCTATCCATAAATTTAGGTCTCCATTGGCCTGTCGAGGTCAAGCCGTGTGCCCACTGCAGTGTTCTTTACTTCTAGGTTATTCCCACCATTATGGGACGAATAGTCTTGTCATAGTAGAAAAAAACAAGGTAAAGAAAACTTTGAGCTCCCACCATGTATTAATCATTTAATTTCTGTGTTTTAAGGTGTTAATCGCCAGTTTCAAGTCTTATCACCAGTTTACAAGCTAATAAAGAAAAAATTTTAGACAAAAAAATTCAATTTAAAAGAGGTTGAGGGATATATGGCCGCAGGCTATTAACTAAAACCTGTAGTCTTAAACATGTTATGCACAGCTTTAGGGTGGCTGTGGTTGTTCGTCAGTCTTGTTTAAGACAGTGACCACAATTAGGGAATTTTTGTATGCAGATTGCGGTATGACTGAATGAGAGATTGTCAAACCAATAGGGGAGGTTTCTATAAGACGATCAAGGACAATGGAAACATTCCTAGTCTTAAAAACGTTGACTTAGCAAACAATAATTCATAAACTTTAATTATTGCCTTGATGAGAATTGACAAACACCACAGCCGACCTAATTGTGTAAATGTGTATGGCCTTCTGCAAACCCCTGAGCCACTTATGCACATTTTGTCTAAACATTTTTTTGCATGCACACGTTTCAACAGGGAATGGGAGGGAGTTGACATATCTATCAGGTTTGACCCCTAAAACTGATTTACATCCCTTGCACTTAAATTTACGTGTTTCCCTCCCTAAAAACTGTGAATTATATATTAATCGACATTCTAAGGGTTTTCATTCCTATGCATAAGTACATAGTGCATATAAACTTCAGGGGATTTCCTCAGTATTTTTTTTTCACACTGATTTTTATCCAACATTACTTGTACTTGTACTTATGTACCACAGTTCTTTCTTTCTCTCTTCTTTTTTCTTCTACTCCAGTGGCATTTTACGAGAAGTCAACGAGAGAAATAAATGTTAAGTGGATGTGCCGTGAATTGAACCCATCCCTCCTGCACCGAAGTCCGAGACGTTAACCACTAGTCTAGCAACACACCCAAAACCAGAAATTCAAAGCCCATGTGATTGACATCAGCCTTTAATCCTTCTCCCCATTGAAACGGCTAGGGCACTTTTTGTAACAATGCTGTGTTTGTAGATGTCAACGGAGTCAAACTCCAGCCAGAACAAATCTCAAAGGCGCAGAAGTACTGCAAATGGGCCGGCAGTGCGCTTTCATACGATGATGTGCCTGAAGCCGTAATGAACCTTCAAAAGGCCCTCAAACTGTTGACTACAGGAGTGGACAGCTGAATAATCTACACAGTCGGGGCCTCTCGTATTTATTTATAAAATATTTCAAACAGAAAATATATTGAAGAATTCTTTACTCTTTGCGCTTAAAATGTTTTGTATTATACATCTTCGGCCTGTTTAGAATTTTGAGTCGATACAGTGTAACAATTTGCTTATCTAGAATAAATATTATTTTTTAATATTTTTGCTTTGAGTATTTTAATAATTTTCCAAGTTTATTGTAGGCCTAGACTAAGATTATTAGGATAATAATAATCAAAAGAGTTTAAATATATTTATTTCAGTGCTTAATGTTTACTGGCTTAAAACTGTATTAGATCACAAGTGTCGTAGTGAGCAAAAACCATGGTAGTGTAAAAAGCCTGTCTAAAACTAGACACAATATGGTTCCAAGGATAAAAACATATAACACTTATAAGTAAAACAATGGTAACGTCCAACTAAAACAATAATTTACAAAACAGTACTTATCACTCTAAAAGGGTCTTGGATGCAAATAGCATATTCAAAACTACACGATACAAACATAGAACGATATACACATAGTTTTGGTTATATACAATACTCGAAAAGTGTTGTATTCAAAGTTTATAAAATCGATCACCTTTAAAATGTAACGATGAGTATATTTACATACAGATTGTTCTGAACAATCCTCAAACAACAAACCTCATAAATAATGGTGTTGCACATTAACACAAACAGATAAAATCAACAAAACAATTTAACAAACATATATAATACAATATTTATAGTTCTATCTATAAAGAACCTTAGGAACAAAATCTCCAAAGATGAAGTATTAAGTATTGATTTTTCATATTGAACATGGTTTTTTTGGCAGATATATTTTGGAAGACATTTGCTATGATTGAGTGGATTGTAAATTTGAAGCCGGTAAATCTATTTAAATTTAAATACAACCAGAATATTTTTGTCAAGGACGTAAAGAATATCGCAGAAAAGTAATGAAACAAAGTGTTAACTAACTATGTTTAGAACCTAAACACGACACACTTATTTTAAGTGATGATAACAATTTTCCTAGCAGGAACTTAAGTCTTTGAAAATGTTGTTCCAGGGTTCTTAGACAATGTTTCATATTTTTTCCATCACAGAAGCAAGTGCATAATGAACACAATCTAAAGTAAGACTCCTTTAATGTTCTTAAAACCAAGCAATAACACAATAAGCACAACTTTCAAGCTTTGTTAACAAAGATCAATCCATATGACCATGGCAGTGAAATGATGAAAGAAAATCTTTGTATATTGCATCAACTTGTATTCCGACATATGACTTTATTTTGTTGCCAATTTGTGTAAATTGCATTAAAAAAGGATTGAAAACACTAAACACAGTTTCTCTGCCCAAGCAATATTTAAAAATGGTTTCCCCTACTATCTTTTCTGTTCTTAACATTTTAAAATAATGACGAATTTAAAGTCATAAAGCACTAAAATCTTTTTGTGTATTTGTCGCTAATCATTAAGCCAAAGTTGGTCATCAACTAGACTTAAGTAGGCTAACTTTTAGTTAATACAAATTCTCTAAATCTAACAAAACTTTCTTTTGTGAAGCAAGCTATTGAGACTTGTACAAAAAAATTAAGTCTAATCTAACCCATAAGTCATCTAACTCAGGTCGTAGTAAGAGGTACTTTGTTGTCTTAGCTTTGTTTTCAGTCTTGTTTCTTTTGTTTGATGTCTCCGTTCGTTTCTAGCGCAGATTCCAATTTCCGCCTCAATTGCCAGTCGATAACCATCCTGCCCGTTAACATGAAGAAGAATACCTGAAAAGATTAATAAAACATCAAATTATTGCCGGTTTAAACATTTGAAAAATTTGGTTTATCACTATATTTGCTGATTAAATTGAATTTGTGTGCCAAGTTTAAGAATCCTTTGTCGATGGCTCTCACTCAACTTATTAATCCAATCAGCATTTTTGAAAAGCCATTTTTATAAATGGGCAAGGCTTTGTTTCCTAGCCACATGCCCTTTGGTGATGTAAGCCAGCGGCGGTAAGATGTTACAACGGTGATACAATCTCCTCCAATCAATCAAATAGAAGACTGTCCTCATCCACAGTACAGTGTAGTACCTTGTTCCGAGTATCTTCACTTGTTTGTCACTTAGAGACTTGGTTAGCAACACAGATCTTTGATGAAGAAGTAGAATTGCAAGTCACGAAGAGAAATAAGGTATAGAGAAATATTGCATTAGAGACAACTAGCTTGTACTAGGGGAAATATACTTGTGACGAGTGAGGAAGAGCACTGTGTGGAAGTTCCAATCGCACAGGGTCTTCCTCCAGTGTGAGTATTGTAGTATGTGATGGCGGGGGAGGAAAGAGTATGATGGGGTTAGGAGAAGCAGTGGTGTTGGACTTTGCCCTAGACTCCAGTGAAAAATTTTTTTTTTTGTTCTTATGCCAGTGACATTTTTTATGTTTTGAAAGGGAACGGTCCAAACCCTGGCCTTGTTACTATCTAACGTCGGCCTTTTTGTTAGATAGCATTATTAATTCATAGCCAAATGGCATCTGGGTCTGGAAATGATCTCAGTTGGATTTGAACCAGTGACCTTCAGATTTGAAGGCAAACACTTTAACCATTCGGCTAATGCGAGATACCACATTTAATCTTTCCTCTGTACCTTACTTCTCTGTGGTGTCAGCGAGTGGTTAAAATTACAAACGTTGGGATTCTATGACAAAATCATTTCAAAGCTTAATCACCGCTATGATAAGTGCCTAAATTTCTTTGGCAACTATGTACAAACTAGTATCTAAGCTGCTCTTTGAAATGTACATTAAAACATGTTTTCTTGTAAAAGCCCTTTCAATTATGACATTACCAGTGCTGGTGCTATACGTTCGAACTTGTCATTGACCATGTAATGTGAGTAGACAGCCATCATCATGAGAAACAGAAGTACTATGTTGGCCCCTTGCTTCACCATATCTGTCAAAGACAAACAAAAAACCAATTAATTGTAAACCAACACTTTTTTATCCTGGAAAACAAGAAAACAAGTGAAACACATAATATTCAGTCCATCACTTGTTTTTGCTCTGAACCATGCATGAATCCAACTGAATCATTAACAAGTGCTGAATACAGAACAATGATAAAGGTTTCTTACCTTAACAACAATTAGATCAGAACATGTTTAATGAGAAATTACATCAACAGGTGATTCTTGGAAGTTAAATAAAAGGAAGATGAGAGAACAAAGTAATTGTTGTAACAGTAATAAAAAAAATTATATAAAAATAAAATAAACAACAAATTGGGCCCATACGGAACTAGCCTTGGGTGGTGCGGGGCCCAGTACAAATTTTCAGAGCGGGGCCCCTGAGTTTATACTCCCCCCTTTTTCCATAGCTGGTATAATTAACGTAAAATTCAAAGAATTTTTATAACAATTTTAAGAGTTGCGGGGCCCTATAGAGCCGCAACTTGCGAACGTCCCTAAAGCCGGGTTTTCCTAGGCGCGGAATCGGCGAGCGGAGAGAGGAACGCGGAGAGCGGACTCCACTTGTCTTAGGCAATTTAATGTTACTGTTTTCCTAGAAGCAGAGCGGAATTCCATGTTAATTTCAATTCCGCTCTCCGCATTCCGCTTCCGCGCCTAGGAAACCCCAGCTTAAGGTCAGATCTGGGCCCAAGCAACAACAAAATGTTAATAATGATAGATATTGTTTTTATTACCTACATCACAAGGAAACAATTTCTTTTAAGGGAAATTACCCATATAGGAAATAAGCTATTACCGTAGGTCTCATGGTAAGACCTCGAACCGGGACCGATTTAATTTTTCATTTTGAGGTCAAAAGAAAGTCAACAGAAAGGTTCAACAGAAATCAGTACATTTACATAACACAATCTGTTAGTGGCTCACATCAACTACGTCCATTTATATTTAAAAACTAGCGACAAATTTAAGATTGAAATATTTAGTTCTATCAATAGACAAAGGCTTTATGCAAACTCATTGGCTTTTTGGCAGATTTAACAGATGGCAAATAATAGATTAATATTGCAAAGATGGACTGTTTCCAGTTAGATAAATTTGACTAAAATGTTCATCAACAGTTAAAAAAAGTGCAAACATTTCCAATCAAGATCGTTAACTGCACTAGAAGTGGACTCATCCGGGTTTTTGATGAGTGGCCAATTGAAGTCTATTGTTCTATGCTACATCAATATTTTTCTGTAACTAAAATTAGCATTTACTTTTTTATTAAAGCAATAAGCTCCCTACTTACATTACACTTTTGTGGTTTTATTCCATCATAGAGTTAAAATATCTCATGAATTGGTATTGGGAGAAGGTTTTAGACTTAAAACACCGATGATTAAAATGTATTACATTGATAAACAACAATAGCCATCCATTAACTCTTTTGAAATTTAATTAAACCAATGTTTTACTTAAATTCAAAGGTATTTTTTTAGTTCTTCTAAATGCATAATTGTTTGACTTTTGGTTTTGATATCAGAGAAAGTCGTGTGATCCATATAAGGCTCGATCACGTGACCTTGAATTACATATCGTTTTTTTTTTCTTAAAAGCCCACTGTTAAATTCTGAACCATTAAAAATTCCTCTACTTTCTAGTTTCTACTACTAGTTTTCAAGTTAGTGCTTTCTAGTTTGCACTGAACAAGAAGTCCTCAAAATGTATGTAATCGCTATCAATTCAGTTGTATTTAAGTTCCAACCATATAAAATCGTGTTATAACTTACGTATTGGAATGAAAGCCATAGCAAATCCACATACTATTTCAAGGCTACCAAAAACTCTTCTGTACCATTTTGCCGGGATTTTGAAGTTTAGCGCTTCTGCCAGTGGAAATACTTTTGCATACTTCACATATTCTTTTCTCTGAAAATAAAAATATTAATAGTTAAACAAAACAAAATGGGAAGAGTATACAGACAATGTTCATTTGATGTACAGCAGGCTCCTCTTAAAACTCATCACCTTTGTAAAAATAGAACTGTCAACAAAAGGTCTCTTGCCAATATTTTCCACCTTGTTTCAATTTGATAGTAGCCTACAGTAAACCTTTGAAAGTTTGAGACTTATTGTAGTTCGATACGGGCTGAGCTATTTTGTCAAGTGTTATTTAATGGTTACTATTATGATGTGAGCTAATTTGAACATTAACTTGTCATTTATTGTTGTCTTGAGACTTAACTAATTAACAGTGAATTTGTTTACGTATAAGCCGAGTGGGCTGTAGATAAATATATGCCGATGCTTGATGTGAAATCTGTATGCGCATACCTTCAATTAGAGACCTCATCATGAAAATCGGTTGGGTAGAAGAGCCAAACGAACTTGGAAAAGAAAAACCGAATTTTTAATATATAAGATGACGTTTGTGAAAAATTTGAGTATTTTATCAATTTTAAAGTTGTATGCTTTAAACCAACTAGTAACAGCATTGATAGTTGATAGTACTTGGTGATCTTAGAGATTCAGGCCTCAAAGACCCAAGTCATGTCGCTTCACCCTCAAAACTGTTTATTGTTATGTTGCTGTAAACACTGAACATTGTATATATATTTAAGATTCCAATTTGGCAGAGATTCTGATTAAGTGCTTTCACCTTCATAGCTTAATTTTCAATCTGATTCAATCCCAAGAATTAATTTGGATGCCAGCAGTTGCCGATGTAAATTAATCACACTCTTTTACACCAGTCAAACAGACTTATGTTAGACAGCAACAGCGCATGGTTTTAAACTATTCCATATTGCCCAAAAAATCTTTACAAATTTGTTAAGGTTGCAAATATATTTATTTTATTCAACCAAGAGAGACTGACAAAAAAGAAGATTCTTTTAGAGAGCTGACATTATTTTACAATTCAAATTCTATAATTTTAGGAAATTTCTCTGTACAATCTTCTTGATTTATAATTTGTTCTATTGTACACCTTCTGTATTTGTTTAAAGATATACGGAAAGTAAATAAAAGAAACGCCTTACAACACTTAAAACATATATTTACGCCTATACTGTTACGCACAAGACGGTAAATATACAAAATACCCCCGCCGCAGCAAACCTGCAGACTAAGCGAATTTCCATTTGACTGATTGGATTTACACTGAAATGTCTACTTAAAAATATAACATTTATTCCCGATTTAAATAGAATTAGTTTAACAAGTACTTAGGTTTGCTGCATCAGGGAGGGTAAAACTGTTTTTTTTTGTAAAATGGTAATAGTTAGTAAGAAATAAAAACATTTTCCAAATTTGATTAAAATATGTTCATAAACAAGCAAACTACAACAGTTTACTCATTCTCCATAAGAATAACATGGGAATTTTAAATTTAAATTTTTTTGGAATTTTCTCCGTAACCATTAGGCGCATAATAACGCTTCAATATACTAAATTATTTGTTTTTTGAAGTTCTACAAAATGGTTTGGAAATTAATTGCTAAATTTTATGTTTTTTGGGTCAAAATTGGGAAAAACCTATTTTTACCTCTGTAAACACCCGTTCCCATGGTCCGATCATGCTGGATCGCGAACTCGTTCAAATAGACGTAGGTTTACACGTTTGTACCAAATTTCATCAAAATCGGATCATTTTTGCTCGAGTTATCGTGCTGACGGACACATATATATATATATATATATATATAAATATATATATATATATATATAAATATATATATATATATATATATATATATGAATTTGAACGGATGGTGTTTTTGGCCTCTAGGGACCTCAAAACGAAAAAAAAATCGGTCCCGCGTCCAGGTCTTACCATGAGTACTACGGTAATAGCTTATTCCCTATATGGGAAATTCGCTAAAAGATGGTAAGTGGTGATCGATTTCGACTGGGCACTCCAATCATCATCAGACCCAATAGGCGCAATTTTGCTTATTGGGTCTGATGATGATTGGAGTGTCCAATCGAAATCGATCACCACTTACCATCTTTTTTGTATATTTACCGTCTTGTGAGTAACAGTATAAGCGTAAATATATGTTTTAAGTGTTATAAGGCGTTTCTTTTATTTACTTTCCGTAAATTTAATAACACGTACAATGCTGATCAAGAAGTTATTTAAAGATATCACAAAAATTAACCTTTACAAAGAATTACTTAGAAGATCTTTATTAATTCTATGCCTTAAATAATTTGTCAGTATAGCCATGCACTTAGCGAAAAAAGGAGTCTTTAGCCTGCAGACTAGAGGACAGAGGTGCATGAATCACAATTCGTGAAATGATTTTTAAAGTTCTTGATAGTTCTCAAATACTTTTGTTGACCCGAAAAACTAAGAAGTCATAACTGATAATAAATGGTTATGCTACCTTCACACTTACGGCTAAGGCAACACTTAGCGACTTTGTCACTGTAACTTTTTTTTCTATGGTCGCTGGAGGTGGCCACAATAGTCGCCACCTCCAACTACCAATTTTAACTTTTCAATTATTTAATTACAATAAGCAATAATGGTCTGTTAACAAGCATTTCAATACTTTTGAATTCTTAAACCATTTTATGTATTTTATTTTTATTTAAGCATTGACCCACCAGTAAATTTTCCGAAACAGACTTTATTGTTTGTTAATTTTGTTTCCCCTATACTATCTCCCATACTAAATAATCTATTAACAATTTGTTTGTAATAGAGAAATACCATAGAATAGTAAACCTGCGTTTCAGTGAAATAGTTTTGTTTACTACTCTACTAAATTAGATTCTTTTATTGTTAGAATTTTTATTTATTTAGTTTATAATTATATACGAGCTGTTGGCCCGTCCTACGTACGGGAATCGAGTAGTCCATTAAAACTATATATATTGCGTCTATTACTAATTCAAGCATTAAGTGGTTCAAAATTTATAGTAAAGAAAAAGCTGCCAAGATGAATTAAAAACATGTAATCGTTGTTATTTTCCCAACCTTTCCTCAAAAAGTCGAGTAGTTTAATAATTTTCATAAGCTTTCTTTTGAAGATTCGAGAGCTTCGATTTGTATACAACAATGGTTATAGAATCTTACTTATTTCCTATAATCAATGACAAAATAAGAGTAAATAAAATAACCTCATAGTTCCTGGTTTATATTTAACCAGCTGTTAGTTAAAACAAATTATATTGCTCTAAAACAAATCGAAGATTATAGTACAAAGATTGCTTTAAAAAATAATTTGAACATCCTAGTATTTTACTATGTATATTTAATTAATCTGTCATCCTCTTACATAAGTATTGAACGAATCAATGATTAGCATTACACATAGTATAAATAGTCAACCCTAAGTATGTCTCCAAATGCTGAATTTGTGACACAAAAGCTGAATGTTTACAGCTGTTATGTTAAGCAAATTATTTTATGCCAAAAGCTAGTTTAGAATCTTAGCGTCGGCTGCTAGACTTTTTAAAAGTTAAAACTTAATTTCTAAAAAACTGGGACCCTAAACTAAAATTATGGCTTCGACATTCCCTAGTTCTCAAAATTATCTTTCTTTCAACACAAAAATCATGAAAATCCGTCGAGTGGTTGATTCAGAATCGCGAAATAAAAAAACACTGTTTCGTTTTAATATTATAGATAAATTAGATATTTATTTATACTACTCTACTACCATGTTACAGGTCGGAAAATTTAAATTTTTCCATTGTTGAAAATATGTTTGAACATCATAGCTCTTCAACTTCAACCCCTAAATTCATGCAATGAATGAATCCCTTTCAGTTTCTTCCGGTTAAATGTAAAACCGGTTCCTAGAGAAACACTGATGTTTAGCCTGAGGCAGGTCAAGGAGACGATATTTATTAAAAACTTCAGCCTGAAGGTATTTATAAAAGTGGAGACTTTGAACGCTCAACAAGAACTGACTGTCCCTCTGGTTGAATTTGGGCCAGGGGCAAAATGCCAGCCACAAATAGCTGAGCTCTGCCCTAGTGACCACTTTCTCAATTATTAAGCATTTTGTGAAAAATAAGACATCCAGATATCACATTTATAATCTCAAAAGTCTATAACATCAAACAAAATTTGTTGGAATTGGAATCCAGGATTTGTTAAAAATATAACAATAAATTGTAAATTCATAAATTAAATAAATTTGAGATAATTATTTTTTACTGCAAATAATATTGTTGAAGGTCTAAGAAACAAAACTAACATGGATAAACACTGAATTAGTAAACAACGTTGAATTATTTACATCTAATCATCCAATTACGCAGAGTGTGAATGTTACCGACATAACTCAGCATGAATTGGTAAACACACGTAACGATTTTTCACCCCCGGACCACAGAGTACAGCAAAACAACCCTATACATACCAGGTCTTTGTGTAGGTCCTTGCTGATGATTGAAGTTAGCTTCATAGTACCCACAAATATAAAAAATATCCCCAACAAAATAGATAAACTCTTTAACACCACCGACCCCATGATGACAGTTTGGCCAAGATTGTTTTTTTCCTTATCGCAGACGACGGCAGGGGGTGCGCGCGCTTCGGCTGTGATGCGCGTGCGCGCAGAAAATAGATCCACGCGCCGATTCTGATTCATGACAAGATAGCCAATAAACATGGCATCACCTGACACCAGCGCTAATTTGATTACGAGTCAAAGATCAAAGCTGTCAGCTGGAGCTTCGAATCACTTTTAACCGGAATGGATTATTTATTTTCTTTGAGTCAAGTTATTGCAGCTGATCGCCTAATCCTGTAGTAACGAATAATTTAACACCTTTTGCACTTTCTAAGCTGCGATAGTTAGGCCATAGATTAAATTGTACTCCCAAATAGACTTATCATACACTTAATCATTAGCTCCAGGCAAATGTAAGCTTAGTTCCGTAAGGCCGTTTTGTAATTATTTATTTATTTATTTACTTTTTTTTACAAAAAGAAGGATATTACGAAAATGTAACACATACTTCTACTCTGGTATCATGAACGAAGAGTTAAGCATAAATAATAGTAAAGTCCACCCTAACCCACACAACACAAGAAGATCCTTGGAATGTCTTGGGGATATTCTGTATATCCCTCAAAAGTCCTCAGAGTTTCCTGGGATATATCCCTATCCACCCAAATCCTGATCCTTGGGATATCCCATAAGGATATCATACATAAAAACACAAAATAATAAAGATTTTGTCTGAAAAGCACATTTATCAGTTGTGTATTTTGATTAAATAGTTCATAAAAAAATAAAAAAAATAGAAAAATATGTTTTCCTTTAGACGGATCTCGAACCGGATACCTTAAACCTCATTACCTTACCTCTGAGCTACTACCATTTTACAAAGGCAATTTATGGAATCGATTATTGAACCAGAAAGTTTACAGTTTTAATCCCGCTACCGAATACGCGTTGCCAAGTCAGGCGACGGATTTTCTTATGAGATAAGTTTAGTAAATATAAAAATACAAGAAATAAGACAGGATCTGTTTTTCGCGGCCCTAAATGTACTACCACAAAACTATTGAAAAATGTTGCTTGATAAACATATCTTTGACTATCCAATATCCAATAGTCAATGGTACCGAAAGTACCAGCACCGAAGAGTATAGTGCTCATTAGGGCCTATAAAATGTACAGACTTAAAATTAGAGAAAAAGATCTAGTCACATCAGTTCAGCTAAATTTCATCGGACATAAACAAATCCAAAAAGACTTTAGACGTTACATGTTGCAAATAGAATGAGAAGTATATTTGCAAAATCAAAAGTCAATGTCAAAACCTGGCACCATGGATTTTTAATTATTTAACGCCTGAATTCAGCGTCATGTGGACAGTAGCACAAGAATGTTGTTCTTGCAGTATCAATAGTTAGCAGGCGCTCACTAATAGGAACATTACTTCTATTATTAAATCGATTACAACTGCCGAACTGCCACATTTTGTTCCATATCTATATAGTTTTCTAGTAGTTTCATGGCAAAATTGATTCATTTATTGTTTATACAGTAAAAACCTTTCACTTAATTAATTTCACAAACTACGCCCTCATGACGTGTTTTGCCGTACTTAACGTATTAATTATTCCAGGTTTACTGGTTTATTCATTGGCTTACTCATTAAACATGACATAAAGTCTGTCAATTTAGTTTTATTTCCAGATTTTTTTACATCAATTTAAAACATCAAACACTACTTGGTATGAAATAAAATTAAGTAAAATGAAAACATTGAGGTAAGAGATGTTTGCATCCAACGTCTATAGAATGTTTGTTGCAATTAAGGAATTTTACCTAATGGAATCTGTTAAATATGGTTCTGCATGATAATGCTACATGCCAGGTTTTAGACCGACGAAAATTCCTAAATCATAAAATTAAATATGCTCCCATGGATTTTGAATATTCTCTATCAAATTAAACATACTCACAGAGAACTTCACTATGGTTTTGAAGGAACAGAAATTTGGTCGTAATCACTTTCGTTAAATATAACATGCTTATGAACAAGGCTTCTGATTTCTCAATAGGATAGCTCTACTTGCACTTTATTGAATTGGATAATCCATTCGATCAATGTGCAGTTCCCATGTAGAAAATGTTTGTTTAAATACTGCTTGTAGTGCTGTGTTAGTGCTTGTGGTATAATGGCTAATGGGAACAATATAGGCCTATCAAAATAAATCTCTGGCGCGTTTTCTGTCGTTTGGGTACCTACGTTACCATTTGGACAAATCTCGGGATGGATTTGTGTCAGAAACGTGTGCCTGTATTTTTACGTGACAGGACAGATGTCTGGAATATGACAGGTTTACCATCTGCTCTATTTTCTTTTAAAACGAACATTTTGACGCAACTTTCCGGAACTAACGTTTTACAATGGTTTATTCCCGATTTTGAGTATGAGTAGGCTGCGGTGAAGTTAGCCTAGCCAGTCCAATCCACTGTTCACAATGTGTTTGTTGTAAATAGCTATGTCATGTTCCCGGTATTTTGGACAAAAAACATTTAATTTCAGTATCGCAACATTTTTGATGTTTTGGACCGATACATATATATACAGTATGTTGGTCCGTATATTTTTTCGTAAAAAATAAAGTTTTATTTAAGACAGATAAATAGTTCCGGTAAACCTCTGAAAAAATGAGTGCCCATCAGGAAAGAGTAGTAAACTTTTTAACAAACATGATGCTCATCATATCAGCTGGTTACTCAGCATAAATAGAGCGCAAAAAGACAGGAAAAGAAGAAAAAGATACTGGAATCTTTCCGGTAGGGATGTGTCGATTCTCGATCTCGATGCCACCGCGGTTTGAAACAGAAAACATACGTTTGCCGCCACAGATGTTTCTACTTTGACGTTGTGTATACATTACCATTTGTGTAACGTTTTCGCCGGAATCACTTTGTCCCCGAGACCACTTGAGTCAACTGTAAAGTTATACAAACATCAATACAGTTTTCGCCTAACCTCAAACAAACCGATCTCATTGTTGTAAACCACGTGTTCCACGTTCTGTTTGTGTTTGTTTCCGCCCAAACAACAACTGGAATGGGTTTGCTATGGGAATACTACTTTGGAGGAAAGAACAAAAGTTTTGAGAACAACAATACAAAGACCCCAAGAACTCATCTACATGCATCCGTCGTCGCCAGGGCCATCTTGATCACGTGTCTATTCTGTCCACGGCTACTATGATCGCTCATTTCTTATTCTGATCGTGTATCGTCTGCAAAGATCCCAGCCAGAGAACACCGCCTATCTGATTGAGTCTTCATTTCATTGTCAAGAGAAGATAACAATCATCTCCAGTTCATAGATTGTGTGGCTTTCAATTGAGAGGTCTGGTATAGTCTCGTGTTCATCAATATCAATCAGAGAAGTAAAGAACATCTAGTTATACATTGTTTTTCTGAAGGAATACGAGTGAATACACAATATAGGATAATAGATAGTGTTATAATATATAGGGAAAAGCGTTGGCGTTTGTACAGCACATTGAAAATGAAAGAACCCGTATCCTATCATGTGATTTGGAATTCGGTAGCGTTACTTTTTTTAATCGACTTGCGCGCGCACTAGGGTGGCACGGCAATTTTTGGGGTAGCGGATTTCTACCCCCGGATATTTACCCCCATGAAAAAACGCCTACGTCATTTTGACGTCACGAGGGGCGGGGCTTATACACGTTCGAGAAACAGCCCGCGACTGGAAATCTACCCCCGGACATCTACCCCCGGACATCTACCCCCAGACATCTACCCCCGGACATCTACCCCCGGAAATCTACCCCCATTGGTCAGCTCTTCCGCGTATCGGCCAATATTCATTGTGTTGTATAATTGATTTTATAAATTGCTTTACCTTCTTATATCCAGTAGTAAACATGCGATATGTCGATGTCTGTTTTAACATTATCCATATTTATAATTCAATAAGTTGTAACAGTCCTTTTCAACCCGACCTACTTCACTGATTTTTACGATTGAGGTGTCTTTTAAAAGCTTAAGATCTAGCGCAGCACAAAATGGTTCGATTATGGCTTCAAAATGTTGACCCCTAACCCTTTGATTTATTCCTAGAAGGTGCTTCCAATGGTTGACCAACTTTTACACTATACAGTAACAGTTTAAAAGTGAAATGTGAGGAGTACTCATCAGATCAATTTTTAAGTCAGGTTGTGAAAACATGAATGATCGTCTGCAACTGTAAACAGGAGATGAAAAAGTTATGAAAATAATATAATATTGCGCACTTTTCACATGGTCAAGTGTTACATCGTACTGAACCATTGTTTTTACACACATTTCTTAAAGGATAAAGTGAATAAACTGTGGTGACCTTCCGGTTTATTCAATGTAGGCCTAGTAGGAATAATTGTTTAGTAAAACAAAACTCAGTTGTAAACTGTTAAATTGAGAAAGAGGATCAATAAAAGTCAGGTGTATAATGGTAAATGTTTCATATCATCTAGTAAAAAAAATAGTTTCTAAGATTTAAATGCGTACTAAGAAAGGATTTAAAGTATTTTCTCTTAAATACCTAAAATAAGACAATTCAGTTGTAAACTGTTAAATTGAGAAAGAGGATCAATAAAAAGTCAGGTGTATAATGGTAAATTTTTCATATCACCTAGTAGTAAAAAAATTTAGTTTCTAAGACTTTAGATGCGTACTAAGAAAGGATTTTAAAGTATGTTCTCTTAAATACCTAAAATAAGACAATTATTCAAATTCAAAATAATGGCCACATTCAATTTTTTAAGCATAGCCTAACATCTTTTAATATATATATGTATATATATATACGCCTAAATACCCCCATTGCAGCACATTCGCATATTCAGAGCATGTATAAAGTCTTATTGGAAAATTCTGCCTTAAAACAAAACTTGTCAACTTATGTCCATAAATAAGTGTTCAAAAGATTCATTCATAAGAATACCAAATAGGAAGTGAATAAGCAGGTTTCCTGTTAGTAAAATGTTAAAATGAGGCATTTTAAGGTAGTATACAGAACA